TGAAAAAAAAAAAAAAAAAAAAAGTTTGATAAAGAAAAAGTTGTAAAGGTGTTTTTGAAACGTTCGGTCCTGAATTTGGGTACGCTGAAATTTGACTGGCTGTGCTTTAACTTTCTGTGTGCTTTGGAGGTAAAAAGGTTATTATGATTAAACGTTAATAGAACGATAAATCATTTTCATGCCACCACTTGTTTTTTAATACCCCATTAGGATTATTTCTAATTTCATTTATGTTATTTCAATTGCACGTTGTGTATCAAGTTCTGTGAGGCATTACCAGATGGCGCCCAAAGTGGGAGAAGTTGGTACTGGATCATAAAACAAAGGATAGACCTCTAAATCTCTAGTCTCATTAGTTATCACAAAATACGTAGCAGGGGGTAATATGTCCAATTTCAGAGTCACTACTAGATGGCGCCAGTTAAGCAACGTGTAGTTAAGAACCTGATTACGGGGAGAGGGGTTAATCTCATTTTTTAATCTTCTACAAGTACAACTGTGCTACGCGTTCTTGTCATTTCTGTAACCCTAGAACTGTAGATAATCCATCAATATTTATATCTACCTTTATTTGCCACCAAGGAATGGTCAAAAAGAATAAAAAGAAAAAAGCGTTAAATAAAATTAACATTGTACATACCATATCCATCTTGCGTTCGTTGAAAGAAACTATCAATATACAGCTGGTGGAGGCGGTCTCCTGTAGCAGTGCTGTTAACAAAACGGACCCTCATCTGGAATGGTTGAACATTAATACTTGTGAAAGGTTCATGTATTGTAAAACACTGTGTTAATGAATCTGCTCCAAGGGTAGATTCGTCATAATTCATAGATTTTAAATAAAGAATTGTACATACATTATATTGTTTTCCAAGCATACAACTAAAAGATAACGGGTTTTGGTTATATGTGCATCTATATTAATTAGATCATTTAGACTATGAACTAGCAATTCGAATTAAACTACAATGCAAATGCAGTAGTCCTAGAGTTTCATTTTTGCTATATGGTCTATTCTTACCTGTACAATTGTCGACACATTGTGTAGTCCAAACACTTCTGCTTTTGAAGAGTATGTATAGTAATAATCGTGCCTTTCCTCGAAAATTACTATAGACGAACCCAAGAGAGTGCATGACAAGAGAAGCAGTATAGCTAACATCTTGTCAAGATACATGGTCGGCGACAGTCCTGGGTGATTAAAATATTGAACGAACTATTTTTCATTGCGTAGTGGGTTTGGTAGTTATACTGTCAAGCGTGTTGAGCATTTCGTAGATGTTATTGGCAACGCGTGTGGTGAATGATTTGTCACATCAATATCGTCATGTTTATCTTCTGATACGTATTTTTTCTCTTTAACCATCGATAACACATCGCAGTTGCTATGAAAAAATGCTATCCGTGATATGAAAGCCTTCAACGTGGGTCCTACATGTAGCGATAAATATTGAGGACTTAATTTTGAGACAAATAATTCCAATCACCATATTTTACTGCGTGGTTTTTATTTTTCTGAACAGTGCAGGGATTGTTGTGCATTAACAGGATATGGTTTGAACTTTGGGCATTCGTGCAAAGTCATATATCTCATACCGGTATTTTGTACTAGTATTTTGCCGTGAAACCGAAAACGAGACTGTAGAAATATGGTCTCTAAAGGTGTCGTACTGGGATTCTTCACGTTGTTAACTGTAATTTGCACAGTGGCGAGCCTTACAGGGTGAGTTCAGGGCTTTTTTCATACCAGATACTTATACGAAATATGCCATCTATGACCTACACAGACTATGTTGGACTTTCGCACTCTTTGTAGTAAAAAACTCCCTGTTTGAGAAGTAAAGCGCATATACAGTATTGTCGAGTTTTGCCTTAAATATCTCGCTTGGTTTACATGTACACTGACTCTCAGAATAAATCAAAAACACTTATTGTAATTCAGTTGTGGGCGAGCTTATATCTGCACGGGCATTTGTGAAGTTGCCGTGTTAAGCACTGCTCCGAGCTATAATGAATAGAATCAGATCTATTCTCCTGACTGTGGCTTCGTGATATAAGTCACATTTTGTTTTTGTGAACGAAACTTTGATTTTGTGAAAACAAAATTCACAGGTCCACAACAAACGATAGAAGATCCTTTCTTAGTCAGAAAATCCTAAAAACATGTTTCATCATTTTCTTTTACTGAAGTTAAGCGCACACAAATTTATTGTTTGTTCTTTTTATCATAACAGAGATTTAGCATTTATTTATTGCTGCCAGCCATTATCTACTGCTGACATTACTTATTATTTCTATGCATAATCATGCCTTTCAACGAAGTACAATACCCACCTTGTTGCAATCGTATGTAACCAAACGTTTTATTGTATGAGTGATTGCTATTTTATTCTACATATCAGTGATTTTCAACCCTACGCATGAACTGTAATTAACAATCTTGATCCATAAAAATTCATGATTCTCATTTTAAATATGTATGTAACCTTCGTCCACACTCTTGTTTTGTATAATTATACGTTGGTCATGAGCATGTTTTGTCTCACTGTCAGAGTAATTGCATGTTTGCATGTTACACAAAATATTTTCGACTGTTAGAATATTTGTTTAAACCGTGTAGTGTGATATACAGTAAATGTGACATATTTTAACTCATTTAAATGCATTTAGTACGGCTATGCATGTTTTTTGTAGGCTTGTTTGGGATGAATACATACAGTATACACACACCCATTCTAAGTAAGAATTCATCTTAATAGATGTATCTATATATAGAAATGGAAACGTTTTTAGCCATAGAGGCTCTTCAGGGTATATATTTAATTTTTCTGCACTGCATACTTTACAGGAATACATGCACCCGTCAGAGATATATCACTATCTCAGAAAGAGCTACCAGATCTAAATCCGTTCGAGACTTGACAAATTGTGGACTTTGGGGCTGGTCATCATGTTCTAAATACAAGTAAGTTTTATCTCAGTTGCAAAATAAGTACGTATTTTAATGGCAGTTATGCTTCAAGCATCCAAGGTTATTACGATAGTACACTGATAGTTTGCAAGCTTTATTGTAATAGGGGTGAAGTAGAGAACGAGAAACAAGCACTGCATGATGACGTGTGAAATCTGATCCTGATACGTCTACAAAGACACAACTAAAAAGAGATAAATGTATAAAACCTATGATAATGTACTTGTACAACTTTTTACATGTATGTGTCTTATAGGCTTCCTTATTTTGAACCCGGACGAGTTGCACTTTATATTTTCATTGTGATTTTAAACTGAAAATTTAGAATAATAATGGAAAATATCTAGATATGGAGTATCGTATACAGACATTAAAACAAATAAATTCAAAGAAACACATTCAAAGACATCTGGGCAAGATGGATGGTAAAATAGTTTGAAAAAAGTGTCTTCTTTACATATTCATCCCAACAAAAGGAAAAGTATGAAAGATGTGCATGTTTTACATTGTAGGTATACATCTCTTCCGTGACATTTGAATAATAACTTTAGTTGGCTTTTCCATGAAATATTGGCGGCATTCTGTACTATCAATTCCCATAAGGTTCCTTTTAATTTCTCTACACCTGGGTTCTGCCATGCATTTCCCCACGTTTGTCACGACTTTACTACTGTCCTCGGATCAAATCGTCCATTGGCTCTTAACTTAAAGCTTAAAATTTTTAGACACTACCAAAATGTGGATGTACACTGAATGTTATAAACAGATGCATTAAAGTTATTCAAATTCGCTTTATATTTGCTTTATTATATTGTAATGTTTTTCGAGAAACACAATTTTTGTGTGCCTATTTTCTGGAAATACTACAATATTTAAAGTGCACTTTGCGTCTTGTGTCCAAGACTGTGTCATATGGGTGATATAAGTAGTTACTCACTACCATGATAGTGCGTATTTTATCCCGTTCACGTTAGTACAAGCTTTTATAGACCAGTTAGTGCAATATGGGAATTTCCTAAAGAGGCACTGGGCCTGCATGTACTATCATTCATTCTCAATATATAGGTCCATTTGAAAAAAAACTTAGAGAAAAATGAAAAATCAAGTTAAGCATACATGTATAGCCGCGAATTCTACTTTTTTCCATGTATCTGGTGACNCGGCTATGCATGTTTTTTGTAGGCTTGTTTGGGATGAATACATACAGTATACACACACCCATTCTAAGTAAGAATTCATCTTAATAGATGTATCTATATATAGAAATGGAAACGTTTTTAGCCATAGAGGCTCTTCAGGGTATATATTTAATTTTTCTGCACTGCATACTTTACAGGAATACATGCACCCGTCAGAGATATATCACTATCTCAGAAAGAGCTACCAGATCTAAATCCGTTCGAGACTTGACAAATTGTGGACTTTGGGGCTGGTCATCATGTTCTAAATACAAGTAAGTTTTATCTCAGTTGCAAAATAAGTACGTATTTTAATGGCAGTTATGCTTCAAGCATCCAAGGTTATTACGATAGTACACTGATAGTTTGCAAGCTTTATTGTAATAGGGGTGAAGTAGAGAACGAGAAACAAGCACTGCATGATGACGTGTGAAATCTGATCCTGATACGTCTACAAAGACACAACTAAAAAGAGATAAATGTATAAAACCTATGATAATGTACTTGTACAACTTTTTACATGTATGTGTCTTATAGGCTTCCTTATTTTGAACCCGGACGAGTTGCACTTTATATTTTCATTGTGATTTTAAACTGAAAATTTAGAATAATAATGGAAAATATCTAGATATGGAGTATCGTATACAGACATTAAAACAAATAAATTCAAAGAAACACATTCAAAGACATCTGGGCAAGATGGATGGTAAAATAGTTTGAAAAAAGTGTCTTCTTTACATATTCATCCCAACAAAAGGAAAAGTATGAAAGATGTGCATGTTTTACATTGTAGGTATACATCTCTTCCGTGACATTTGAATAATAACTTTAGTTGGCTTTTCCATGAAATATTGGCGGCATTCTGTACTATCAATTCCCATAAGGTTCCTTTTAATTTCTCTACACCTGGGTTCTGCCATGCATTTCCCCACGTTTGTCACGACTTTACTACTGTCCTCGGATCAAATCGTCCATTGGCTCTTAACTTAAAGCTTAAAATTTTTAGACACTACCAAAATGTGGATGTACACTGAATGTTATAAACAGATGCATTAAAGTTATTCAAATTCGCTTTATATTTGCTTTATTATATTGTAATGTTTTTCGAGAAACACAATTTTTGTGTGCCTATTTTCTGGAAATACTACAATATTTAAAGTGCACTTTGCGTCTTGTGTCCAAGACTGTGTCATATGGGTGATATAAGTAGTTACTCACTACCATGATAGTGCGTATTTTATCCCGTTCACGTTAGTACAAGCTTTTATAGACCAGTTAGTGCAATATGGGAATTTCCTAAAGAGGCACTGGGCCTGCATGTACTATCATTCATTCTCAATATATAGGTCCATTTGAAAAAAAAACTTAGAGAAAAATGAAAAATCAAGTTAAGCATACATGTATAGCCGCGAATTCTACTTTTTTCCATGTATCTGGTGACAGAAAGTGACACATCTATTTTTTTAAATAAATAATTGAAATTTTAAAATCCAAGCCTTGCCAGCACGGGGACAAAGTAATTTAGCCTATGTGTTAACCTATATTGGTTATGAAGTTTTAAAAATAACAATCCGTGGATAATATTCGTACGTGATTAATACTAAGAAAATAAAACTGCACTAGAGGGGTATTTCGAGATGTACTTGTATTTTAATAACACATTCTGCCCTCAACCCCAAGTATAATTTTTCACAGTACCTGGTAATACAGGTTATGCAAATTACTTTCCATGAAAATGCAGTTTTGCCGTGTTTCTTCTTAAACATTTTACTATGCCCTGTTACCGTATTCTCTTGCTAATAATGCATGAACATAAATTGAGGATTTTGTTAATGGTTAAAATATGACAAAAAAAACCACCAAACAACTAAAAAAAATGACGTGCGCCAAAAGACGAAAGGAAGATTTTTCAATATTTTAAAATCTGGCGACACCAATGAAGTAGCTGCAAGCTATTTATTGAGTTATTTAAAATAAATAGACATTTTCTGACACGTGAAACACCATGTCGTTTCCTGACATGTTGCATATAAAAATGTTTAATTGGGGTGGTTTTTTTTTCTGTGACAATAGATAAATCAAGTAATTATTGTTATTTTTTTAGTTGTTAGACTGAAGTTCGTTAAGTTCAACTTGGACAAAATTATTGTGCTCGCTGACATGGATATTATTTTTATGAAATGAAAAAGGTTAAATGGACTTGAGAATGAGTGTATAGTGATCAAGAGATCAGATCAGATCTTAATCTCTCATGTAGGCAACACTAGTAATGACATTTTTTTTATCCATTTAGACTTGTCACGGAGTATTTCACTCGTACCCGAAGGCTCACCCAGTATTATACAGGATGTTGTCCCAAATGGAAACAAATTGGTTCTGTTTGTGTTCCTGGTGAGAGAATATTGGAAATAATGAAGAGCATTTAAAAATAATAGAAATTAGTTTCTTTTCATCACAGGATTATTTAATATAATCACTGTTGACATATATGCTCTCTTTGGAAGTGACTGATGAGTTAATTTACATCATTCATGCACAACTGTTATTTTTAATGTTTGATCTCTACTCATGTTAACGACGTGTTACCATAAACCGATTATTTTGATTAATATAAAAATAAACAACTGATCACACAAGGCATTAATTGTGAATTCCATTTCATGCTGCGTCTGTTACATATTTAAGAATGTTCGATAATACCACACTGTGCTCATGAGACTTGCCAGGGCGTCTTTACTTCTGGATGCGCCACTTGTTTACAACAAGGACCCAACATTTCATCATCTGTATATTGGCCGTCAGGAACATCTAGAAATTGTTCAGGTATGATGATACAGATACTTATTTGTTTGTAGCTATGCATAGAATGACATGTTAACCATGCATTTATTCACTCCTCACATCATATGTGTTAAGCACTTTGTAATTCATGTTACGGAACATAAGTGATAAAATTCTATATCTTTTCAGCAACTTGTTCTTGGGAACAGTACCATTGTTGGCCAGGAAATTGTTCAGACGGATTCTATTCTGGTGGATGTACCTGCATTGCTGGTTTTACTAATGAAAGCGGTCAATGCCACTGTGAGTGCTAATGAAAACAGACCTCGTTGAACAATTTTGCCTATTGTGCCCATCCCTTAATGCATAATATTTGACAAGTCGCATCTTGTGAACATTTGTGCACAAAGGAAGAGCAGTTAAAATGATAAAATTAGTTTTTCGTGTTATTTTGAATTATCAAAATATTTTTAATTTACTTTTATCACGGATTATCAAAATCCACACACTAGATATACCATTTAGTTTCAGAATCCGTAAAACCTACCTTGGCAACATGCAATATTGGGGTTGTTTCAAAGGATGGGCAAATAGCCAATTCAACCATACCAGCTGCTGTACCAGGAGAAAAAGACAACGTGCAGGACAACTATATAAATTTTAAACCAAAAAATATGAGCTACACATTCGATTTTGATTTTCAAATAACCGGTGTCCCAACAAAACCCCCACGGATTAAGGAATTCCACTTTGGTGTTACTTCAGCATCTGTAACTTTGGGAACAATTTCAACTGGTAACTAACAAACATTTTGGATGAAATGTCTAAAATTATACAGTCTATTTATTCCTCGTATAATATTAGTATAATTTTTAACGTTCAAACTCTACTAGAGCTAGTTAAAGTGACTTCTCACATCTCTCCTGGTTAGTACGTATTTCTTTCAGGTTTTGAATGTATGACGTATGTATATAATCTAGGGATATTATATAAAATCTAATCTGACATACAAACAAGAATAAAATATTATATATTATCATTTTTTTTAATTTATCTATATATGGTTTCATACTATTCTTAGCATTAGGTTCGTTCCGTGAGCACAGCATCCTGGTGTTGCCTTCTGGGATGTGCAATAAGAACTTCACTCGATCCTCCCCCTACAGCGGTATGATATCGTGCAGGCAGTCAGTGCCATTAGATAATTATTTTCNTTCGGTGTTACTTCAGCATCTGTAACTTTGGGAACAATTTCAACTGGTAACTAACAAACATTTTGGATGAAATGTCTAAAATTATACAGTCTATTTATTCCTCGTATAATATTAGTATAATTTTTAACGTTCAAACTCTACTAAGCCTAGTTAAAGTGACTTCTCACATCTCTCCTAGTTATTACGTATTTCTTTCAGGTTTTGAAAGTATGACGTATGTATATAATCTAGGGATATTATATAAAATCTAATCTGACATACAAACAAGAATAAAATATTATATATTATCATTTTCTTAATTTATCTATATATGGTTTCATACTATTCTTAGAATTAGGTTTGTTCCGTGAGCACAGCATCCTGGCGTTGCCTTCTGGGATGTGCAATAAGAACTTCACTCGATCCTCCCCCTACAGCGGTATGATATCGTGCAGGCAGACAGTGCCATTAGATAATTATTTTCTGAACAACGGAGAAAGGTTGGTTATGTAAATTTCATTATTGTGACAAAATGGCAAATTATATATTAAATATTTATTTTAAAAAAGGGCGGTTTAAAAATTTCAGGTTACTATTAATGTACCCATGTGGAAAATTAGTTAACGTTTTAATCGCTATACAACGGTCAGTTTACCTACAGGGTACCACATTAATGATCTCTAGTGTTAGCCCTTAGTTAGCCCATGTTAGCCAATCGATTTAGCGATGTCTCCTCGATTACGAATTGTAAATAATCATTAAATGTCGACACATGGCATTTGATATTAAAAAATCACATTTATTTCAATAGCATCATAAGCAGGAAAGCAATGGTTTCACTCTTATTCCAGATTTTGCGCACGGTTTGAAGCAGAGGGAGGGGGTTATTTCATTCCCTTTGACGCTCTGCATCACAGGGAACTTTCTCCTAAAAACTACAACGAAACATCGACGTCAAAACTGGTGTGCATTTGGTATGACTCGGTCGCGCCAATACACTGCTCGGCTGAAAAAGGATGTTTTTTGGAGCCTCTACACGTTGCTAACCGCATAACCAGAAGTGGCCAAATGTCTTTGTCTTTTAAAGGCTGGTCAGATCCGTATCCATCAGCGCCAGATCAGGCATCCGGTATAGAGCATTATGAAATACAAGTTTTCAAGGTTGAAAACGGAGGCAATAATACGTTGATGGTAAAGCCCGAAAGTACCCTCAAAAACACAACAGCCAGCACACACATGGATATTGAATTATCTGATCAACCCGAGTTGTATGCCCTTATCTTAACTGTTAAAGACATTGCTGGAAATGTTCAGCAAGCCCGACGTTTTGTGCTGTTTGACAATTCTTCGCAGGTGGAAATTAACAAAAGGAATCCCATGCTAGTAACGTCAGCCAATCCAAACGCAGATTACATGTGGCAGGTCAATCATCGTACAATCCAGCTACGTTGGGTAAACCATTTTCGTAACAGCCATCATTTTCACCACAATCTTTTGAGACCCATAAAACAGAATTTGGACATAAATGGTGTGTATGATCAAGTGAGCGGCGATCTCCCTGTCACTGGTATATTGAATATCCATGGTATTGTGGACTTCCAGTACTCCTTTCAGCGCCTTCTCCCCTTGCAAACACCGGCTTCTCCATTTCAAAACGTATCAAACTTCCAAACTCAATTACTGAATCTAACAGAGATCAACCCCAAAGATGGCGAAAGCTACAGAATTTGGATCAAAGCAACTGACATTATGAATAATACACTTGTGGATAATGTCACAGTTCACTTTGACAGCACGGAACCTGAGGTGTCCAATATGTGGTTAGTAAAGGATGGCCAAAAGCAATTATATGTCCACCACACAACAGATCTCTCTAATATGACACTCCAGTTCAACGCCAAGGATCCAGAGAGCGGATTGTTTAATGTCAAATGGAGACTTGGCACAGAGCGACGCGACAGTGATATTGGAAGCGGTTATTTGCCTGTAGTTTCCTATAAAGTAGGTTGATATTTTGTACTTAAATTTTATTTTTGCAGTATTATTCCAATAATTTAGTATTTTTACACAGAATATATTGTCGGCGTTGTTATTTTGCGTCTCATATATACACTGCATAGCCTTTCTTTATTAACACATTGAAGAGTGCTTTATTATTTTACAGGAAGGGCTCAACAATTCAAGATACACAGAGAAGAATCATTATTGCCCAGCAGTCGGTCGATGTGAATTTTACAATTACAGCATAGGACGTCAGTCTCTTGGGACGCATATAGGACAGCATAATCGCCGGTATCACTTCACCATTGAAGTAATGAATAATGCAAAACTCATGACCACCGCGGCTGTGGTCGTACACGTGGACGAGTCACCTCCAGTGATCGGCACTGTCTTTGACGGCTTTTCTGAAAAAGATAGAGATTTCCAAACTGATTTAAATCTAAATGGACATTGGCATGGTTTCTACGACCACGAAAGTGGTATATCCAAATACAAAGTGGCAATATCATCTCGTTGTCTTACCAAAGAGCAACTTTTGAAAAGCAAACCTGGGAATGAGACTAAATTAACGACTCTGACAACAGCCTCATTTCAAGCACAAGTGCCAGGTTATTACGTGTTATCAGTTATGGCATTCAACAAAGCTATGGAGCCTTCGGATGTTGCTTGCTCTGATGGCGTTACAATAGACGACTCTCCGCCTGAAATCTACAATGTTTTGTTACCAAATGCACGTATTCGTGACACAATCGTTTGTGATGGGGATGCCGTTTGGTTAATCACGTCTAACCTAACTAAATTAAGGCTTTCTAGCAATGCATCAGAATGTATCCACCTGTGCTTGTCAAGCATTCCAGTTTCGGTGTTCCCAGACAAACAAACCAATAACACCAGCATGCTAAACGATACAGAATCAAACGAAGTATGCCTTGAAACTCATTCTAACGACTTTGTTATTTCGTTGCCAAACGACGCTGTCAGCCTACTCTGGGAGGCATGTGATAAAGAAAGCCAACTTCATGATTTTGAAATCGGCATATCTTCCAATGGAAAAAATGTTATAAATCCCGATATTTCAGGGTTTCACACAACTCACAACCATACGTATTTCAAGCGCACCCATTCTGGGTTTGGGCATTCTTCGAGGTTCTTTCTCTTGATCAGAGCAACAAATAAGGCGGGTTTGTCGAGAGTCACTTCTCTAGGCCCCATCCGCTTGCATGAGTCACCACCATTGTTCATTGGCAAGCCGACACTTTGCATTCTTGACAACAAAGTCGAAGTGGTTTGGAATCGGAAACAGTTACCTGTATTGCACGGGGATGAAGCCACAGTTGAAATTGCAGTCGGTAAGTAACTTTTGTTACCCTTTCTACCTATATATATTCTTTATCAAGTTTGAAATTAGACATTTCTATGTTATTAACTAGAGCTTGATTTTATTGTTTGGGGATTTTTTTATTTATTAGTTGCCATTGGATGTATATTAATACTTCTGAAGTTAAAATGTAGCGTTTAACGATGTCCTAGGTACACGTAAGGAGGAAGAGGCTGCACAACAGTTCCGCCTAGCCGCAGGTAGTTGTTCTAATGATACACAATTTTGCGAAAATCTTGAGATTTCTAAACTCCAACAGTATAACCGCGAATTCCAAACTGACCTTTTCGTTTACGTCAGAATCACTAACGTGGCTGGTCTTTCAAGAGTCGTGGGATCAGAACCTTTTCAACTTCCAACAGCCTTGAAGCCATCGATTGGGCGTGTCTATGATGTTAATTCGAATTTCACACAGAAAGACATAGATTTTATTCTTGCTACAAATACAGTATGTGCGGCCTGGAATGGATTTGAACACGAGGGTGCCAGAGTAAATTTTGCTGTCGGCCTCGGAAAAAGGACTGTAACTAGTGATGTTCTGCCCTATGATGCCGTTTCTCCTGCAAAGGGAAAAACGTTCTGTATCACAACATCTGGACTGCCTTTGAACACCAAATTATTCTTTAACGTGCAAGCCAGTACATCAGCCGGTTCAGTAACTGCCTCCTCAGATGGATTCACCATCGTCGAGGCAAAGGAATTTAAGCCGCTGAAAGTATTTGATGGCGCAAGGTGCGAGATGCCCCAAGAGATCGTTAAAACTTTACCCTCACTAANTACTTTTTGGTGCATTTGGAGCAATAGGTGCAGGTGGTGTATTCACGCTTCAGTAGCAGAAAATTAATTTTTAGGGATGAGCTATTCTGCCTATATTCTTGTCGCACCGGATGATTTCATGCTTCGTGACTGCGATCACTTTACGCGGTCAACCAGAAGATCTATGGTCAACATCAGAGTGCCAATCCACAGGGCACCCACTGTTATCAGGGGCTTCTAAACTAGTATACAACATAAAAGTATAAGCCCCTGTGGAAAAGCATCCGATCTGACAATCTGCTGTAACGAAACTAACCCCCCTACCTGCTCAGCGTCAGAGGGGATCTGTGTAATCCCTCAGCTGGGCAAATGGAGTAAGTTTAAGGTCATGTTTGACTTGCATTGACGCAACATAGATAGGGGTGTGCACTGCTCAGCGCCTACATGTAGTGTGAAATCGCCTCCATTGACAACGTCAAAGGGTATGTACGCGTTCCCGTTGATTACGTGAAATCGAAAAAGGTGCAATACAATGATCTTGTAACAGACTAAAAGTGCAACCCGTGGTCAGAAAGTATGCACAAGGCACATTGTCTGACATTACTGTCCATCGTCAACAGATCACTTCCTTCAATCATTATGGGCAGTGGACGGGATCGAGGTGTGTAATATACGTACAATTATGTACTAAACACAAGAGTTTCATTTACGGTCCTAAGGGCCTGTGGTTCTATAGAAATTACAGTGATCTTCATTACTACTGTACAGTACATCAAATATAATAACCTAAAAAACCGAATGACACAGTTTATACATCAGAAAAAAACAAAGAATTTTTAGTACAATTGTATAATTGTAGTTAACCGAAGAAAACCAATGCATTAACTATGTATATTCATATCATTAAATCAGCATTCTGAAGTCTCCAATTTAACGCAAGGAGTTCATATTGCGGCAGACCAGCATTCTGTGACCTAGTGGTGTCCAATGAAGATCCATAGAAATGGACAGCTTTTAGTTTGCCACCTTCTTAAGGCTGTGCTATTTCATTTTTTCATGAAGGTGTGAAATCGCCTCCATAGACAAATTCAAAGGGAAGGTACGCGTTCTCGTTGATTACGTGAAATCGAAAAAGGTGCAATACAATGATTTTGTAACAGACAACAAGTGCAACCCGTGGTCAGAAAGTATGCACAAGGCACATTCTCTAGTATTACTGTCCATCGTCAACAGATCACTTTCTTCAATCATTATGGGCAGTGGACGGGATCGAGGTGTGTAATATACGTACAATTATGTACTAAACACAAGAGTTTCATTTACGGTCCTAAGGGCCTCTGGTTCTATAGAAATTACAGTGATCTTCATTACTACTGTACAGTACATCAAATATAATAACCAAAAACCGAATGACACAAGTAGCAGTTTATTCATCAGAAAAAACAAAGGATTTTTTAGTACAATAGCATAAACTGTTAATTTCGTATTGTAGTTGACCGAAGAAAACTAATGCATTAACTATCTATATTCATATCATTAAATTAGCATTCTGAAGTCTCCAATTTAACGCAAGGAATTCATATTATATTGCGGTAGACCAGCATTCTGTGACCTAGTGGTGTCCAATGAAGATACATAGAAATGGACAGCTTTTAGTTTGCCACTTTCATTTTTTAAAGATAAGGGTTTTTTTGTAACATAAGGCATTGGTATCTGTGTTGAGTTTCTTCTGTTGGTGTGTATAACTCGAACGAACTGTGTTTCATTACTTTAATGAGAGTGAATTCAAAATGAAAGATATTCACAATACGCATTGATATTACCAAAGAATGTGGATATAGTAAATCGACCAGCCTGTGGTTCTGCCAATCACTGAGACCACGCCCAACATTGCCTCTGTTGGTGGCCACGCCCTCCTACTTCTTTGACATAATATTGAATTAGTTAATGTAATTTATGTTTGACACAACTGAGGCTGAATTGTCCACCCTCAATTTCAATGAACTTCATTAGTGGTCTTTGGCTATCATTTAGTAATATCAGCTCATATGATCAGATTGATTACTATGATATAAACTAATTATATTACTGTCCTAGTAATTCGAATATCCCAAGGTCCGTGAACCGGAAAACAATTGCTAGGCCCACGTCTGGTCCTCGCTGAGACTCGAGTCTCAGCGTCATTTGTCATTCGTCACCCTCCTAGGCGTCATCATCCGCTTTTATTATATAACCCCTCTATCCTAATCGTTTTAACAATAATAACAATGTAGCAAACTGTTGCCTGTATTAAATGTTATGGCCTTAGGGATAAAAATTATATATCAAATATTCAATAAGACTCATCATCCTAAAAATTATGATGCGACGAGTCAGCAAAAGTTATTATTTACCAATAATTTTGCACAAATTTCATTTGTGGGGTTGCAAAGAGGCCCCCACTACAATTGAGCATGTGCAGAATGCACATGTTCGTAACTAAGCTCTGGAGATTGTTGTCGCCATAAAATGTCGTTTGACTACGCCAAACTTTCCTTTTAGACGGTAGATTCACTCAGAAACAAAGGCAAACTAATTCGTTGCCGATAGCACTTGCAGATAGCAGCACCATACAGAGTCTGATTAAAAACTTTCATGGCAATTGAAGAACTTTTACCACTGTGCAATGGAGTCCGAAAACAGCACTTGGCACAAATGTGAAACTGCCCAGTGCAAGGCCAAGAATTCAATCAGTATTTTCANTCGTGGGTAATTCATGATAATTGACAAATTAACGGCCTGATGCCGATAGACAGCAACGCTGTGCTATGCTTCAAGCAACCCCTGACCAAATATCGCTTGGGTTTTTAAAAAATTTCTGTTGTACACACGTACTAAGAAGTTTGCCGTGTATTGCCTAGCCTACCCTCAGCAAAACGCACATATTTTCAGAAATAGTGATTTTAGACGGTAGATTCACTCAGAAACATAGGCAAACTAATTTATTGCCGATAGCACCAGCAGATAGCAGCACCATACAGAGTCTGATTAAAAACTTTCTTGGCAATTGAAGAACTTTTACCACTGTACAATGGAGTCCAAAAAAGCACTTGACACAAATGTGAAACTGCCCAGTGCAAGGCCAAGAATTCAATCAGCATTTTCAATCATATTATCAGATTCTACATAAATTGACTGACAATATCACTACTCAGTATTTAATTAATCTCTTAATCCAAAATTCCTATCATCATTTAATAATAATGCAAAATTCTTCTTTCAGATTGCTATTTATTTTAAATTTTAATGCTGCAGCTGTTCCAAAATAATCTTGTAGTAGAGGAAAAATACAAATAAGAAGTGGAAGACCAATTTTACCCACATTATTCAATTATTTGAATATAATTGAATAAGATCACGATTTAACAAATTAAAATAATCTTTCATGAACTCTTTCATGAATAACATATTAAACAAAATTAAAGTTATAAATTAGTGATAATGGCTTATTCTGGAATATATGACCTCTGCACATCATCAGTACCTGACTTGGTACAGTATAGTTACTACTTGGATACAGAGTTAGATTTAATAATGTAACAATAAGAACAAAATATTACAATAAACTTCTCTGCACGTGTCAGACGCTTGTTACCATGAACTAACACTACTTGACAATGGGCTGAGCACTTATCACAGAGTCTGTGTGCGATGCCATTGTTGTGCTGTGATTGGCTAGTTGAGTCACGTGAAGCCCTACTGTAGCGCCCTCGCGTATCGCGTGAATGCTGCGCATTTCTGGCCATGGCGATGTCTCCTCAATTACGAATTGTAAATAATCATTAAATGTCGACACGGCATTTGATATTAAATCACATTTATTTCAATAGCATCATAAGCAGGAAGGCAATGGTTTTACTTTATTCCAGATTTTGCGCACGGTTTGAAGCAGAGGGAGGGGGCTATTTTATTCCTTTTGACGCTTTGCATCACAGGGAACTTTCTCCTAAAAATTACAACGAAACCACAGCATCAAAACTGGTGTGCATGTGGTATGATTCAGTCGCCCCATTACACTGCTCGGCTGAGAAAGGATGTTTTTTAGAGCCCCTACATGTTGCTGACCGCATAACAAATAGAGGCCATGTGTCTTTGTCATTCAAAGGCTGGTCGGATCCGTATCCATCAGCACCAGATCAGGCATCCGGTATAGAACACTACGAAATAGAAGTTTTCAAGATTGATAACGAAGCCAATAATACTTTGATGGTAAACTCACAAAGTAGGCCTATACTCAAAAATACGACTGCCAACACACACATGGATATCGAATTACCTGATCAACCTGAGTTATATGCCGTTATCTTAACTGTTAAAGACATTGCTGGAAATTTTCAGCAAGCCCGACGTTTTGTGTTGTTTGACAATTCGTCGCAGGTGGAAATTAACGAAAATAATCCCATGCTAGTAACGTCAGCCAATCCAAACGCAGATTACATGTGGCAGGTCAATCATCGTACAATCCAGCTACGTTGGGTAAACCATTTTCGTAACAGCCATCATTTTCACCACAATCTTTTGAGACCCATAAAACAGAATTTGGACATAAACGGTGTGTATGATCAAGTGAGCGGCGATCTCCCTGTCACTGGTACCTTGAATATCCATGGCATTGTGGACTTCCAGTACTCCTTTCAGCGCCTTCTCCCCTTGCAAACACCGACTTCTCCATTTCAAAACGTATCAAACTTCCAAACTCAATTACTGAATCTAACAGAGATCACCCCCAAAGATGGCGAAAGCTACAGAATTTGGATCAAAGCAACTGACATTATGAATAATACACTTGTGGATAATGTCACAGTTCACTTTGACAGCACGGAACCGGAGGTGTCCAATATGTGGTTAGTAAGGGATGGCCAAAGGCAATTATATGTCCACCACACAACAGATCTCTCTAATATGACACTCCAGTTCAACGCCAAGGACCCAGAGAGCGGATTGATTAATGTCAAATGGAGACTTGGCACAGAGCGACGTGGCAGTGATATTGGAAGCGGTTATTTGCCTGTAGTTTCCTATGAAGTAGGTTGATATTTTGTACTTAAATTTTATTCTTGCAGTATTATTCCAATAATTATAAGAATATACTGTGTTAAAATACTTAATTACAACACAGAATATACTGTCGGGGTTGTCATTTTGCGTCTCATATATACACGGCATAGCCTTTCTTTATTTATACATTGTAGAATGCTTTATCATTTTACAGGAAGGGCTCAACAATTCAAGATACACAGAGAAGAATCATTATTGTCCAGCAGTCGGTCGATGTGAATTTTACAATTACAGCATAGGAAGTCAGACTCTTGGGACGCATATAGGACAGCATAATCGCCGGTATCACTTCACCATTGAAGTAATGAATAATGCAAAACTCATGACCACCGCGGCTGTGGTCGTACATGTGGACGAGTCACCTCCAGTGATCGGCACTGTCTTTGACGGCTTATCTGAAAAAGATAGAGATTTCCAAACTGATTTAAATCTAAATGGACATTGGCATGGTTTCTACGACCACGAAAGTGGTATATCCAAATACAAAGTGGCAATATCATCTCGGTGTCTTACCAAAGAGAAACTTTTGAAAAGCAAACCTGGGAATGAGACTAAATTAACGACTCTGACAACAGCCTCATTTCAAGCACAAGCGCCAGGTTATTACGTGTTATCAGTTATGGCATTCAACAAGGCTATGGAGCCTTCGGAGGTTGCTTGCTCTGATGGCGTTACAATAGACGACTCTCCACCTGAAATCTACAATGTTTTGTTACCGAATGCACGTATTCGTGACACAATCGTTTGTGATGGGGATGCCGTTTGGTTACTCACGTCTAACCTAACTAAATTAAGGCTTTCTAGCAATGCATCAGATTGTGTCCACCTGTGCTTGTCAAGGATTCCAGTTTCGGTGTTCCCAGACAAACAAACCAATAACACCAGCATGCTAAACGACACAGAATCAAACGAAGTATGCCTTGAAGCCCATTCTAACGACTTTGTTATTTCGTTGCCAAACGACGCTGTCAGCCTACTCTGGGAGGCATGTGATAAAGAAAGCCAACTTCATGATTTTGAAATCGGCATATCTTCCAATGAAAAAAATGTTTTAAATCCTGATATTTCAGGGTTTCACACAACTCACAACCATATGTATTTCAAGCGCACCCATTCTGGTTTAGGGCACTCTTTGCGGTTCTTTCTCTTGATCAGAGCAACAAATAAGGCGGGTTTGTCGAGAGTCACTTCTCTTGGCCCCATCCACTTGCATGAGTCACCACCATTGTTCACTGGTAAGCCGACAGTTTGCATTCTTGACAACAAAGTCCAAGTGGTTTGGAATCAGAAACAGTTACCTGTTTTGGGCGGGGATAAAGCCACAGTTGAAATTGCAGTCGGTAAGTAGCTTTTGTTACCCTTTCTACCTATATATTCTTTATCAAGTTTGGAATTAGACATTTCTATGTTATTAACTTCTGCTTGATTTTATTGTTTGGGGATTTTTTTATTTATTAGTTGCCATTGGATGTATATTAATACTTGTGAAGTTAAAATGTAGCGTTTAACGATGTCCTAGGTACACGTAAGGAGGAAGAGGCTGCACAACAGTTCCGCCTAGCCGCAGGTAGTTGTTCTAATGATACACAATTTTGCGAAAATCTTGAGATTTCTAAACTCCAACAGTATAACCGCGAATTCCAAACTGACCTTTTCGTTAACGTCAGAATCACTAACGTGGCTGGTCTTTCAAGAGTCGTGGGATCAGAACCTTTTCAACTTCCAACAGCCTTGAAGCCATCGATTGGGCGTGTCTATGATGTTAATTCGAATTTCACACAGAAAGACATAGATTTTATTCTTGCTCCAAATACAGTATGTGCGGCCTGGAATGGATTTGAACACGAGGGTGCCAGAGTAAATTTTGCTGTCGGCCTCGGAAAAAGGACTGTAACTAGTGATGTTCTGCCCTATGATGCCGTTTCTCCTGCAAAGGGAAAAACGTTCTGTATCACAACATCTGGACTGCCTTTGAACACCAAATTATTCTTTAACGTGCAAGCCAGTACATCAGCCGGTTCAGTAACTGCCTCCTCAGATGGATTCACCATCGTCGAGGCAAAGGAATTTAAGCCGCTGAAAGTATTTGATGGCGCAAGGTGCGAGATGCCCCAAGAGATCGTTAAAACTTTACCTTCACTTANTCTTGAGATTTCTAAACTCCAACAGTATAACCGCGAATTCCAAACTGACCTTTTCGTTAACGTCAGAATCACTAACGTGGCTGGTCTTTCAAGAGTCGTGGGATCAGAACCTTTTCAACTTCCAACAGCCTTGAAGCCATCGATTGGGCGTGTCTATGATGTTAATTCGAATTTCACACAGAAAGACATAGATTTTATTCTTGCTACAAATACAGTATGTGCGGCCTGGAATGGATTTGAACACGAGGGTGCCAGAGTAAATTTTGCTGTCGGCCTCGGAAAAAGGACTGTAACTAGTGATGTTCTGCCCTATGATGCCGTTTCTCCTGCAAAGGGAAAAACGTTCTGTATCACAACATCTGGACTGCCTTTGAACACCAAATTATTCTTTAACGTGCAAGCCAGTACATCAGCCGGTTCAGTAACTGCCTCCTCAGATGGATTCACCATCGTCGAGGCAAAGGAATTTAAGCCGCTGAAAGTATTTGATGGCGCAAGGTGCGAGATGCCCCAAGAGATCGTTAAAACTTTACCCTCACTAAGAGTTGCTGCAGGATTAACCGTAACACTGCATGAGCTGCCCACTGTCCAAATAGGTTCCCATTATACCGTCTGGGTTAATATTTCAATTAGTCAAGTTAATGAAGCCAATTTGCTTTTCCCAGCCTCTAAAGTCTATAGCGTAGAGAGAACTGTGTTGTGGTCCGAATTTGCCTTTTGGCAGATAATGGCTGTGACCATTCTGCCTTTGACAAAAAACATATCTTTTCACATCCGGAATTCTGGCAACGAGGTTTTCAGTATCAATGGCTATGCAATTTCAAACTGTGCATTTGACCTGGATTTCCAGGTGTCAACCAGCACATTATCGGGCAACTGGAAGGTGGAAAATGACAATCCAAAACCGTCGTTCCATTTCGAATGCGCTGTGGCACAAGAGGGCTGTAGTAAAGACAAAACAGACTGCGATTCAGTTCTGTTACTGACTCCTTTTAAAAACGTTGGATTGTTGTCAGAGTATACTTTTACCAATCTAAGTCTTCAGGATGGGCGCCGCTATTTCTTCTTGGTACGACAATGCTTCCATACGGAATGCTTTTCTAAATCCGTTTCGGACGGCGTACTGGTTTCCAATAGGGCACCTCTGGGAGCATTACTCAGAGGAAATGCTTCTACCTATCAGTCTTTGTCGAGTGGTAATAAAATGGCCATAAATGTCGAATGGGAACGTTTTTTCTCAAACGGTAGATATTATTCCATCAGGCACTACATTTGGACGATTTCAACCTATAATGACCACGCGACTACTGATGGCAACTGGTATGTGAAGATTTCGGAAGACCCTTTCGTAGAGGTAAGATTACTCTCTTTTTAAACAGTAAAATGTCGCTTTGATTTATTTTATTTTATTATTATTTATTTTTTTTTTTTTTGGGGGGGGGTTATGTCGAAAATAAGTTGACGTCTACATATACAAACCCGATAGTTGCGTGCTTTGTAAGCTTTTATTAATTTGTAATATACTTTTAGGATCATCGGACGATACAGCTGCAACTGCACGATCATCGTCAGATGTATGTACTCCTCCGTGGATTTGCCAAAAATGGCCTGTCGACCCTAGTTTCTGCTCCTATCAAGCTGCCGCCAATGGCCACAACACATTTTGTTGTTGAACTAAGACAAAAAGATATTAAGAAATACAAGAATATGTTGCACGCACCTCATGTTGGGCCATTTCGTGGAATGATTGGGAGTCTTGACGTAGACTTTACAGATAACACCAATGACCTTGGGGTTGTCGTAGTGGGCTCGCAACATTCGACTGTGTCCTGGTTTGTCACTGAACGGCCGGAGATCCCAGCAGATTGCGCTATTGAACCAAGTTGCCATCATTTCTCCAAAACTCGTGGGAACATTATGAGTCTTGTTAAGGTAGACTTGGCTGAGGGTTTTAAATACTATGTTTGTGCGCTAGCCACAGAAGAAAAACTGGTTGAAACCGTTCCAGCGATGAAGTTATGTAGTAATGGGTTTTTCATCGACAGGACCCCTCCAAAAGCTGGTCACGTGTCTGTTTTGAACTCGATTAATGGACACCTATTGGACCCCAATACAGTGGCGCTCTCGTGGCACGGATTTATAGATAAAGAAGAGTTAGAAAACACCTTTGATGACGGAATCATGTCGTATAGCTATGCCGCGGGTAGGTAGTCGAAACTTATATCATAGTATCAATATATAATAATAATATCATAAAGTAAAAAATAGTCACCCCTATCTATCAAGGAAGTTTTAAAAAAGCGACTATGTCGGCATTATTACTATTTTCTTATTTTTTAATTGGTCTTATTCCTGCGCATAATTGATAAGTATAATAGGACTAAAACTTTTTTGTCTTTTTATCGCATAGGCTCGTCTCCCAATACTCACGATGTCGTAAACTTCACGGACGTAGGGGCATCAACTCATGTTATCGTTACCAATATCAGCCTAGAGAATGGAATGGTCTATTATTTTACCGTCAGAGGTATTTCAAAATAAAATAAATCTTTTTTTTTTACATTTTTAATTGGCCAACTATACACGTGAAAATAGAACATACCAGTTTATGGTTGTCTTAGTGCCTATCATTTGCTTATTAGTATTATATTCAAACGTTAATATTTCAGGAAATGACTATGTTGGATTGAGTTCATTCGCAACTTCAAGAGGTGTAATGGTTGACGCAACACCTCCTGACTGTGGGGCAGTCTTTGTTGGTTCTCCACATAGACACTCTGCCTTAATCGGAAGTCCAAGCTTGCAAGTACATTGGAATGGTATGAAAGACGATGAGAGCGGTGTTTCCCATGTTGAAGTGGCGATAGGTTCAGGTCCTCATCAGCAAGACATAATGGCTTTCACGCCCTATCAGTCAACTACGGCCTTCCTTGACAACCAGGCACTTCTAGACGGTCACACGTATTATGCTCAAGTTCAGGTATGCAATGATAATCCTGGGGTCACATTTCTCTGTAGATGTGAATGTGAACTTAGATATACCTGACATATGTATACTATACAGGTACATGTAGCTACGTAAATTCCACTACTTGAGGATGGTGACAGTGAAAAGCTTTTATTTTTCATCTATTCTTCTCGTAGGTTACGAATGGAGCAAATCTACGCCAGGTTTGCCACGCTCCGCCATTTCTGTACGATTCAACGCCTCCCACTATTGGAGCTGTAAGAGATGGACCTACGGTGAGCATTAATAATAAATATATAATGTCAAACACACTTTATCCGAGATTTATAATGTTGTATTTTACTTCTTGGAATCCGCACAAATATAGGCGTATTAAAGTCCTGAAACAAAGGAGACCCATTTATTATGTTAGCAAGTAGTGCTCATGCAGTGTCACGTTCAATTTACATAATATCCGTTCAATAATTTTAGTTTATTAGTGATTGGTTATCATTTGCTGACATGAATTAGTATGGCCCTTTGCTACCGATATAAACTTCGTGTTGTAGGATGATATAGACTACCAGAACAGATTTGACCTCGTGTCTGTGAACTGGGGCGGATTCATTGACCCTCATTCTGGAATTCGATATTACAAAGTAGCCGTGCATGAAGTAGACCAAGAGCCAGATTTTGTTCTGGTGGGGAATAATACAGGTAAATGGCAGCTTAAATTTCTCAATTCAAAGTCAGTAAACTTTTACCTTATTGTTAAAATTAAATTGATACAAGCGTGATCAAAATCACAGCAATATAGTGCTTCATTTACATCAGTTTCATCATAATTGCCAGGCGAATTCGTTGGAAATCCTTACTTTGAAAAAAAATTACAATGAACTGGCTTTTCATACAAACATAGGTGTTTGCAAATAGTTTTTTCTTATTTGCACTTTAGAATTCAGTATGCGGTATCATCTGACGCCAGGAGTGAAGTATATTGCTACAGTCGAGGCTTGTAACAATGTTGGTTTGTGTTCGCAAGCGACATCTGACGGCTTGAAAGCAGATGTCTCACCTCCAATTGCTGGCCTAGTTAACGTTGGATTTGAAGGGAGCCACTCACATTACCTCGCAGAAAGGTAGTACATAAAATGCTGCTGCTTAACATTCTTTGCGTTGTTTATATTGATATTTCAATTACTTATTATCCATTTGAATCATTTATTTTTTGTAAATATTCTCATCAACGGGTTTGTATTTATCAGGTCATCGATGTCAATTCGGTGGTTTGGTTTTCACGATGCAGAGAGCGGCATTAGAAGATACAGTTGGTGTCTCGGTACAGAACCGAAACTATGCGACATTGTGAATATGACCAACGCCTACACGGCATCATCCGCCATTGTTAACGGCCTACAGCTACCGGAATCTAAGCATCTGTATGCTACAGTTACAGCAAAGAATGGAATAGGATTGACCGTTAACCAGTCGTCACGATTCGTTATAGTTGATACCACCCCGCCCGAAGTTCGCATTCGTCCGCAAATCGACCTGCTGGAACATCAAGTCTCCTTGCGTAATGGCACACAATTTGATCCATCGCAGCTGAGATGCACTTGGAAGTTTGTAGATGACAGCAGTCCAATTATAAGCCACCTTATTTCAATAAGTACGCACCATGACGGTATTGTTCCCATACCCCCCGTGGAACTTGGAAATGTCGACCATGTTCATTTGACAATGCCACAAAATCAAACTTTATCCGATGGTGATGTTTACACAGTGACCGTAACAGCATGCAACGCAGCAGGTTTATGTACACCAAGTACCTCAGACCCTGTTTTGGTGGATTCGTCGCCACCTCACTTTGGTGGTTTCCAAGAACCTTTGTCGTGGAGTAAAACAGATAACATTTCTACTGTGAATCTGTCTTGGGCTGGATTTGCAGATGCTCATTCGGGAATCGATGCCTACTTCGTTACTCTTGGCACCAACGACAGTGATGTATCTGGTTGGACAGCCCAGTCTGCACTTGTACCAGGAGACATTCACAACGTTAGTATCACTACTTTCTTAAAAATTTTTCCCGGGCAACTTTTGTTCCTTTCTTTATGGGCAGAGAATGGCGTTGGGCTAAGGAGTCACTTTGGAAGGGTTTCAGTTAAGGTGGTCAGCAGCAGTGAAAAACACACTTTCGGTATATTAGATATTGAAAAGCACTCTTGCGATGTCCATTACTGTAATTTAGATTGCACATGTGCGGTTATAGGACAAAAATGCATAGCAGATAAAGAAATACCTCAATGTTTTTCTGACGATAGATATCCAGATGTCAAAACCAATAATCTTGTCTTTGATGGAACCGTGGCTGATGCCGCTTTTACAAGTTCTTCAAAATGTCTGTCTGGACATTGGTTTCAAACACAAAACAGCGACGATATAATCAAAAGGTATGAGTGGAGCATTGGTTTTTACAACTCAACATATGGGGACGGTATATTTGACGTGACAGAGCAACCATGGTTCGATATCGGACATTTAACTAATTTTACATACTGCCTCCCAGGCGGTAGATTCTTAGAACACAAGCAAAAGTACGCTGTCTATCTGCGAGCATGGACTGGATTTAACACGTATTTTGAGCATATGTCAAACGGTGTCATTGTAGACTTGACACCACCATCACAGCGCAAAGGAAAACACGTAAAAGATTGTGGAAGCAGTTGTGACGTTGACATTGATTTTTCTCAAAATGCTCACACCCTGTCTGCTGACTGGGAAGATGTGTTTACTGATACACAAAGCCCAATAGATCGCTACGATATTTACATTGGAACATTTTATGGAGGTAAGGAACTAAACGGAATCAAGACTTGTACATTTTAAGATTAAAATTAAATGTTTACCTACAAACCGTGTAATCAGAGACTAAAATATATGCATTTCATATTTTACTGTAAAACTAGCTGATACCTGTCACATCAATCATTGAACCATGAAAAGAGTTTAGTATGATATATATAGACTCTCTTTATTGCTATATTGTGCGTGAATTCGTGGTAATTGTGATTTTTTATTTGTTTGTGACATGCATTTTCAACCGAAATCCGGTAAAAAAAAACATTAAAATAACAATAAATAAAAGATAAAAAACGAGACTGAGTGAGAATCGAACCCACTCCGCCGTGTTAGGCAACCGAGGAAGTTACCACTGCCCCCCCCCTCCCCCCCAAATCCTACTATCTAGTGTTGACTGTATATTATATCTGTCGCACATGCCGAAGCTTTACAGAAATTACGAAGGCTAGAAAATACCTCCAAAATTAATACTTTTAACAGTTAAAATCAAATTGGTACTACGGCCACCATCTTCCCATTGCCCTAAGGTATCGCTAACACATGTCAGTGTCAACAAATCGTTGTAGTTTGGGAGAAAACGTGAAAACGAGACTTCGGTTGATCTGCTATTACTATAGAGATTTAAATCACTGACACTTTAGTGGAGTAGTTCAGTCAAAATAATGGATAATTCCCTTTCTTTCAAGGTAATGATGTTCTCGATGTAAGTGATGCTGGACTCGCAACCAATTTCACGGCATCCGGATTAAACCTCGAGGCAGGAGTCCGATACTATACTACAATCGTAGCTTACAACAAGGCAGGCCTGTCAGTGTCGGCCACTTCAGATGGTGTTACATTCGACAGTGAAAAACCAATAGCTGGTAAAGTATACAGCACTGCTTTTTTTCACAGCAAGCCAAGTCAGCACTCAACAGAAACAGTTGGAATTTCTTGGACCGGTTTTGATGACTTTGATTCGAATATAGCCTATTATGAAGTCACTATTGGCTCTTCACCAGGCCTTGCAGATATTCTTCCATTTAAAGAAGTTGGTTTGAATAATGTTCTCGAACTGACTGGTCTAAATTTGACTCATGCCAGCAATTTGTGGGCGTCTGTGCGAGGTGTGGATGCAGCAGGGATTGCATCTGAATGGGTACACAGTGACAAATTATTCATTGACACAACACCACCCACAGATCATATGTGTTCCACTTTTGATCCAGTTTCCGTGAGTGAAATTATCAGCTGGAATCATGCACCTAATAATGTAAGCGCACATCCCAAAGATCAGAACTTAGCGAGTGTTATCCCTTTGAGCCTACCAGAATACCTATTTGGCGATAATACAGTGCTACATGTCGTTGTATATCCTAATGGCAGGCAGACTGGCATACTTTTAACATGCGAGGGCATACAAGAACCATTCGATTGTGAGTATAATTCAGTGAACTTGTCATGCACTGTATCTGTTTACACCGCTATGAAACCAACATCGTCTGTTTGCCAGATAGAGAGATATGGACTCCCGATCAAGCTTCATGGAGCAATTGCTTGGGTTTGCAACGGAGGTCGCGATTCCACAAAACCAGTGCTTAAACAGTTAGGTCTAACCTCCATTGAGATAACGCACAGGATAAACGACCCTGACAGCGGAATAAAGAGACATATGATAGGCCTTGGCACGACCAAAGGTGGATTCCAACTGCAACCCTTGTTTGACACTGGGAAAGCCACGCGTGTAGTCGTCGATGTGGTTGCAGTGCATGGAACCCCAGTTTATGCAACGGTGATTTCAGAAAACAATGCCTTGGCCACTGCTGCTTTCTTCTCAGATGTGATCATTGTGGACTGGACTCCACCTGCAGTTCATAGCGTACGTGTATCTGTTCTAGAAACATCAAGTGAGACGTCCACTTTTCAAGTCGTTGCTAAATGGGAAGTTTTCGACAATGAAACAGCAGTATCCGGGTGCACTTGGGCTATAGGTAAGAAATCATAAAGGTTGAATTAATGTCGTTGAACTGTTTTACATTTGTAGAAAACTCAATTAATCACTCGTCATACTCTCTTAAGAGCTTATCATCTGCTACCATAACAAGCAATTTTCACGTAAAAATAATCTGACGATTACATAATAAATTACAGGGCGGTCCGAAAAACTCAGCAGATCTTGGAAGTTGGCAAGCGACTGCCACCACCAGCCACGCAGGTCCCGTTTCGGTGACCCTTTCCCACGGCGAAGAGGTCCACGTTACCATACAATGTACTAATGAAGTCGACCTGGTGACAACTGTCAACGCCAAGTCTGTGGGCGTAGTCACCAAACCGCCGGTGTCTGAAAATGCCAGTATTTCATTCACAGTAACCAAGGACAGTCCTTATCGTGCGTTTGGGTCATACCAGTCTATAAATTCGACCCTACATATCTCCTGGTCAAGATTCCAAGACGAATCTGGCATTAAGCGCTATCTTGCCCGTGTTAAGGGACTGGAGAACCAGACCGTTGTGGATTGGACCGATTGCGGATTTCATACAGATCTCCTATTAAATGGTCTTTACCTGGAGGACGGGCAATACAGCGCAGAAATTATTGCCGAAAATTCAGCTGGAAAAGTCAGTTCTCCGAAGGATGCTTCGGTTTTTATTTTGGCTACGGCACCTTCAGTAACTGGTAAGTAATAAAAATGAAACAAATGCAACAACCTCACTATTAGTCACTCTTTATCTTAAAGAATACGCTCCACAAAACTGGACAACCCTCTCCACAAGAAACCAATGTTTGATATTGTTTTAACATTATATTTATCATAATTGAATGTAATGCTATAATTTCAGTCTTCAGATCATGTGTTTTAGTTAACGGACTATTCAGTTACAGCTACAAATGTACTACTGCTGTTGCTGCTACTACTACTACTACTACTGCTAGTACTACTACTACTACCATTAGGACTTCTCCTTCAGCTACAACTACTACTGCTCCTGGTATTGCTACTAAATGTCTTACTTTGCATTTTTAGGTGTTCAGCCGTCAGTTGCATGCCAAAAACACAAGTGTGAGATTGACTGGCAAAATACCTTTGGCAGTTTTCAGAGCCACTTTCCTCTTCGCTTCGAAGTATCTTTTGGCTCTAAGAAGGGGGCGTGCAACATCCTTCCTCCCACTGAGACTTTGGAGAAAAGTTTGGCCATATCCAACGTACCAGACATATTGAACATATTCGGCTCAATAACGGCAATATCACCATCGGGGACGTATACAACAGTCCAGGTGACCCTCTGACCGGTTGGTTGACGCACACACTTGTTGGGATCGAAGAATTATTGGTGCATGCACACTGTGAACATAATCGTTATATATACATTTAGAAATAACGCCGAAGTTTATGTCAGAAGCCTCTACCCACAATGGACAATAGATGTGTCACCCCTACTGAACCAATACTTCGGGGGAAATAAATGACTGTGGAATGATATGGTCCTGGTATCATTTTATTAACATCAAATTTCACAACAAAAAAAAACTCAGAATGTAGACCAGGTATTTTAACTATTCAAGATCTGCCTACTTGATTATTGATTACATGATTATTATTTGATTACTCTGATTCAGTGGGTGACACTTCTGTTGTCGATTGTGTGTAATCTATTATGTTGCGTGTATTCAACAATGGTGTATGAAGCATGATTGGCTATTATTACAACAGCATTGCTCTGTCCGGCTAAATGTTTTGTATTTGTGCATTTTTTTTTTTTTTTTTTTTTTTTTTTTTGATAAATGCTATGCAAATAAAAGTCAGAAGATATACACCCGCGCTGCAGGAAACATTCCCAACCACTGTATGCAATAGACATCTTTTTAACAAAATGTATTTAGGCAGATAAGCAAGTTAACGAGTCATTAGTTTCTGATGATAATGGGAAATCAAGATATTTCACTTGCCATCAATGAGAGACGGACTAAAGCTTCTTTGGCCACATCTGTTAGTACTTTTGTCTGCCGTGTGACAGTGCTTTTGGTAACGAAGGGTGAACAAAATTAAAATAATCACCATATATGTTTAATTATTAATTAATATGAGACTTGTGATGTAAAATCTTTCGGGAGACGGTAATTTGCAAAGCTTCTGCATCTATATAGTTACTGCGTTTGCGAGCTTCTATAAAAGAACTGAAAAAGTTCTAAGTAATTGTATTAGTTTAAAAACACAATATTGCCGATTATATTTTAAGTCATTTTAGTTAAAATGGAATTCATCCTCTAAACATTTTACCTCACGCACTTTTGGTACATTGTGGTATAAATGCAATACTGGTGATAGTTTCTCCATGATGAATGCCTGCATCTACATATATCCATAGAGATAATTTCACTCGTGTTTTAAAATTGGTGTTTAGAGCATTAAATTAATGTTTTTAAGGAGTTTGCTATTTTTTCCGGAGCGCATTAACTTATTCCGTAGATGTATTCTGAATATTGTTTAAATATTGATGTTAAGGGGACGTTTGACATTAAAAGGCTTAATAATAATAATAATTAGCATTATAAATGACACAGATATCGCATGTTTTGTTCTTTTGTGCATTCATATTTTGATTGCTTTAGAGATCGAAGGAATCAAACAAGCCAGCAGTACTTTATAAGGATCCAGATGGGCAGGGACCCTACCCCCTTTTTCCTGGATCCAAAGAAAAAGTCGAAATTTGCATTTACCCTTTCCCAAAGTAACATATCTTCCCAAAGACTTACAGTGACGGTTGAAAGCATGTCACTTAAAATATTAACGCTGAACACAGCATTGAAAAATGCCCTGAATTACATTTTATTTTCAGAAATGTTGTAGAAAAGGGCTATGGCGGTAAAATAATTCCCGCCTCGATGCCTCAGATCCTCTTGTGATTGCCCAACATTTGAACAAAAAGGTTGTCCCGGAAATATACGGAATTCGAGGTTGGACAACATTTTTGATCAAGAGTGTATACACTTAATGCTTATTGAATGTTTTACTTTTTTGAATGATATGCGCTTCATACGATTAAAAAATGCATAATTAACTGCTTTTCATATAATCCAAGTTTTTCATTATATCTTTGTGCTACACTAAAAATTTGACTTCTATGAATTTTATTCATTATTATGCCTTTTCAAATGTGCAGTAAAAAAGTGCCATCAACCACTGACATTTGTGCTGGGTGTCTGACTTGAGCAAATTGAAAAAGAAGTCGAGATATTCGTCTCTAAAATAAGGGAAGTATTTTGGTATGCATGAATTAATTCTAGGAATAGGTTTTACTACTGTCGTCACTACAATTACCCTTCGTCTGCGATATTTCTGAAAAAATACGTCACATATAAAAATGTATCATTATTTTGAATTTAACAACTAAATACATCCTTTACGCAATCGTTTCTCCGTCGTATGAGTGGGATTTGACTATATATATATAAATGATCCGAATTTCAAACAGAGATCGCATAAGAGTAGACGCGCTTGTACATGTATATGATGATTACAATTCAGTAGTTTTTGCCCCTAATGTTTGGCAGATAACCCTGTGGAAGAAAAAATTCACCCACACCAAAAAATATGCACCACCAAGCGACTTCTATTATTTTCGATTTCCTTTTGAACCTGTCGACCTGTTTAGTAGGCCTTCTGACTGTGAGTATAAGGCTTTAATCTGCGATCGATCCCCTTTTCGACAAAGGCGGTGATTTATAAATATTATGAACGTTTTCATGATAAAGAATGTTAATTATTGAGAGGGCTTTCATATTTATCCTTTTATAATGAAATGTCTGGAAACTGGTTTGAACTTCTGACACTGATGTGTGCTTAAACGCGATAAAGCTACCAGATACGTTGATCGATGGACGTGTACCCGTTGCTATATCGAGGGAAGTTGCATATTAATCTTGCCGAGTTGCTTAATTAATTACACTGTATGTCTGGAAACTGGTTAGGACGTTTGACATTTTAACGAACTTATTCTTCACTATATTTAAGTACGGATGCGCTTTACCGTACTAAGAGTATATGAATTAATGCCATGTTCAATGTACTTTTCAGTGATGGATTTGTGGATAAGATATCATGTATCAAGGTTTCTTCGTTAATATTGTAAAATATGAAATTTGGACAGAAAACGAAATCTGGTAGAATCAAAACTATAGGTTGGCAAATCAGGTTGGCAAAAAAAGCACATTTTCATTTATATATATATATATATATATATATATATATATATATATATATATATTTGTTATTTTGAAAACCACTTATGCCTAAAACAATTTGATAATTTGGTAATATGGGACATTCCCGTTCCTCTTCACGTAATTAAAATAAGAAAATTCATTCAGTTCTTTGTATACATGTACAATCTCCGAAGAACGGAGGGGTGGGTGGCGGCATTCCGTCCAAGTCGACTATAACCGTCTGATCTCCTTTGCATCGAACTGTTCCTTTCCTTGAATGTAATTGTGTGTAATAAGTAATGAACTGTCCAACGACAGCTCCCCCTTCAAATGGGTTAAGATGATATATAGGTTTCTTACGAATATGATATAAAGTTAGCGTGTTTTCTAGTTAAACCAGCTGATGAACCGAAGTGAAGAGGGACGGGAATGTCCCATATTACCAAAAGTATCAAATTGTTTCAAGATTATGCTCATCCCACCCCCCCCCCCCCCCACCCCCAAACCGCCTACTGCTCTGTCCCTTTTTTCCCGCCGCACTTAGACAAAATTTAATAATCAAGCAGGAAGGTGAAAGTGTATCATATGCGTCAGTTTGCAACATCTTCAAAGTATTCGCACTGCCACTTTGGGGAATGTTTACTTCAACAAATAAGCTGGTGAGGACCATTTGTCAAGTTTAAGATAACGATTGCAGCTTTAATCAACGTACTTAATTAATTAAAGCGGAAAACATCTCACCGAACCAAGGATTCAAATTTATTCATCATTTTTTAATTATTATTCTAAAAGGTTGAGCATTTATAACGTTACCTAATCTAAGTTGGGAAGAGGCCTCACACGGTGATTTGATTAATGTCTTTGTCTTTGTGGATCAGGGATCAGGACTGAGACACGTCGCGTAATGCATCACAGTACGATACCAGTTAATTATAATGATTAATCATTAATATATATTCTTTCAATCCTACAATCCGGGACAATACATGCACGCCTTAGTACGCCAGTACTATAATTGATAAGCGGTACATTATTAAGTTGGTTAAAATACCAGTACACTTGAGAATGTGTGATGGTTATGCGTGTTAAAGATCCAGAATTTTGCTTGGCGTACGAGATTGGACATCAGCGGGATCAAGGACTTATTTAATGAAACATATACCAACAACAGCCAATCATCCCTTGCCCTCGGGTCCCTAAGTGTGTCAATGAGAGTGCTGAAAAATAAGATAAAAGAAAAATGAGATATGTAGGTGTAAGTGGAGATACCAAGTTTAAGCAAACATATCACGCGTGTTTGGTCCTCGAATACATTTCCGAGGTACTCTATAGCAACGCAGCAAGTAGTTCAGCCGCGCCATTAGCAAAATCGTATTCCTCCGCGTTTCCACCACAGATGTCTTTGTATGTTTTTAACTTCTGTCTTCAGCTCCTCAAAAACATGGCGTTGTTTCAGTACCTTGCATGTGTCCTTTGCTTGTTGTATTCCTCAGCGAGCGAGTTCATTCAGAATGGAAGAGATTTTACACATAACGTTGACTTGAAGCATGACGTGACTGGGGAGAAACTGCAGGTGAAAAGTTTTGGCAGGCTGGCCAATATCATTACCCTGGATCACACTGACGGGGTTAAGGTAAAAAAAGTGTTTGTAGTACAATATTGTAACTCAATTTGAGGTATTTTAATGGTAAAAATAAAATAACTGATACATGTACGCCCTCAATGCCAAGTATTTGATTTTACTGTTTTAAAGTTTACACCCTTGTGCGCGGCTATTTCATGTGTGTTTATCTGATGTACATGTAACTCGTACTAGCAGTGCATTCCCTCAAAGCGCCACCTTTGCCGTATGGAATTGAATTGCCGTTTGCGAATATGTTTTACAATGGATTGTCAGGACTTTCCCAAATCTTTGTTTTGTGCAACTGACTGCGATTCGCTTATCAGCAGTTAGACAGAGTAAATTTTAAATATATATATAGGCCTAAAGAGGAGAAAACTTGTTTCGCCCAAGATTATGATTTTAAGCATTTTACTCGCGCTTTGTGTTCACATCAAGATGTTATATATGAGAAATGCATCCTAAGCCTTATCTTTGACAACTTCACAACCTACAGTATAAAGCTAGTGTGCTGTTTTCTAACCTAATAAATATTATTTAAATTAACAAACAATATCGTTGCATCTATTTCAGCGGGTACTGTGTAAGGGTCCCAAAATCTTGGTAATCGTGAACCACAGCAGCCTGGCGTCCTCCTGGTCTCCCGGTGACATCGTGATGGGTAGCAGTAAGTGGGGGTGCTACCTCAGCCCACCTCCTAACAGCGTTGCGGGGATACACCGTAAAATAGACGAGATAAAGATTCGATCCGAGAAAAAAGTTGAACTGTCAACTTCTATTGCAAAGTATGTGTTGAAGTTTATTTCATATTAAGTTCCTAAATGTGTGCGATTACAAATATCGGTATTGAAATACAATATTTCGCTAACAAACAAACAAATAAATAAAAAATAAAACAACAATTTCTAATTTGTGCTTTAAACTGTTAGCAAAGTAAATAACTATGAAATCCACGTAAAACAGCAGCATACGCCTACAAATATGATTTTGCATTCTATGATGACCAAGGTCAAATTGTAATAGGTAAATTGCTTTTAAGTTTTTTAAGACGAAATTCACCTCATATATTGTATTTAAATGTGACATTATCTGTTTATACCAGTTTTGCAGATATGTTTGAACATGCAAAGGTTTTCTATCGACACGAACCCGGAAAACTGACAAACGGCACACACCATCGCCAAAAACGAAAAGATTGGTGGAATGCGTTTCCCGAACCGGTCCAATATGCTAAGGAAGTTTTAACAGAGAAATTGACGCCAATCCATTGGAGTGTTCACAAAGGAGGCGTAGGAAGCAACTTTAATTATGACCCGTCATCGGGGATTGCGGGTGGGAAATTTGACGCCAAAGTGAGCCGTCAGAAGGACTTGTCATTTGAAAGCGAAAGCACGCTCCTTGATCATGACCGTTCTCAAGAATCTCCTGGGAAGAACCGGGAGATAAATAATGTTGCAATGGAACTTGACTGTATGTCCTGCTATGCATATTTTGATAGTGCCTTTACGTTGTAAGTACTGCTTATGCTCTTTTAAAAACTCATTTTAAAATTGTCATATAATTTAGAGAATGTTCGATGGGTTGCCAAACACATCGTGACACACTTTTGTCACATTAAAAACAAGTAAGAATTGTGAATTCAAAATAAGGTTGAAAAAGTAATCCTTTATTTTTTCATGCATTTCCACGTTAAAAACATTGTTGCAAAGAACATGACTTTGATTCAGGACCACCTGTTGTAATATCTGATTTATTATAGCTGAAAATTCAAGTTATGATAATTTTCTTCCAGTGAACTGGAAATTGATGTAGATCCTGAGACCAGAAGGGGACGCTTTAAACATTATTTGCTGCAGGTATGAAATAGCATTGGTTATTTCTTAGAACATTCTTTTCTTAGAATATCATATGAAATACATTTAAATTTTAGTGTGATTGTTGATTATGAATTTTTTTCAAAATGCTGTATGAAAATTTACAAATCTCTCGAAAGTAGAATGCAAAAAAAAATTATTCTTATAACTGATAGGGTTTAGTACCTGTGTCAAATAGAATACCAAGGTGACAAGGCACGAAATATTATGTGTAGATAGTCTATCTGTTGTTTTATATAAAGACCGCTTCATCATTTTAGTTTGATGCCGAAGCTAAAGTACAATATGAGCTGGAATTCAAAGTTACTGATGAATTTTCGGCGGAATTGGAAATGTTGCTATGGAAGGGGAAAACTATTCCTCTCATCTCTTTTCCTCTCATCCCACTCCCTTTTGGTGCGACTGTATCATTGGAAGTGTCTGTCAATGCTGCATTATGGTTTGAAGCCAAGTTTCAAGCAAACACGGAGTTTTCGATGGCACTTGGCTTCACCTCTCTTGCAAAATACACCCTGAGTAAGTCACTGGATTTTTAAAAAAATTTTCTTTCATGTCTTAAAACTGCACAGTACGGTACCAGTAGGCCTACATCCCAACTTGAAACGAGCTATTATAGAATTGTCACAGAAATGCTGTTACTTGTCAGCATAATCTTGATGTTAACATCGGGTGTTAGTATATTTATGGGTGTGCATACTGTACAGTGTAGCTAGTGATATTTACTGTTAGATAATGCCCACTAATTTCACGGTCTTTTTTCATCATTCTTATGTACTTTCAGCACATTCAAAGGAAAAGGGTTTGACCTCTACTTCGGTATTAAGACCGTTTTCACGGCTCCCATCTACCGTAAATCATAATGCAAATGTTGAAGGGGAAGTGTCTATCTACCCTAAGGTATTAATCTATATTAAAAAAATTTTAAAAGTTACACAATTTCTTTTATTATTTATGTCATGATTGTACACAAAATATAATAAAAATGGATTTGCTGTGTCTTAGATATATTATATAGTATTCATAAAATTTATCCTCATTTGAAATAGTTCCTTGAAAAGAGTTTAAGTTTTTAGCATTTAAATTAAGTAAAACTGAGTGTGAGAATATGTCAATTAACTCTGTGAATGCAAGCAGATATGTCGTAATGTCAATTCAATGTAGTTTGAAATAGATGTGAGCATTTCCTGGGGCTTTGGTGACCTCTTCAACATTGCCTTTACCGCACCGTTGGAAATAAGGTATGTTTCTTGAAAACTCATATACGAGATATTCTGTGAATGTCATGCATTTTGCGCTTGCAGTTATACTTAACGTTTGTATAATATAACAAAGAATGGCTTATGCTGAATTATTGTTTACCGGTTATAAGTAGCCTTATAATTGTAGTCGTTATCATAGAACTCGTGGTAAACTTTTTCGTTTTTATAGCCTTAAGCCTGAGGTGAAAATAACATTTGGTTTTGAGAAAGAGTTGGGTGCACTTGCAACAGGACGTCTTTTAGTCGAAGGTGGCTTGGCACTTGCTGTAGCTGAGAAGGAACCCGTCAGCGTCAGTGTTGTGGCGATGGGAACAACATGGTGGTGTGTTTTCTTTATATATGAATATATGCAAAAATCAACCAGTAAATATGGACACTAAGTAATGGACAACAACATCGCTAACTTTTCCTGAGACAGAAGGCATCCTTTAATACCTGAAACAAGTAATCAGAATATCACATTTCTTTACATCAGAAGCCAATTTAAAGACAAGGGTGACGCCCTAACATTGTCCTAAGCCTATGAACCTTGAAAATATATTTGTATGTACACACACTGGACAATAGAAGTGTCACCCCTACTGAACCAATACTATGGAGGAGATAAATGACTGTGGAATGATATGCTCCTGGTATCATTTTATTAACATCAAATTTCACAAAAAAAAAAACGGTTCTGACTGAACAATTCAACTGTAACGATATTCTGACATTGCTTATATTCCGCCTCTTAAGGTTAATAACTTTGATTACTCTGATTCAGGGGGGTGACACTTCTATTATCCAGTGTGTGTATATAAAGCTGTGTACTTATAATAATTTAACACTTAAAACATTAAAATATTGCACTCTTTCAGTGTTTCATTGTCCCATAATTTATTAAGCATTTTACTTTTTGCCGTTTAAGGAAACGCGTGTTTTACCACGACACTATAAATGGACCAATCCGCTTAACTGAAGACTTCACGCTTGTGAACAAGCGGTCCATGGTCTGTATGGCTCAGAAGAATGGAAGTCGGCGTAAACGGGACGTGAAGAGAATAAATCTCTGCCCAATAAGGTATGTATTGAGGGTTTACTGTCAATAACTTTGTTAGAAATAAGTTGTCCACAATTGAATTCCCATCACTAAGAATCAATTCTAAGTTAAAACTTGGTATTGCCAACAGAGGATTTTTTTCGTTCAACACTCCAGACGTCCATTCGATAAACCGACTTACTGCTTAATCATTTGCAACAGTTTAATATAACTCCGAGTTTTAGATTAAATTGAATACCTACGTATTAGTGCAACAGAACTAACTTTCAACAGATTTTATTGGAATTTACTGCATTGCCACGTGTTTATAATGTCAATTATGTATTTCAGTACCGAGTACCAAACAGGGGATAAAATAAACAGTCATATGCAAAGCAAGTTTGCTATGTTGAGAGAATTGGTAGAAAGCGTTACAGAAAAAGGTATCTGTTCATATATAAATTAGTATTAAATGATAGCTAATACCTTTTGTAAAATTTATGCAAAGTTCCACTCTTTAATTGCAGTGTTATCAGCGAGTACTACATTTTTATAAAGAAATTGAATGTATTTTATTTTTAGATTTAGAGGTGATTGGAAACGCTGACGGTGGTTATACCGCAGTTATAAGACTCCGGGCAGCCACTGAGACAGACATGCGTTTACTAGAGGAATGGACGTCGTGTGGCCATGTTTTTTGTAATTCCAAAAGACTTCTTGATAATACTTTGGCCATAAGGATCTCAAGGGATACAGTAAAGAATACACACGATGAATACAGCGATAACGCAGGTGAGAACAGAATACCACATTTCTCCATTTCCTGTGACACATTAGGAATGTTTCGTGTACACTGTACATGCACATTAAGTAGGCTGATTTTGGTACCAGTATATTGAAAAACGGTTACCGTCGACCAGCGCAACATAAAATGGTTCCTGTACATTGACCAGTCTGTTATTCGAACAGCTAAAATATGTGACAGAACACATGATAACGTGTAAAGTACATCGATCATCTTAATTTATTTTATCAAGCGGTAGCAGTTTGAAGGTATTGTCATTATATAACATGAACATAAGGTGCAAAATGAGACAAGTATGAGTTATTCATTATTCTTTTTGGCGCAAACATACCCTGTTGAATAATTTGATATGGAAACAAGAAAATATAAAGAACAATTCGCAAGGAACTCAGATATTTTTGGTACTTGTTACTCGAGTGTTAGATGCAAAACAAATATTATTGAAGGATTCCCTGCATTGTTGCTATTTTTAATTTAAGGCGACCCTACACTATCCCAAGTAGCAGAAAACGCGTTGCGCGTTTACATTTTACCAGTGGGTCAGGGTGATGCAACAGTTATTCAGTGTCCGAGAAGTGGGCACATTACATTTATAGACATGGGTTCCATTTCTTCCAAATCGTCCGGATACTGGAAAGCTGCAAAAGTCAGTCGCTTTTTAGGAAGTGGAATAAAAAAACTAAGGCGGGTTTATATCACACACGCCGACGAAGACCATGTGAACATGCTTCAGCCTGTTCTAAACGCACATGGGTTGTGGTCCGAAATTAACCCCAATGTGACGCTTATCATACCGCAACATGCTAACTCGAGAGTATCAACCTTTTTTGAAGAAAGGAATGTGAGGAGAATAGGGCGCTGTCTCTTGAATGAATGTAATAAGGAAACGTATGATCCGAACATATGTTCCGACAGTGCACAAATACACATTTTGTCATCTGGCCAAGGTCCCTCTAAAAACAACGGAGGCTTAGTGCTACGTTTGACGTACAAAGGTCAAAGCATGTTGTTTCCTGGAGATATGGGCAGTGAGGCACACCTTCTGAATTCAGGACAAATAGCATCAACTGTATACAAATTAGCACAGTACGGTGCTTCCACATCTGGCTCCAACATTGACTCCTTTTTGGGAGCTGTTAACCCGTCTGTTGTTGTTAGTAACGGTGACCCTCAGTATAACCCCGCTATACGACACCCACGATGTGACGTTTTGCAAAAAGTTAAAAGTCGTTTGCAGGAAAAACACTCTAATATAGAATTTTCTTCGCAAAGGACGTATTCTTGTGGTGGAAGTAAGTATGGTGAATATGAAAATGAAATCCCTACTGATGATCTTCCTGTTTTTACCTCAACGCCAACAAATACGTCATTAAACCTGATACAAATTGACTTTAAGAACGGAAATGTGCGCGTCACAAGTACCATACGTGATATTGTGACACCTCAAGAGAAAGGAATTGGACATGGCACTGCGTCTGGGACGAAAAAGAGAAGTCCTCCACGTGAGATATCCGTGTTTTTGAAATATTCATTTTTAAAACTTATAATTAATTGGGTATGTGAGAAATGTCATAATGTTAGTACATGTACATTCTGTTTAAAAATCAATTCGAATATATTTGTACCACGGGAATTAGGAACAATAGACCGGATAATCAAAACGGCGCTATGTATTGAAACACGCCTATTAACGAAGAGAGATGATGTTTAGTAGATTGGATTAATAGAATGAAACAAACTTTATTGTTCAATTATAACGAGCTGTTGTATCGTTTTCAGAATATTTACTCAGAATGGAATGTGATGCAACAGAACCCCCAAAAGGTAGTGGAGACGTTTCCCTGGAAGAAGTGTGTTTGCCAATGGAGGCAAAAATTACCCGGGACAGTGATCGATTTGAAAGGTAATACAGTTATCATAATATATGATCATTTTGATACTTGCAATTCACGGTGACGCTTAAAGGAGAATAATTTAAGGAAGTTCAAACAATCGTCAGTAACTTATATTTGTGCAGATATGCAAGAAAGAAAAAATCTCCACATGTAATCCAGCAATATTTTTGTGTTAAAGATGATATGGAAATCCTACGTTGTATCTTGTGAGATACACGTGGGTATCAGTACACTTATAAACTGGGCCAGTTTTTAAGTTTTAACTACGAGTGACATCTACATTTTACATCCATATTCTTAGATCATTTTATAATGTAAACATATGTCGATTTGTGGAACAATTTTTCTTGCAGTCTCGTTCAGTACACTTATGGAGATGTTATGTTCGAAGATAATGAACGCTTCAGCAACTGGTGTGGCAACCCAGGAAGACGCTGCAGTGATTGTCTAGATGAAGCCTTTAATGACAACTGGGCCAGCTGTGCTGACAGAATGATGGCCCCTAAAATGGTGTTTCTTATTCGGCGTTTGGCGGCACTTGTTTACCAGACATGGCCGGATGACGATGATGATAAAACGGGTACAATTAAGATAAGGAACGTCATGGAATATTCATTCAAAAATCGATAGCGATTTGTGTTTAAATTTAATTCATCCACTTTCAATGATAAAAATCATATTATTTTTGCAGGTTCAGTTTTTAAATGGATGAAGGTATTAGAGGCTTGGGACGAGCCGACATCAACTCACCCACAAGGTCAGCATGGGAACAGCTCGCTTCATTATGAAGGGAGGTGAGTTACTTTAGGTACATGTATATTGATATAAAATTCGAGATAAATTTCGTGTTTATTAATCTTCGTTTTTTAATTTCATTTTTCGCTTTATCAAATGTTCTGTGTCTGGTTATTTATACATGACTAGCGAAAAAAAAAAGAAATCGGCATTTGATTGGCTCCTTTTGGATCAGATCAGAATGCAGCATAGCATATAATTATGTACTAATTGATCATTATGGTTCATCTTAGGGCTGCTGAACTTACCATAACACGAGCAAATCCGGCAGATATTCAGGAGTTAGCTCGACTCGCGAAATGCGTTGGTTTTGATCATGTACGAAGAGAAAGAGACCAAATAAAAGTGTGCGTTTTGCCTCAAAAGGGTGACTTTGATGAGATCGTCTCGCTGCCGAAGGTACAGTTGCGTGTGGTTAAGGCACCTCCTGTAGATGAGCATCAGTATGCAATTCCCGAGGAACTTGCCGGGGAATCTAGAATCCCTAAACTATTTGATGGCTGGAATAAAAGTCAGCCAGTTTCAGAACACTTCACAATACAGGACTTTCTTTGTCCGCGTGGCCAACAGTCGTACTATCGATATTTTCGTCTTGAGGTTAAGATAGTAGAATGTCTTGAACAACTGATAATAGACTTTAATGAAGATGTACTTTTGGTAAAAGGCTCAGGTTACAGAGTTCGATCCGTGAATTTGATAGATATTGATAACAGACACCCAAACGAAAAACGCAGGTTTCAAATGGGACAAGCCGTGGAAATAGCACTACAGGATGGGTCAAGAAAATCCATTCCAGAACTATGGCAACAGGTTGTGAGGTCCTGCCTTCCATTACTTACATTTGATCAACTCGGTCTAAACATTGGAATCCACCCTGATCGTGTTTACGTTGATATACACCCCTTAAGCACATCACACACTGGAATGCCACTACACATGTGGACTGGTAATGGGAAACATATAAGAGCCATTGATGATATGGAGGCGTTTTATAATCAGATATTAAAAGGTAGAGGATTTTTAAATACATCATGACACATTTAACACCCACACCTCATTTTAAATAATCGATATAACTTAATCATTTTATGAGCTGTTAAGTAACACGTAAAGCAATATATAAATATCCGTAAATGAAAACAAAAGGAATGCTGTAAATATATCACAAAAACGTGGGCAATGTGCTTGTTGTGCTGAAAATTCCAATGGCATATTTTACTCTTACAGGCGGGCCTATCATCGTTCCACGACTACCAGAACATGCGTGCAGGACACCAACTTTTGGAGAAGATTTGTTTTATATATCTGTGCAGTTGGATTCTACAAGGTGGCTTCATTTATTGTTTCACTACCCCACAGGAACATCAAATTTTACAATAAAAATGAATAATAAAACAATAAAAGCCCAACCATTTTGGTCATCTAAAACCGGGTGGAAAAAATGGCAACAAAAAGAATTTAATCCATTAAAAGCACATCTAAATGTTTTCTTAAATACATGATTCTATTGTTAAAAATCTGCAATGTAATTCATGAATGTTTCATTTTCTTTTATTTTAGGTAACAATCATCAATGAACAAAAGTGTTTCGACCCCTTCACATAATCAAAATAAATTTGGTCCAAAGTCTTTCTTTGAATTCAACTTTCAAGTATCTAGAAATACCAATGCAACGCTTACTCTTATTTTCTTAAGCATTCCCCTTTTCTCTCAGGCCAGGATGTAATTCGGCGCGGTCATCTTCATTCTGCGAAAAGTCTAAACCATATCGGGAAAGGGAATTGAGTGCCCTATTGAGAAAAGTTAACGCAGCTCTGGGATCAAGGAAACTGGAGACAAGAAATGTCCAGGACTGTTTCGTAAACGCCTGTGGAAAATGCAAGGGGTCAGGTAAATAGGCCTATATAGCTTTCCACTATGCAGTCTGATTTTGCTAAACACGATAAACAGTTGTCCTAATATATATTTTAATTTATGTATTATTTTAATGGAATGCTCAAATTGCTGCTCATAATTCGCCAGGTTGGGTTTGGGAGAAGAAAGTTCGCTCCTGCTTGGCGTTTTTGAGTGAGTTCATATCCAAAACTAGCACTCCGTTCAGAGATATGCACAACAAGGCAGCGTTCTTCAACACTGAGAACCCAAACTCCACGGTTCACCATTTATCGTGTAACCAGATGGTATGTCTGGAAAACACCGTACTTCATGGGATACTTGGTAAGGGCATGGCGTGTTATATTCTGAGTTTGTAACTGTACCGAACTTACTATTCTACACTACAGCTTAGGTGGTCAGTGCTTTGGGGGAATTGTTATGGCTATGTCGCTTTCATTGAAAGAAGTATAATGCAAAAATTTAATACATTGTCACTCATATGGTGCCCATTAAACCATACGATTGTATGATTAAGGCTTTACTGTTGATATTTTAAACAGCAATTTGTATTTCGGCATTTTACTACTCCGCGATAATGAAATTTTTGGTAATTTTTATAAACATGCCACATGCTACAAACTGTACCTAATGCGTCCAACATTCGATTTATATTATTGTTTATGTACTTTTTTTTGGTTTATAGTCGATACTGTAACGGCTACTTTTCGCCCATATAAGAATGACATTGAGATGCGCCTGTACAGCGGAGCGGAAAACCCAAGTCCTATAATGGACCTTTTGGAGCAAGTGATGGCAATGCGTGCGTCCGGTCACGTGAGGGTATACATTGAGCGAAATAACGACCTCTCCGCACTACATAACGTTATCAAAGTGAGTATTTATTGCACTAAAATGGCAACAGCAGCATATTTCCATGCGTCCCTGGTGTTATTAATTTCCAGACACGAAGAACAACATGTTTTAATGTCTGATGGAATTTCTCAGGGTGCAGATAATACTTTCTATTGCTGGAGGGTTTCAATATTGGACCATATCCGTTGAAATTTAGAAATCACTCTTAGTAGGAGTTAGGCAGGGGTTAGATCTGAAATTATTAAGAAGAGACCCGTCTTTGTATTATGTAAATTAATGTTCAGAGTTGAACATTTAAAGCAAGAATTTTTAAAGAAATAAATTGAGAAATACAATGATTATTACTCTGTGTGTCTTATTACCCCTTTATACTTCATTACTGTGAAATATATTTGGATTAATAAGATTAAAACGTTTGGATTGAAACGATTAAATTTTTGTACTTATATTTTTATTTTTCAAATGTTGTTTTGTCATTTTTGTAAGATTCTGTTGGTGCACAACTCCAAGGTGGCCAATGTAACGTTCCACGTGACTCCCGATGCCCACAAGGACTACATCAACGAGGGACTTCAGCGCAAGATAGAGACCTGGGCTGGCTTGGCGTGTCCGACGCGGAGCAGAGTGGCCATTTCTCCGTTTACAGTTGAGGAACTTCCCCATCACCGAGTGCGTCGAAGCTTAGAGAACAGCAAAGCCAGAAATGACATGAAACGCGACCTACATCATTGGGAGTTGAACTGGTTAATGCGGAACTGATATAAGTGGACGTATCAAAAGCGATCAAAAGCCCTTATTAGAAATTACCAATATGTGTGTAAAGTGGGTTTTTTTGTCAATGTTCGTATACGTTTTTAGCTCAAATATCTTTCACAAGTATTTTTTTTCTCAAAAGATTTTAAGAGGAATTTAGTTTTTAGAAAGCTGTCATTTAAACACTGTTTCTGAGATATTTAGCTGGAGAGAATCAGATGACTGTCACCCATACTTGTATGGTATATTTAAAGGGTCTCCAGATGCCTTTGCCTTGCGTATATTTAATTTTGCGCTGTGTTTTCTCTAGATTCTTAAAGGTTCAGAGAATATACAATTTGAACAACGAATAAAAATAATGAACTGCTCAATTTTCTTGCAGTTTCCTATATTCTCCTTATCTCGAAACATATCAATTTGTAATAAAAACGTGAGTGATTTTAAAAGTTTAGACCGATTTTCGAGCTATAGGTGTTTTGTGAAATTGGCCCAAGAAGACTAAAATGTTTTTGACGCTTACTGTTCTTATATTTATTTAGACTATTTCCTGCTCATTAATCCAAAGTAAATGTCACAAGATTTAATTTGTCATATCGTCATCATCATCATTCAGAGCCTAAAGTGTTCCACTGTTGGACTAAGGTCTCAGCATGGCCTTGCCAGATATTTCTCTAAAAACATGCATATAATTTATATAACTTGAAGGGTCATAATGTTGACTTAAAGGAATAGAAACGGGATTTTTAAAAAATATTATATAGAAGCACTTTCTTTAAAAAAAATAACAGATAAAAGTTTTGATTGACCTACAGGATAAGAGGTTAACTGGGACATGTACTATGAATGTCTTATAACAAAGGGAATAATATTTTTGAAAAAGAATAAATTTCTAGGATAGAAGAATCGCTGTAAACACTGACCTTTTGTTTAATTAATACTGATTGATTAAATTCTGGGCCATAGAAAATGTATATCTACATATAGTTTATTATCTATAAAATCTCTGTTCAATCGGTATGTTTGGCTTTGGTATCAAGATGTCCATCGTTTGCTGACCGCTGACATACCGATACTGGTAGACAGAAAAACAACAAAACAAACTAGTAGTAATATTTCAAACCAAGGCCATTTCCGCTATAGATTATTTATCATACATTTGGTTCAAGTTGTTTAGTTTTCTCTTTTTGAATATTTATTAACCCATTCCTTTCTGTTAACAGCTATACACATGTCTGTTACACGGAACCTTCGTTGAGTGGATTATTAATCATTCTGTGACGACGTCACTGACTTTGTCTTGGTGGCGCGAGGTAATAACTAAACAATCCCATGTTTTCCCATATTCTTTATTATCGCTTTCTAACTACGCTATCTACAGTTTGTTCCTCATCGTTCAACCTCTTACATCGTTCTCCCCGTCTACATTACATTCTTCGCTTAAGTACAATAAGGTCGTGTCAATCAACTAAAGTGACACTACAAAACACTCCCCGCTCTTATTCGCTGCATGCTGTCACTAACTAACGTTACGGGGACGATATGCCTGTCCTCAGGCATATTTTAAAATTAAAATATACATTAATGAAAAATAAAATTTCTTAAACACTGCATTTGTCTATTATCATAAATCCATGCAAAACAAAACTAAGTACATAGATACCTGTATTTTATAAGAAACTTATGATAAAATAGAAATACGTTGGACATGAAACCCAAAATATAACTCAAAGGAAGATAGATTGACAACTCTTCAGAAAATATGGTTGTTCGTGGATGTGCATTTACATGTTGTCATGTGTGGCCCAAGAGTACAGATACTTTTAATTGTTTTCTCTGCGCAGATGTTTAAATCTGTTACTCTCTTATTATGGCTCTGACACATTTTCATATACGGTTTCTCTCTTTCGTTTGTCATTTTAGATATTGATGGAGTGCACTACGTGAGACAATAGGGTCGGCCGTCCCCTGTCCAATGAACAGCAGTCACCACAACGTTGCGACCAGCGCATCGTTCATGATGAATTACTTGTTCATCATCATATATATCCACACTGTAGCGCTCTCTTTTGATGGCTATAAGAGAAACAATCGTTTTATATCAAACCCAATCCACAATTGAACAAAAACATACCAAACAAATAATTAAGTAAGAATCTTCCTTAATGCATATCATCAGTTTCACGTCTTCACCTTTATAAAAGTTAAGTGCACTGTTCCTATACCAATAACTGTATAGTTAAATATCAATAACTAATAATTATAAGACCGACAAAATGAATATAATATATTATTAATACTAAACGTATTTAATATTCAACACACAATACTTCATGTGTCGTTATAACCACATGCAATAACATATAACTCAAAGTTAACTCGTAAAATTTAAAGTTCATTTCCACTCAAATGAAAAGTTCCATTTGGTATAGTCCGTTGCATCCTCCATTTTGAATTTTAGCACGAAAGTTCAGTTAGCATATAATGTCAAATCCTTCCTTCTAGACAGTGCATAGCGATTGTCATCTGCCACTCATTGTATATGGATAAACGTCTTATTCGCGCACGTTGGCATACGTGTAGATAAATGTCCACAGTTTCCTGTATATCCACGAATGTCCATGTCCAGCGTTTACGAATATATCCAAAATGAATGAAGCAGAAATGCATGTCAAGAAAAACTTAACTACGTATATTATAACAATCATCATCAAACCTGAATACATTCACGTTTAACAGGCAAGATTTTAACTTGACATAGTATTAATCATCCAAAAGACTATGATAACAATAAAACATATATGGAACCATGCTAATAATATGATAATTTGTCCAACAATAATACTTATGCTAATAATAAAAATAATAATAACGCAATCTGGCGTCCCAGATGCTAGTATTTATATCGCTTATACTCTTCAGTCTCCCCTCCTTGCCAGGGGCGCAACCTAGGCTGAGTACCTTTCCCACTAGCTCACTTACTAACTCATTCGTTTTCAGTTTGCTAGGGCCTGACTGTACATTGAGCTGAGCGCGGCTGCTATTCATAAGCCTTACTGCCTTTTGCGACCCAACCGGCCGGTGACCCAGTCGATAGCGATCACTCAATCCCGTAGAGCTTACCAGGCTCCCAGGGAGTAACCGACGGTCCGATCCCGGTCCCACTGCCATGGGTTATCGGAACTTTGACCGTTTTCACCAGCCTTGCCTGTTCACCACCGTGTTGGAACCGCATCAACTACGCATGGCTAGGTGAGGACTGTCGTCCCCGTACCACTCAGTGAACCGTTATACACACTGAGCCGACTAGACGGTACCACAGTATCCTGTTAATTCAGGATTCGAGACACAGTGGGCCTTCAGTCTTCTCCCACAGCACTATAGCAGGTCTTTAATGTGCCCCCAGAGCCTTGCGACTCCACTGCCGCCTGTTCACGACAGGGCTTCGGGGAGCCTATCCCCCTCGCCTATCGTGCATGATTTTCTGCTTCTTCTAAATTAGATGGGTTTTGCGCAATAACAAAACGTTTTATTTCGTTTCGTAACCCTCTCACGAAATACGCGAGTCTGTCATCCGCGATTTTATTAAGCAGAGAAAAACGGTGTCGCATATCCGCGATGTAAACCTCGATGGATTCGTTTTCTGCTTGTTTTCTTTCTCCGAGTTCGTGTTCTCTAGTCCATTTTGCCGTTTGTCTGTCGAAATTGTTTTGAAATTCAGTTTTAAGAAAATCGTAACTCGATTTTCTTGCGTCAGACAATTCGGATAGCCATATTTCAGCAGGACCTTTCATGTATAGCATAAAGGCATTTAATTTCCGATCTGGGGAATATTTATTCAAATTGCGGAAATTTTCGAACCTCGTAAGCCATAACAGCGCGTTTTCTGTTGAAAAGCCAAAGAATGTATCGATATTTGGACCAGAAGAAACTGAAGTTGGTTTTTCGTTCAACTCTGTAAGTTGCCTCTGAACTGCATGTAAAAGTGGGTCGCCCTTACCCATAACATCTAATTTCATATGAATATCTTCTAACTGGTCTCGAATATCTAAAAAATCAAAAGGTTCTTCCTTACCTTTCATTTCCTTTGTTTGTCCCGTTGCCATCTTCTTTTCTGATAGAATACGTTCGCCTCTGGATGTCTGTCTGGTGACTGGTCCCTCTCTATTCGACATTACTCATATTGAAAGTCTCTTCCTCTTTTTGCATCCTCCACCATATGTGACGACGTCACTGACTTTGTCTTGGTGGCGCGAGGTAATAACTAAACAATTCCATGTTTTCACATATTCTTTATTATCGCTTTCTAACTACGCTATCTACAATTTGTTCCTCATCGTTCAACCTCTTACATCGTTCTCCCCGTCTACATTACATTCTTCACTTAAGTACAATAAGGTCGTGTCAATCAACTAAAGTGACACTACAAAACACTCCCCGCTCTTATTCGCTGCATGCTGTCAGTAACTAACGTTACAATTCCACGTATAAGAAGCGTGTTCCAAAAATAATATCCACGGTCATGTTATTTTACAAATAAATGGCTGGCTAATTTTTTCTACGGTATTTGTCCTGTTACCCAAGGCTTCGTGTCAGAGTACTGGATTTGCTTAGTACATCTCATGGATAGAGCGTATTCACCTGGATGGTGTGATATCTTGAGGAAGATGCTCTAGATAGATATCGAATATTTGAGGTTAAAACATTTTCAACAACAGCTGTTAGTTGAGGATAATGACTGTTTTATTTCTGAATTTGCGTAACTTCGTTCATGACACTGGTATGATAGGTAACTGCGCGATAGAGTGAAACATCAAGATAACCAGAGTTGGAATATCTATACATTGTATAGTCCCAATGTATGTAATATGGGAGTATTATCATTTTACAGTTTCAGATTGATTTGGGGTCGGTTACAAATAAAGAAACATAGATTTGAAACTGATAAACTTTGTAAAACAAAAGCAAGCAAACCGTTTAAAACTGTTTTAGTAATGATTCGCTGCGAAATATATACCGACTGACGCAGAAATGTTTTGAAGTGTTTTAGGTATCGTATCTTTCAAGACTCGAGGTACAGAAAATACACAGTACCGGTGAAGATATCTGTATTATCCCATTTACAATGTATTCAAATTGAGACCATGCCCCCTCCCTAAGTTCGACATCTGATGTTCGACAGTGATTTCCACAGAGGTAAAATAAAACGTCCATAAAAAGAAACCACAAATGAGCGTCAGCATGTGCTCGTTTAAGGCCACACGTGGCTAATAGTATTATATCCTGTAGGCGTCGCGACATGCTTTCAACAAGAGCAAGAATTCTGTTTTGTGTAAAATTGTCCCATTCTTCCTAAAGGTCCGGTCACACCTACAGAACGCACGAGGTACGTATGCATTGCGCTTGAAAATAAGCCAAATGTGCTGTAGTTCGTCCAACTTTTGACATAATTTGCCAGAAAAGTGCGAGTTAATAGCAAAACATAGCGTTTTGTTGGCGTATTTTGCGTATAAAGGGCGCATGAAGAACGAATATAGAACGCACGTGTAAAAAAGTATGCACAACGGGTTTTTGGCGCAGGGAACGAATGACCCGCGCATTCAGCACGCATTGAGCGAACAGATATTGTTCCTCAGTCAGCAGTGATCACGTGACTCGTTCTCTATATACAAACTGCAGATTATGTAAAAAGCAACCAAATTTGTTTTCTTGGATACACATTTTATCGTTTTTTTCATTGGGAAGGTGATATTAAACAGCAAAATAATAAAGAGAAGCATTAACATGATATGCACTGTCAATGTAATTGTTTTCCAATTCTAACCGACCATTGTTTTTAGATAATTTTGGTAAAAATCGAGCTATAAAAATCCTGAAAACAAATTTTTACAAGAGCGAATGAAAACGAATGCATAACTGTCGCCCGGCGCGTTTGACGAATGCAGACGCATAACAGCGCACTGGCCAAAATTGCCAAAATTGTCAAATTTGTTTAATGCGTCGGCCGTGCGCCGACCCTGCGTCGTGTAGGTGTGGCCGGGTATAAAGAGCTTGGCGGAGTTGGTCCAGATTATTTGGGGATTGCTTCTCCTCTGCATTGCACACTCCAATTCATGGTAAAGGTGCTCAGTAGGGTTAATAACAGGGCTGAGAAGATGGTTACGCAATCCTCAAGAACATTTGTTTTCTGCAACAAATCACTCACCAGACGATATGGATATTTTCACCGCTATATGTATTTTCTGTATCGTTAATCATGTTATATTTAGTTTCTGGGATAGAAAGCACTGTTTATAACAATTAACACTTGTGATCATTCGTAAGTAAAAGGCACAGACTTTACTTATCTGCAGTGTAAATATCGTCGTGGATAGGAGACTTTTTGGGTCCAAGGTCGTGGTTATCATTGATATTAACGGACGCGTTGCAGACGCAGTCAATCGTTCGCCATGCCGCTCCCCGCAGACATCGACCAACTTCACCCTCAGACTCAGGCCCTGCTTCGAGCGGCCGCAGAAAAAGGGGGGAAGGGATATGAAGAAGGTGAAACCATGGAAGAGTCACGAGCAATCGCGGATGCCATGTTCGAGGATGCCAACCAGGGGGCAAACTACCAGTTTAAAGGAGAGAAGCAGATATGCACGGTTCCTTCTCCTCATTGCCAAGGTACACGACTGGTTCGCTTCAGTTAGACTGAGTAGTGCATTCAATAATTCCTTTGACAAACCATCCCTTTAAATTGGTCGTAAATACTAGTACATTAATTAATGGTACAAATGTAAGTACAAAAAGAACGGACTGAATAAAAATATTCGTCGCTAGGAATGCACAGATTTAAATTGAAATGAGGCAACAAAAGCTTATTTTCTTCATCAGATGGAATCACTGTGTGGGTATTCAGACCAAAACCGTGTCCCCCAAGTCCTACCATACTGGTATATTTCCACGGAGGGGGATTTGTGATTGGCGACCTAAGAGGTCACGATACCGTGGTGAAGACATTAGCCGAGTGAGTATGATTCTTGTAATAAAGGTCTATGAAGCGATCCAACTGACACATTGGTATATCTCTTATGTATAACCATTTATCAATAAAATTGTAGTGTAAACACTTTTGATTTGTCAAATAACGTTGACGATCATAATTTTGATCATCTAGTAGTTATAATTCTCAGGCCAAAGCCATTTCCGCTTCTCTTCTAAGCTTTTCTCTAAGATGTTCTCTAAGCTGTTCTCTTCTTAGCTTTTTTAATTAATTCCAGCAAAACGGGGTGCATAGTTGTCAACGTGAACTACCGTCTGGCTCCTGAGCACAAGTTTCCTGCAGGAATTGATGACTCTGTAACAGCGGTCAAGTGGGTTATGGCCAACAAGGAGAAGCTCGGTGAGAGAGAAATGCGTTATGTTTTCAAAAAGCACAGTGCATTCAATTCCACGTGCTGAGTTTGTATTGTTTTAAAATGATTTGAATCTTCGGAAACAATAAATAAAGCAATTTTATAATTTTAAATAATTCAATTGGTATAAAAAACAGGTCACTCTGGACTATTTTGGGATTATTTGCAATATCAGCGTAATCACTGACAATACTATTTTCAGATTTTCTTTTCAACAAAACAGCATCCATCTCTAAATGTAGAGAAATTTTCACAAAAATCCATTTTATCCTTTAATGTAGGCCTATTTTTCTGTAGGCGGCAGTGTAAGCAGTAAAGTTGGCGTCATAGGTGACAGTGCTGGAGGACATCTAGCGGCGACCATGGCTCATGAGGTGCCGGGGGTGGCACTACAGGTGAGATCAGTTTGACATCCTCCTTAACAATTATTTATTTAGATAGCCAAACACCCCATTTCCATAGATTTTTAGATCGATCTATCCCTGTGGGGAGTCTCACTAGATTACTGTCAGCTTGGCCGGCTTAAGCGTCTGTCCCGCCTACTAAAAGCTGTAAGGGGGTAATTAACTATGGTGCCCGCTTGGCTGACTGCAATTTAGCGTGAACCCCCAGGGAGTTAGGTCGATCTAAAACTTAATCTTTAGATCGATCTAAATCTCTGGGAAAGCACCCTTAAACAGCGTTGCCAATCTGATCCAAGTTCTTCCATTTTCTCAAACAACAGAGTCCGCCACTACCAGTATTCTGTTTGCCAGTGTCTATGTTCTCGTAGTCTTCACATTGCACCAACCTTGGACATAATTTTGTCCATGCACCAGCTTAATGTTTCAATATTTCTACTGATTTATTTTCAGATTTTGATCGTCCCGGTCACTGATTGGCGGATGCAAACAGACTCATACAAGCGTTACAGTGAGGGATACTTCATGTCGGCTAAACAAATGGTGTGGTACGTATTCAATTGTCCACTAAATTGTTCGATACATTATGTTTCATCATGTAGGTCTTCCAGCGGCGGACCATGAAATTTGCTAAAGAGGCCAGGTGGTACAATTTACCGGGTAAAATGCCCCCTCCCCTCCCCGCACCCTGAATCCGCCATTGTGTATACATGTTGCAAGAACCATAACGAATATGTACGTTAATGTAAATTACCCGTAACTGTAAATTACCCGTTATGTATGTAAAACTAAAATCAGTCATTTCCCATTCTTTTGTGCACTTTTTTCATTTAATTTAATTTGTTTCACTTTTCGAAAAAGTTATCTTGTACTAAGCTATTTAGCCAGTCTGAAGAAACTAAGTTACACAAAACTACTTCTACTTCAGGTTTGCTTCAAAGTTTTTTACTTCTGATGCTGAACGGACTGACCCCAGGGCCTCCCCGTTATTGAGGTCTGACTTCCAGAATCTACCTCCTGCTCTGTACATTGCCGCCAGTCACGACGTCTTGGTGGACGAAGGGAAAGGTATATGAAAAAGAGAAAAGTTAAACCTATCACAATTTTCACCTGTCTGTGTTAATTCATCTAATACAGTGATCTTTTAGCATAACCATATTTTTCGAATCAAAAATAGTTGTTTAATCACAAGGAATTATATATAATTTTGAAAATTCAAAATTCTATTCTTTCAGCATACGCAGAAAAAATGAAGGCAGCTGGTGTACATACGGAGACACTAATGCTGGAAGGAGTGGTGCATGGATATATTATATTCCCACGTGAGTGAAACCCTCGCTACCTTCTCTTTTCATCTCTCTCCCTCTCACCCTCGTACATTCAATATTTTGTATAACTGCTATATCAAACTTCATTTCATTTTTTCCAGATGTCTGCAAAGAAGCATTTGATGCTACTTTGAAGAAAATTGACGACTTCGTTAAAACATATGGACGTTAAACTACATGTATGTTGCTACTCCTAGACAAAACCCTCTCCTTCAAAAAATGCAAAAATTGAATAAAATATGGGGAATTTTTGAAGCGAAGATGATCCCCAAAGTACACGTGCCACTGGACTTTCAATCAGCTTCATACACTGCAAGCTAGTCCATTATTGTTTTGGATGATTTTGCACTTTGGAGACGTATTACAATTTATAAATGAAATATTCAGAGAAAATCTGCATCTGGCTGTTAGCCATAGTGTCTTTTTTCTCAGACGTTTGTTTAAGTTAAGTTTAGTTTTCCCTCTTTCTATATTAATTTACCCATCTCTTTCCGATAACAGCTACAGTATTTCGTTTAGTGGATTGTTAAATCATTCCACTTATAAGAAGCGTGTTCCATAAATAATATCCATGGTCACGTTATTTTACAAATAAAAGCCTGGCAATTTTTTTACGGTTTTTGACTTGTTACCTTAGTTTCCGTGTGTAAGTACTGGATCTGCTTAGTACATCTTGTGGATAGAGCTTATTCACCTGGATAGCCTCATTTCCCGAGGAAGATGCTCTAGACAGATATCGAATATGGGGGGTTAACATTTTCAACAACAACTGCTTTATTTTTGAATATGCGTAACCTCATTCATGACACTGATATGATAGATAAATGCGCCATACAAAATACACAGAGTTATCAAAATATACGTAGTCCCAGTGCACGTTATATGTGAGTTTTTTCATTTTACAGATTCAGATCGATTTTCTGGTCAGTTAGAAATAGAATCGATTGATTTGACTTTAATAAGCATCGTAAGATAAAAGCAAGTCGTTTTTAAAACTTTTCAATAATGATTAGATGCAAAATAATCGAAATACCCTTTGAACAGGTCAGACCGACTTGGTTATTTAAAAAAAATTAGTTTAATATTAATTTTCGAGGAATAAAACAGTGACTGGGTCTTAAATAGAGCCATATATCTCTAACCATTTTTTTCTTTAAATTTTTTGGTACTTCGCTTACACATTCGTTCATTTCAAATACCAAATGAATAAATAAATGTTAAATATGAATAATGAAAACCTACTATACGCCCTGTACCTTACAGGAATATAACAAGAATTTCTTTTTGGTGCGTAGACGTCTAAAACAATGACCTATCAAGACACTTGACATATAAACTAAATAGACACAGCCAGCTCAGCTGCTAAAGCACTGAGCCATTGTCTGAAAGCCAACAGCGATATAAAATACAGCAAATACGAAGGTCAAGGGGGATGAAGTTCTCTGAATGGAGGGTAAGTCTTGTCATTGTGTCTTTATTCGTAAAGACACAAAGTACACTAAAAAAATATTTGCACGGAGTACATATTTCTGCATATATCTGGGCTATTTTTTCGCAATGTGCCCAGAAATTATCGCACAGCTGCTTAAGCTATTGAATGACCTGATATTTAATAGTGTGCTCCTGAAAGCTCACCTGTGCCATATCTTATGGTAACATTTGAAGAATGCCAAGATGTGTAGTTTCTCCGTTCACATATTATTTTGAGTGTACTAACTCTTGTCTTTTCAAACAAAAAGAACATAAAAGGCAAAGACTTGCCTGACATTCAGTTTAGTTTACCGGTACCTCTTGTCCGGAACCGCGCAAAATTTAGCTATTGATCAATTTAGAAATAGGCTCTAAATACAGACACCGTTGAATACTTTTAGTTCGGATAACGCGTTAATATTACCTTCCAGGATCGTGGTCAAAATAGTTACGTGTAAATCGCTATGATGAAATCCAACGCTGACAACAATAACCAGTTTCAATCATTTAATGTTCACTCGTCGCTTGCTCAGGTACATTCTGACGATATGTTGAATATTACACCCTTAAGTATCTAACCAAGACAATGGCTTCATGAACTTCCTAATCAATGGCTTCTTAACCAGAATAGTCAACAAGCCTACTATGCCTATTTAGACTTAAAATAAAGTATTACAAGGAATTACAGACTACAGTAAAAAGTTATTACGTCAAGTTACCGAAATTGCCCGTGAATTATTTGATGGCTCCTACACTCTGTTCAATCAGAACGCACCTAACCCAGCCTCGTTTTGCGTCAGTAGACGTAACTGATTAACTAGCCTCTCACCTAATCCGCCATGTCGTTACCGGCAGAAATCGATCACCTACACCCCGAGGCGCAGCTCATGATTCGAGCAGGGGCTGAGAAAGGGGTAAAGAATTACGAAGATGCAGACACAATAGAGGAATCGCGAGCAATCGTGGAGACACTGTGCGCAGAAACCACCCAGGCAGCCAACTATCATTATAAAGGAGAAAAGCAGATATACACGGTCCCATCACCACATAGCCAAGGTAGGTTATACATGTAAATGAGAATGTTTTGGGATCTCGGGCACGGTATTTGAGACAACCAAACATACAGTGCTCAAGGAAGTTGAAATGGCAATCCCGAAGAGCAAAGTGCGTAGCTACAGGTACATGTAGATAACATTTGTCAAAATAACATGTACACGTATACATGTAGTTACATCTAATGCATAATGTACTTTTCACCCATAGTTTCCAATAAAAAATAAACCCCGGGCACTGACCTACTAAATGCCCTGACTTTAGTGCGCATTCAGTGAACTTTTCCATTACTGAAGGTTATGCACATTTACAGTATCTATGCCATACTTCAGACACACGTTTGACATTTGGGACAAAGTAAGTTATACTATGTAGTTACTCCGCACACAAATTATTTCGAATGTTCTTTGTCTTTATGTTCGAAAAACAAACCAAATACCAATACTCCACAACGTTCATTTGCCTAGGGAATAAGCCCTCTTGGTATTAGGGATATGTGCTCGTTTCAGCTGGAATTCCGTTATGGGTGTACCGGCCCAAGCCTTGTCCTCCCAGTCCAACTTTACTGGTGTTTTTTCATGGTGGAGGGTTCGTCGTCTGTTCCACAAGGACCCATGAAATCTTGATGCAGATGATGGCTGAGTGAGTACATTTCTCTCTCTCTCTCTCTCTCTGTGCGTGCGTGCGCGCTCGCGCGCGCGTGTGTTGATATAAATTGGTGTGTTTGTTCATTATAGCCCCAAACCAACACAATGAATATTGGTTTCTTTGTATAACCTTCGGTCGTCCTGGTAACAGCACTTAAAAATTTTCCACCCAAGATGGCAGAATCCAGATCTTGAGCTTATAAACCATAAAAGTAGATAATAGTGCACGTTTCATTTTCATATAAATATCATATCTTGATAATTCAACATTTTTGCTGGCTTTAAAAAATTAGAAAAATAACTTTAAAATGTTGAATTTTCGAAATTTCAAATTTTCGTAAAAAATGAGCTAAATTTCCCTTTTTTTTTACACACATGTTTCAGAGATTGGAAGACATCGCCTATTCTAGTTATTCATTACGTTAAAATTACGTTTGCCGAATTTTATTAAAAGAAATTTTTATGGTAACAATCGGTTTTGCTTTAGTTTTACGGGGTGCATAGTGGCGAATGTAGACTACCGCCTGGCGCCAGAGAACAAGTTTCCTGCACAGCTAGAAGACTCAATAGTAGCTGTAAATTGGGTGATGGAAAATAAGGAGTTAATTGGTATGTATTTTTCTAAATATTGAAAATTCATTATAAAAGGCATTTATTCTGTTTTTTTTCATAGCATTTTCGTAATCATTTGTACTTAAAAGAGAATAATTATGGCTTCAGGATAAAAACAGGATTTAAAAGCCATTATTCATTCTGAAGCAACAGAAAAATGAGTTTGATGAAAATACCCAAACAGGTGGCAGTAAATCAAGCAAAGTGGGCACCATTGGTGACAGCGTAGGAGGCCAACTCGCGACGACAACTGCCTATGAGATCCCGGGGCTGGCGTTTCAGGTAAAAACAAGAAAAGTACGGGACCTGTTTAACAAATATTCTGCAAAGTTCTTGGGCTACGCTTATAGACTGCTAAATCCGGATAGCCGACAACATAAAGTCGACTTTGTGATAATGGCCTAAAATCTTTTAAGAGTGATTGGTGCACAATAAATGCACTAAATATACATGTAGCTAAATGGGCACCTGTCATAACTCCTGTAAAAAAAAAACTTTTCGAATTTTAAAATGTCTTAAATTGAAAATGTGTAGCTCCTAAGTAAAGAGAAGCGTGAATATAAGGAAGCATGACTCTGATTCCCGTTGTAGAAATTATTTATCATGTATTCTATAAACATGAATACGTTTATTACATATCGCTTACTGAAGTAAGGGTCAACTCCAACAGATGACGTTTTGCATTACATTCCCGATCTGACAGGCCTATTATTATCATTTTCATCTTTGTCGTACTTTGTAACCTAGATTTTGTTCAATTCAAGTAATCAAGTTGTCAAGTAATTTTACCTCACATATGCAGGTACTGCTCTACCCAGTTACGGACTGGAGACTGAACAAAGATTCCTACAAACGCTACAAAGAGGGGTACTTTTTGTCTACAAAACAGATGGAATGGTACAGTATTATTTGTAAAATAAAAGTGTATTGTAATCAAATTTAAAATTCAGCACAGATCTGTCAAAAATGCTGTTGCTTTTTGTGCGTAGGTGATCAGTGCGCTCATATTGTGTTTAATTTAACACCATTACCGCACATGATCAAACCCAAATTAAATGTTGTAATGTTGTAATACATTTTGCTTTCCAATTCAGCAACATAAGACTTATATAACACAACTCCGTTATCTATAGGTTTGCCAGTCTTGCTTTCGGCTCTGTCGCTGAGCGAAGCGACCCCAGGTCCTCCCCGTTGCTAAGACCTCAGTTGGAGAATCTGCCTCCTGCCTTGTGTGTGGTCGCAAGTCACGATGTTTTAGTGGACGAAGGAATAGGTAAAGTTATCCTTGGACGAATAAAATACATTTTAATCGTCCAATAATTATCCGAACATGCCTTAATTGTTATTCAATGCTTTGGCAATTCTCTACACACTGCGTCACATCTTGTCACAATGAATCAATCACTGCTTTACCCCTGGTTTTAACCACGATTAGGGTCCGTTACCTCCCTTTTGCTGACAAACATGCAAAGGAACAGAAACATTTTTGTCTCTTTTTTCCCACCTGCCCCGTCCGTTCCCTTTTCTCACCACCACTATTAGGAAAACCCGCAAGTACGTACAATGATGTGTTTGGCGAGCCACACATTCACGGGTAAAACATTCCGGTCATTCATGTAAAAAGTTAACACGCACCATATCACTACTTCTATTACAACCCTTGTCGTTTGGAAACGAGTGTTACGGTATTCGAGGCCCAAGTCAACTCGAAGAAACAAGTGCGCAGGATAGGCCTATGTATAAAGACTCATAAATATTCATGTAAATGTGAAAACGAAACTTGACCAAAATTGGCATCTGAGACCAACCAAAATTGATATCTAACATGGAGTACTTTATATTCGTGTTGTATGGATGTCTATTTTCAGAGTACGCCGAGAAATTGAAAGCAGCCGGTGTACATACAGAAATAATGAAGGTGGAAGGAGTAATGCACGCTTACTTGAGTTTCCCGTGTAGGTATCAGTTGGACATCTCTCTCTCTCTCACTCTCTCTCTTTTACACACACACACACACACACGCACACCTCAAAGATCTTTAAAAAAACATTTTTATATGTGTTTCATATTACAATTGTTATCACTGCCGCCCACGGGGGGATCTTGGGGTGGGGGGCCAAGTTAAGGGAGTGGCCGTGCCTTCTGTGCGCTCCCCTAAGGTCTGGATCCGCAATTAGTAATAACTTTCTTTTTATTTTTTCAGGTTTTTACAAAGAGAATGTGAAGGTCACTTTGGAGAAAATAAAAGAATTTGTGAACATGTTTGGGAATTAGACCAATCGAAAGTGAAACTCGACAAACCGCTATGAGTAGAAATTCAATGTGTTCAAGTGAAGGATGTTAGAAGATGTTAGAGTTAGAAAAGCTATATATACGATATACCCGCCAAAATGAATTTTCTGCAGGGAAAAAGCAATTTTCTGCTACTTGATAATAATTGCTCAACCCTTTCCTGTTTTTCGATTCTATGATTTAGTTCTAAATTACTGCCATTTTGAACACCATGTCTTTCTGTAAAATTCAGAAGTAATTCTCGACGTCGGAAGTTTAATTTTTTAAGGTCTGAATTGGGAAACGTATGGAGCTTTGCAGAATATGTATGAACGTGACTTTGGGTAACTTAAAAAAAGCGCACAGTATACCTTTTAGGATGTATTAAGGTAGGACTGCAGGTTGGAGATATTATCCTAAATTAAAGATCTAAGCTTTTTTTTATTCCTGATGCATTTATTTAATGTATCTTCAAAACATCTAATTATGCTTGAAACACAGCTCCAAGTTCATCGTGTGACGTAAAATTGGGATTTTTGGGGCAAAAATGTATTTTTGGTTTCCTGATTTCCTCAGGCACCTGGAAAGCTATAAACATGCTTTTAATGGTATTATAACACTTGAACAAAATACTACAAAAGGGGTTCGGGGATTTTTCTTTAAAGACTTACAGTTGATTTTGTCTATAAAAACGTGATTTTTAACCCTATTTGAGTACAGATCCCCTGAATCTCTCGGGCAATTGGTTCCGAGGGAATCTACCTTTGGACAAGGTCAGTGTGTTTATCGGTAACTGGTTTGAACACAAAATATCACATTCGTGTGATATCCATGATACTTTCTTTAATTTATGTTTCTTTTTTTAATTTTAGCATCAGAATTAATCTAGACAGCAAGCCTGGTAGATAAACCAGAGAAAACCTTTCACATTGCTACATTTTAACGCAAAAAGGAATGATCTGGTAAACAATAAATTTCCAATTGCAGGACGATGCCATCGTACCAATTCTTGGCAAAAGCCCTGTATTATTGCCAACACCACACCGCAAATTTTATAGTAAAATTAAATGTAACAGTTGGTAAAATGGAAATTGAAGAAAGAGGAAAATCTGCAGAAGTGAAGTTTTCTGTCACAAATTCCAAAATATGTCCATTAAAAACAAACGAGATTCAACGTTTATAAAAGATAAAAATTTTATTCATATGAAATTAACAACAATGCTGCCATAGAAAATGACAGAATGAAATGTGCATACAAAGTATACATGCACTCAAGTCTGGGGCAGTAAACATATATTCGGTCCTTGCAAGATCACATTCTGCACAAATAATAGGGCAATGAAGTGTCCTTTGCATGTGCACAATAATACTATGTATATAAGTGTTACCGTACAATGTATCATGACAACACAACTTTGCACATCCTTGGTTCATTATATGATTGCCAAATAAAGCCTACCAAAAGTGTCTTTCCCATTTGCCCATTTCCCTTGTTTGAGTTATTCCACAGGGAACCGAAAAAATGAACACCGAGTCTTTCCCTTGCTACTTAGGTGACTGCTGGGTACACCCAAAAACAAACCAGAAAACCATGTTGACAGTTGAAGTCCCTATCGATTAGACCAACCAAACCATGAGCAATATCTTACTTGTTCCTGGAAGTAATTAAACATACTGGAATCCCACAAACTTCAAATCTCGCTTGTGTGCCCTATTGCAATTAATAATGCATATTTCCTTAATATGAGTAATGAAATACATTGCAGCTGCTCCTGATACCATATTTATGATTAAAAGGATAGTCTCATTACATGCATAAGTCAAATGATACTTAAAAGTGTGCTTTTAGCCAATTAAGTGTACAAAAGAAATTACAGGTATTGTTGCAGGAATGTTTACAGGGAAACAAATACATGATACCAGATGGCAACATACATATATTAATTTCATATCTGAATATTTGCTTTTATTAAAAGTAATATCATCAATTTATAAAGTGGAAAACCTAAACAAAAAGTGTACATAGAGCTGTCAACAATGTGGATAGAACCCTGATCATATACTGACTGGCCACCAGTATGACATGTATGCATTTAATTCACCTTCCATGATCTATGTCCCGATTCCATTATAATACTGGAATGTCTACCAGTAGGCTGGTTTGGCCGAATTCTGTGTGCATATGTCCTGACAACAATGCACAGACCAAAAATTTGTACATATACATAGTTTACATCACCATCATAACTAAATGAGACGGAGAAATGCATAGCATAACTTAAAGTACCTCAATAATTAAAAACAATATTATATATTTATTTATAACAAATATCTAAATATATGAATTGATATAATCTATAGACACACAAAACCTTCACCAAAATCTTGTTTTTTAGCATTCCATATAAAATGTAAACACTTTTCTAACAGGGCATGTTAAGTAGTTAATGGATTGATGGCAACTTAATTGATCAATACTCAACTGTTATCTACCAAAAATCCTCACCTTTATAATTATTACACAATGGAAGGTTCAAAAGCTGCTGCTTTCTTTAAATTCATGCAGTGAAGGACTTGTCTAGAGAGGTCTACAGCCCAATCCACTATGAAATGAGGTGTGAGCAAAAAGTGCTTCCACTCCTTCACAAACACAAACTTAAAAAGCAAATATCCCTTATCATGTGATACAGCACCAATATACAGAATATAATTACCACTCTGAAGAGCCACTAATGTATGTCTAAAATGTTCAGCAAAAATAATAGCAATGGAATAATAGAAATTATGTGACTTTTTCAAATTCTTTTTTCATTTTATACATATAACATATATGTAACGAACTGATTCAATCTCTGAGACTGTCACAGTGGAATATTGAGAACTGGAATGACTGCCTGCTATTACAGATTAAATGCTACTATGCATTAAATAATACACATAATTTTCTAAAATGAAAATAATTATAATATTTATAACCACGCTGTGTTTAATCCACCACCTCTAATAAGATACCTAGAACTATTGATATTATTTACTAATTACTCAGACTTAGCAGGCCTTTTATGTATATAGGCCTTATGGTAAAAATTCATGAAAAGTGATGTCATGCCCAATCCATATAAAAATCCATAAATACAGAAACCATGGTAAACATAACCTACACCTGCAAAGACAAAATCTATGAAAAACTGCAGTATCTGTAGTTGTGTGAGATTCTTTTTCCACTCTAATGAGATATTGGGATGCCAAGCTGTCATGCCATAATAGAAGTATAGTACTACATGTACAAATGAGTTAATGGCAAGAATAGGAGCAATGGCAGGCCATGGAACATAACGACAGGCAAAGTCACTAAGGAGCAACATGGAGCTGTGATGGTACACGTGGAGGAAGGAAATCTGTCGCTGCTTATGCCGTAGAATCATGAACACTGTGTCTAGTAGCTCAATGGTCTTGGTGATCCAGTATGTGAAGTAGAATGGGGCCAGCAAGTGGCTGGGGGATTTGTCATAGATGTGAGGGCTATGTAGCAACCCATACATGAATCCTAATAATGTTACTGAGCTTAATAGACAGCAAACTAAGTTGTAAACCACCAACACCTAAAAATAAAAGAAAACATGTTATGTAATTAAATGTGATATTCTTTTTTAAAAAAAGCTTAAGGCTGTGATCTTAAATGAATAAGAAAACTCATTGTGCCAAAGTACACAAATGGTTAAATTTCATATATGTGCAACTGAAGAGAGATTAAGGAGTAACAGAAATCATCCAAGATGGCCTAAAGCAGTCACTTAGATAACCATTATATCTTCCTGATGTTTTAGAAAAATATAAGTAGGTGTACGTGTTTTACAGTTTTTATTACTGGTTTTGTTTAATGTAATTGTAAGATGCACCCTTTTAAGGTAAACTGTGATCAGGAACATTGATTTTTATATTGTTAATTCAGAAAAAAATCTTAGCTTCAACCACCTGTATTGAGAAAGATAAGTAACTTTGAAGGATGTTAACAGATGAAAATATAATTTGGGGGCATTGTCAAATGTGTATAAAGTAGGAATACATGATCATGTACTAGCTAGTAACTGTACTAGTATTCACAGTACCTTCAGTGAAAGCATACATAAACGAGGACACAAAGTCATGCCAATTCATACATGTACTTACCGGACGAAGTGTTAAAGGTTTTGTATTTTGCTGCCATTTTGACCTGAACACAACGAGTATGATATAGACGCAGAATATAGGCATGGATGGCAGATGAAGAACTTTGTTTATAAAGTTCATATATCCCTTCAACTGCACACTCCCTGCCCCATTGCTGGATTCATTGCCCAGCCCTACATCTGCTTCTGATGCCATCTTTCAATGAACAATAAAAAGAAACAAAAATATATTAATTCACAGAGACGTGATGCATTTTGCGTCACCCTCGCCAAGCGTGAAGTTTCAAACTGAATCTCTATGCGGTGGGTTACTTACTACAGTTTCGTTTCGTTCACGCACACAAATTATGAAATAGCACCTTTTTATTTAAATTTACACCAAAAGATACTTCCACCATCTAACATAGCCTCGAGAGTTTAAAGTACAGGTTGTTTTGAGGCCTTACCTGAGATAAATACCTAGCTTGCAAGGTCGAAACTTGAGGCAACCCACCCTCCTCAACCACTTTAACCGGAAATCACGACCTATTTATCGTGCACATGCGTACTTATTCAAACCGGATTTGAAAACGAGGCTGCATTCCTGACGACGAGAAACAAGCTTGGTGCCTTGACTTGAGAAGCGGCTGATATTATCACCTCTCCCCCAGCTGCAACTCAAACGGGAGATTGAAAACACAACTAAAGCCGGAGAAGCTTATGTGGGCGCCTAGTTAATCCAACTTGATTGTTGTCGTTAAAAGAATATCGGTGCAAAATGGTAAGGCGCATTTTACTTTGCGTGACTGGTAATAAAATAAAGTAGAAATAATATAGTCTACTGGTAAAATAGAAATTTCTGTTAGATTACGCATTGTTTTACTGCCAGTCCGCAAAGTTGTTTAGTATTAGAATAATTTACAAAATTGCACATGACAGTATTGCCATTACTGAACATAAGTAACGTCTTCGGTCTTGCTGAAAATTATAAAATCTCACAAAGATGAGTTAGAATTTACTTGATTGCAGATTTGCATACGATAAAATATGGATTCTAAAATAATCATTTTGTCCAATAAATGCTATGTGAACAAGCATCAGCCATCACGCTTTACTTTTTTTCTTTCTTTTTTTTTTTATCTTTAAGAACAATTGAAAATTTTCTTTCAGACTTTCACAAATGTAACTGTTACAACTGTACTAGTTTTGTGCTCATTCTATATTTTTTGTGTGTGCAGATGCTTTCAAGGACCAAGCCGGCCACTGGGCCTGGCTCTGCAGGGTCTACCAAAGAAACAAAGAAGAAAAAGAAGCTGCCAAAACTGGAAGATTTTTTACAAAACAGAGACTACACTGGTGCAATTACCTTGTTAGAGGTTTGTTTATTTATTGTTTATTGAGCTTAACATCTTATGTCAGCCATTTTAAACAGATCTGAAAGATTGTTTTAGCTAACTTTTTTGTTTATTTGTTTTTTGAAACAACAGCTTAAACATCAATTTGTTCTTGACCACAGTTTACCTTAAAAAGGTGTACCCAACAATTATCTAAAACCAGCCGTTAAAACACTTTAAAACATCTCCTTATATTTTTTTCCTATTTATAGTTTAACAGAAACAGTGGTAAAGGCAATGAAGAGACAGACTTGTATATAGCATATTGTGCATTCCACTTGGGTGACTACAAGAGAGCAATGGAGGTGAGGATTTAAAAGAAACTTGAAACTTACAAGTAATAAACAGTCTCTCCAGAAACTGCAATATATGTAATGCAGATAGCAATATTTTTTCCAGAAATGCACAGACATAGTTTTGTTGTAAAAGCTCGTACATTATGTGATTCTTAAATTTATGATTATTTTCTAAGCGTTATTACACTGTGTAATTTTTTTCTTTTTATCCAATGTAAAAAGATACTAGTACAAGATTTTCTGATAGTTCAGTTAGAAGCCTTCCGTACCTAGTTGAAATTATTTTGATAATTTTTTTTTTCACAAAAATACCACATTATATTTAACTTTCAGGAATATGAGCGTGTAGTTAAGCGCGAGGGCAGTCTCCCAGATGTATGGACATACCTTGCTTGCTGCTACTTTTTCCTAGGAATGTACAAGGAGTCAGATGAAGCCTGCAAAAAAGGTACAGTATGCCCCATACTACAACGAACTGGCTTAGCTTAAAAGACTGATAATAATGTTATTAACAACACTTTATTTTACTCTGTTCCTCAAACTCTACAAAGTTGGGTTATAGTGTTTTGGTTAAGCAATTAAATTAACTGCCCCCATGTCAATGCCACAGGCTAACTGGAAAATTGTTGTCTAAAGGCATTCAGAACTGTGCTTTGATGTAGAAGGTGAACTAATAGTTCATGCACTTGGCAATCTTACTAGACTGTGACACGCCCACATATATGACCTACACAGTGTGTTACATAACTCAGTTAATGGATTAATCCACAGTTTTCTGGACTGTCCAGCCAGATGTATGTCTTGCATTGCTATAATTCAAACATCACTCCAAATGCCCCGGCACAGTGTCACATAAAGTTCAACTAATCTCATTGATAGACAGAGACATTTTTGCTTTTCATATCCACTAAAGCCTTGGAACGACTAGAACCAGAGAGACATCCAGATGAAGGTAGTTTGCTTGATATATGAGCACCAGGGTTTCACAGTACAGGTCATATGTAGTGAGGGGTGCTACAGGGGGTGCTATAGCAAGCAGTTGAAAATGGGCCCAAGCTTGGGGGATTTCTGGTGTCTGGCTTTTACTCTGTGTAGTCTAATTAGTATTGATTACTGCTAATTTCTCCTAAATCTTTAACAATATGTTTCTTTTTTATTTGAAAAAAAATGGATAGTCTAGAATGACTTTTATTTGCCTTTTTACAAAATTCCATCAATTTGTTTGTTGGTTGGTGCTATCATGTGCTCCTTTTTCATTTTATTTTAATGTTAAACGCATGATTCACCCGTATGATGAGAATTCCTGACAATTATTTTTTCTCTTTCCATATATACTGAAATTATTCTGATAATGCTCTTTTTTACTATACATACCTTTCTGTTAATTAAATAAATGCTTTTGTTACATTTATTAATCATATGATCAAAAAAGGAAATTGATTTCTTTCACCTTAGATAAAAGTAATTTTTGTTATTTTTCCCTTTTCCTCCAATTTTGTTACAACTCCTAGGCACCAAAGATGATTTCAAGCTTGGACCAAACAGGAGATTACTGGCTTCTCAATTGATCCCCTGCTGTCAAACAGAATTACTATTTAACATCTAGGCTGTCAACTTCTATAAAGTATAACATCCAGTGCACATAGACAACATACTGGCACATGCTAATGTTCCAAAATACTGTTTCATAAAAGAATAATATTATCACACTTAACTCACTCCTTCTATTATGCTACTTCTCACAATTCAGTCTTTAGTGTATTTGAATACCAACCACACACTGGCATCTCACACTGTCACAACAATGTCATACCTCTCACAATGTTATATCTAAGACAATGCCACATCCAAAGTAGTGCTACTCCTGACACAATATCACAACACATTGTGGCATACAGCATAACTTGTGGGTAACATTGAGTTGTGATATTGTGTCAGAGTCTATTCTGTCACACCTACCACATTTTGGGTTGTTATATGTAGAGGACCAGGTATAGGGACAGACAAAAGATGCTTCTTAAGTTCCCTCTGACACCACTCACATTTCCCAGTCACCTGGAAGAATTTGTGTCTTCGTCTGGTTTTTAAATCCCTTGCTGCAGTGTTTTCTTTTATAACATTTTTGCTTCTTTTTGTTGTTTTTTATTATCATTATTATTATTTAGCAAATAACATCTGGATGGGGTTCTTGATTGGTCATTGATTTTCTTCTGCCGACACAACCTGAGATGTTTCTTGAAAGATTTTGTTGTTATTACATCTTTTGTTTTTGATTTATTTTTGTCAATCCAAGGCTTGTGTGTGTTGTATCATTATTGAGATTTTATACTCAAAGAAAGTACCATGATCACTTTGGAAAATATAGTTTTTATTTCAACCATCTCATTCTGTCAGTATCTTTTAAACCCCGAGAAAGAACTCTTTAGCTTGTGACCCAAAGAGGGGTTCTGTTTCTGTTGTTTAGAATTTGAAATTACCATTGCTCAAATAAATTATACAGCCTTTGTTTTTATTTGTCCTAGTGCTAAAATTGACTGATGTATTCCTACACAGTCACTGTGGAGCATTTTAGATATTACATAAAATAAGCTGGAAATTAATATTGCAGTCTCATGATGTTATTATAATTAGTTTCTTTAAAAGTTTTGGTGTAAAAATTTATTTCGCATTTGTCAAGACATATCTGTATTTTTGTATACGTGTGTTTTAACTAATCCCACTGTGTGCTTTTGGCTTCTACTAATTTCAGCATTATATGGTGCACTGGGTTGCCTTGAAAGTCAACAATATAAGTGCTGTTAGATGGGGGATATCAAAATGAATGCTGAAAACAGAATAATTGTATAATGTTGATGATTTGTAACATAAAGTTATATTTTATAGAAATTATTCTAGAATTATAAAAACAAAATTCTGAACAAATTATAATGGCTACAGGGTAAAAACCTTCCCCTATGAGTTGTCAGGCAGATATTGATAACCGTGATGCTCATGATTAAAAAACAAATGTTAACTCAAAGGCCTATTTTTCAACTTTTACGCCTCCAGCTCCAAAAAGCAGGCTTCAAAATCGCCTGATGTTCCACCTGTCCCACAAGTTCAACGATGAGAAACGCCTCATGGGCCACCATCAAAGTCTGCAGGATATCATAGAGGACCAGTTGTCCTTGGCATCCATACACTATCTACGCAGCCATTACCAGGAGGCTATTGATATCTATAAGAGAATACTTTTAGACAACAGGTGAGTAATAGAGTGATTCATCAGGAGCTTTGCTCTTCTCTTTGACCTGTACCCTCTGTACTGAACCACTTAGGACTTTCTAGTTACCCAAGATGTTTTCAATTGAAAGACTAATATTGCAGTAGCCTAACTATGATTACTTATTTCTTCTACAAAATAGTTCTAGATAATTGTGTCAGCTCAACTTTGTTAGTTTTTCTACACAATGAAACAAAATAAATGTACATTAACTTGAAGTGAACAACCATCAGTATTTGTGTAGGCAGTTTAAATAACATCATCCATTCTTTGTTCTTCTTAGAGACTACCTGGCCCTGAATGTGTATGTGGCCTTGTGTTACTACAAACTGGATTACTATGATGTTTCACAGGTGAGTTTAAACCTCAGCCACTTCTTTGACTGCCATGTTACTTCCAGGCATCAGTATTTTTACACTGAGTCCACAAATATTCAGTTTCTGAAGAGTTTTGGTACTTTGTACACATGATTAGACTTTTCCAGTAGAATTAGATGTGCTGCCATTATAGTGCTTCTAAAATGTTGGTCATTTTTTTTATATGGAATATATATTGAGTTTGGAATAAGTGGCAAATGCAAAGATAATTTCCATTGACCATAGGTAATAAACTTTATACGTCAGCCAATGCATTAGTTTTTTCCCTCTATTATCATTTTTTTCTTAATAATTTTATTATTTTTGTTATGTCTGCTTTTTTCTGTTTTTGTAACCAGGAAGTGTTAGCTGTGTATCTACAGTCCTATCCAGACAGTGCAGTAGCTATCAATCTCAAAGCCTGCAACCACTTCAGATTATACAACGGAAAGGCAGCAGAGGTAGGGGGAAGGGTCAAATGATATTTTTAATGAAACAGAAACTTTCTTATCAATTTAATTTTAGTTTATAGATAAAGTTTGTAGACATTTTACCACTACAAGCCATATTGTGTGGGCATTTAGTAGAAAGGAATAAGAAATTAAAATCTTTTTGGTGATATTTGCCTTATTTATTTTTATTATTTTTTTTAATTGTTGAATATATCCTATTTTTTTATTCTTACTTAACACAGGCAGAATTAAAGGCGCTACAAGATATGGCTTCACCATCATTCACATTTGCAAGAGATCTCATCAAACATAACTTGGTAAGAAATTTATTGCAAATTAATGCCTGGCTTTTTTTGCTGAATTACCCTTTTTTGAAACTCAAACTCTGTAATATAAACTTAAAACAAATAATTGAAAGAAAACAAACCTCTTTCTTTCACATTGCACAGTTTCACAATTTTCATTTTGTGGATAATTGTGATTCAGGTTGTATTTCGTGGTGGAGAAGGCGCACTTCAGGTGCTGCCACCTTTAATTGATGTCCTGCCAGAGGCGCGCCTCAACCTGGTGATATATCACCTAAAACAAGGTAACATTTTACATCAAAAAGTCAAATTGATTTCAATTGATTAATTAATTGATCATGATCATGTTATGTTCAGTGTTCAAATGTCAGGGTAATAATGTGTTACTAGATTTGTAACCGAAAATATTTAGTGATTGTGTAATTTAATTTAATTGAACTTTCTGATTGCTATGAAGATTGAACCATTACTGCTGAATCAGTCATGTTTGTTTTTAAGAATGTGTTGATTTTTACTGTATGTTCAGTTTATATTGTGGCTTAACTGAGATTGCTGTTGTTTCAGATGATATAGGAGAAGCCTACAACCTGATCAAGAACCTGGAGCCTACCACCCCCCAGGAGTACATACTGAAGGGTGTGGTCAATGCTGCACTGGGGCAAGACCAAGGCACGGTGAGTGGGACCTGTTGAATTAAATACACAAGTACCACAGTGTTCTAAGTCTTTGTGGTTTGTTAGAATGATGCTCTCTTAGTGTTATCATGACTCCAGTGCTCAGTTAATGTGAAACTGAAGATAAGTGTTTGTATTAGTTAGGTTTTATATTGGTATTTGGTATGGCATAGTGGTTTTGTTTAATACTGAAATTTAATCTAAAGGACCATGCAGTTAATTTTTTTTTTTTTTACTTATTTTTGTTATTAATTTTTATTTATTTATTCAATTTTAATTTATGTATTAATATTATTAAATGAAAATTTAATCTCTACGATTACATTAACATGTATGTCTTGATTTTTATTTAAAGAGGGAGCACCTGAAGATAGCCCAGCAGTATTTTCAGTTGGTGGGAGGCTCAGCCAGTGAATGTGGTAGGTGTTTCAACACAATGCGTTTCCTGCCAGTAGCAGATTCTGAAGCATTTTATTACTGACACCATAGCATTCCGCCACTTGACATCTCAGCTCTAGTTTACTGAAATATGATTTTTGCTTTTAGTGGCAAGTTGAATTCTGTAGATATTCTGTAAGTGTCAATACAGTGAAGTAGTTTTTCCATGATGGTAAAGAGTAAATTGTTTTTAAAGACACAAAACATGTATGATAACACCCTAGTTTATAAAGCTTGTATTGACAAGTCAGAAATGTGAGGTGAAAATGTTGTGCCTCTTAGATAAAAAAAAATGCAATTGTCGTTTTAGAAACAATTTATTCTTTTATCAGTACCAAGAAAGTTTTAAAATGTTTCCTTTTAATTTTAGACACCATCCCTGGCAGGCAATGCATGGCATCATGTTTCTTCTTGTTGAAACAATTTGAAGATGTCCTTATATATCTCAACTCAATCAAGGTAATATATATTACCATGTAACAATGTTTGAAAATGTATTTTTATAAAATTTATTACTTTGCCAATATTATTACAGTTGTGTTTTAAATAAAGAGTTAATTACTTTAGAGAAGAATTTACTACTGGCCATTCACATGTGAAATTATTCATAACTTACGCCATTATTATTACTTACACCATTATTATTATTTTCAGAGCTACTTCTACAATGATGACATGTTCAATTTCAATTATGCACAAGCCAAGGCAGCTTCCCCTGTCTGTAACTATAAGGAGGCTGAAGAGGTAAGGACATCAGTCTGAGGCAGATTTCCAAAGGGGAGTGAGTCTTTTTGTTCCCCTTGCCTCTAGTTGGTGAAGGTTGAAATCTGACAAACTCAGCAGAAGTGTAGAAGTTCTTTTGTCAATAGCTTTCACTTTTAAATAATTAAAACTTATACTAATTAGCTATAGCCAGTATTCCATCTGCCTATAGTCAGACTTGATCAGGGAATATGAGTGACAAAAACATTGAATAGTTACACTACTCTCTGTTCCGCTCTTTAATAATTGTTTTCTGTTTCCACCAGGTGTTCCTGTTAATTCAAAGTGAGAAGATCAAGAACGACTACACATATCTCAGCTGGCTGGCAAGATGCTGTAAGTTTAACCCATGACGGGCTCAGTTTTAATAGAGCACAACATGTACTTTTATATACAAAATATTCACCTATATATTCAAGCTAGTTAAACAATGTCTATCAGTAATCCAAAGCCCTAAGGCTTATGGCTGTAACAAAATGTCTGGTTTTAAAAGGCCACTTCATTTGTTTTGGACGTGTCTATTGTTATTCATCATCTAAGGTTGAAGTTTATGATTGATAATCATTGACTGCACTGTTTTGATTCAGATATCATGAACCGCAAGGCTCGGTTGGCCTGGGAGTTGTACCTGAAGATGGAGACATCAGGAGAATCCTTCAGTCTGCTACAGCTCATTGCCAATGACTGTTACAAGGTGAGAGAAATAGTTCCAAAGGTCAAATAATAAGATTCTACCTGAATTTGTTGAGTTATTGCAAAAATGACATCCATAATGTGGACAAATTTCTGCTAAATATACACCCTGTCCTACCAGAACACTTTGCATTCAGTTTGCTGGTACAGTGCACTAGGCATTAGTTTAGATGTCCCACCTTTATGGTTTCAGACTGGCCAGTTTTTCTATGCGGCCAAGGCATTTGATGTGCTGGAGAGACTGGACCCAAACCCAGAATACTGGGAAGGAAAGCGTGGAGCTTGTGTTGGTGTTTTCCAGATGATAATTGCAGGACATGAACCAAGGTAGGGCACTTTAAAGAGCCTAAAGATCATACCTAAAAGGCACAAAACTTTAGTCTCTCTTAGAAACAGTTTACTCTTCTACCTGTTGTTATCATCTTCTGTGAATAAAATAGCGTCTAATGATTTGCATGCTCTCTCTCAGGAAACACTACTGGAAGCTGGTCAGCATGTTAGAGAATACATGCATGCAAAATAGTGAACAAATATTGTCGGCAGTTCAAATGTGGGCCCTGGATAAAAAGATCCCTCATCCCTCTCCAAGCAGCAGGGACTCCCTTTAGATTGGTGTGATTTTATTTTACAATTCAGTGGATACTGTCTCAGAATTTTTTTAACAGAAAAATTTCTGTGAAAAAATTTTATTTATTATGATTGTATAATTTTAAAGTTGGTTTTATGTGGAAGATAATCCTAAAATGTTGAAATAGGGAAACTTTAGAAAAATATTGACTATAGTTCACTTTTGAGACAGAATCCAATTGTTTACTGTTATGCAAATTTTACTTATTGTTACTAACAGGAGCTTATTTCAATGCAACATCACCTACCGTACTTACATGTCTACTTTCAGTGCTGCAAAAACTTTCATGTTCATGATTGTTCATGTTGAATTACATTGAATTTCAGTACCATGTTTCACTTGTGGTGAACCCAAAGGCATCTAAATGTTAAAATTGACTAAAGAGAATCAGCTATTACTTCATTTGCCATTTGCCATTTTTTGAGAATACTTAGTATTTTGCAGAATAATGGCTTTTCTTGTCCATACAGGGGTAATCCTCAGCCATTTATTTTAATATTAACACATATTTCAGTGTCTTTGCATTCATATTTGTTGTTTGTTTGTTTGTTAAATTTTATCATTAGATCATTGATGAACTTGTTGGAGATGGCTTTATGGCACTAAATAAGAATTTGTTGAAATGAGAACTGTAAAATATAAACTTTGTACAATTGTAAGAATGCTGTGCCAGTGTAGAATTAAACATTTCTTTTGTCAGCACTTTACACTGCATTTGTTATTAAGAAAATAATATTTCAGACAATAATAACCAGCTTGGTCATCAACACTATTCTCAAACACACATGCTCTGTTTTACAGGGAAACGTTACGGGATGTGATCCAGATGTTACGAAATACAGGCAACCCTCAAGTGGAATACATTGTGAGGACAATGAAGAAATGGGCCAAGGAGAACAGAGTGGCCATATCATAAGCCAGAACCACAGCCAATATAAATACTGTTAAGATGGAGTCCGTGGATAGTTCTGACACTGACATTATTATCTTAAGTCATAGTGAACTCAGAAAAAAAGCAGGGAGAAAATTAGTTCTGTAGACGTACAAATGTAAATCATTCCATTTTATTCCAATATAGAAATGGGATAAGTAAGCACCTTTAGAAACCTAAAAAAATGTCAGTCCCATGATCCATGGGCAGAAGAAATTTCAGACTTTTTGATAATTAGTAAGAGGTACTGTAAGAGGTTACCGTAACTTTTACTTGCAAACATTTTCTAGATGTAAAAAAATGCATCAATATTTATAAGGGTTTTTCATTAATTTTTTTTTGTATGTTAATTGTTTTATCAAGTAATTTTTCAGATACATAGTTGCAAAACATGATTTGTCCAAAGATAATCAATTCGCCGAAAGAAAGCTTTTCATTGTAAAAAAAGTTGTAAGCTCAAACTACTGTTTGTATATAAACAAAATGTTTCATTGTGCTGTGTAAATAAATCATTTTACTTACTTAAAAGATGCATTTGAAGTCGAACTTTTTTTGTTACAAAAGCCAACCAAATGGCACAATATAGTTTCAAATAGCATAACTTAGAGAAATACCAAAGGACATTGTTTCATATTACCCTAAAAATGATATTTGAGTGGATTTTTCTGCTTGCTTTCTGTGCCACAAAAATGTGGCAGCTATTAAACATTTTTTGACGAACTCGTAATGTATTTACATTTTGATGCATTTTGCAAAATACTTCAACTGAAATTAAGATGAAAACAAAAAATGCAGTTTGGAAGTTTATAGCCAACAACAGATGCAACAGTGCTGTTAAGGATATGGACAAAGGCTGATGAGAATGGATGATATACAGGCAGATCAAAGTACATTATACAGTGTGTGTATGTAATCAGTTGAAATCCAAAAATTATTTGTACAGACAAAATTGATTCATTATAACACTAATAACTAATAATAACAATATTTATTTCATAAAAAGTTATTTTTGTTACAACTTCCTCACATCCTCCAAAATTACATCAACTTTTGTAAAAGAAATTGTCATTGTGTGGGTTATTAAATATTCATTCAATCCTTTGCTTTGCCCGTCCTGTGGACCAATGTCTTGTGTTTTCTGCCTTCAGTTGTTTTCCACTGTCTCATTTTGTTTTACATGTTCTACACTATCCCATTGGCATATCATCCATGCTTCTATTTTTACTGTCAAATCATTCATTGGGTATATATACCATTATATAGTCAGCAAGGTTTCTTTTTCATTCATCCATGATTATTCTATCTTATCAATACTACATGCTGGATCCTGTGAGATAGTGAATGCATACTGGAAGCATCGTGGGTGTGCAAAAACTTCAGAGCATTCTTTCATGACTTGGATAATTCTCATGTTTTTGCATAGTTTTTAGATATAAATTCTATTTCGTATAAAAATATTGGACATTCTTAAGTGAGATATGCTTGCGTATGCGTACTCAGTTAGCTTGTGACATGCGGCTGTGACAGCCTAAATTGATGCGATATATTTGCTATCAAAATCAGTCAAAAAACAAACACAGTTTGTTGCTCGAGTAGTTATACATTATTTTGCAATGGAGTTGCAAACTTTTATGGGAAATATATTGATTTTGTAACTTAGTTACACACTTGTATGAATCAAAGTTGATAATAGCTCGCTGCATGCCAAACTTGGAATCAAGATGGTGACAGAAAGCACGTGTAGCAGTGCTATTAATTCACCGGGCCCTTCAAAACCCGTGTTAGATAAGAGTGATGAGGAAGTGAGGGTAAATAAAATGAAAACAAGAACAGTAAAAGGGAAACAAGATAACGCTGTCAAAGCCAAATCTAGTGATAAGAGAAACAGCAATGAATATCTTTCTATCATGAAAAATATTGTAGTGCCTGGGGTCAGAGGTCACTGTGGTAGTTCTGACCTAGGCCGGAGGCAGATGTAGCAAAGGCACATCTATGACCTACAGTAAGGTGCGCACGCATGACATTGTGCGTGTGTCTTACAAGAGGGGGCGCCATATTGAAAGGTTCTCTTTGTGAAGACGTTGTCGTGTGAGCTGAGTGTGACGGGTTTACAAGCTAGTGTGGTGACAGATAACAGTTCAATTACAAAGGTGAGTTGATTTGCCATGGCCCTGTGCTATAATACACAAGAAACGATGCAGAGACAGGAAACCAAAATTAACAGCGTCGTGGCACGCATGGATACTTTGGAGAAACAGTACATGTATGGTGTATATGATGAATTTAGTGAGGAGCATCATGAATGTGATGAACAGACTCTGTATGATGAAAGATATGATGATGAAACTTGTACAGAGACTCAGAACTGCGAGGCAGGTACTAGTAGTAGTAGCACAAACAGATCTGGGACGGTATTCTCGAAAGGATTCAACGTCGAAAATTTTTCAACTTCCATTCGTTAAAAAACGATTCCTGGTATTCTTGAAGCTATCGAAACGAATACGATTCGAATAAGAATAGAATCCTTGTCAAAATTGTGACTTAATTCAACACTCGGAACACTCCTCTCTCCTGAGGCGAGATAATACATCAAAATAAAGGATTGGAGCGAACAGTTTCCTCATAAAATTCTTCATTATCAAAATTCATGACAGGAAATAAAGTCTTGTGTGCTTTAACAATTTATTTAATTGTTTCTTAAAGATAGGTCAAGCAAAATATTTATTATTTAAGATCCAAGTACTGCGTTTTTCCGCGTTTTGCACCGGCTTTTTTAAGTAGGTCAAACTGGGAATTCCCAGCGCGAGTTTCTCCATGGGAATTACCCTCGAAAAGTGCTTCGACATGGGTGATATCCCCCTCTATTTTCTCGACATTGAAGCGGTGACATTAAAAACAAATCATACAGATATTTCAGAATACACTTCAACTAATAAAATAAATGAACTTTCGTTGTTGTCATTTTGTTTGTTCGTTTTTTCTTCGAAAAAAACACAATGTCTCTGAATGAAGGTAAATCTAACCCAATCAGATGCCGAGGTGACAGTATAAAAACCTTGGCACAGTTTTTCCCGGCGCCAAAAGCGAAGATGGAGCCGTCTAGAAAGAGAGTAAAATTTACAAGCGAAGAAGTTGAAGTTTTGGTAGATGAAGTTGAAAGGAGAAAAAGTATTTTATTCAGTAAATTCTCAACTACAATAACCAATGAGTCAAAAATTGTGAAATTACGCTAAATACAGAAACAATATGAGGGTGATGATTCACTGGATAGGAAAAGGTGGTAACAAAAGAACGAATCCCAGCAGCACAGTACCAAATGCTGTATTGGCAGGCAATGAAGCCAAGGAGAGGTTGAGGAATGTAAAGATGAATGGAGTCTCCGAAAGAAAGAGAAATGGAAAGAACAAACATAAAATTTAAAAGCTACAGGAAAAAAAAGAAGAAGGGTTCAGCTACCTGAGTACCTATATAAAGAACTTTGTAGAGTGCTTGAGCAAGAGGAAAGTGCTTCCCTGTAAGGGACTGCCCCACATCTGTTATGGGGAGAGCAGAAAAAGGCTGCAAATTTTGCAAATTCAAAACAGATGCGATGGCACCCAATGCTGGTAAAATGGTGTCTTAATCCTAAGTCAATATCCTCATCTGCCTACGACTTCATTAGGGATTCGGGGTATTTGTCACTGCCAAGTAGAAAGACTTTGGTCAGTGATGGCGCTAGTCCAAATGGCCATTTGTTGGAACTCCTTTGCTCAACATAGGATAAGCATGGAAAAAGTGGCTGGAAGAATTTGAAGAGGAACTTACATTGCAGAAAGTTTAAATTGGAGACAAGATAACATGCCTGAAAGAGTAGTGAGGTAAAGAAATACAATGCAAAACACAAAATTAAATTACCACAAGATAATAGCCACAGAGAAAGAATCAAAAATGTTCAGAAAACTTAATTTGCACAAAGTACTAAAAAAAACACTATGCATGTCACATGCACTGCCAAGAAGAAAGACTTTGTACGAATATGACCATTCTTCAGACATCAGCAGTGGCATCCATCCAGATACCACTGACAGGCTTTTGAAGGCAACGAAATTTGACACACTCCAGGTGTACCAGAAGATCATCAGCTTACTCTATGATGAGGTAAAGATAAAGACAGATCTTGTGTAAAGTAAAAGCTGTGGAGAGCTTGTTGGCTTAGTAAACCTGGGGTCCTCGAACCACGAACTCATGGACTTTGAGCAGTATGTGGATAATGGCACACAAGAACAGAAATTGGCCATCCATATCCTAATGTTCATGGTCCTTCCCTGTTCCCTTTATCCCTGTCAGGGATTTACCTGCGGCCAATTGTATCCTGTTGTTTGGGACATGATTGGTACTCTGGAGAGCATTGGTTTTAAAGTTAGGGCTGTGGTCAGTGATGGCACCAATGGAACTCCTTGGCTCAGCATAGAATAAGCATGGGAAGAGTGGCTGGAAGAATTTGAAGAGGAACTAACATTGCAGAAAGTCTAAATTGGAGACAAGAAAACATGCCTGAAGAAAATGGAGGTAAAGAAATACAATGTAAGATACAAAATTAAAACTTTACCTATACCACGAGATACAAGCCAAAGAGAATGAATTGATAAAAAGTTCAGAGCACTTAATTTGCACTAAGTACTGAAAAAAACACTATGCATATCCTGGGCTCTGTAGCTCAGTCGGTAAGAGCAGTCGCACGGTTTGCAAGAGTCCCAGGTTCGAGTCCCGATCAAGCCTTGGTGTTTTCTCCCCCCAAATCGCTACAAATTTGGTGGCAGCGGTGGGACCTCAAGTGTTCTCACGTCCTCTAGGTACTATGGCAGGTGAAGAGACTTATTTAAGCAGGATATACAGCCATCCCAGACCAGTAACTATACAGTGAAACATTGCATTTGGGAGTGCTAACCTATGTCTTAGCCCGGTAGCGGACAACACACTGTTATTTCCAGATCCAAGGAGAAGGTTGCAATACGATTCTCCTGAACTTTGTAACACTAATCCTTTCAGTAGTGCTCACACCAATCCATTTCTGAACAGCTATGATGATCAGGGTGCTAGCCCCAACCCATTCGTAAATCAGGAGCCTGAGGCAGCTTCAACGATCGCATGGGAGAGAGCACCCCCAGCATTTAGATCAGAACAAGCCGAGTATGTGCTTCAGATACCAGAACGGCCTTTTAACCCCTTTAACCCTCTGCCGACCAGGGTTGAAACACGTAGAAGGGAAAAATCAGTTCCTTCTATTAAAGTCGGTACTTTTGACGGAAAAATGTCTTGGGATGAGTACAAGGCACAGTTTGATATATGTGCTATGGTTTATCACTGGACAGATGAAGAAAAGACGGGTCATCTGGCAACCAGCCTGAGAGGTGATGCTGCTCAAGTATTGGGTGATCTTCCATTAGAGCACCGGTTCAACTATGAATTGTTATCAAGAGCCCTAGAGAGAAGGTTTAGCCCCAAGAACAAAACAGAGTTCTACCGAGTGCAGGCAAGAATGCGTAAAAGAAACCCTAAAGAGACACTAAGTGAACTGGCTCAGGCAATTAGACGCTTAGTCAGCCTGGGCTGGACAACTGAGACTGCCGAGGTAAAAGACACGTTTATGTGGGAGTACTTCCTTGATGCGTTGGATGACACTCGTCTGAGACTTGATGTAATGAGATACCGACCCAAAACCATTGACGAGTCCTTGGCCATTGAATTATAAGCTTGCTTAGATGCGGAGGCTGCTAGAGGGCGCCGACCCCACTTCGTACGCTCTGCGGCTGAAGTTGCCCTTCCTGACAGCACAGACCCGACCACTAAGATGTTAGATGAAATGTCTCGCACCATAGGCAAGATTTCCTCCAAAGTAGATTAGAGACCAGAGTGTTGCGTGACAGACAAATCCCATCGTCCTCTAGAGATGTACAGTGCTTTAATTGTGGTAAAAAAATACAATTTGCCAGAGAATGCCAGGCACTGAATGTGAAACAAGGAACCCCGCTCCGTGGAGATGTTCAGTATTTTAACTGCGGGGGTATTGGTCATTTGGCCAGGAATTGCATTCCAGTAAAGGACAATCCCGGCCAGCCACTACACTCCTCCCCCCCAAATGCCGAAAGACGCGAGTCCAACTCCGTCACCGCTGCCTCCATTGTAGCGATTTGGGGTGGAAGAGTGTTGTGGCTGGCTGGGATTGTCCCGGGCTCGGTAGCTCAGTCGGTAGGAGCTGTTGCGAGAGTCCCGGGTTGAGCCTTGGTGTTTTCTCCCCCCAAATCGCTACAATATATTTAACAAACAAAAAACTCACTCCAAAGAAATGATCACTGTATTTGCAGCTAGACTTAGAGAAAAAGCAGATCAATGTGAGTTTGGAGAGGGGGTTTACAAGAGGATTTTGGAAAGACTTTTACCAACATATGAAGATAGAAATTCAGTCAAAACAAAAACACTACAAAGAGGCTGGAACCTAGACAGATTTCTGCAGGATACCAGTTATAAAGATGATTTATAGGATGATGTGGGGAGATGTGAGAGTGAGAGTCTCTCAAGCATTTGCTTGCTGCCAATGTTGCTGTGCATGTGGTCAGAGGCCAAGGCCCCATTGACAGAATTGTTCAGAAGCTGGGAGAGAAGAACAAGGAATTCATCCTGAAGCTCTTCAATAGTGTATTTTGTCATCCACTATGAAATGCCATTCACCAGCTTTCCTAACATGCTTCAGTCTAGTCTGGTGTATGTTTTTTTTTCATTGCTTACTTTTAATGTAATATGTAGTGTATGATTTGCAATGAATGATGAATGTTGGCAAGTAGCCAAAAAAGTTAATGTTGAGCCCTGTACCATTAATGTCAAAAATGGAATCACTTTCAAAAAGTGTGCCATATACATAAACAGAGTCAGACAAATGCGACACACAAAAGGAACAATGATTCAACTACAACCCAAAGACAGTATCAAACCAGAGGTTCTCCCCACAAACACATAAGAAAAAGAATCAAGTGAAGCGATGGGTCAGAAAAATGGAATTTGCAGAGGATGGGCAAACAGATGAGATAGTTGCGAGATAGTGGAGCATCTATGGATAGTGTCATCTATGGATATCAATTCAAAACACTCAAAAGGATGACAGGGAAGGAAACGGTGGCAGCAGCGCTTCATGATTCAAAGTGATCATTGTGGTGAGTGGTTACCATGGCTCCTGTGTCAATATAAAACGTAGAGAAGCTCTGGATGTCCTCACATACAAGTGTGAGGACTGTAAGGACCGTGGCCATTAAAAACCTCTGTAACCTCTGTCAAGATGTTTGGCCATATAGTAATATTGTATCTTTATCATTCCAGGTAAAATGGATAGAGATATCGATACGGCCCACGAGGCGGTCATTCTTAGGGAGGTCCAGGGGGAAGTTTGGGCCGAGGAGCCCACCAGGGAGTGGTGCTCTCAGTGAGACCCCTGGGGCAGCCAGGTATAGTTTAGTGAGTTGGGCAGAACAAGTGGAGCTGAGTAAGAGGCCCACAAGATGAACGAGGCGTGGTAGACGCTTGAAGTGCAAGTCTGCTGCTGCCATGGCAGCGACCCCCTCAGATGCAACCAGGCCCTCTCCCAACCTTCGGGTAATGGTAGGTACAAGTAACAAGGTAGAAGGGTGGCAGGCGTAAGTAACACCATCTCCACGCCGCATTGCCATGACTGCAGTTGGTATGCGTGCTCCCTCCTTTCGTGAATGCCTGGTCCCTGACTGTGGGGGCCGGGAAATAGAGGCTCATGCCTTTGAGGCCCATTTGCAGCACATCCTCCTGGCCAGTCTCTCTGGACGGGATATGGTGAGTAGACGGACATGAGCCCTTAAATTTCTCATCTCCTCACTGATGGGGCTCAGGCTGAGGCTGGAGAGGGTGTTACAATGGTTGACCCCGGCCAAGGTTCTCGTTCTGCACTGCAGAGGTCTGCCAGAAGGTGAGGACGATGCACTGTTCTCCCTCTTGATGCACCTACAGTGCATCCCAGTGGGTCGTAATCAGCTCATATACCTGCACCTTTTCCAAGTCCTTAGGTATCTTGCAGCAATGAATTCGGGCATACCCAAACACCTATTTCAGGGTAGGGTCCCAGGAAGACTCCCTTCCTGGTAGAAGAGTGGCGGTGGCACAGCTGGATAGAAGCAGGGTCTTGCTAGAGACTGACTCTCTGCACTTCCCGTGCAAGCCCAACAAGCATGGGACCCCAGCAGACCTGGGGTGGACAGGGGTGATGATAGCAGCCATCTGGGGTTGTACCTGGCAGGAGGTGCTGGCTATCACAACCAGGAATGCCAGACGTGGACAGGTTGCCGTCCGAGTCCACGGGGCAGTGGAGTTGTGTTGTTTGTAACCATTGCTGAGGAGTGGTACCTCTCAGTGGATGCTTGCCCAGGGCCCTCTCTGGTCATGACATGTGGCCAGGGTAGGGCGCAGCATGGCATGCTGTGCTCAGTGCCCAGCAGGCTGAAGACAAGGGACATTTCCACTGTGTCTGACTTTTATTTAGAAGAGGGGGTAGTGTAGTGGTGCCACTCCCAGAACAGGAAATAGGGCCAGCTCACCCCTCCATGCTAGCTCTCTAGCAATGGAATCACTTCACCTAACTTCAGGTAATCATACATCAACTGATCCTGCATTAAACTAAGCTGCCATTTTCTGTAAGTAACATGTCAGATTTCTGTGATAAAGCACAAATCTAATGATTTGTATACCTCTTAAACTGATTATATATATATCCCTTGGGTAACAATATATCATCTCACCCTAAGTAGTACAAGTAGTTGTATATATTATTTATTATGATTATCATTATTTTGGATTAAGGGCAAAATGCAGATTTATGTACAAAGGTGCGTGTATGTACACATAGCCGTACATGTACATTCATTTGTTAACCTACTCAGTACTATTTGAATCATTATTGGAGTTTTTTCAAGAAAGTAAACTTTTGCCAGGTTTTAGTTCAAGTAGTAGTAGTGCAGAGTACTGAGGAAGGTGTAAGACCAAGAACAGGTAGGGGCCGAAGAGGTAGAAGCAAAGGTGGTAGAGAAAGGGATGCAAGAGGTAGAAGAGGAAGAGGAGTTAGCAGGGTATCTAGAAGAAGCAGATCTTCACAGAGATCATCGAGGGACCAAATGGCAGAAGTTGCTGCGGAAAATCTTATGAAAAGACAAGAAACAATGAGGGTAAGAGAAGGTTATTTAATTTAGGTGATTTGTATTAGGTATATGTTCTGCTAAACTGTTTTTTTTTTTTTATTTGGCAAAAAGGTAGGGAAATGTGCAATGAAAACATCATATGATCTATTCTAAATAACACACTTCTCTTTAAAAATGTACCTCCAATGTAAAGTAGAAAAAATGCTGTTGAAAAACAAGCTGAAAACCTCGTCAACCCCCATTACACCATCTGGGAGCATTAGTAAGGGAAAGCCTCCATTGTCATTTGATTCTGTGAAAGATAACCCCAAGCAGACGAAGTTCTTTATTGGACTGACATTGACTCACTTTATGACGTTGTGCAATTTTCTTGGGCCTGCTGTGAATAATCTCAAATATTGGAACCTACCCCATAGACCTTGTAAGAGTCTGAAACCCATTGATGAACTTTTTATTATGTTGGTCCGATTGTGTCATGGATATGGTTTTGTTATACTGAGTTTTTTATTCAATACATCAACTACTTTAGTATGCTGCATTTTTACAACATGGGAACAATTTCTTTATTTTCATTTTACAGATTTGAAGGCTGACATGTTTCCGGATCGGTCCACTTTAGGAAAGTTTATGCCTAAAAGTTTCAAAGTTCAAAGTTCAATTTTGAACTTTGAACCTAAGAGTTTCAAAGGCTTTAAAAATGTGAGATGTTCAATTGATTGTACGGAGTTTATTGTACAGATACCTGGGGATTTTGCAAGGCAAGGCAATTTGTTTTCAAATTATAAGAATCACCATACCTTCAAATGCCTTATTGCAGTGGCGCCAATCTACTGTCCTTTCTAACTCTAATGTCAGCGATGGCAGAAGGTGGCTAATCAAAAGGTCAGACCAAATATACTTCACCCTTGGTCTATGTTAAACCACCAGAGCCAGTAATGTTAGGTCAAAATAAACAAGAAAACTGGAAGTTATGGAAACAACTGTGGACTTTTTACTCTTGTCAGTAAAATATAGATGCTAAACCAGAATAATATAAGAAGTCACTTCTTATTTGTATCATTGACGCTTTGAAAATATATAATGACAGCATCCCTAGGAAACTTGACACTCATTCTCGATGAGTGGAAGGAAACATCTGACCACCAAATGCAGCAAGAATCGTCAAAGACAGTTGTTCAATTTGTGACCAAACTGCCGCAAAAAGCCGGATTTTGTGCACTTGGTGGGCAGACAATGAAACAGATCCAAGATCAAGTTAGAGAGAAATGCAAATTGCAGAAATTGAGAAGAAAATTGTTATGCAGGGCAACTGTATTGATAATGCAGATCAATCGGGTAATGAAAAAGAGTGTGAAATAGAGATTGGAGAGAAAGTGCTGAAGAAACAGTAATGTAATGTTTTACATTACAATGCAATGAAAAATCTCATAAGCATGCACAGAGGAGTGGCTAATAAAGAGAGTTAAGAGTCAACGTGTATTTTTTAGTCTCTCGCGTTGTTGGTCTAGAACAAGTAATTATAACATTACAAAGTACCAGTTTAACACAAGATCTCAGGCTCAAAGTGAGATGATAGAAGACTCATGTGCAAGTGCTCTGAAAGAACTATCTAATATCAATTTTTGAGACAGCATGAAAGACACTCTACTTAGAGGCAAAATTATAATTCGTGTTAATGATAGAAATGTGAGAAAACATCTCTTTCAAAAATGAAACTTGACTCTAGAGAAATGCATTGACATCTGTAGAAGCTATGAAAGTACATCTAAGCACATTCTTCTTTGCAAACAGTTACTTGCCCTTAGCAAAATTAAAAGTTTGCAATAACGAGTTTCCAAGAAAAAATTTTTGCTGCAAATTAGCAGCCATATTGCAGCAAATTTGCAAGAAGGAATTACAGTTTGCAGCAAATTTTTGAGGACCCCTTTGCCCGAAAGAACCATTCACGGTTTCAGGATATGTGGTCTCTAGCCATTTGATTCTAATGTTTTTGCAGACGATGAATATAAGGGGACGCTGGTCACAGACGAGCCAGACGCACAGCCTACTGAACAACTATCAGCAGTAATTACAGCTGCCTATCCAATATTGGTGACAACTCTCCTTGCAACCTACATTCTAATGAAAGTTCCACACCTGATAATCAGATGCCATTTTCCTAATCCACTAGAGACTGGAGGCCCTGTCCAACACATATCGTCCAGGCATGAGATATCATGCAATGTCTTTTTTGAAGTCTGGTCATAGCCACGAATCCAAAGAAATGATCATGGGGAGTCCGGTATTAGAAATGCTGGAGAAAAGCTCAGCAGATGGTCTCAAGGCCAATGTAATTAGCTACATGTGCAAGAATTACAACTAGTATAATTATACCTTAGATATTGAAACCATAAATGCTGACAGCTTGGTTATAGTATTCCTGTTTGGAAGAAAGAATTGCTGCCATGTCATTGCCAACTTCCTTGCCAGGGGAGTTAGAGATAATTGTGGCCAGCAAAGTCCTCAACTGGTCAATTGTTGAGGTAGAGGCTCTGTGTCGGGTGGTGTAGCGATATGATGTAGCAAGTGAAAGAAAAAGAAATGCCAAGCTGATTGGTCAGATTACAAGATGAGGCCAGGATGTCAGTCACTATGACTGGGTACTGCAACACAGTCTGCAGTATCCCATGGAGACAGAAAGGGGTGATAGCCCTGCCTCGGACATACCCATTCAACCTCCACTTCAAAACAAACAGAATTCAGAATCCGTTCAAGGGATAAGGAATCAGGGAAATTATTAACGACTTATCCCCTCTTCAAAGCTTCAAGCAAAGCAGGCCCATAAAAAAGAATGCAGCAGTGCTAACCTCATCGCCTTACAAGGCTGCTCTCTTAGGAATAAATGACCAAGAACAATGCAAGAGCATGAGGTATGTTGCAAAAAAGGCTAAATTTATAATTCACTTATTTTTCACTAATTTGATTTTTATGCTATCTGTTTTCAATTAGTTCTTTCTTCTGAAAAAAAGTAAAAAAAAAAAGGTAAGAATAATTCCATGGGCGTAACTAGGCATACGCACGGACGCACTGTGCGTACAATTTTTTGGCCAACCATTCACGGAATATAAAAGAAAATCCTCTGCTTATTAAAGTCACCTGTATGTACAAGTCCTCTGTATCAATTGTATAGGCACAATTATTCTGACCCCCCCCCCCGTATTGCAAACTGAGGTAAACAATGCCTGTAACCTTAACAAGTCCTATCTTAATCGTCCATCTAACTGAAACTTCCTTTACCTTTGCCTCTTTCAAAGAGCAGCTCCCGCAACCCTGGAGGCACTAGATAAAATCTGGACACCAGGTTTAAGAAGGAGCTAGAGAAACAAAGGAAGAATTTCTCCTGCAAAGCTTCAAAGAATTTTGACATGGACTTGACCCAGCTTACCCCTCTAAACTAACAGGCTGACATGGGCAATTTTTACGAACAAATAATTAAACTTAGATGTATCAGAGCTCTGTCGTGTCGTACAATTGGTTGTTTTTGGGAGCCATGCATCCACATGTAAGGTGAATGAAACCGTATGTTAGATCAACTCAGAGGTGGATCCAGGATTATTCGAAGGGGGTTCCACATATGCGAAGCCAGCCTCCTTTTAAATAAATATACCGTTCTGGGTAATAAGAATATTGAAAGTTTTTTTAATTGCGAGAATATTTCTGACTAAATAATGATTTTATTATTAATGGAAATTAAGCTGCGATGTGTGGTACATATGCTGTAATTACGCTGTCCTTCATCTCTTGCGTTAGTCTACATTTTGCTGGGAATTTTAAAAATCTGTGCGTACAATTTTTAAAGGTCTGGTTACGCACCTGAATTCTGCCTCATATTCACTCACAAGGAGGCTTATGTGAGATAGAACTAGGTCGAGCTTGCTCAGTGAACTTAGTTACCTTCTTCACATGCTACAGGTTTTTTCTTGTCTCCATTGTTCATGGTTTTCTTCGTCAATTGCTGAGCACTCTTACTTCATTCTTTGCATTCTTCCCAGTGGACTGGGAATAAATCTTCATGTTGGTTTCTTAGACATTTTTAGTTGCACTTTGATTTTCTGGACAGTTGGTGATTGGGACTGTATCTATGGACCACAAAGATATTGTGGAACTGGTGGGAGGCAAAGTGACTTTGTGGAGTATGCACATTTTAAAATAGACACCCTTCACAATGCTATCACCATGATGAAACCAGGTCATTTTATGGCTAGTGTTTATATCAAGGATGCATATTACTCCATTCCAACTGACAGCATTCATCAGAAAGTCCTAAAATCTTTGTGATAGGGTAAATTGTTCATATGTTATTGAATCTTACAGAAAATGAACAGGAGATGGCCCTTTTCCTGGAGAATGACTTCATTTATAATAAAAAGAGGATGGACCACACCTTTGTTGCCAAGAAAAATAAGGCATGGGAAGACCTGACCCAGGAGCTAAAGAAGGATGTCAGGGTACTAACCACTTTTCAAAACTTAAGTCATTTTTGGAAATCTTAGCTGTTTCTTGACAGTATTACTGCTGTTCAAGCAGAATTCCACCAATATTCTTCATTCTATTCTTAAGTCTGCGACACGTGACATGGACATGTTCAAGAATGATGCTTCTAGTATGCATGCACAATCACTTGATCTCATCATGCCTAATATTATGATAATGTACAATCCTAACCAAGCTTCACCTTACTAAGGTTTAAGTCTCATTTAATCTTTGAATCGCCTATCATTTCGTTGCATTACTGGATTTGACTTTGATGAGCAATCACATATTTTAACAATTTAAATTTAAGTAATCTTTCTGAGCTGGTTTTGGTCATGTGACAGGTTCCTTCTGCACAGTTGCAGCAGCAGTCGTATTTCTGATTCCTTTTAAAAATGGCATCAGGCCTATAAGATAGGATAAACATAGAACTTAGGATAAAACTGGTATGAAAATAAATTTCTATATACATACTGTTTTTAAAATTAGCCCAGGTTAATGTCTCTACCTAATTTTGCTAAAAAATTCAAGTGGAAGACTGATATTATTACATAAAATGTATATTTATTGTGGCATGTATCTACTTGGAAAATAACTTATCTACCAGAAAAACAGATACAGACACAATAGTGCACTCCAACCAATGTGTGTACTTAAAGAAAGGAATTTGAAGAGAACAGAAATGAATTGAGTACTCACATGATTAAATATGCTAGTATGTAACATTTCAAGAACAGTGACTGACAGTAATAATTACTGAGAAATGACATTAAAAAGGATCTCACTTTGCCCTCCAGTTCCTTTCTTCTCAACGGACTCGTAGCTCTTGTTTCTATTCACACGGTTAGACTGAACAACAATATATCTGAAACACAATTATACTATATTTGAAGCCAAATTATTTAAAATATCGAGAAAGAGACTGGCAAATTACAATTTTCAAAATCAAATACTAGTTTACAATTATCTTTAAGTCAATAGTTTTGGTAAGGTATACCTTGGTGATAAAGAGGAAATTCATCTTTTGCAATATCTAAAATCCACAAGGCATGCATCTCTTTAAATATTGATTGGCATACTTAAAAGAAATCTGCCTTAACTCACTTGGCAACGAGTTGAATGTGGTAGCTCCTAAAGTTTTTCACTGCCTCAACTGTCAGGTTATATTCCTTGACAAGTTCCTTGTTGTCTGATGCCTCAACTGACAAACAGAAAATATATCTTGTAAGTTATTGCAGTTTCTGTATGTGAAAGTGTTTTTGATACAAATCATAATTTGACTTAGCTTATAATCAGGTTTTATAATGCATTCCACTTGCCATTCAACATTAAGAGAAATTCAAAGCAAACTTAAATATGAAAAGAGCAATATTACTCAACTTAACCTGAGAATTGCCATAAAGTCTTATATTTGACTCAAAACATTTTCTATCTTTGGTCATTTTCAGGGACTCTTTCCCAAATGATTTACCACAAAACATCTTGGTCAATTGTCTGAGTATCCAAAAGGACATTATTCCAAATAATTACCATATTCTTTCACCCTGGGTCTGTTACTCAGGTCTTGTAAAAACTGCCTGTGAGGGGCCGGCATGTAATCCCTCATTCTCTTCAAAAAAGCTGTGTGATCTAAAAATATTAAAGTTACTGGTACGAACACCTCTAACCAATTTGCATAAATTTAAATTAAAATATTCGATTTTCAATGTTTTTTTTTCATCAAAACAATAACACACTGCCAGGGTAAAATCAAGAAATCAGAATGCCTAAAGTTACAAGCAACTAACTTTTCTACAGCCAGCCAGGGTTTCTGTATGTTCTACATGAGTAATTCAAAGTAAATTATTTTACTCTTATTGCTGAAAGTCTGAATCATCAAGTGGAAGTCAAGAAGATTAAGCAGGGACAAGAGGGGATGGAAATTGTAAGTGTTATCTATTTGGAAATGTTTTATGTCTAATCTTTCCTTTTGAGGATGGGGGGACTCTTTGCCAATGAAAGTGAAGTGCCCACCTTCTTTATGTACTATTCCCAGCACATGGTCAATAAACTGCATAGAGGTGCTTTGTGCTGCACTGCCCCCTGACAGCTGAAAATATGAGAATTTTAAAATCACTGCGGTGCCATATCCTGAGAAATATGTTAAGTGGGTGAGCTGCTGAAGTCCTACAATAGGCGCAAGCAGGATATTTGTACAGGCCATGGTACTAGATGCTGAGTGAAGAAAAAATAGCAGAAATTTGATGGACTGTAAGAAAGGAGGGGCTTTCACTTAATAATGATTTTTTTCAATTAATTTTTTCAACTACCCCCCTTTCCCCTACCCAACCTACTCCTGCAGTATTCACCTCTGCTTTATATGTAAATTTACTAAATATTCACTGTCCACTATAGTTACATCAAACAAATACTACTTCATACTTCAGCAAATAACAAACTGAAAATAAATTACCAATCAGTAGAATTACCAATCATTTTGTTGTAGTGCACTACAATAGTAAGGTGCATACTGACACAAGTGACAACAGCTTACTAACCCAGTACATACCTGAACAGGTTGGTCACTGACCCCTTCATATATCAGACCCTGGGGAAGCGGGGAGCCAGCACCACCCCAACTGAAACACAGTCAATAATAATAACAGTGCATTCAACTTATATATACCATGCACAAAACTGAAAAGAGGCCTACTATGAGGCATTTGAATATCAAACAGATTCAAGATATATATTTAAATTTTTTTGGAAATCCCTAGCAAATGAATTTTTCTATGGAAAAATTAATGGATTTAATATCCAACTAAATTATTTTTAAATATCTTACCCATTCAGGTACGGTCTAATGACATTGTAAAAGACATCAGCATCCAGTTCATCTGAAATATAATTAATTAACATCCTAAATAAGACTATTTATTAAATACTGTACACATTATGCAATATGTGGGGAAAAACCTATGGGTCAAAATATATGAGATCATTTTCCCCATAATAAAGAAAACAAGCTACTTGTACCACAGACACTCAACAAAATTTACTGATCAAGCTGGTAATTTCTGGACAACTTTAAAACTGAAATGCACTTCACATCACAACATTTCATACAAAATGTCTTGACATGAACAAAGACTATANCATCTTCATGTTGGTTTCTTAGACATTTTTAGTCGCACTTTGATTTTCTGGACAGTTGGTGATTGGGACTGTATCTATGGACCACAAAGATATTGTGGAACTGGTGGGAGGCAAAGTGACTTTGTGGAGTATGCACATTTTAAAATAGACACACTTCACAATGCTATCACCATGATGAAACCAGGTCGTTTTATGGCTAGTGTTTATATCAAGGATGCATATTACTCCATTCCAACTGACAGCATTCATCAGAAAGTCCTAAAATCTTTGTGATAGGGTAAATTGTTCAGATGTTATTGAATCTTACAGAAAATGAACAGGAGATGGCCCTTTTCCTGAGAGAATGACTTCATTTATAATAAAAAGAGGATGGACCACACCTTTGTTGCCAAGAAAAATAAGGCATGGGAAGACCTGACCCAGGAGCTAAAGAAGGATGTCAGGGTACTAACCACTTTTCAAAACTTCGGTCATATTTGCAAATCTTAGCTGTTTCTTGACAGTATTACTGCTGTTCAAGCAGAATTCCACCCATATTCTTCATTCTATTCTTAAGTCTGCGACACGTGACATGGACATGTTCAAGAATGATGCTTCTAGTATGCATGCACAATCACTTGATCTCATCATGCCTAATATTATGATAACGTACAATCCTAATCAAGCTTCACCTTACCAAGGTTTAAGTCTCATTTAATCTTTGAATTGCCTATCATTTCGTTGCATTACTGGATTTGACTTTGATGAGCAATCACATATTTTAACAATTTAAATTTAAGTAATCTTCCTGAGCTGGTTTTGGTCATGTGACAGGTTCCTTCTGCACAGTTGCAGCAGCAGTCGTATTTCTGATTCCTTTTAAAAATGGCATCAGGCCTATAAGATAGGATAAACATAGAACTTAGGATAAAACTGGTATGAAAATAAATTTTCTATATACATACTGTTTTTAAAATTAGCCCAGGTTAATGTCTCTACCTAATTTTGCTAAAAAATTCAAGTGGAAGACTGATATTATTACATAAAATGTATATTTATTGTGGCATGTACCTACTTGGAAAATAACTTATCTACCAGAAAAACAGATACAGACACAATAGTGCACTCCAACCAATGTGTGTACTAAAAGAATAGAATTTGAAGAGAACAGAAATGAATTGAGTACTCACATGATTAAATATACTAGTATGTAACATTTCAAGAACAGTGATTGACAGTAATAATTACTGAGAAATGACATTAAAAAGGATCTCACTTTGCCCTCCAGTTCCTTTCTTCTCAACGGACTCGTAGCTCTTGTTTCTATTCACACGGTTAGACTGAACAACAATATATCTGAAACACAATTATACTATATTTGAAGCCAAATTATTTAAAATATCGAGAAAGAGACTGGCAAATTACAATTTTCAAAATCAAATACTAGTTTACAATTATCTTTAAGTCAATAGTTATGGTAAGGTATACCTTGGTGATAAAGGGGAAATTCATCTTTTGCAATATCTAAAATCCACAAGGCATGCATCTCTTTAAATATTGATTGGCATACTTAAAAGAAATCTGCCTTAACTCACTTGGCAACGAGTTGAATGTGGTAGCTCCTAAAGTTTTTCACTGCCTCAACTGTCAGGTTATATTCCTTGACAAGTTCCTTGTTGTCTGATGCCTCAACTGACAAACAGAAAATATATCTTGTAAGTTATTGCAGTTTCTGTATGTGAAAGTGTTTTTGATACAAATCATAATTTGACTTAACTTATAATCAGGTTTTATAATGCATTCCACTTGCCATTCAACATTAAGAGAAATTCAAAGCAAACTTAAATATGAAAAGAGCAATATTACTCAACTTAACCTGAGAATTGCCATAAAGTCTTATATTTGACTCAAAACATTTTCTATCTTTGGTCATTTTCAGGGACTCTTTCCCAAATGATTTACCACAAAACATCTTGGTCAATTGTCTGAGCATCCAAAAGGACATTATTCCAAATAATTACCATATTCTTTCACCCTGGGTCTGTTACTCAGGTCTTGTAAAAACTGCCTGTGAGGGGCCGGCATGTAATCCCTCATTCTCTTCAAAAAAGCTGTGTGATCTACAAATATTAAAGTTACTGGTACGAACACCTCTAACCAATTTGCATAAATTTAAATTAAAATATTCGATTTTCAATGTTTTTTTTCATCAAAACAATAACACACTGCCAGGGTAAAATCAAGAAATCAGAATGCCTAAAGTTACAAGCAACTAACTTTTCTACAGCCGTCCAGGGTTTCTGTATGTTCTACATGAGTAATTCAAAGTAAATTATTTTACTCTTATTGCTGAAAGTCTGAATCATCAAGTGGAAGTCAAGAAGATTAAGCAGGGACAAGAGGGGATGGAAATTGTAAGTGTTATCTATTTGAAAATGTTTTATGTCTTATCTTTCCTTTTGAGGATGGGGGGACTCTTTGCCAATGAAAGTGAAGTACCCACCTTCTTTATGTTCTATTCCTAGCACATGGTCAATAAACTGCATAGAAGTGCTTTGTGCTGCACTGCCCCCTGACAGCTGAAAATATGAGAATTTTAAAATCACTGCGGTGCCATAACCTGAGAAATATGTTAAGTAGGTGAGCTGTTGAAGTCCTACAATAGGCGCAAGCAGGATATTTGTACAGGCCGTGGTACTAGATGCTGAGTGAAGAAAAAATAGCAGAAATTTGATGGACTGTAAGAAAGGAGGGGCTTTCACTTCATAATGATTTTTTTCAATTAACTTTTTCAACTACCCCCCTTTCCCCCACCTACTCCTGCAGTATTCACCTCTGCTTTATCAGTAGATTTACTAAATATTCACTGTCCACTATGGTTACATCAAACAAATATTACTTCATACTTCAGCAAGTAACAAACTGAAAATAAATTACCAATCAGTAGAATTACCAATCATTTTGTTATAGTGCACTACAATAGTAAGATGCATATTGCCACAAGTGACAACAGCTTACTAACCCAGTACATACCTGAACAGGTTGTTCGCTGACCCCTTCATATATCAGACCCTGGGGAAGCGGGGAGCCAGCACCACCCCAACTGAAACACAGTCAATAATAATAACAGTGCATTCAACTTATATATACCATGCACAAAACTGAAAAGAGGCCTACTATGAGGCATTTGAATATCAAACAGATTCAAGATATGTATTTAAATTTTTTTGGAAATCCCTAGCAAATGAATTTTTCTATGGAAAAATTAATGGATTTAATATCCAACTAAATTATTTTTAAATATCTTACCCATTCAGGTACGGTCTAATGACATTGTAAAAGACATCAGCATCCAGTTCATCTGAAATATAATTAATTAACATCCTAAATAAGACTATTTATTAAATACTGTACACATTATGCAATATGTGGGGAAAAACCTATGGGTCAAAATATATGAGATCATTTTCCCCATAATAAAGAAAACAAGCTACTTGTACCACAGACACTCAACAAAATTTACTGATCAAGCTGGTAATTTCTGGACAACTTTAAAACTGAAATGCACTTCACATCACAACATTTCATACAAAATGTCTTGACATGAACAAAGACTATACATGTACTAGAAGCTCACCCTACCATGCATCCTGGATATCGTTTTCTTCATTTTGCACAAAGTATCCTGAAGTCCGCGAAGTGCTTGAATCAACTGGTCATCATTGCCATGTTCTACACTGTCTATGGCTGACAGGAGAGGCTAAAATATATATGCAAAATAAGTTAATTTTTTACTTGTATTTAAATAGCTTTCTAATTAGATATGTCCTTAATGCAGAGCAATATTTTAGTGAATACTACAGTCCTTAATTATTCTTATTTTTGTGAAAAATATGAAATGCCAAACTATGCACATTTTGCTCACATTATAATTCCTTTCTTCCTGTACTGTAAGCAAAGAAAAGTATCCTGTCTCTTTGCAACACAACAGCACAGTTAATACAATTAAACATCTTTTACAGAGCTTAGTAGTATTATATAGAGTGTCACATGATTGTCAAACCTCCCATAACATACTCTAATCCCAGAGGCAAAGTCCATCTCCATCTGCACAGTGACCAATGAGAACCACTCCATGTGTTTGCCACCAGGGAGTCTACATATATTCTGAAGGTTACTGGAAAAAAAACATTGTTAAATATTGTTTACATTCTTTGCTCCCCACCACTCATTGCTCAAAACTTTTCATGAAATATTTTCATCAATTTTGGCTTTTCATTTTGATATGAATGTACATTCGACAGTAATTTTATGTCTTTAGAAATGTTTTTTCACCTATGGCACACAATTACACATTTTACTTCTTTAAACAATAAATTCAAACAAGTAGCCTAATATTTTTACTTTGTAGATTACTTTTAAGCACAGCATTAAGCATGATTTTCCAAATGGTCTGGGCCAATTTACATACTTGCAGTAACTGTTGTTTTTATTTTGGTTTAATCTATCACTGATTTGTGCCAAATGCAAATTAAAATTAGTCCTTACCAAAGTTCCAAAGGCCTGAAAGAAAAAAATAAAAAACATTTATAAATAGATTGCATAGAATTGCATATCATTAGAATAAATATAACAGCATTTTATATTTCTTGTTAATTTTTTTGTTGCTCATAACTGAAATGGAGTCTGGGGTGTCACTCGCATGCGTTAGAAATAAAAAAGATATCAATATGTCACATGTAATGGGTGAGAATAAAAAAGGTATCAATACACACTGATGGTAATATTCTGAAAGGGTTTTGATACTATAGGCTCATACCATAAAAGTTAAGAGAAAATCACTAAAATGCCCAGGATTTATTTTTACTTTCTATAGCCTCAAAAGCATATGAAAAATTACATATTTGAGGCAAAAAGCCTTTTAATATATGCAGTCCTTTACCTCTGTGGTTCAATCTTTGTCCAGTTGACCAATGCAAAGTCTGTGTGGGATATGATAGGATGTATACCAAGGTAGTCAGACACACCACACCAGGGGATGGCAAGGGATGCAGGAACAGACTGGAATATATATATGTACTAAAGGATAACCATCACATACTCACATGACAATAATTATGCTGTAAAAACTGAAAATCCTGAAAATGAGGTTTGCAATTTCTCATCGTATTAAGACCACACGAAAAAAAAAATCCTGAAATCGGGCATAATCCTGAATGCTTTCACCCATGTTTAAGTTACCTGCACTACTCCTTTGTCTCCTTCTTGCCACACATACCCAGCTCCTATAAATGACAGTAGCAGATGTGCCAGGCAGTACTGATGATAGTCACTTAACTGGGTGTAGTCGAGGAGGGGCATCTGAAAGCAAACATGACTCTTAATCGGAACTCGTACTGTAGTTACCACAAATGAACATTTCAAAAGAAACTGCAACTGTGTGTCAATATAGTACACATATTGGGGGGAAAATCTGTAGTGAAACTTTATAGGTATACTGCCCGGTAAGCATTGAGGTTATTCTCATCAATTTACAGGGAAAGGGGGGGGGGGGGTAAAACAGCTGATATCAATATCAAAAATATTTTTCTTCGTCAACCAAAACTATTACAATTGACAATATGTTTGCATTACACAAATATGTAAATGTGCTCAGATACTTTGATGGAAATGCAAGGTCTATAAAGTAATTTTTTTGTCAGACAACCAACAGTAATTTATCTTACATACTTTCTCTACCCTGCTCCGAAGTTCATGTTGGCTTAAGTAGTGTGGGACATTCTTACCCAACTCACTCCAGGCTTCGAAATAGCTGGGTAACTCCGTCTGGAGATTTAAAAAAAAAAAGTAGAGTGTACATCAAAAGTGTCACAAAATAGGCCGTAGCCTGGACACTTTACTTCCAATGATAGAATCAATACTGCGAATATTGGGGACCATGAGTGTATTGCGCATTTTAGTCATACCGTTGAGGAGGAAAGAACAAATTTTCCACGTGTAAACTGTAAATGTCTACAGAAACGTATGTTGTTACTGTTAGAATATTACCAGAGGTTCTTCAAGTAGAAACCCAACAGTTTCTGATATACGATAGTAACGTAGATTTATATCCATCTTCCACCATATTCCCAGGGCCTTCACACTGTTATCTTAAGTTAATGATACTTGCTGAGAGAAGCTGAGAGACAGATATATATCGATAACCTTCGATAACCCATTTTGAAAGCTGACCTATATAACACCACCTAGCGACCAGTTTTAGAACTAAAGTACAAAAGCTTTTAAGTCATTCTCAGTCTAAGAAAGCACTTTAGGCCATTAAAAGTCTTGTCAAAAATTGATTATGAATTTGCTTGAACAATGAAAAGGGTTTTCCTAATTTTTGTATTGGATAGTTTGGATTAATGAATGACCGTCTTGTTATCGTCAGGTGCACGAGAAAAAGCGAGACCATGCTGATGCCGCAAAAATTGTACTGAAGAATATGGCTCTAAAGAAAGTTGGATGATGTTTCTGTTTCACTTGTAATCTGAAGTGTTGTTAGCATAATGTACATATACAGGTATGTCCACAGTGTTATGTCTCTAGTTAATAATATACTGATCCATTTTACATTACTTCATGAATATGAACCTGTAACTGAACGCACAGCGAACGTTCATAATATTGCCGTTGACATTGGATGAACGACAGATTTATTGAAATATGTTATCTCGTTTTAAAATCCCTGAAGTTGGAAAGAGAAGGCCTAGTTATGAGCAAAAACCTGACCGGACTACTGTTATAAGGGGCTAGTATTTTATGCAAATTTGAACTGCTTCCCCTTCTATTTTGGGTACTTTTGTAGTATACCCCCCACCCTGTAACTTTCTGTAACTTTCACTTTTCAAACAGTTTTTTACATTTTCTTGTTCATCTATGTCAAAGCTGTTGAAATAAAATGCTTTTGTAATTACCTGTGGACTTTTCATTAGTTTTAATCACGTTTAATCCAGCCCATTGAAATACAATGTTAGAATCTTCAATTTACACCCGCAGTCAATAACTTGCCGCGTTTTCGTTGGCTAACTCTAAGGTAATTTTATGTGAACAAGTAGCTCATAATAATTTCACAGAGGAAGTCCAAGTATACAATGTATCAATCTTATGTTCACATAAAATAAGTTCGAGTTAGCCAACGAAAACGCTGCAAGTTATTGACTGCAGATACATTGTAAATTTTCACATTGTATATTTCAATGGGGTGGATTAAACGTGATTTAAACTAATAAAAAAGACCACAGGTAATTACAAAAACATTTTATTTCAACAGCTTTGACATAGGTGAAAAAGACAAAGTAAAAAAATGTTTGAAAAATGAAAGTTTCAGGAAGTTACAGGGTGGGGGGGTATACTACAAAAGTACTATTTTGTTCAGTCGTTTTGTTGACTTAGGCTTCATTCACATGGAAAGTCTATTTTCTAAAAATCTATTTTCTATTCGCGGTATCTTATGATCACGGTCTGTGCCCTTAATATCCCGTGGCGAAATTACTGGCAGTGCGAGCCAGTTACTTATACAAAGCTGTAATTAATTCTCGGCTGGGGAAACAGCCTGTCTGACAGGTCATGACCACTTGAAGTGCCAGCAGTCCTGCAAAATTTCTGATATCTCAGAACTGGCAAGATTTATGAGAATAAACAATGCATACAAATAAATCACATGTAAACATAGTTTAACGGAAATTAAGTACTTAGTTCAGACCAGAATTGGGGGTGCCGGGCGGAGGGGGGGGGGGGGTAGCCTGCAGATTTCTTGTGGTGCAATTCCTCCAAACCTTCAGTTCTATCTCCAAAGTTTACCCCATATCTGAAAATTATCAGCACAGGATTTATAACCTTTAATTAACTTTGGGGATGAAATATTTACGTAATTCATCAGATATCAGTATACTTCATTAAGTGTTTTTTCTAGATATTAATGCTGTAGTTGCTCAAATGGATTATTGGTGAAGGAAAGCAGGTTAAATGCCTGTCCTATATGAGGTCATAATACCATGGACTAATTGTTACAATTGAAGAGAAAAAGGCTTGGGCCTAAAGAAGATAACATCAGACCCATCAGACCTTTAAAGTTTTTGCCATGTCTGCACTTCAAAGATGAGATAAGTAAAGACCCTAGCTGGTTTCAGAATCCCATCATGTCAGCTATCACTAATTTTATTTTCCTACTTATCGTGTTCCAGTTGTATCCCATAGTCCAGTCCAAGACCTGTGAATTATATTTTAACAATGGATGGTTCCGGACAGAATTTTCCTAACTATGGCCATAGTCTGTCAGTCTCGTCTCAGGTAGGTTAAACAGATGTTTCTATTAATTTAGTAAATGCATGTTAACTTTAATTTATAAATAAAGCTGGCATAATATTCAAACCTCTTCTTGTAGACATGTTATTTTCTGCTCGCTTAAAAATTAATGAATTTAGTGCACTTCTATTTTACTGTTCAGTTTGAATATTTTGTTTATTAGAGTGGCATTAGTATGGAAAATAGGATAAAAATACTTTTATTCCACTTCTTCACTCTTGCTTAGAAAATGCATTTAATTGCTCTCTGCCTAAATGCTAAAATACGGTTTTATTGAAATCTCTTTACTCCCTCATGTTTCTCAGGGTAGTATAATGTCCCCAGCCATGCACTCGGGATACCCTGGGTCCATGACAACGACAATGTTACCAGGAGCATCTCCAGGGGGCTTGTTTCCACCACCGACCCCAGGGGGACCTTTGACTCCCATGACCCCAGCCACACCAGCATCAGAAGGATCTGGAATAGTTCCACAGCTACAGTAAGATAACATTATAGCATTTCTAAGAAAGAATTGGATTTAATGGAATTATGTTAGGAAAATGAAGAAATGCATATTTTTTGTTAGAAATTGACCATGTCTTGCTGAAGAAGTATTTTAGTGATGAATGACATAGTTATTTATTTTCATTTCATTTTTGAGAAAGGTAAATTAGACATTATATAGGCTTTTGATAACATGTTCAATACTTCAAAATTTATGTTCCATCTTAGCTTTCCTTTTATATCCTTTTGAAAAAAACTGTATCCAATTGCTTTTTCTGGATCAATTTTTCAATTGACATCTCTCATTACAACTTTTTGTGTATTGTCTTAAGTTTGGACATTTTTTACATAAATATAAAGTTTGCTTTTCTATTTTGATAGTTAACACTAGGAATGTAATATTTGAAAACGAGGAAAAATCAGCCATGAAATTTGACAATTTGTACTTACTCTTTTTCCTAATATTTTATTGCATTTCCCTTTTTCTCATTTCAGAAATATAGTATGCACAGTGAATCTAGGCTGCAAGCTTGATCTCAAGAAGATTGCTCTGCATGCTAGAAATGCAGAGTACAATCCCAAGCGTTTTGCTGCTGTTATCATGAGGATAAGAGATCCTAGGACCACAGCACTCATATTCAGCTCAGGGAAGATGGTGTGCACAGGGGCAAAGAGGTAGAGAATCTCCTGCATGAATGTAAAATTTTCACCTTTGACTTATTGTAATTTGGTTCTTATTATTCATGTTATGCTAGGCTTTTGACTATGATGTCTGTACCCCTTGGTGTTTTTCTTGTTCAGTAATGAGTTGCTGATATATTTGTGTTTTCAGTGAGGAGCAAGCAAAATTAGCAGCTAGAAAATATGCCAGAATTGTACAGAAATTGGGATTTCCTGTAAGTATTCCTTGTTTCCAATATTTTGCTTGAGGTTGCTAATTACAAAGCGTATACTTGGCTTTGCTTTTTTTTTTAAATTAATTATTAAAAAAAAATTTTTTTTAATTTATTTTTGGGTTTTTTTCCCCTTTTAAATGATTAACAATGTTCTGCTAACTTTTTTTTAAAGATACATTAAAAGCAGTTTTGCAGGAAATAATTAACAAAACACCACCTTCACATCACCATCCAATCTAAATATTAAACAAGATTTTTAACATTCCATTGCCAGTAACATACTTAAGTCTTCGTAATAAAAATTCCAATTAATCCAAAAATTATAGCTTGCCCTTCCAACAATGAGTCTGTGCATTTTCTGTTGAATAATATTTGAGATACACTATTTCTAACATAATTCCAATACCATCTCAACAACTATATGGCATTCTTTTCTAGTTTCAGTGTATCTTAAAGCAAAGGGATTACATTCAGATAGTAATAAATAAATAAATAAATAAATAAATAAATAAATGTAGACTTATCAGTATCATCAAAAACTGGTTGATAGCATTTGCTTTTTATTAATTTTAATATAAATATAAACAGAAGTTTCTGAATATAATATAATTATATTATATTATATTATATTATATTATATTATATCATATTATATTATATTAATGATTTGGATTCTAGGCCAAATTTATGGATTTCAAGATCCAGAACATGGTGGGTAGCTGTGATGTAAAGTTTCCCATTAGACTGGAAGGTCTTGTACTCACACACGGACAGTTTTCAAGGTAAAATTAACACACAAAACTGACCTGCTATATGTTACCTGGAATTTGTACATAATTTTTACTTAGAATAAAGCTTTTTTTTTCATAAATGAAAAAATTAACTTACTAAAAGATTTACAAATATATTGTCAACAAGGAAGTAAAATATTTTTAATTAATCAGTATTTTATTATCTTGCCAATCATTAAAATTATTAACACATTATTCTTTGTAACCATTGAAAGATATATGTACATTTCAGTTATGAACCAGAGCTGTTTCCTGGTCTTATATACAGAATGGTTAAACCTAGGATAGTACTGCTTATATTTGTGTCAGGAAAAGTAGTATTAACAGGTAAGAAATTTGTTCTGTAAACAGATTCAATTCAATGTATTCTTTGTGGTTGTGGTCTCTGTAAAGTATAAAGTATACTAATGTTGCTTGATTTATGGTCAGATGATAATTAGATATTCACCCTGAAATAATTTCATATCTAATTCACTGTTTGCTGAATATAGTAAATATTTAAAAGTGGCTGAAAGAAACTTTATTTTCAATTTTCAGGAGCCAAAGTTAGACAAGAAATTTATGAAGCATTTGAGAACATTTATCCAATATTAAAAGGTTTCAAGAAAACATGATCTGAATTACAAGAGAGATATGTATCTGCTTAAAAGAAATCCTGCTATGTCATATTTTATTTGCCAAGGTTCAAAAGGAACGCAAGAAACATTCATTTAAAGAATGTTAGAAAAGTTGTCCAAAAACACTTGACTGTTCTATAAAATTTAATGTGGATTAGTGCCTTAAGATAAAGGGCATTAAATAGTCATTGGGGCAAACTGACTAATTCACACACCCTAAGTGTTTTGTGAATCGAAGCAAAAGAGTTTTAACAAGAAATGGTGGACACTGCATTTGGTTTACACACAGAAATACTGAAAGGCAAAAACTTATGTGGCAGTGGATTACTTGAAGTGCTTCTGATTTTTGCTCGGATCTTTGAAAAGTGCTTCTGAATAGTGATAGATTCATTTTTACAGTTAAAGTTAGTTTCAGTTGTTAATTTATTTTACTTGAACTGCTCGCTGACAAAAAGTTTGAAATGTGTTTGTTAATATAATTTTACATTTACTCCGTATAAGTGAACCAGGCAGTTGCAGATTAGCATTATACAGGGTGGATTAAACTGTCTTGAACTTCAGATTTATAGATGGTCTTATTCGGTTAGAGTAGTAATTCATTATAATTTAATTCAATCCCATATTATTTGACTTCAGTGTTGTCTCTGGCACATAATCATGTTGACTCTAGCTTTTCACATCTGAAATTGTGAACATGTCCCTTCATATGTGTATGATAATTTTATCAGCATCTTGAGTTATATGCTCCTTATTTTTGTATTTTACTTATTTTCATTATTTTTTTTATTTTCAACTGTTTATCTTTGGAATGTGGTGCTGTTTAATAATATTATCACAAAATTTTGTGGATTGAACCTCGGTTTCTTTAACAACTTTGGAATTGAATCAAGTTTCAGCTGGTTGAAAATGTAGTAAAATCTGTTAGGAATGACATTATTTTTGTATTTATATCAGTTATATAGGAATCCCATATGATATTACGATGAAAGCAAATTCATGGTTTTTGACGTGAAATGATGGTTAGGCTTTGAAAGGGATAACATTGTACAAGAACTTGTTAGCACCCCTGGAAGTTATCCTATTTGTATTCATATTCTTTTTATATTATTATTTGTAAGATTATCATTCATTTGAATAAAATATTACTAGGATTATAATAATAAAATAAATACAATCCCAATAATGGCAGTGTTCTAATTCTTAAGTATGAAATTTTTTAAGTATTTTCTCCGTTTCACTTTTAAAACTAATTCTTTCATTCCCAAAAGTTTATTTCGCGGTCTCTTCAGTGATTGAGTTTTGCAAACAGAATAACATTACACATCCTTTAGCTGATGGTGCTAGCTGCTTCCAGAATGGCTTGTCATACATGTTCAATACTTCCTGTATGCTGAAAAACTTGATGTCCTCTGTTTCATCTGCTTCTGCATGGTCCCCTTGACAATAGCGCTTCTTCACATCTTCAGAAGATAAATTACACCTAAATCAAATATCACAAGCATAAGGCTACACTGTATTGAAATTGCTCTTATAAATAACTTTGGAGAATTCAAATGCTTGACCAACTTTAACTTTGATGCTTCATTTAAGGTTGTACTCTTTGAAAACTATATACTAGTAAGAGAAATTACCACAGATAAAATGAAGGAAAGATGTATCTCTTAGTAGATATTGGGTGGAGTCCTTGCCTCAATGTTGTGAACTTAACTGTCAAAACAATTACTCAAAAAAGCAGGAACATGTACACTCACTTTACAAAGAACTCTACACTTGGTCTGCCTGCACTTGTTGTATTTCTTGCTATACCTATTAAAACAGGTTCAGATAAGCTGGCAAGAGGAATGTTTACTTCATCTCGTATTTCCCGTAACACAGAATCATAGATTTCCTTAACTATATCTGCCGGTGAAAGAGCATCCAGCTTTATATCTTCTGCTTCAATTTTTCCAACCAGTTCCTGCAATTACACCTGACATTTGAGATGGCATTCATTAAGTATTTATAATATATTTATAATAAACATCACAGTTATTCAGTTAGCATAAGAATGTATGCATAAACACTTATATAATAATATGTGCAAATACAGTGATATATGATAGCAAATACAGTACATACCAGGGACCCTAAAAAGGAATGCTCATGCATGAATTTTCGTACTATGACTAATTTTGTTAATACTTTTGAAAGGCCATTATCAACATGCTAGTATGGTCACAGTAAAATAAAATGTAGGCAGCATGCATCACCATAAATACATATAAGTACATTATATCGACAGTTGTTCTTGAAGTTAACATTCACCTCGGGTTCGGCATGTCCACCTGGAATGTCATAAAGTCCAACAGCTTCACCACATTTGCTGCTTCTCTTCATAAATATCACCAGGCCGTCACTAGTTTGCAGCAAGGAACCAACTCCCATAGCGTCTGACATGTATGCCTGCGTGTTGTTGTGTTCTTTAATGCCCAATTCCTGAAAAGTCCGTGACTGTGGTGACCAGTTTGTTGTAATGAAGTCTTTGTAACATGTTATACCTAAATGAAAACTGAAGCAGTCACTTTCTAATTTCGTTGAGTGCAGACGAAATTTTGTCCCATTCCACAACGAAGGGTTTTCCAACCTTCTCCTAGACCAAACATCATCAAACGTCTGTTCATATTGCTGGGGTAGTTTATGCCTGTTGTATTTTTCGTCCAGTATTGCTTTCGTATTGTGTCGCATTATATTAGATGTTGAAGATGCTACAAACATCAAAGTAACATCAGGATCTTTCAGTTGGATTGCCATCGTGTGCGTGTGTTGACGGAAGTAGATTAGTAAGTAAAGAATCAAGTGGAACAACTGGGACTCTTATTTTGTCACAAAATTTACTTGTAAGAAAATATTGTATTACCTTTATCTCAAAATTTTCAAAGAAATTTTTTCCTACACTCATTTAATTATCTATTGATTTTATATATAATGAAAAATAGTTGCAACTTTAACCTTAACCGGAAGTATAGTATACGCATGCGCTTTCTCCATAGTGACCAGCAAACAGGTTCGTCGTTCAGTAAGCAGATTTTGGCGAACGGAGAAGCATACAGAGAAATAAGAAATACATAAAATCATGGAGGCAGAGTCTTTGCATCTTGAGGTTGACTATGTAGGGTCTAGTGGAACTATTCTTAGTCCCGAGCAGAAGGCTGCTCTTCAAACATCACTGGTGATCTTGAAAAACAACCAAAAGTTCAATCGCGTTTACTACTGGGGAAAGATACTTGGAGTAAAGGATGATTATTTCATTGCCCAAGGAATAGGCAAAGATGAAATGAATGACAAGACTACATTATACAGGTAAGTTAATTACTTAATTGAATGTATGATGCTCAACTGTAATAAGTGAACAGTTTCAGCAGCTTTGAATGTACTTAATGTAAAACATCAATAATAAAGAATCTTCACTGAAGAAAATAAATTCTCACAGGTCTTGTTAACATGAATATATTATCATTATTATTATTATTCATGTTTAACATATAATCAGTGTCGAAATTGAAATGTATAAATGAATTGTGGTGATACTGATAATATCTTTTAAAATCAAATGGGACTCAGAAAAAATTATGATAAGAGTGGAATTATTCATTCGTTATGTAGGAATTAAATGGAGAGAGATTTGTTGAATTTATCCATTTAATATGTGTTTTGAAATTGCTATCACCAGAATGGTTATGGATGTGCATTTCAATATTTTTAGCAAGGATTGTGTAAATTGGAATCTTTTACCACCAGCCACAGATGCCATGAAAAAAACATCTCGTCTTGCAAAAGGAAGGTTTACAGGTGATCCTTCCTATGAGTTTGAGCATGTAGAAGTTAAGAAGACATACGGAGAAAATGATGAAGTACAGGAGGAGGAGGAAACAGTAAGAAGAATTGGTCTTTTCAATAAAATCTCTCACTTTTTAATATCAAATTCTTTTATTTCAGAAGAATTTATCAGATTCCATTATATTTTTTAAAATATTTTATATGTTTGAAATGTTTTACTGGTTTTGATCAATAAGTGATTAAGTAAGAAATAAAGCTGGTAGCAGCACTTTTAAAGATTTGACCAGCAGCACTTCGTTAAATTTTGTTAAACCCTTGTATGTTTTAGACACTACAACATGTACATGTAATATGTTCATCAACTTCAGATTCCAATAAAGGAGGAAGACCGTCTAGCCTCAGTAATCTCAGATATTGATAATGATGTAAGCATTGTCCCAAGAGCAGCTTTTATCAAGAGACCAGCAGGACAAGTTGTGAAAAACAGAAGTTTTGAAGGTAATCAGTCTGTCTGATTTCTTACTAATGGCAACTAACATTATTAGGGAATGCAGTCATATTGTACTCCACCCTAATGCCAAAATTTTTAACCTTCTAATTTTTTAAGCAATCAATTTGTTAATGTGGGCATCATTCCATCAGGATAAAATTAGTTTTAAGAGCTTTTAAGTCATGAAATTTTTAGAATGTATTTCTACCTAGAATGTAGAGACACTTAACAATGATCAGTTTCTGTGACTTATAATAATTAAGCAGCAGTGGCAGCATTGAGCTGAACTTAATACTGTATTGGAATCATAATGATCCTTAAGCACAATAACTAGTAAGAGTATAATTCAAAGAATAATACAATAAATGAGAATAGTGGTTAACTTTTTAATTTATTGTTTTATTGCAGGTCTTACAGTGCAAGAGGCAGCAAAATTGTCATCATACATGCATTTTCGAGATGCTGTAAAGCTCAATGAAAAGACTCTATTACAGAGGGCAAACCTGGACAAGGCTATAGATTTCTTAGACATAATTGAAGAAGACATACCAAAAGGTATTAAGTGTTTTTAATATTCATCTTTTCTTTCATAAGATTGTTCCCCACAGTGTATACAAAGGAACATAATGATTATGAAGGATTTCCTGAAACGTATCCTTTTTTGACATTTTACACGCCAGAGAAAATTCTGATAATGTTTGGCCTTGTATCAAAACTATTTCCAGTATTTTAGAAAGTAAAAAACTTCAGTCTATATTAATAGAACAGTTTATTTTTCAGCATTGCTCTCATATCACAGGTAAATTTGCATATCCCTTGCAACATGTATATTTATCTTCGTGTTCATATTTCTAGGTTCATGGAGTCTCCAGTTTGAGCGTGGCAGTGGCTTGGTCACATTGAGAAGTCTTCTGTGGCTGGGATATGTATTCTACCATGTCCCAGGCACTCGGAAGTTTGGCTGTGTCTACACTGGCACAGGGGAGAAGAACCAAGATCTGCCTTTCATGTTGTAAAATGGCAGAAAACTTTGTAAGTAACTTCAAATTGACTGGACACCAATAAGGAGAGGATAAATATCGTCTTGGATTTGGATCCCCAAGGCAGCATTTGTCACAACCAGGCCTTTGTCACAACTAGCTAAGATGAAATAATTCGATTTGTAATGAAATCAAGGATTTTTTCAACAACCAAGGGCATACAGAGTAATAAGAAAGCATAAAAATGTTGCTTTTTTTCCAAAGATCTGTGAAAAACTGATATCTAAACTTTACATTCATTTCCTGAGAGCTATTGAAAGAGCTTATCTTGGATGAATGAAATCTTTTGTCTTGAAAAATTCTGGAAAACATGTACAGTGTAGTAATTTCAGCATTATTATATGTTCTTAATGTGTAAATAAATTTGTATTCTTTATACCTTACATTTTGTTACTTCCCCAAACTTCTCATTATGTACTTGCCCTAGACTTGCTATAGGAACAGCAATATGGTTTGTTGCAAATTCAAATTCAAAGTTTGTTCAAATTAAAAGCACACTTGCAATGCATAAAATTTTAATCCACTTTTGGTGCACATTTAAATTTGCATTCATCTAGTCTTTTTCTAGTGGGTAGATGTCTGGTTTTAAGGAACTGCAGTCTGCTAATTATAAGTTAACTATAAACTGGTATACATGGAGCGTAAATATAAACACCCCATCCAATACTTCTAAGATTTTATCAGCAATATGGGTTATATATGTACCTCCTTGATATGAGAAAATAACCAAATGGTGTATTCAGGTGTCAGAAGTTTGACACGTTCTTCTGTTAAAATGTCTGTAACTTACATCAATTGAAAGAGTTCAACATATCAGCAATTTTTACCATGATTTCTTTTACCTTAAAATAAACCATCTTATGCATATGCTGTGCAAATTTAAGTACACTCTCATTCTCCCCTCAAGCAAGAATCAAAATTAACAATTGTGAAAACAAGACTGTTTAGATATGAATTTATTCATTAATGACAGACATGAAACAATACGATAACAAGTGTTCAAATATTTATGCCAATCCTACCCCAATTTATTTTAACTTCAATTGTTCAGTTCTAGTAATTAAATGTAAAGCCAGTGGGTAGTGGCTATATACAAGCAGCATTAAACAACAAGCAACCATTGGATTAAGCAGAGCAACAGAATGTACACACAAAAAAGAATGAAGTAATAAAAATTTGAATTAAATTTCAGCATCTTTACTGTTTTGTCTAAATATCCACATTTCATGTGCAACTTTAAATCGTCAAAGAATGGTATACTGGGAAATTCTAGACCCTAAAAAAAGAAACAACAAAAACAGTAATTGACACCTACTGGAAACAAAGATAATCCTTGAATCTATGAAAATATTGGCAGCTGAGTTATATAATGACATTCATCTCAGAAAAATCTCTTTACACAGTTAAAGAAAGTAACCATTATTTTTTGTTATTCATCACCTGAATAAAAATATATTCCGACATATCAAAGCAAATGAACATCGCTGTATATATGCTATCTAGGACTTTTAAGTCCTTCAGAAGGGAGCAATCCTTTGAAACCAATTATAACAAAGATTTCCAGGTCCCTGGTGAGAAACTGCGAGTATTTGTGAGAGGAGAGGAGTAAGCATTTCAAACAAAATGATGTTAAATGGAGGTTGAATTATCACATAAAGCTCAAGCCTGGTACTGATACTTCGCCACTTATTCCTGATAGAGCAGCTATTAATGTGAAAGCTTTGCCATTTGATCCACAGATTAATTACCACTTTACAAAATTTCCTTGAGAGTTCAGTTTTTACTAGATTTCAGCCAAGATTAACGAATTGCTATGAGTCCAGACTCCAGTAGTTTCTGTATTTTGCTGGCAACTTCAGGATTCTTCAAATGCCTGAAAGAAAAATGTTAAATAGTACAATATTGTTCATGGTGAAATTGTAGAAGTGATTCCCAAAGCATGTTAACTAATAGTTAGTTTAATATCTTTTGGATGAGTTTTGTTTGGGTCAAATATAGCTATTTGTTTAATAAGACTAACCAACTAAAACAATTTATATCAAAGTGCAAGACTAGACATATACATTTTTGTATACATACTCTTGAAGTGCTTTGGGGTCTTTCTGCATCTGCTGCAGTATAAGCTGCATGGCTGGGTCCCCTAGAATGGCCTGGATCTCTGGATCTGCCATTGCTCGCTTACGAACAGACTCGGGATCGTCATCACACATGACACACCTGCGGTAACCATCAATTGCTTCCTGTAAAACAATTAAACATAATATGTTAAAGCAAACTGTAAAAAAAAATGTCTAAAAATCCTTTGATTCAAAAACAGTCTGAAAATTGGCATGGTTTGGTGTGTTAGTTATACTGTGATTATGGTGCATCAGTGGCAGGCTTGGCATTACTAAACAACATGTTCAGTATGCAAAATATAGCTGTATTAGATTCTATGGTTCTCTATGTGACTACCTGTCACTTAGCTTTGAAATAAATTATTTTGGTCTCTGTATAATTGCAAAGTTAAACTCCTTAAATAAAGCACTTTTTCTATGTTTTGGCACTTGCATAAATGTCACAGTGTGTTAAATGTGACATTATGCAAGCTGCGACAGACTAACCTGACAAGTGTGATCAAGCTCCATTGCCTTCTGGTAGACCTCCGCTGCTTTCCGTGTGTCCTTCATGGCCAATAGGCAGGCTCCTTTCCTGAGGTAACCTTTAACTAAAATGCACCAAATACAGCTTTAAAACTCCAGGAAAGGGCATTAATTCACATTACTGTGATCACCATTCTCCAAATTTTCAGCTGAATATAAAATCATTCACTTCATTGTTATCTGTCACCCAAGACAGCAATTAGCTATATAGAGACATTACAATAACTGCACAATGTGCAGACAAGCACGTGCTTTGAAAGAAATGACTGTAACATTGGGAAATGCTAGTCTTTTCATCCACCTAAGATATCCACTATAAACTTTATTTTATCAAAAACTGTATTTTTTTCCTTTCCCAGTTCCTCAAGTCTAGCAAATCATGCATAATATTAAGCATTCACAAAACATACACAAGTAAAGGTAGACAGGTGCCACACCACTGAGCATACATATAGTCAAGTGGCCATTCAAACTGAAATGATTTATGCAACAATAACCATATAAATGCTACTATTGAATATGTGACATTAGCTGACCACTTACTAAATTTTGGGTCTAGTTTGATGCACTGTTCACAGTCACTAAGAGCTAGGGAAAATTCCATCAGTTTTGTGTAGCAGGCAGCTCGGTTGCTGTAGATCTTAGCATCTTCTGGATTCCTCTTGATGGCTTCCGCATAATGTTTTAAGGCTGTAGGGTAGTCACCTGGAATTTGTATTGAATGTATATATTAATTACATGTCGTAAATCAATTTACCTTTTTCTTTGGAAAGCAGTTCAAATCACACATTCTCACAAGGAAAAATACCAACAATGTCAAGTGATGCACACAACATATCAAAATTGCAACAATCTTGTCCACTAACAGTACCAAAAAAACTAAAACGATTGGAGCTTTCCTTGTTTCCAGAGCTAAAATATACCATGATCTTAATTACGAAAGCCCTGTCTAATGTGAACTGAGTTCATCTTGCCAATCTGGTTGATACTAAACATATATCAATGTATTATTCATAATTAACAATCCGTTGTTAGCTCAAAATTTCAGCTCAACCTCTCATGTTGTTAGTGTGAACCAGACTAAATTATCAGGCAAAGTTAAAGGTCACACATAACAATTTATTAACTAATATCTAAAGTAATGTAAACTAATGTGGCATTTTGGATAGTTGAAATTCGCCAGACTAGAGCCCATACCTTCTTGGAAAGCTTTGTTGCCTTTGGTCTTCTCCTCCAAAGATAGTTCTGGATTAATGTACGCTAACTTTTCACGCTCTTTAAGTTTCTTCTCGATCTGAAATATGTTTGTATGAAAATAAACACAAACCACACCTACGGAATCTTCTTTCTATTTTGCCAAAGGTTAACAACATTTATTACTATAACTAGCCTTGCTTCAAATTAATAAGCACTTTAAAACACTAAACCATTATTAAACGCTTTGCACAGAAATGCCCTTTTTCTGTCTACCTAGTCCATCTACTTAATCAAACTGGTAAAAAAAAAAAAAACCCGATTTTAATGAAACATACTCACCTCCTTTGCTTTCGATGTCACTTCTGGTGTTCTGTGCTCTGAGAGGGCCTTGTTGTAATAGGTGAGTGCATTCTCTAGATCTTCTTGCTTATTGTACGCATTACCCATTCTCGCATATGCCCTGGAATGTGAAGTTAGTGGGTGGTGAAAATGGAGTGCACCATAAATACACTTTCTACTGTGATACTTAAAAGAATACATAACCAAAGTGTACAATAAAGTAGTTGTGCAATAATTTTATTATTAAAACTGTGCTTATAATCAACAAGATCAATAAGGAAAAGAAAATATTTTGTAAGCAAGATGCCTAATTTATGTCATGCTAGACAAGTGATTATGGCCTAGGTAGTCTGACTAAATCTTGACTAAGGCACATACGAGATTAAGAAGCAGATGGATGAAAAAGGGTAAAAATATACAAGAACTTAGTACTTACTTTGCAAGAAGTTTGAAATCTGCCCTGTTTTCTCTGCCCACTTCTATTGCTTTTTCGCATGTTTCTATACACGACTTTAAGTCAGATTGTTCAAAGTATACAGCTGAAACAAAGTAAAAATGTTTTAAAAACTCTCAATCCACATTGCTGCCCAAATTCGATTTCTGAAGTAGAAATTTTGATATAGATCTAAGTTTAGGGTAACAGCTTTCTGAAACCTAAGAGAAAGAATAACACAGTTGCAGTCACCACTGCAGTTTCCACTGCCTCAGTAGCTTACAAAGTCATGCCACCTTTCATAACACTTCTCATTGATTTTTTAAATCTAATTAGGAACACCAGTTGTCCAAACAATAGGCCTTTCACAAGCTCTTACCTGCTTTATTTGTAAGAAATGTAATATTGGTAGGGTCCAACCTAATGGCTTCATCATAATGTTTAATAGCAGTTTCAAAGTCCTTCTTTTTGTATGCTGCATTTCCTTTCTCCTTTTCTTCAAGAGCCTGAAAGATTTAGTTAGAAAACATTTAGAAAGCAACCTCCCTAGATAATCTTACACTAGATAATCTTACATTTTTACTACTATCATGGCTACATTTTGAATCTCTGAAAGGAAATTATCGTTTATTGTAAACATCCCAAATTGTGCAAATTAAAAAATTGTGTGTCTTCCACCAAGTCAAATCAATTTTAAGCCCTTGACCTTTCAACCAGTCATCTCAACCAAAATATACCAATCACTAAAATAAAGCAAACCATTCAACTCAAAACTTCCACATTGTTATGCCACATGGTAACTATACTGTCTGCTCATTTCACTCAGCTCACCAAAAAGAACTCTGATACCTTATATGGTCACACTATGAGAAGTCAACTTGTATTTTTCCTCCAATTCAAAAACCTCACTCCATTATATTGATACCAAAAACACAAGAGTATTTTCCAGTTAATAATGTTCAACATTTTCCCCAACCAGTCAGTAGATATTTTTTAACATGACAACCATAACACATAATTGCTAGGAAATTGTATTTCCAAATCCAGTTACACTGTGCACACCCAACTACCACACTTAACACACTGGGTGTGTCAATCAGCACCTTCTTCTGGTCATCAGTCAATTCAACAGTCTCTTTGGATTTTGCGTTTGCTGCATTTTTCTGTTGAAATGCAGCTTCTTTCTCAGCCTCCTTTCTCTTCTCTCTCATCTCGTTCACGGTGTCTTTCACATCTTGTTTGTGGAGTTCTTCCTCTCCCTGGAAATCCAGGTCCATTCCCAAGAGAACTCCCAGGGCAGTCATGATACGAGGGTCATTGTGATATTTCCTAGAATCCATGACATTTTTTTTTTCATCAGAGATATGTCAACAATTTATCTTTTTTTCATGTGCACTTTATTTAGGAAAATTGGTTAAAATTAAGACATGAATCGTGACAATACTTTCTTAAACACTGTGCCAATGAACTTGATGAATTCCCCATCCACTGATATTTTTTTGGATGCCAAAATTGCATGAGTTTTTTTTTTTTTTTTTTTTTGCCATCTTCAGTAAAATAAAGAACACAAATACAACGGTTCCAATATAATCATCTTACCCTAATGCCCCTGGATTCTGCTGTAGGTCTTTCATAGCATTGACAAAGTCTGTGTCTTTCATCAATTCCCTTGTTCTAGGTTCAGCAATCAATTTTTGGAAAAGGTTTGGGTCAGCAAATGGATTCATGACTGGTTCACTGCCAGCAGGACCTACATAACATTTTCCTTCACAGTCAATATTGCAAATGTTTTTTATAAATATCCTTACAGAAAAACCTAGTTTCAGACATACAGGTTTTCACCATATGCTTAGCACTAAATAATACTCTTACTAGCAATAGAATATGCAATGCACTTGGTTATTCTAATTTTATTCTTACATGATAAATCAAAACTCCTTCAAAAATTATCAATTTTACCTGTCAAAAAGCGTCCCTCATCTTCAACAGCTTGTTTCAGTTGTTTGTTGTCAGGGTCCAGTTTCAGGGCTTGTTCAAATGCCATCTTAGCTTCCTGATGTCTGCTCATGGAAGACAGAGCACTGCCAACCCTCGAGTACCCCTAGAAAAAAAATTAGTCTGTTTATTCATCTTTTTTTTTTTTCTTGCTTCAAGTTTCCAATAATGAGGAGAAACAGATTATTTCTGAAAATCCATTGGGCTCTTAAATTATGCACAGCTATTGTTGATTTAAGAATGTCTTCATTTTAATGATAAACAATTTTTCATATCATATAATTACATTTTTTTCAATTAATTTGACAAAGAGAAAATGGTCTATTGAAACATTTCAAATGTAGGACAATACTGATTTACAAATGCAGAGAAGTCTGTAAAAATCCCAATATAGATCTAGTACATCAATAAACACGACTTCACAGTACAACTTGCCTTTGACCAATCAGGCTTCAATTCCACAACCTTTTCTGCATCAGTGAGGGCTTTCTCAAACTCCTTGGCCTTGATGTGTGCCACTGAACGGTTGCTGTATAAAGCTGGGTTCTCCTTATCCATTTCTATGGCCTGGCTGTACAATTCAATGGCATCCTTGAACTTCCCTGCCTGGAGAGCTGCATTCCCAGCATCTTTTAATTCTGTCACCTGCAATGCCACAGGTGAAGGCCTACCCTGACTAGTACTTGATAATGATGGTGATAAATATCACTGCAACACCAGGCAATATCTACTATGCATAAGGTAGAAATTCCCTCTGATGTGTGATGTAAATATGATTGAGCAATATATACATATAACATACTCAATGCAATACAGAACTATATAATTCCATACCTTTTAATTCAAACATACAATCATAAGCAAACCACACACTCAATGCACACCGCTAACAAGTTTTATGCACACCATTTTGAAATCTGAAACTGTAGTTCATGCACATGATCAGTGCAGAGATGAAAAAACACTGAAAATTCTACTGATCCTGCCATCTTAAGTAATGGAAAATAAACATCTGTCCCAACAAAAACAGATATTTACACAATCAGCACACCAAAAAGTCAATCATTTTCGCCAAGCATGCAAGGTAAGCCACTTGATAAAATGTATAATTATATCCATTCACCAAGTGAACCAGTAGATTAATTACTTAACATCACACACCAACACCAGAACCTATTTATACTGATCATCTTGATGGAAGACACACAATAAAAATATTTAATGTCTAACTTGTTTCATAATGCATAATTTTTTTTCTACTTCTGCACAAATTTGACTTAAACAAATCAAGCAAGTATACACATTTTTACAAATTTGCAATAAATCATAGAGCCAAAATTTATTAAACTCATATTAAGGAAATATTGAAATGCTCAGTTAAAGTTGTAACTCAAATAAACAAAGATCATTTTAAAATTCTAGGGATATATTTGACTGTGCAGTTACANGTCACATAAGGCAGCAATTAGCTATAGAGAGACACTACAATAACTGCACAATGTGCAGATAAGCACATGCTCTGAAAGAAATGACTGTAACCTTGGGAAATGCTAGTCTTTTCATCCACCTTATATATACCCTATTAACTTTTATCTTATTAATAACTGTATTTTTTCCTTTTCCATATCCTTAAGTCTAGCAAATCAAACATAATATTAAGCATTCACAAAACATACATAAGTAAAAGTAGACAGGTACCACACCACTGAGCATACATATAGTCAAGTGGCCATTCAAACTGAAATGATTTATGCAACAATAACCATATAAATGCTACTATTGAATATGTGACATTAGCTGACCACTTACTAAATTTTGGGTCTAGTTTGATGCACTGTTCACAGTCACTAAGAGCTAGGGAAAATTCCATCAGTTTTGTGTAACAGGCAGCTCGGTTGCTGTAGATCTTAGCATCTTCTGGATTCCTCTTGATGGCTTCGGCATAATGTTTTAAGGCTGTAGGATAGTCACCTGGAATTGGTATTGAATATATATATAAAGTACGTGCTGTAAATCAATCTACCTTTTTCTTTGGAAACCAGTTCAAATCACATATTCTCACAAGGAAAAATACCAACAATGTCAAGTGATGCACACAATATATCAAAATTGCAGTAATCTTGTCCACTAATGGTACCAAAAAACTAAAATGATTGGAGCTATCCTTGTTTCCAGAGTTAAAATATACAATAATCTTCATTAGGAAAGCCGAGTCTAATGTGAACTGAGTTCAGCTTGCCAATCTGGTTGATACTAAACATATATCAATGTATTATTCCTAATTAACAATTCGTTGTTAGCTCAAAATTTCAGCTCAACCTCTCACGTTGTTAGTGTGAACCAGACTAAATCATCAGGCAAAGTTAAAAGTCACACCTAACAATTTATAACCTCATATTTAAAGTAAAGTAAAGTCATGTGGCATTCTGGATAATTGAAATTCGCCAGACTAGAGCCCACACCTTCTTGGAAAGCTTTGTTGCCTTTGGTCTTCTCCTCCAAAGATAGTTCTGGATTGATGTACGCTAACTTTTCACGCTCTTTAAGTTTCTTCTCGATCTGTAATACGATAGTAAGAAAATAAACACTGGAATCTTCTCTCTATTTTGCAAAAGGTTAACATCATTTACTATTCACACTAGCCTTTCTTTTAAATAAATAAGCACTTTAAATCACTGAACTATTATTAAAACCTTTACACAGAAATGCCCTTCTCATGTCTACCTAGTTCACCTAATTAATCAAACAGGTAAAAAAAATGGTAAAAAATACTAGATTTTAATTAACTATACTCACCTCCTTTGCTTTCGATGTTACATCTGGTGTTCTGTGCTCTGAGAGGGCCTTGTTGTAATAGGTGAGTGCATTTTCTAGATCTTCTTGCTTATTGTACGCATTACCCATTCTCGCATATGCCCTGGAATGTGAAGTGAGGGGGTGGTGAAAATGGAGTGCACCATAAAAACACTTTCTACTGGGATACTTAAAAGAATACATAACCAAAGTTCACAAAAAAAGTAGTTGTGCAATAATTTTATTATTAAAACTGTGCTTATAAACAACAAGGTCAATTGGGAAAAGAAAACATTATGTAAGCCAGATGCCTAATTTATGTCATGCTAGACAAGTGATAATGGCCTTGGCAGTCTGCCCAAATCTTAACTCAAGCACATAAGAGATTAAGAAGCAGATGGATGAAAAAGGGTAAAAATATACAAGAACTTAGTACTTACTTTGCAAGAAGTTTGAAATCTGCCCTGTTTTCTCTGCCCACTTCTATTGCTTTTTCGCACGTTTCTATACACGACTTTAAGTCAGATTGTTCAAAGTATACAGCTGAAACAAAGTAATAATTTTTTTAAAAACTCTCAATCCACATTGCTGCCCGAATTCAATTTCTGAAGAGGAAATTTGTCTCATTTTGATACAGATCTAAGTTTAGGCTAGGAAACCTAAGAGAAAGAATAACATAGTTGCCGTCATCACTGCAGTTTCCACTGCCTCAGTAGCTTACAAAGTCATGACACCTTTCATAACACTTCCCATTGATTTTTTTTATCAAATTAGAAACACCAGTTGTCCAAACAATAGGCCTTTCACAAGTACTTACCTGCTTTGTTTGTAAGAAATGTAATATTGGTAGGATCCAACCTAATGGCTTCATCATAATGTTTAATAGCAGTTTCAAAGTCCTTCTTTTTGTATGCTGCATTTCCTTTCTCCTTTTCTTCAAGAGCCTGAAAGATTTAGTTAGAAAACATTTAGAAAGCAACCTCCCTAGATAAACTTACACTAGGCCTTTTTACTACTATCATAGCTACATTTTGAATCTCTGAAAGGAAATTATCGTTTATGGTAAACATCCCAAATTGTGCAAATTAAAAAATTGTGTGTCTTCCACCAAGTCAAATCAATTTTAAGCCATTGACCTTTCAACCAGTCATCTCAACCAAAATATACCAATCACTAAAATAAAGCAAACCATTCAACTCAAAACTTCCACATTGTTATGCCACATGGTAACTGTACTGTCTGCTCATTTCACTCAGCTCACCAAAAAGAACTCTGATACCTTATATGGTCACACTATTACCCCATTCACACTACGCTCAGTTATCCAGATAAGTTGCGAATTAGGTCACAATTCGAATAAATGCAGTAGTGTGAACGCAAGAGGATTTCTGTAATGCGAATTTTCAAAATCCTGCAAGCGAGGTGGATTTCTAAGCGCGATCCGAATAACTTACTGGAATCGACACCTGTACAGATCTTACTGCGCATGTGTGCAGATAAGTGCGGGTATCTATGAACACTTGTTTATTACTTTAGCGATTGCACCAAACGTATTTGGAGGTCACCACTCACTACAACATGAGGAAACAAACTTATTTTGCCATCTTATGCTTCCCAAGAATGCTGGAATATCTTTTTGAGATAAATTTGTCGTCACTCTTTTTTGTTGGTATTTTGATTTTTCCTGTGCGGCGCATGCGCAAGTGTTCAAAACAGGAAGTTTAACCTGAAATTTTCAACGTGGGATTCGGTATCACTTTGCGAGTGTGAACACAATACCGAATTGGATTCCTCACGAAAAATCTGTTATAGAAATGCGCATTTTTGCAACTGTAGTGTGAATGGGGTATATGAGAAGTTAACTTGTATTTTTCCTCCAATTCAAAAACCTCACTCCATTATGTTGATACCAAAAACACAAGAGTATTTTCCAGTTAATGACGTTCAACATTTTCCCCAACCAGTTAATAAATGTTTTCCCTAACATGTCAACCATAACACATAATTGCTAGGAAATTGTATTTCCAAATCCAGTTACACTGTGCACACCCAACTACCACACTTAACACACTGGGTGTGTCAATTAGCACCTTCTTCTGGTCATCAGTCAATTCAACAGTCTCTTTGGATTTTGCGTTTGCTGCATTTTTCTGTTGAAATGCAGCTTCTTTCTCAGCCTCCTTTCTCTTCTCTCTCATCTCGTTCACAGTGTCTTTCACATCTTGTTTGTGGAGTTCTTCCTCTCCCTGGAAATCCAGGTCCATTCCCAAGAGAACTCCCAGGGCAGTCATGATACGAGGGTCATTGTGGTATTTCCTAGAAACCATGACATTTTTTTTCATCAGAGATATGTCGACAATTTGTCTTTTTTTCATGTGCACTTTATTTAGGAAAATTGGTTAAAATGTAGGGTTTTTGCCCTCTCCAGTAGATTAAAGAACACAAATACAACCAATATAATCATCTTACCCTAATGCTCCTGGATTCTGCTGTAGGTCTTTCATAGCATTGACAAAGTCTGTGTCTTTCATCAATTCCCTTGTTCTCGGTTCAGCAATCAATTTTTGGAAAAGGTTTGGGTCAGCAAATGGATTCATGACTGGTTCACTGCCAGCAGGACCTACATAACATTTTCCTTCACAGTCAATATTGCAAATGTTTTTATAAATATCCTTACAGAAAAACCTAGTTTCAGACATACAGGTTTTCACCATATGATTAGCACTAAATAATACTCTTATTAGCAATAGAATATGGAATGCACTTGGTTATTTTAATTCTATTCTTATATGATAAATCAAAACTCCTTCAAAAATTATCAATTTTACCCGTCAGAAAGCGTCCCTCATCTTCAACAGCTTGTTTCAGTTGTTTGTTGTCAGGGTCCAGTTTCAGGGCCTGTTCAAATGCCATCTTAGCTTCCTGATGTCTGCTCATGGAAGACAGAGCACTGCCAACCCTCGAGTACCCCTGGAAAAAAAATAAGTCTGTTTATTCATCTTTTTTTTCTTTTCTTTTTTTTCTTGCTTCAAGTTTCCAATAATGAGGAGAAACAGATTATTTCTGAATCCATTAGGCTCTTAAATTATGCACAGCTATTGTTTATTTAAGAATGTCTTCATTTTAATGATAAACAATTTTTCATATCATATAATTACATTTTTTTCAATTAATTTGACAAAGAGAAAATGGTCTATTGAAACATTTCAAATGTAGGACAATACTGATTTACAAATGCAGTGCAGTCTGTAAAAATGCCATTATAAATCTAGTACATCAATAAACATGATTTTACAGTGCAACTTGCCTTTGACCAATCAGGCTTCAATTCCACAACCTTTTCTGCATCAGTAAGGGCTTTCTCAAACTCCTTGGCCTTGATGTGTGCCACTGAACGGTTGCTGTATAAAGCTGGGTTCTCCTTATCCATTTCTATGGCCTGGCTGTACAATTCAATGGCATCCTTGAACTTCCCTGCCTGGAGAGCTGCATTCCCAGCATCTTTTAATTCTGTCACCTGCAATGCCACAGGTGAAGGCCTACCCTGACTAGTACTTGATAATGATGGTGATAAATATCACTGCAACACCAGGCAATGTCTACTATGCATAAGGTAGAAATTCCCTCTGATGTGTGATGTAAATGTGATTGAGCAATATATACATATAACATACTCATATAATTCCATACCTTTTAATTCAAACATACAATCATAAGCAAACCACACACTCAATGCACACTGCTAACAAGTTTTATGCACACCATTTTGAAATCTGAAACTGTAGTTCATGCATATGATCAGTGCAGAGATGGAAAAACACTGAAGATCCTGCTGATCGATCCTGCCATCTTAAGTAATGGAAAATAAACATCTGTCCCAACAAAAACAGATATTTACACAATCAGCACACCAAAAAGTCAATCATTTTCTCCAAGCATGCAAGGTAAGCCACTTGATAAAATGTATAATTATATCCATTCACCAAGTGAACCAGTAGATTAATTACTTAACAACACACACCAACACCAGAACCTATTTATATTGATCATCTTGATGGAAGACACACAATAAAAATATTAAATGTCTAACCTGTTTCATAATGCATAATTTTTTTTTCTTTTTTTCTGCACAAATTTCACTTAAGCAAATCAAGCAAGTATACACATTTCTACAAATTTGCAATAAATCATAAAGCCAAAATTTATTAAAATCCTATTCAGGAAATATTGAAATGCTCAGTTAAAGTTGTAACTCAAATAAACAAAGATCATTTTAAAATTCTAGGGATATATTTGATTGTGCAGTTACATGTCGCACCGGTAGTTGTAAAAATGTTGTATTCAATTGGTAAAAAATAATCAATTCAAGCACGTTTCCTAAAAAGGAAATACCCTTACTGAAACAAAAGTGAAAGTTCACTTCTGTGTAAGACTATGATTAACGTTTTAAGAGAACGGGTCGAGCTTGATAAGGAAGTATGTTAGCTGAGCAAGCCATGACCGTGTGAAGTAAAAAATATTAAAATTAAAACTCAAACGAGAAGTAGTCTCGATTATTTTAGATGGTGATAATAAATTCACCAAAAAGCTATTTTTCATATATCCTTATTAATTCTGATGATAACATACCTTCGCTGGATCCGTCATTTTGTTGCCTTTTTGTAATGATTATAGTATAGTGAGTGATCGTTTTTGTCTAGAATTTTCGGTCTGAAGAAGAAGGGAGAAGCACATGCGAGGCAAGGTCACTCAAGAAAAGCCCTACGTTTAAGGTTACAATTTGCCATCATACCATTTCGTTCTATACTTTTACTTTAATATGATATAAAAGCTTGTGAAAATATATTCTTTGGGGGTTCTTTTGGGTTTCTATCCCTTTTCACAGGTCGTTTCTTTCATTTGGTGCATTTTCTTGAAATAACGCATGCCGTATCGGTTGCTAGCTGCAACCCGGCATTTTTCGCCTCGTGTCTGTGGCAGTAAGCTTTTTAGGTTGGGTAGCTGCAATATATCTTACTTAACTGCAGGGGGCATACTTCTTTAACAGTTTGCTTGGGCGCCTTACTCATGTTTAGGAGAAAACTACAAGCATTAGATTATCCAAATCCAAATAATTTTACCACTGACGGTAAGACTTTCAACGGACAAACATCTTGCAATGTTTTTGTTATAAACAAATTTAATGGTGTAAAATTGTTTTATATTATTTCAATTTACATTTTTCATTACGTATAAAAATAAAAGTTTCTATGCTAAAAAGACATTTTGTACTTCTTCCAGTCTTAGACAAGAAAAAAGCACTTACTTGAAGTACCAGTGTTCATCACTGGCAGTGTTGAAATGGAATGTTTTTCTCTTTTTTTTGGCATATAATGAGTCTTGTACAAGTTAATTATTTAATAGAAATTAATTAAATTTTAATTGTTTTATATATTTTTGAAGTAAATCATCACATAATATTTATGCTCCATAGATGAAAGCAAGTTTCGTTTGTTTGTGGTTTGGCTGGAGGACCAGAAAATCCGACACTACAAAATAGAAGAACGTGCAAAGCTTAGGATGACCGAGGCTCCTGAATGGGACTCAGCATTTAACGAGGTATGATTATATTTACATCAATTGAGCATCATGGACACACTTAAAATTATATCTCCATATTATAACTTTGACAATAATTGGTCATCTGGACTAGTAGTTCTCAGAAGTTAGTTGTTCTCATGCTTACTATGCATTTGTCAAGTCATGTGCATTGTTCATTTTTGCTCTTGCTAGCAAGTCTAAATTATACTAGCCCAAGTTTTGAATTCTGCTGTATTAGTTAAGTAAAAAAAAAGTTCAATGGCATTGTTTTGTCTTAAATTGCAGAGTGACTAGATATTAATTTTCAGGTCCATATTTCTATTTCAGTATCTTCAAGATCTAGGGTTCCCTATCAAATCTCATGATAGGAATGCAGTGACAGAATGGTTGCTTGGCTATGCTGTACGGCTAGTATATGGAGATAATGGTATAATAATATAAATACCCCTCTCTCTCTCTCTCTCTCTCTCTCTCTCTCTCTCTCTCTCTCTCTCTCTCTCTCTCTCTCTCTCGTTTCAGTTGTGATGTAACATCATATTTGACAAAATTTATTTTGCAACGTCGTCTTATCACAGGGCCAATAAAATGTCTTTGAATGATTGGATCTTTTAAAATACTTTAATATTATAGTTTACCTTGATACTTTGTCTTTTGAGTAGTAGCCAAATACAAAGAAGCTTCATATAACCTGGAAACCAAAGAAAAACCTCAAATCCAGTCAGCAAATCCTTTAGATAATATGGATTGTAAGTATGATTAACTGAGAGGCTTAACTGTCATCTTACACACTCTTATGATATTACATAGTTATAACAGCATCTCAACACATTGCATATCTACCCTAAGAGGCTCTTTTTGAGATTATACTGCACTATCTCTTTGCATAGATTCATATTTCACAATAAATTCACCTAAACAACTCATAGAAATTTAATAAATTCCATTTTACCACCAAAACAGCAGTAATTGCAATTATTCTGGATTTTGTGCTTGCCATCAAACCCCATGGACCTTTATAGGTGGTTCTACCTCCACTTTAGTTCATGAAGATACAGAGTTAAACAGTAAAAATATGACATTGTATTTGAATATGGGTTGAAAGTGGGAGATCGTGTGTTGAGATTTTGTTTAGATAGCTTTAGATAGAATATATTAATCTATCCTGAAAAATGTTGTGTTAAGGTTGCATTTGATTAAGTGCAGCTGTGTTGATGTTGTGGTCAGACATGCTAAAACTTTCAATCCTATTGGCCATTACTTATAAAATTGTCAAGTCCGGCAACTATTTTAAGAGGTGTCATTTAAAATTTTCTGTCAGACTGGCAAAATTTCATAACTGCCATTGTCACCAGTTTTCAGCATTTCTCTGGGTTATTATATGGTCATTCATTTATTCTGTAACATTTTTCAGTTGACAGTCCAGACTTTAAGGCAGGAGTGATGTCATTAGCCACCATGTTGAACATCCCACCACACATTGATCACAGAATAGTGCTCAAGGTAGGGATATTATTTATTTATGTATTTATTTATTTATTTTATTTTTTTTTTTGGGGGGGGGGGGGAGGGGGGGGCTGCATTTGGACTTTTGGTTCAAAGACTGGTTGTGCATTTTTTTGAATACATGATTCACAAACATAATGATTTATTCCCTGACCAAGAATGTAGCTAATATGGACATTGTGTTAGTAACCAAGCATCAGCATGAATGCACATGTTTGGTAGCAGTATGAAGAGAAGAGTGAAATGACAGCAAGGGTGACCACCAAATTGATGGAGCATGCGAGCAGTCTTAGACCATGCAAAACCCATTTGGCCTACTACCTGGACAACAAACACATTGTAAAGAATGCAACACTTATTTCCCTTCATGTCATCCTGAGACTTCTCTGCACCACCACAATCCATCCAACATTCACGAAGATCTCCTGTTGGTCAAGGTTCCTCTGGGTCCTCTGTATATTTCCTCTTAAGGATGTAGATAACAGGGGTAGCTATCTTCTAAACCAGCCAAGATATACCAACATGTTACATATCAATAGAAAGCTTATTTCAACAGCTCTTCATTTCATATCCTTATTTTATTATGTAATCGTTACGTAATGAGATATAATGCTTAATAGGTGTGCTCAACATGATCTTTACACCTTAAAAACTAGAAGTCCACTACAAATGGACATGTGTAGACAGCTTGACTCGTGAGCCCTCATAGGGATCAACAAGAATGCGCCTCAAATTAGCGATATGTGTTAAATTNCTTAAGTGACCCATTGCAAGTGGCTTGTTACTTGGGAAGCAACAGGATTTCTGATTGTTTTATTCTGTCTTAGATTTTTAAAATTATTTTTTCAGGCAATTAGTCTTTTGATTACTGAAAGACTCTCCAAGCAAGGTCTACAGGCTAAAGACAAAACAGTTGTAAGTTTGCTACATGTACCACAGCTTTATACATAGAATTTATAATTTTATTATGATATGATATAATATGTTACATTCTGTCACCTGTCATGACATTTTTTATTGTTTTTGTTTTTGCTATTGAAAGTTGAAAAATGACTCATCTATTTTTTGTTTTTTTTAAGCTTTTTTTTTGTAAGTCATTGTGTTAAGGTTCTGTTATGAATTTTTTCAACTATTCTGCCTCATTTAGCACTCATTTTTATGTGGATTAGAAATGTGCCCATATTGATAATTTACTGTCTTTCTTCTTCCAGGACCCTGGAATAACAATGGACAGTATTGATTTAGGATTTGAAGCACCAGGTATTGATTTATTGGCTTTGTTCATTGATTAAATGGATACACATCTCTGGGTGAATTGATAACCATCTCATTGGTTATAGTTAGTGTTTGTAAAATTCAAAAGCTATCTAATTTGTTTTCTGGATAGGTATAGATAATAAGAAAATCAAGTGCATGTAACAGTAATAATTTGAAAAATAGACATTAGACCTTTGCTATTCACTTTTCTTTAATTATCCTGTAAGTTGTAACTGGTTAGTGATTTAGAACTAAATTTCTTAGTTAGGAATGGTATAAAAATATAAATCCATGTGCAGGGGTGGGTTGAGTGATGATTTATGAGCAGGAAAAAAATTGAATTTTGGGATGGCGTTGGAGATTCAATTTGGCAAGGAAACCAGGGATAGGAAACCTTTAATGTGTAGACTATTTTTATTTCTTTCAGACTATATCAGCACCGAGGCTGCCAAGATTTTACGTCTTCTACATATCAAGGAACTACGAGAGCTCCAATCTCAGATCAACCAAGCCATTGTTGCTGTGCAGGCCATCACAGCCAATCCCAAGACTGATCAAAGGCTGGGGAAAGTGGGCCGATAACCTTGATAGAGGATGTTTAAGAGAAGTTAAAACATGTTGATGTTAATGAGCTTTAACTCCAATGCCATTGTTTGATTTCTTGAGCTTATCTGGAAATTTAATTTGATGATGGTGATGATGATCATGATGAAAGAATCCTGGCACAAAGTTTTGAAAAGTTGGACGGAAGCCTTTATACATATCATAGGTTTCAGTCTGGACCCGCATTTTTAGCTCCTTGTTATGCTCTGTAGAATTCAATTAAAGATCTAGAATTCCTTCCGCACAATATAACATGCTGATGCTATTTCTCTGCCATTTTCATTACTATTATAGGAACTCCTTCAGTCATTACATAGTTAAAGATTTTTGTACTATGTTTGAAATTATTTCATGATTTTTTTTAAAGTTATAAATGGTATTTGCTGCCATTCGTTTTTTCTCCAGAACTTGACTGGGCAGATGTTATATAATTGACTATTTTGAGGTATTGATTAATTCAACAGAGCTATATGTTTTGCAATGCAAATAGTTATCAGATTTTTTCACTTTTCTGCATAGTAAAGCATATCGAGAAGTGGCCAGTTTATAATCATTTGCTAGTAGATTTGGGGCATTTGATTTTATTAACCAGTTTATTTATCATCATTTCCATTGTTTTCTGTATTGGAAAACGTATTTTTGTCATGTTCTTTTGTTAGAGTCGTCACAGTAAAGAAGCGAACTAACAGAAGATGATAAATATTTATTAATTTCCAGCAGTCTTACCTTTACCATTGTTATTTGTTAGGTTTATGCCATTATCATGTACGTATATTTGCCTTTTACAATAAAGGGTATTGAATGATGCTGAGAAAACTGATGTTGCTTGTAATGTTAATCTCAACTCTATCATTTGAATTATGTAATATGCTATGCTGTTCTTTATTTATTCAATCATTCCTGACGTAAATTTTCCTTTGAAATTGATTATCACCCTGCTTCATCACAGATCAACCTTTTGCCAACTGCACTTGTCATACAGTCTGCTGTTGAGTATTTGATTTCCTTCTCTATATCCCGTAGAACTTAATGCTGTCGACTGCGTTTTCCTGATCCGGAGTTCCTGCTACCCCTCGCCATCACTTGCGAGCCAACGCGGTGTCCATCTCAGAGTCGTTTGTGGGCTACCCTTATGACAACATTAATCCTTGGACCCCAAGTCGAATCCTCAGCGATAGACGAAATGTCACCGGCCAACCGACTACTGTAGCTTTGGAGAGGGGGGAGGTATTGACTTTAAAGTATGTTGTCCAACGTCGGGCACCAATAACATGGTATCTTAGTGCATTTCAGCTGATGTGGATTGTAATAAATACTATTTTGCATTGTTACTGCTGCTTACTCTCAAACTATGGCTTTTAAAGCTGCGCATATTATTAACAGTCGAAGGATATTTAATCTTGTAATGTGTGAATCTGATGATAATCTAAGCTGAAAAAAAACGCTTTTTTTCATTCCTGTATGAAAATTACAGTTTCCTAGTTCGCTTGCTGTAACACTTGGAAACCCCATCAATCAACATAAAGCAATTATTGTCCGTAGGTCGAAATGAACTGTTTGATTTTCTCGCAAGCTAGTTTGTGATTTTCTTTGAAAATGCCTGAAATAAATTAAAAAGTATGTTTTTGGTTTATTTCTCGTAAATCAAATGTTTACTCTATTATTGTCCAATCCACCTGCTCATAATCAACAGTCCACCTTAGCTAATCTTTTTCCGCCACAATAAATAAACGAAAAAATAATACAGGTCGATATGCAATTTTAGGACATACTTTCAAAAATTGCCGATTTTTACAGAGAGGCCTTTTAATATTAAGTAGAACAGAAACGCTATTCTTAAATACTCATTTTAATGTTAAAAGCATTTAAACAAAAGATGTTAACAAGCGTGGTACGTAAAATACCTGGTAGGTTAAAGAAAACGTGTGTCACTCCTTGCAAGCACAAGACTTCCACGGGGACTCCGGCATCTTTTAACTTCTTCGCGTAAGCTGAAAATAAAGACAGCGTGGATTAATTTCGATATCTTGCCAATTTATCACAATTTTGCTCCCTCTCTCAGCTTCCTTCAACTTCTAAATCCCATTGTATGATGTAAAGTATTTTTGTAATTTCTCATAAACGCCAAAGGAAAACAAGTGCATGAAATCAGGTCAACCCTCGGCAATCGGTTTTAACTCGAATGTTTTAATGGTGAGCAAATGTGCGGCGAAACTAAGCATGTCCTTTTTGTAAATCTAATTTTTAAGACTAAACGGGGCGGATGCTTCATGTAGAAAAACAATAGTCATTTTCTCACTTATCAACGGATATTTTCTTTCTTTCCCTTTTTCCTTTTCTTTGCTTTTTTACATCATTCAGTATTTAATATCAAAGATAAAATGGAACGGAAGTTTGAGGAAACAACATTACCCATTCCTTCATCTATCAGTACGTCGTGACTAGCGGCAATGTACAGGGCCGGAGGAAGATGGTTGAACTTCTCCCTAAGTAGCGGGGAGGCCCGCGGGTGACTCCGCTCGGATACTGAATTAAAAGTGTGATTCGCAAACCTGAAAGTAAAGTTAAAGGTAAGGACAGAAGATCTCGTATAAAACCTGATGCCCGCAATAAACAAGATGTACCAACTTTTATATATTACCCCTTGTGTATATTGATTTGTTCATTAAAACCTGAATCAGTTTGGGGAGCACACAAGTAGAAGTTATTTGAAAAATCGAGTGCCGAACTGCCATTCATAATAATCACTGCCATGACCAGATGCTTTTTTTAAATGTTTGATGGAGTCAATGTATGCTGGTTGATATTTATTTGAAGTCATATAAATACATGTAGTACATTAAACTACTACAGAATGTTTTCATGAATATTATTATTTTCACGTGGAGATAATTCAATTTAATTTAATCTTGGACGAATACAATCGTTTTACTAGTCCTAAGTCCCATTGACGGAACGGGAATAACATTGAAGGGACAGTTTCACCATTAAAAAATCTGTCAAATTATTTTTCCGTATGGTTACTTTTTTAAACTTGGCCTGTTCTGTTGCGGTACATGTAGTATAATCAGTAGAATGATTGTCTTTTACGACGCTGTATATTCAGTTTATTAATTTTTTTCTTTTTATGTATATCTCATCATTATTATGTTGTCAAAAACCTTACCACTCCATCTGCTTCGCAGACATGAAGTATCCAGTGGCAAACTTCTTGTACGACTCAGTCTCTCCCCTCCAGTCGGTAACGGGGCATGTGAGTATCTGGGAAATAATACGAGCACATTTCTTTAAAATGCACGAAGGAATGTCTTTTATCAAATTAGTATGTTCTTCTTCCCAAAGCATTATAGTTGCAAAAAAAGTTGAAAAAACATCGGTTAAAATCATTATTTAATACATGTGCCACTCAAATATATCTAATATAATAGAGATTTACATTTAAAAATCCATAATTTCTTTAATTATACTGTTTAAAAAACGTGCTAGGCGCTGTATGATGTTGTATGTCCTGAGTTAAAACTAGAACAAACACGGCAACACGATTTCCTTGTAAAGTCTTACCTGGAGCGCAAGTCCAGGAATGTCGTGAGCAAGAGAGGCGGAAAGGTTACCCCCGGCACTGTCGCCCATGACGCCCACCTTGCTATCTTTACTGCCCCCTAGGTATTTAAAGTATTTCTCAGCGTTTCTCAAAATATCAATAAGTAGACTGGGGTCTGTTTCACAAATAACCTTTAGACCAAAAGTCTAAACTGTAAGACCAATATTTAATTTCATTCTGACACAAGATAAACCAAGATGATATATTGTGCCTGTAGAAATGACTGCTGTTTTGGACCAATAGCTACTATATTTGAATGGACTTCAGATTTATCCCAAATCGAAGTAAACTAAAATAAAGGTTCAGACAAACTTTTTAGTACATGTCGCCAGTTATTTTTGATCAGGCCCCTCAGTATAGCACAGTAACAAATCGTCAAATTGTTATGTGACTACCATGTTATATTTGGTTCAAACATTTTGGTTAAACATATCTAGCAGTTTGTTTAAAGGGAAATCTAAGAGTGGGCGAAGCAGTTAAGTAGATTCTTATGGAGCAGATTTTGATAAAAGAGACTAGATTTTCTTCACTGAAGTGTTTGCTGTTTGTTACTTCCCTCTTGGCCTTAAAGATATTTATCATTTGTATGTGTGCGATCTGATGAGCCCTAACACTTCAAATCAAATCTGGAGCATCTTTCAGATCAACAATGTCATGCGCGCTTGAAGTGTATTTTGATTTAAATATTCATTCCAAATTACCGATTAATTCCTTATTTGCAAAGACCCATTTAACCGCGGTTTCTGCGTCATCAAACGCCGCTGGAAACTTGTGTTCTGGCGCTCTTCGGTACTCCACGCTCACCATTATACATGCCGCCAAACTGTGCAAACAAAACAACTGTATGTTATTCTTCGTTGGGTTGGGTGAAACATTCTTTCAAGACCGCACAACATCCTTTTGCAGTTTTAGACGTAACGCAACATTTCCATCGGAAAAAGAGAAAAACAGTAGCCTATTGAGCCAAGTTGCAATGATTTGCATTTTTGCACCATCAAAACCGCAGCCAGAACATGACGACTCCCGTTTAGCCAAGTCACATAATCATCAAAACTAGCAAAATATTCATTAGTTTACTACATGCAGATTATAAAATCTGTTGTTTCCTGGTAGATTACCGAAACTTTCAAGTTGATAAATGCATGCCCCGTAGTATCATATGACCCACATTGTACTGAAACTCACTCTGTCAGTATCTTCACCCCGATTTCGTGGGTCTTCCTATTGCCAATAACAAAGCCTCCCCCGTGGAAGTACACCAGTATGGTCGGCTTTGGGGGGCAGGGGACCGGTCTATACACCCATACTGGTAGGTCAGCTGGAACGAAAATGGTTCTGTTGCCAATTACTAGTATAGGGGTTGCTTGATCGCTCTTCACCTCTACATTGTTTGGACCAAAAGTGATCTTGTTGTGTTTTGTTTTACCATTCTGCACCCTGTCCCTGACTCATGTCTCTAGTACTATATATATATATATATATATATATATATATATATATATATAGTTTGCAAGAGAAATTAAGGCAGACAGTTGTCTCCAACTAAAATGTTAATTTTTCTTTAATACACTTTAAAAAAATCAGTGAAAATGTGGAGAATTAATTTTGCAAAAGCGCACATGTGCACAGGAATACGCAAAACACAGTCAGACATAAACTATGATAAAGATAGGTAGACACAATGTAAAACACAGAGAGAGAGAGAGAGAGAGAGAGAGAGAGAGAGTCACTGAAGCAGACAGACAACTGGTCGATTCTTCTCAAATAAAGTGACCGCAGCCATCATGTGAGTCTACCTTCGCCTTGGGTGGAGGGTACCGTGTACTCCAACCTTTCTCCCCTAAACTCGTACCCGTAGCCGTCGGAGTCAAGAGGGTCATCCCCTTCGACCAAAATACGTGCCTCTTCTACAGTAGCGGCGTCCTCGTAGCTTATCTGATCGCTTTTCGCATCGGCTAAGAGAAGGGCCTGCGTCTCTGGATGAAGCGAGGCTAGATCATCAGGGAGAGGGAGAGGCATAGCTGTAGCCTACATGTTCCTATACAAAACTGCACTTATCTCTCCACGGCGGGTTTTGTGTGCTACCGAGTAATAGGCCTTCGGAGATAAAGTAGGGCAAATAGAAATCGTTTCCTTTATCTTGCTGGCCGGCAATAATCGGACGAAGTTGTTTCAGATTACCTAGATTAGGGGAGACCGGGGCTAGTTGGCCCAGTTAGACACTTATGGCCTTGTAGAGCCAACTAGGAATGAGTTAGAGTAACAAAACCGGTTTTAAAGTAAGCCTCATGAACTAATACGTATGCAATGTCATTATTTTTCAAATTTAATGCCTGATGGCTCACAATTTGACAAAAAACGCAGTTGACGTCAGGGGGGGCCAATTTTCCCCGCCACGGGGCAAGTTGGCCCCAGGGTCGGGGCAAGTTGGCCCCCTACACAAAAATGAAGTAAATATCCCATGTAAACGCCTTGAAATACGTTTTTATACATTTTTAATCTATTAAATTGATTTTTGAGAGTCTTTGATGAATAAATAGTTCAAATGAGGCAGATTGATTGAGGTTTCCGTATGTCACGTTGTAGGGGGGCCTATGTGTTGCAAGAACCAAAATATCTATCAATAAAATTTGTTTTGTTTTAATAAAGAATAAATTAATAATGGTATAAAGAAGGTTTTTAGTGAATGAAAACGAATAATAATTTTTTGTTTTAAAAGAAAGTAACAAATTCAGTTTCAAACCATTGAGTTTGTTTTAACAATGGTCTCTAGCTCTGTTGCGCGCAAAGGTTTGTGGGTACTATGAGGGTCCAACTTGCCCCGAGTCAAGGGGGCCAACTAGCCCCGGGTGCACACTTTTTATTTTAAAGGATGGCAGCCATTTATGGTGCTAGAATGAGCAACGATGATACATCTCTGTGAAACTTGAAACAATGAGCTTCAGTTTGATGCCCTATACATATATTATATTCGATCAAAAGCCTATGAAAATACATTTTTAAATCTTTCAAACAAAATTACTTCTAGGTGCAAAAATCGTTTATTTCGATTCACCGCTTAAGTAAAACTTTTTAACATCCGACACTTCCTTAGCATTGTAGGCTAAGGTCACTTTACAAGAGTATGTGGCCAATTTTTTTACTTCGTAGTTACTTTTTCATAAATTAACGGGGGGCCAACTTACCCCGGGGTCCAACTAGCCCCGGTCTCCCCTACGTAGTCTATGGAGATAAGATGTAAGGCAATTTTGAAACCCCAAACACCTCAGATCTGGTACCTTTTGGGCTATTAATTTTGGATCACGATCAACATAAAGTGATATTTCTTCATATTTGGTTTTTCATTTAGGCCTACGTAATAAAAAGGAGATTAAAATTATTCCAGCCTCCCTGCAATAACAGAAGCCATAGGCCTACCGACTAGCAGCTCTTTTCGTATACAGCTGGCAAATAAATCGATATGGCGGTAGCAGGTGATGTTAACAAACGTTTAGCCATACCAAATGAATAAAGACCGTGGAAATCAATTGCAGGTAAAACAAAAGCAAAAATGAGTTAAGTAGAACAATGCGTGATAGCATAGCTCTATTATTTCCGGTTTTTTTTACCTGCGGGGCTCTCTAAATCAAACAGAGCTAATATTCTTTTTCTATTTTTTTTAATTTTCTTTTTTTTATCATTAGGGGCCTATTCATTATTTTTATATCATTTTATTTCATTTTTTTATTTTCATTATTATTTTTTCATTTCAAATGACTATAATTTCCGCCGCAGATTCTATTATTATGTCCGTAATTCATGTTTGTTACATATGTGATGTTCAGTGATGTTATAACACGGCAGTGTTATACAATTTGTCTCTGCCTTTGAATCACATTCACAATCACGGAATGTGTTGCTCAAATTCAAACAAAGAAGATGCAGCTTAAAATGGACGCACCTTCGCCCAAAGCATAGCGTTATTACGTGGCAATGGCTCTACGTCACAGAAGCGCTCACATAGTTTACGTGGTGACGTTGCTATAGCAGTTGTTTTGTGTATTCGCCAGTGGGTCGAGGTTCTTGCCATCTGGTTAGGCTTCCTAGCTGATAATAATAATTAAGGTTATCAATGGATTATTTAACCGAAGGACCAAGAACCGTGTTTACTGTGGTAAGTAAAGTGACCTCGTGTATTTTTCCCGTTAACTCTAATGAATTGTACACTTTTGAGAATTTGAACAGTTCAAAAAGTGCGCAATGTTGAAGACCGGCAGAAATTGCCAAAACTAGTAATGTGCATTTCATACGCAGCGTCTTTAAGTCTTACGACGCAGAGAGAATTAAAATATAATTTTAATCTTAGCACATCGAATTGCATTTTGATCTCTTACACGGGGCAGAGTGGAATCCTATAATCAACATAAGACATCAAAATCAGTCAATATTTTAAATTAGATTATCTATAGATCTCAAGGACATAGCTAATTACTCATAATAACACAATCGAAAACACGGCGGTAAATGGGAGGGTTCACCTCCTCGCGTATTTTAATAACCGCAACACAAGCAATGCTAAATACCAGTTACAATGATGAGTCTATAAAATGTAATTTTTGAGCAATAATATTTTACAACAAAATACTACTTATAACCTGTAGGCCTACAATACGCTTTTACTCATCGATTTCAATAAAGGTCCATTTTATTTTTTTTTTCTTCATCGTTAAGTCCAATATTCTATGTTCTATTCCATTTTGTGCAATGTCCGCCATGTTTTACTGCCAGCGTGTCTTATATTAGTTCAAATCTGGCAATATCTACCCTGAGTGTCAGAGCAACGTGAAAGTTAGTTTGTTTAATATTTAATATACCTAGGGCTCTGTTCTCACAACTTTTAGATCGATCTATCACCGCGGGGAGTCTCACTAGATTACTGTCAGATAATCCCCCTTAAGTGTCCGTCCCCGCCTACTACAAGCTTTAAGGGGTAATTAACTTTCGTGTCCGCCCGGCTGACAGCTATTTAGCGTGAACCCCCAGGGAGTTAGGTCGATCCAATGTAGGTCGATCTAATCTATGAGAATGGGGTGTTGGAGTCACTTTCCCTGGTATTGCGACATGCCATGGGTTACATATGAAATCAAGATCGAGCTGGCAATACCGGAATCTAGAACCTAGGGTAGCAATATCAGATTTCTGTAATAAATACAGACTCTATACGTTCTGGGCTGCTGATGGTGACAATGTTCACGCCAGGCAAGTCTTCTGTTGAGAAAATAAGGGACTTCCTTTTAATCACCCACAAGACGTCAACATCTGCCATTGGTCCACGCGTTTTGTTTGAGGTTTTGATTGAATCAAATTCTTCTGTAATTTGGTATTGGTGACAAAGCTTCGATGAGAAGTCAGAAACCTGTTCTAGGAAGAGGTCTAGGAATCTGTCAAAGTGAAGGACAATCTCTGTGTTACATTGAAAGGCAACTTGCATGTCACAATGACTTTCAGTAACTTTTACAGTTGTCTTTCTTCTCTCATCAAGCGGATCATAGATTTATGGATGCAGAATGAAAAAAGTTTAAGCAGCATATTTGACATACAGGGCGTTCCTTCTATGGCAATTTTTTCTATCCCAAAAAGGGTCCGATGAACAACTTAGCAGGTGTATCAGCGGTGCAAGTGAAAAATTCGATACCTGCATTTACAAATTCTTCTCTGGTGATTAAACCATCATGGTTGGTGTCAATGGCTTGGAAGGAAGGAGGGACCGATAAGGGGTGGACGCCATAATTACGCAAAAACAATGTGTAACCATCCAAGGTTAAGTGCTGATCTTCTTCAGGGACTACGGCATCGAAACAAACCTTCAAGAATTCTGCCATAAGATTGCGTAAATTAGGTTCATTAAAAAGCCTGGCATAACGTGAGCACATTTCATCAAACGTAACGGTTAGCTTATCGGGTCCGCCCCAGAATTCTACCCAGACATTCAAAAGGAGGTGCTCAAATGAACCTGTCTTTATCTCCTTCATACTGGCCTTTAACTCGTCTTCCACGGCACCGAGAAAGTCGTTTTTGGTCACAACACCGTCAGCATCCTTGTCGAATATTACAAAAAGAGAGCGCATCTTTCTCACCCAAAAGTCCTGTAAAGGGACAGCCATTTTTAACTGTTCCGTGCTAGTGCCCTATATAAGACTAGATTGTCTGCACGCTATACATGTATATAAAGCAAGTTACCTAATGATTTTTTGAGGGTCAACGCAGTCATGTGTTACATGAAGATCCACGGGTCAAAAAACACTTTATACTAACATCACTGCATACCCTATTTCCGTTTTTTACCTGCGGCACCCGGCAGATATTTTACCCCCAAGTCGGAATCTGGGTCGTTTTCGACCCGATTTTGCGTTAATATTTAAGAGGTTTTTTTTAGTATGACGTCAAAAGCATAAAAAGGAACGAGTGTGATGTGTTCTATGGAAAAATATTAGTCAGAGGAGAAGATAAAAGTTCAAGATCTGGTCGAAACTCCTATCCCGAGGACTTCTTTTTTCCATACAAATCAGACGGAATTTTCAGTTCTAGTGACGGAGGGATTGATGATGATGATGATGTTGATGTAGCACCAGAGAGAGAGAGTGGAGAAAGATGTCCAGATTGAGTATGTGGAACGGTAAAAGATGGTACCAATTTGGGAAAGACTCTACGGCTGATTGTCGAAAGCCCATATTTGCAATTAAGGCAGAGTGGAAACGAGATTTAAAACAATCCACAGAGGTCGCACTCGCAATATCTTCAACCAGCTGGTTCCAGTCTTTAGAATTGCAAACAAAAAATATCCAAAAGGATGTGAAAACCATCGAGAAACACTTGATCTGAATGTGTACACCATAGCCTACCCCCTGGCATCTAAAATTTCGTTTGCGAACTTTTAGCTGTTGGAGCTTGCGTCTAATACATGAAGAACCCGGTGTGGCATTTGTCTTGTCACTCAACTGTATAACTGAGTCTAAAGATTTCTGGAAAATTTTGAGGTGGCACTTTCCCTCTGGCTACAATTAATGAAGTGGCACGGTATGTTCGTTTTTGACCTAGATCTAGCCTACAGGAATCGGTAACATTTCATTCTATATCTTGATGATTGAGTGGGTCATATAATCGACTTCTACTTCTTCCGACTTTAATTTTTTTGCAATTGAGCAATTTCTGTCGCTAATTTTATTTGGTCCGGACTTTATATTTTTTATTCACAAAACAGATGGTACTCACAATAAAGGCTAAAGCCTTGGTTGCACGTTAACACGAAGCAGTTACGCGTCAGTTACGCAATAATGGTTTTAGTCACAGAAGCGTTCACGTAGTTTACGTGGTGATGTTGCTGTAACAACAGTTTCGTGTATTCGCAAGCTTCAGTGAATCGAGTTCCCTGCGATCGTTTAATTTGACTTATAAAAGGTAAGTTTAACAATGAATTATTCAGTCCAAGGACTACACAACTGCGTCTACTATGCTAAGTTGTTTCTGGTTATTTCTTTTCTTCTTCTTTTGAATTGGTTTACTTTCGATCATATTGAAACAACTCAAAAAAATTGGAGACCGGCAAAATGTTACAGAAACCAACAATATTGCATTTTATACTCAGCGCATTTAAGTCATAGGTTGCAGAGATAATTAGAATAAAAGGATGATTGTTAAAAATAATTATTTACGTTTTTTGGGATCATTTACTTTAATATCGTCTCTATATTTCCCATTCTATTACCAAATGTGGGAACGTTAAATTGAAACGCCTTCAATTGCAACGTCTTTTCTACGTAGGAAGAGAGTACAGCCCTTCAAAACATGACGCCAAATGAGAAAAATATTTGATATGATACAAATAGATCCCATAATTTTTCCAAGGGCAGATTCAATATCTGTCCTCTGTCCCAAGAAGGATCCGGGGAACAACCTAGCAGGCGTATCAGCGGTGTAAGTGAAGAATTCCATTCCCGCATTTACAAATTCCTCTCTGGTGATTAAACCAGCACGGCTGGTGTCTTTGGCTTGAAAGGAAGGAGGGACCGATAAGGGGTGGACGCCATAATCACACAAAAGCAGCGAGTAACCATTGAAGGTTAACTCAAGTGTTGAACTTCTTCAGGGGCTAAGGCATCGAAACTGACTTCAAAAATTCTGCCGTTATAAGATTGTGTAAACAAGGTTCATTAAAAGCCTGGCATAACGCGAGCACATTTCATCAAACGTTAAAGACAGCTTATTGGGTCCGCTCCAGAATTCTTCCCAGACTTCTAAAAGGAGGTGCTCAAATGAAACGGTCTTTATCTCCTTCTGGCTGTCCTTTAACTCGTTTGCTAAGGCACGAAGTAAGGTAAAGCCGTCGGCATCCTTGTCGAATGCTACAAAAAGAGTGCGCATCTTTATCACCCTAAAGTCTTGTAAAGGGACAACCATTTCACCTGTTTTATACGAGTGCTTTACCAGACTAGATCAACTACATGCTGTATAAAAACATGTTACCTAAATGGTCCTTTAAAAGAATTAAGGCAATTAAAAAGTTCCACTTTCTTGCTAATTTGCATCCTTTTCGAAAGGAATAAAACGAGGCAAAACTTCTCAAAAAAAAAAAAAACTCCTTTACGCACTTTGTGCAATGGAAATGTTACGTGACACGATCAATAGCAACAGAAACAAGCGATCCACACTCAAGAATATCTTCCCGGGATCTCTGAAACCTGATTCCTAAATTAAATCATTTTTCTCAGCACAGTTCTGATATGTGGAGTATTTATCTTTTACTGTCGTAGTTTCAAAGGTAACACGTAAGGTAACTGTGCCCTGTACATTGGCCACACCCCAATGGCGAATCCAGGATTTTATTAAAAGGTGTGGTCATAAATATAAATGCAATTAGGTTGAGAGGAAGGAAGGGGTGCATCCGAAGCTCGGAGGAAGGGAAAGTATCCCCCCCCCCCCCCCCCCGCCATCGTGCCCCTGAACATACCATGTTAAAGCGGCGTGGCAATATAGATATCTGCGCTACGTTTAAAACATCTAGTATTTTGACCTCACTAAGGAACGAGTAATTCGTTAATCGTGTTTAAGGGATAAACCTAAATCTGACTTTTTTCGTGCTATCAGTGTGAAATCAACAGATGGAGTCACAGATCTTTACTCTGTCCCGGGAGGGTCACTAAAGCATGCACAGACATGCAATTTCGACACGCATTAAATGCAAGCACGCACGAGCACACGCACGAGCACACGCACGAGCACACGCACTCCCAATGTATTTGTAATTATTTTTCTTGTAGTTATTTTTCTTCAGTGTTACGGTTACATCCGCATTAAATCACACTGTTATTCTGTTGTGGGCGGGGGGAAGCCAATTAGACCCCCGGGTATAATTCAAGGTCTTTAACATACTGTACCATGCAATATAGCATGTGTGTTATGAAAGAAATTAGTTATTGTCAGTTGACCTCAACACAAAGTGAGCCCTATCTTCTAAGTTCAACGAGATCAGTTTTAGGCACGAGGAAACACGTTGAAACGATGACAATGCTTATGTTTTGTTTCCTCATATTTCTCTGCGAAACAGCTTTTTGTCAGTTGGCGCCTTCCGCGGGATTTCAACGAACAGTGGTGTTCATCAAACGACAATCATATCCATCTCAGTATGTCTTTTTACGGGGAGGTAAGGAAAGGAGTGACAATTATTTCAACACCATGTATCCAATTTAAAATATGTTTAAAAGTTACTTCTTACGTGACGGATATCTTGTCGTTAGAGACAATAAGACAGATCAGATCAATTTATATTTCTGAAGAAATATAATTTGAGGAAAACAGGCGCAAACAATGCAAAATTGTCACCAATAATTATATTCACATGATTTTCTTCTTAACGTAATGATAAATGTCAAGATATTGAGGCAAAATTTCAAAACTGCTCAATTTCCAGGGCGAAATGACGGCAGTCCAATTCCAATCCGCCATCGGGTGAAGCCCACCATTGGCAGTGATAGCCGCTACTACGACTGGTCGCAAGGGGATAATAATCTTGACTGGGATGCTCAAGAAAATGGACAGTGGAACTTTAAGTCTTTCCAAAAGCCCGGAGGAACGCCTTTGATGTGGACAACCAATGTGTAAGTTCCAAGTGCGTTTTGCGTATTTGATTTATGCCAGAACAGCCCAGCTTTTGAACGCGTGTAATTCGAAATTGGGTTGCCATGCCAATGAGGTCAGTCGAGGTGATACTGAGGTTTTACCCCGCTAGTTTGTAGCCCAAATCCAAAAACGAAAAGATACAGCCAAGCAGTCAATTAGAATATGATATTTATTTGATGAACATGGATGTACCTCATTTAGGCCTATGTATAAATTTCGAAAGAGAAGAAAGAATCAAAGTACACTGATATTTGCATACCATATGGCGTGTACGTTAGCGTGGCTTCGAAAAATGTTTGAAACTTGTATAAAGAATTTTGTCCGTTAAAACTTAATCAAGTTATATCAATGCTTAAAATTAATCATAATTATTTGATAATATGAAACTCACCAAATTCAAACAATACATACTCAGTTCGTGCTTATTGATGCAACTGATTGCTTGTGATAGAATTCCTTTTATGATACGAGTTAACACTATTTTACATCGAGCTTTGTGTTTCTTTCCGATGCAGTTTCACTAGTATATTTTGAGAGACAGCTTACCAGACTGTTGCGAAAGAAAGGTACCTTGGAAGAGCCTAGCGCTCTACTAGGCTAGATAATAACCTGTGGGCAATTTGTGAAAGGGAGAAAATGTAATTACAGGTAGAACCTCCCAAAACACACCATGTACATTCCATGTAATATTGCACTCATTCTAATGTTAAAAATATTTTCTTGCAAACTCAGCCGCCTTGCTGTCGTGTAAAATGACGGCTATGTTTTATTTAGTCAAGGGACTGTCAACGTTACGAAAGATGGCGCTGGTTACACCCCGATAAACACAATGGGGCCACACTACTGGATGATGGACGTTGACATGGACTGTAACAAGACAGACGATGGCTGGTTCCAATTAAAGGTAGATCAATCATATTCGCATACAATGGACGCTACTCCATCATATACTTAAGTAACTATTTTTCCTGCAATTTCCAACGTTTTTCACGTAATCACTAATACCAGTAGGCCTATATCCTATCCAAAATTATAGAGAAAATAACGTTCTATCAACCCGCTTTAGGGTTCGAGGTTTCCGTTTTAACGTCATGAGTAAAAGGAACCAGCTTTAATCTCCAACACAGCAATGACTAAAAAGCGAAATTTACAGCTGAAAGCGGATTTACATATACTAAGTCGAAAATTTTCAACGGTTTTAGATATAATATACCTTGGTGATTCAGTTGAAAACTCCACAAAAAATGAACCTAGACTATATAGTTTTATGCCCATTGTATGCCTTAAAGCGCGGGGCGGTGCCTTTACGATTACTTTTAGTTATAGAAAGCTTGCCTCAAATCTAACAAGCAATTTTTGTGAACATGGACGGACGGTTCACTTCCTAAGACACTGAAAACGAGCAGAAAAAATTTCTGTCCATTGTTATAATAAGTTTATTTTTAAAGTTATGATCAATTAACTCAGAATTTTTAAAAGCCTTTAATTTTGAAATTTTTGAAAAGTGAACGTTGTAGTATGACATTTATAGATTTTTTATGGCAGGGTTTCTTTTCTCATGCGTTTTTGTTTAAAAGAAATCATTTTGTTATGCTACCCTTTTTGTACACCAAGAAAATGTTTTCTCAAACAGACCTTCTCTGAGTAAAGAAAATTAGAAAATTTCTTTTCTCATGCCTCATAGCTTAAACAAAAAAATCTTGAGATTCACTTTTTTTTCTAAATGATCATGTTTTTTTGTCTAAGGCCTTTGTCGTCCACGGAGAAAAGAACGACTACATCAGCTGGAACGGAAACAACGGCGAGTGGGAGAGAGGTGTAGAGCAGACGACATGCTGGGGCGACCATAAAAAGTTCTCCGGAGTCAACAACCACGTCGCCAAATGTGGAGCCATCAATGTTTTCACCTACGGAGAGGGGACACCATGCGTTGTGTCAAAGAGCTTCGGCGATCCTTTGTTGGGCTGAGTTCTACACTGCGATTACCCATAGTTGTACACCACACTAACGATATCCGTTACAAGGGTTAATAATGGTGAACGGCCTTTTTCGTAGTTTTTCGAAAAAAAGCAAATACCCTAATGTTGAAATTTTAGCCGTTTTCAACCTTATCAACGACGATACACTACAAATATTCGATTTCGGGAAATTGTTTTGCAAAAAAATTATCAGTTAATATAACACAGTTAAAAGGCACGTTTTCACTTGTCTTTGTTGGATACTTTGAGTGATGTTTTATTTCTGATACTTTTGTTATGGTAATCAGCTGCCGAAGTCGAACACAAGTGCACACAAACACTGTTTAAGGCAGTGAAGCCGTAGCTTTTACCTGTGGTTTTGCAATCATGACCTCCCACTCTCTTTTTTTTTCTGGGGACTTAAGCTGAGTGAGCCAAGTAATCGACCTATTTACACAGCTGTTCAATTTTGTTACCAAACCAATGTTTTAAAAGCTAAAACAAAAGGGGTGTGCATACCATATGGTGATATCTAAAAAATGAAGTCTGTTAATATTTGAACTTTGAGAACACAATTGAAATTGAAAATGGTGCTTTGTTTTCCGAATCTATATCTCTGCTATCAGATTTAAGTGAGAGAACTTTACCACTCTGAAATGCAATGTATTGATATCAAGAAGCTCCATATTTGGCTACACTGCCCGGACTTCGGTGACATGGACAGGGACAGGCGATGGCAAATTGTACAGCCGCTACTCTGTCTAAACATAAAACAAGTCCATACATAATAAACAAATGGTTTATTCGCCCAGAAACCCTGTGAAATATAATATGTAGATTATACAGTACCAAATTAAAGCAAAAGGCAACATGCTCTAAAGTAAAACACATGGTCCTACGATACTTTGGGAATGAAATGCGATCTTGAAACAACAACTGCAACGTTAACAAGATACCCACTGTAATAAACTATATAAAAAATAAATGCAATACAACAAGTTGACCTTTCAACAAACAAGAAAACATGAATCAAAACTGTGAAAGATTTTACCAATTAACATTTAAAAATAGTAATTAAAGAATAAAATGATTTTTGGGATCTTTGGGAAGCAGATTCTGTAATACATCTTTCAATTCATGCCATTCCACAACATCAAATTGCAATTCAAACAAATTCTATATTATCTCTAATGTTATCCTATGCATTATAATTTCACATTTGTAAAATATTTCCTGAAAGGATTGAACCATACTCTATGCATTAAATAAACCATACAATGAAAGTACTAACATACACATTTCAAAAGAACTACAATCAAAATATACACAGCTTAAATAATTGGTAAGTTGCGTTAGCACCTTAACATCTTACAATTGATGATTGCAGACAAGAATATAACAAAAATTGCTACCTGAACATTGCACAAGAAATAAGTGATTAAGTGATTGTCTACTACAGGTGATGTCCATAATAACCCAATGTAATTTATAGAAACTAATGACTACAATTTCAGATGTTAATATATTTACTGCAACGTGGATATAAACTTATAAAATAAAACATTGTAAGTCAAATCATTTTAACATAATGCACAGGTGCTTATCACATCATGTGATAAACCACTAAGCATCTATCAAAAAAAGAAATGAGAAAAAATTCTATCAAATAAGAGCCAATGAGATCTAAGATAACATCTTTCAAGAACCAATGAAGTTAAATATAGCATCTTTCAAGAAAAAACCACAAAGCTGAAGGTAATGTCTTTCATATAAGAACCAAAGTAGATTGCAACTTCTTTTCAGAGAGCCAATGTATTTGAGTATGTGTTTAAAATGGAAGACTTATGCATTATCAGTCATCAAAATTCAGATCTTTTAAGTTTGAGCAGATGTTGATGTCACAATCATAAACAAAAAGTCATCAATCCATAAACTTCAGTCATCCAAGACACTTATCAATTTGACCAAGTTATCATTATTATGAACTTTAAAATGCCTTTAAAACTAAGAAAACCTCGATGAACCAAAACACTGATCATTATGACAAAGTAGTTGTTATTGAAACATCAAAATGTCTCTGAAACTCCTAAATGGTTCTGATCTCCCGAGATCTTTTCCAATTTGACAAAGATCTGATATTAGGTTGGTAGTGGCATCTTATTGCTTAGATTTCATCATCAGAACTATCTGCCAGCAGCATCACCCTGTCCATGTTCTTCAACTCATGAAACTGGAAAATTAAAAATCAAACAAAGAGTGAGAGTGTTGCACTGCTAATGTGTGGTGAGTTCAGAAACAGCCTGGTTTCACATTGTCTAAATTTTAAGACAAAACATTTTGGTCTACTTGAAATCGAGATGCATAAATAGAAGTTCACAGTCAATGTAACTGTGGTACCAAATCAATAACCATTTTTTTCTTTAATATATAAGGAATAGTAATAATTGGGGTACTGATTCATCTTGGGTAGAAGTGGCTAAAAAATGTTACTCTATATAACAAAACCCCCATTTCACTATACAGCTACAGCCCAAAAACTGATCTAAACTTTTAGACCAATATTTTTGTCTGGCCATTAAATTTTTGACAACTGGTGTTAACTATGACTATTTGAGCATTATGGCCTCCTCATGAGAACTTTGGTCTCTGAGGGTCTATTCCCACAACTTTAGATCGATCTATCACCGCAGGGAGTCTCACCAGACTACCTTCAGATAATCCCCCTTAAGTGTCCGTCCCCGCCCACTACAAGCCGTAAGGGGCAATTAACTTTCGTGTCCGCCCGGCTGACAGCTATTCAGCGCGAACCCCCAGGGAGTTAGGTCGACCCAAAGTAGGTCGATCTAATCTATGGAAATGGGGTGTGATAGTTCACATGACAGTTAACCTGACAGTTCAGGTGTGAAATGACATTAATCAATAGTCACAGTAATCATATATCATAATCAAGGGACAGCCGTTGCAGAAATTATTTTGAAAAATGTGTGAAATATCACCTCGACTTGATGTGTGATAAGTAACATAATCATCATTAGTGTTTGTTTGTACTTTTTCTATAAACTTAACATCTGAAGCATTGAGGGTTAAAAAACATGTAAGGTAACACTAATGCAAATGAAAGGTCAAATGTTACCATGGATACAAATGAAAGGTTATATAAATATACATATCTCAAACATAAACTCTATTTTCATACCTTCTTGCTGTTATTGGGTTTCTTTTTTCCTCTTCTGTTCTTCTTTCTGCAGTTTCTACAGCACATACAACAAGTAAGTACAACTACAGCCAAAAGAGTGCCCACACATACAGGAATAGCAATACTCAGTATATACTGGTAGTCCTGAAATAAAATAAACAAAATAAGCATGTTGTTACTAAATAATTCAATGCAAGATTCACATGTGATTTAAAGTTAATAGAATAAAACATGCCAAGGATTAATATTGGGGCTGGTGTAAATTAGGTATATACAAAATATAGTGAGATTTTCCCAAAAATGAAACAAAGATCTATGTGTTCTTAGCAGTAAAAAAAAATTAAATATATACATCATTAAGATCAATGTACTGTCATTGAAGGCAAGGGGAGCCACTGTTCAAAATATCTACATGAAGTAAAAAAGCACTTAATACCCATTAGGATTTAACAATCTATCATTGTCGAATGAAACCTTATTTGTCATAGTTGTGTTCAGTCTACTAGTTCAAATTATTATAGTATACTAATTCATAAGAGCCATTTCATCTCACATTCATAAAACAGTTGTACTCACATCCCAAAACTGTGCAATTTTTCCATAAAAAGTTTTGGTGGTATTTCCATGATCTGCAAAAAATGAAAAAAAAAACTTTGTATAAATACCCCAGGCCTTGATAACTGTTTATTTTTCTTCTTTCTGTATCAACAAATAGCAAATTATCAAAACATATGGACAGTCAACTGTTAAATACCATTAAAAAGAAAACTGAAAATAATTTCACTTAATAATATTAACCCTAATTGTAATCCTTTAAAGCATTTTGGCAGATCTGCAAAGTTGACTCTGGAGCTAAACCAAATGAGGGTAAAATTATAGCCAGACCAATGAAAACTTTATAAATTTTGGTCATTTACTTTCAAGTGTTTGCCTTAAAGATTCTAAGACCCTAGTGGTCTGAGGGGCTAGTAGACATATAAGTTTATGGCACAGAAAACAACAGCAAAAAAAAAAAAGCACCTGTTGAGACAGGCACACCTGGTCCTTTATCTGCTGATGGAGGTGTGTTGACTCCAGTTGTACTGGTATTGACAGGAGTGGCACTAGGCTGACCTGATGTCTGTGTACCAATAACTCTGGGAGTACCAGTACCACCTGTACTGCTGGGGGTGGGAGCAGTACCCCTGGGTGTGGTACTGGCACCTGCTGGTGTGGGTGTGGGTGTGGGAGCAGGGGTGGCCCCCTGTATTGCACTGGGCTGAACTTGGGTAGTTGTGGCAGAAATATTTGTTTGAGGAGCAAGTGTTGTCACAGGGCTTGTAGTCTGGTCAACTGCTGTTCCTCCAGTGGTAGGCACAGGTGCTGTGGTATTGAGGAGTACACTGGTGCTTGTTCCTGTGGGAGCCGAGCTGGTGACAGTATCATTTGCAGTGTTGTTGTTTGAAGAACCATTGACGGATACTGGGTTTGCCTCCACACTGATGTTAACATTGCCAGATGCCCCATTGGTTGTTAATGGCAAAGTCACTTGTTCAGTTTGCCCAACTGAATAGTCAAAGTGTACAGCAACCAAGCCCAAAACAAAACAAAGTTTGTAATGGAAGGCAGTCAATGATACCATTATGGTAAATGCACAATTTCAATGGCGGCTAATGACTTTATCTTTTTATCCAGGTCAGCATAAATAAACCTAGAATGAAAAACACACCTGATACACCTGCTGTTAGTTATACATCCAGCCACAGTGTTCCAACACAACAATTTAATTGAGATGTATGAGTATGAGAAACTGAAGCATAGTGTGTGTATGTATGTAAACAAACAAACAAACAAACAAAAAAAAATATATATATATATATTTCTTTTTTTTCCCTTACAAATCATTATTTCATATGGAAACATTACCTTACTATAACATATTTGAAGTTTCTTGGATTGAAAACAAAAGACAAAAGTGATGCGCTGGGTATAAAATTTGTCTTCTCTCTCTCTCTCTCTCTCTCTCTCTCTCTCTCTCTCTCTCTCTCTCTCTCTCTCTTCAAACACTACAATTTTTCAGCCAAGGCTACTGCTCAGACACAGCATACTCAAATTCAAGAGGTCCACTAGATTCTACGATGCTTTAAAACACAGGTGTTGGTGCACAAACAACAGACATACTACAGAGGGCCTTGACTGAGATGTGTCCTGAATAACCCACAATTCTGGAGGATTTTATCAGACAGATGTATACATGGATATGAACATGAGCTCTATATTTTTTCTTAGTGTCAGTATTATGCATAAAAATGCCCTTGCCTTAGTATACTATCACTATCATATGGACATTTTACAAATAGCTGATACTTTTCAATGTGCTCACAAAAAAATTCTATTCCCTTCCATCTTATGGCATGAATTTAATTGGAATACTTCACTTAGTATATGATATCCATGATAATTAGCACATTAAAAAGTAAATTTTGTAGATTTTTGTGGATAACAACAAGAAACTGACCATAAATGACCAGTGCTGGTAACTAGCATCTGCTGTACATCGACAATCAATCACAACTATAGTACCTCATTAACTAATATGAATCAGTTATTAAATTCGGTGAACAAAGGTCCCACATCTCCAATTAAATGGAATAACCTTTCCTTGGCTGATAATACATTTTGCTGAAATTAGTCATGAGTGCTACAGGGAGTGAATGATGAGCTAAAATATTCTCCCTCAGTATCAACTTCTGCATTGGAAACCACCTGTGTTGATTATGGACAAACTTTTTTATTGAATTTTTTTTAATTGTTAAAGGTAACAAAAGGAACAATTGTATAAACACAAAGGTTTTTAAAGTAGCTTTCGGTGAGATATTAAAAAAAATATTAAACATTTTTTTGCTCCCCCTCTCTCCCCCTTCACTCTAATTTTGTTACTCAGGAAAGCTGCACAAAATAACTCTCAGCTCTCTATTGGAAGTAAAAGGCATCCAGTTCAAGACATATGTTTAATATTAGGGATTATGAATCCAAATAACAAGTTATCTTTATGTTTTTTGGTATCATTATGGTGTCATTTCATTTCTTTTTGGTATTTAGTGAGACCCAATTTAAAGCCATTAATATTATAAACTATATAATATATATTAGAAAAAAATGAATGTGGAAACTTAACCATTAGCACAATACACTGAAATACAGCACAACACAACACAATACACTCAACAAGACTAGTCAAAAGTACACAGGAAATGGTCATTCTCAAGAAAACAGGACAACAGAATAGCAAAATATATTACTGGGTAATAAATATCATTAATACAACTTAACAAATCTGACTGTTCATCCTCATGTGGTCTGCTGTGTTGGTGCGTGGCTCTATGGCAATATAGAGAACAACCCAACATAAACAAATGGTACAAATTTGTTAACTTGTGACAAGAATAAATTATCTTGTAATATAAACTAGTCTTTTATATCACCCTATTTTTATGGAAATGGCCGTTTACTGTATTAACTTGATACTGGACATTTTTTCTCCAAGTGTACTCAGTATTGCGCTGTATTGCGCATTAGGAAGCCATTGTTAGCTGCAACATTCCGAAAATTTTATGTTTTATGTGCTGGAACATGTTTAAACAATAAAGCTGCTTACTGCAATATGAACATGGTGAAACCAATCTCACCTGTATTTTCCCCAACTTCAAACTGAGCATTTACTAGTACGAAAAATACCTAATCACAAAGACTGCCAGTGCCACTGTCACTGATGCAGATGGCACTCTCGATAAATTTAACCATTTATTAAATTGTACGAACCGGATTAGCTGCCGAAACTTCGTTAAAAGTTTCCATTTACAAATATGGTTTTCATACGTACTTAAATATTCGGACGCTTTCAATTTATAACTGCACAAAATACCGAAAATACTCATCTGTCTTACCTTGCTTTTTAGTAAGCAGCTTGCAGCCACGACATGAATCACTTTTTTCCTGCCTCTAAGCGAAGGAGAGTAAGCGCACTAATACCAAAGACAAGCCATGAGATAAATTCGAGCTATGAAATACAATTGTCTTTGTTTATTACTTTTCGTAAGTAGATCTTAGGATTATGAAATACCACTGTTTATATAAATGAAAGAGACTAAGACATTGCCTTTTCTTAGCATTGACTTATTGTGTTAAATTAGTCTATAAAGACAATTTTATTTTTCATAAATTTGTAAGCGCTGAATGTATATATTACATTCTCCAGGCCCGTAGCCAGCAATTTCAAAAGGGGGGTTATTTTTCTGAAAAAGTGGACCTTTTCCCATGAAAACTTCATGTACCTAGATCAAATCTTATCCAGAGTGGACCTTTTCCCAGCAAAAGGGGCGGTTCTTTCGAACCCCCCGACCCCCCCCCCCTCCCCCGGCTACGGGCCTGTTCTCAAAGGCCTTAACAGTTTCTCTAAGCTACTTATTACAAGCATTAAAGTATATCAGTCAGGTCGTTCCTGTATTAATACCTACTAATTCCTGTACTAATACCTGACTTAAAACACGAAAAAAATAAAAAATGGATGAATAAAATAAAATAAAAATAAGTTAATAAATAGATAAATTGAAAAAGCCAGAATTAGGCAATTACTACACAAAATGTGAGCGTCAGTCTCTCTTTATTTATTTTTACTAATGTTTCATTTATTTATCATTTCATATGTAGCACATTCCATTAAAAACTTCAAGGCCCTAAATGCACTGTACAGGTATATTAAACTTTAAAATAAACAACAATAAAGTGGTACAAACGTCGTTTAAAAGTTTAAAGATATTAATAGTTAATGTTGGTATAAAGCTTAAGAGAGCTCTCGTCCTTGTCCAAGAACTGGTCGGTATGATAGACAGAATCAGGTGAGGGGGCTTAACACGAGGGAAGATATGCTCCTGCTCTCATTTTTAAGCATCCGCGTCACAGTCTCGTTTCAGCCACATTGCGGTATCGTTACGTGGCCGAGTGCATTGATGACAAAACTACACTTCAGATGCCGATGCATAAGTGGATTACTATGGAGAGTTGGTGCGCTGCACGTTACTTGGAGGATGGGTCCCCCAAAGGCCTATTTACAAGTACGACCTCACATATCCTGACTCAGATGCACAAGAGACGGACGGAAGAGAGTGAAGTCGCACCTGGGTCTGGGACGCGAGAATGAGGGGAATGGTTGGAAGACTGAGAAGACATTGTCGCTGGCGGTTTGTGACACTTTTTGCACTTATGTTCTGCCTCACCACTTTGAATATCTTTTGGGGTGTTGATGTCCTATTTGGAAGGCCTTTTTGGAAACTTGCATTGCATGCGAATTTGAGAGAAGTAGAACGATCAGGTAATCCTTTGGAGTTCTTACTTACTATCTTATCTTACTATATGCCGAACCTTCTGTTTTGATTCTCATCCCAAATACGATTTTTTTTCTATATTTGCCTGTTAACAAATAACAAGCAAGTTAACCTTGCATTAACCGTGGAGTGAAATTTTTGAGCAACGTTGGGATTTTTATTTCTTTTTTCAGACATAGGCCCATGTGACATTTAAACTGTAGGCTATTTTAAAATAAAAAGTAAGCACGAGAAAACGCTTTCTTTAATCNAAAAAGGGGGGTTTTTTCTACCCCCCTAACCCCCCCCCCCCCCCCCCCCCCGGCTACGGGCCTGTTCTCAAAGGCCTTAACAGTTTCTCTAAGCTACTCATTACAAGCATTAAAGTATATCAGTCAGGTCGTTCCTGTATTAAAACCTACTAATTCCTGTACTAATACCTGACTTAAAACACGAAAAATGAAAAATGGATGAATAAAATAAAATAAAAATAAGTTAATAAATAGATAAATTGAAAAAGCCAGAATTAGGCAATTACTACACAAAATGTGAGCGTCAGTCTCTCTTTATTTATTTTTACTAATGTTTCATTTATTTATCATTTCATATGTAGCACATTCCATTAAAAACTTTAAGGCCCTAAATGCACTGTACAGGTACAGTATATTAAACTTTAAAATAAACAACAATAAAGTGGTACAAACGTCGTTTAAAAGTTTAAAGATATTAATAGTTAATGTTGGTATAAAGCTTAAGAGAGCTCTCGTCCTTGTCCAAGAACTGGTCGGTATGATAGACAGAATCAGGTGAGGGGGCTTAACACGAGGGAAGATATGCTCCTGCTCTCATTTTTAAGCATCCGCGTCACAGTCTCGTTTCAGCCAAATTGCGGTATCGTTACGTGGCCGAGTGCATTGATGACAAAACTACACTTCAGATGCCGATGCATAAGTGGATTACTATGGAGAGTTGGTGCGCTGCACGTTACTTGGAGGATGGGTCCCCCAAAGGCCTATATACAAGCACGACCTCACATATCCTGACTCAGATGCACAAGAGACGGACGGAAGAGAGTGAAGTCGCACCTGGGTCTGGGACGCGAGAATGAGGGGAATGGTTGGAAGACTGAGAAGACATTGTCGCTGGCGGTTTGTGACACTTTTTGCACTTATGTTCTGCCTCACCACTTTGAATATCTTTTGGGGTGTTGATGTCCTATTTGGAAGGCCTTTTTGGAAACTTGCATTGCATGCGAATTTGAGAGAAGTAGAACGATCAGGTAATCCTTTGGAGTTCTTACTTACTATCTTATCTTACTATATGCCGAACCTTCTGTTTTGATTCTCATCCCAAATACGATTTTTTTTCTATATTTGCCTGTTAACAAATAACAAGCAAGTTAACCTTGCATTAACCGTGGAGTGAAATTTTTGAGCAACGTTGGGATTTTTATTTCTTTTTTCAGACATAGGCCCATGTGACATTTAAACTGTAGGCTATTTTAAAATAAAAAGTAATACTTAAAGCACGAGAAAACGCTTTCTTTAATCTGTTTTGTTTTCATTGAGATAACATTAATCTAAAATACATGCCAAAAGCCGAAACTCCTTTTTTTAAGATAAAATTATGAGAACAATAGATATCAGATCAAATTCCTGTAAATCGTAGTGTTTTGTAATAAAAATAATTATCTCGAGTGCCATCGGATGTGATTTCCTAACCAAAGACAAGCGTTTTGTCCCTTTCAGCCAACCATTTCTAATCTACTTCAAACATTTTCAGAAAAATCCAACCACCAAGCGGTTGTGGCGTGGAAGAAAAATGCAGACAGCGATTCGATCAAAATTAGAAAAAGCGTTCAAGAGCTTCTTATCAAAACTCAAGTTTCACGCCGCGATGTTGATCAAACTTCAAATGACCTTAAAGTGGACCACGAAGCAAAGTTTTCCCAAACAACTTTCGAGCTTGAAGATAAGAACTCAAGAACACATTTCGACAAGCGTGTCGCAAAGCGTAGTGCCAAGTTTACTCCAAACTACTATCGACAAGATAACGAAGAGGGGAAACTAAGAATGATAAGCTCAAACACGCACGCTACCAAAATGGGAAAAGAAATACCTCGCGAATTTGCCAATTTTGATAAGATGTCTGTAAACAAATCAAAATCTTCCATTAATCAGGCCGTAGACACCCAAGGGTGTGTAATTACTGAGCTAGATCCTTTCGATCCATCTATTTTGAAATATTTGAGAAGACTTAATCCCATAACATGCAAATGGAACGCTTCTTTGACTTATATTGACCGGCAAAGATGGCTGTGGATTAACCAAACTGTTAATCAAACGATACATTCCGGCAAAGTGAAGGACTGTGGGTACAAAACATTCGATAAGTGGCCAGATTACGACGACTTTGTGCTCTATCAAAAAGATATTACGTATTTTCAAACGAGGGTCAAAGTTGTTATGTCAGATTTTATTCAAGTTTATTGTCGAGATTCTGATAACCGAACTATCTACGAAAATATCCACGCTCACATCAAAGTCCCGGATCAAAGGATACGTGACAAAATTAATCGCCTGCTTGCAGATTCGGATAACTTCAGAAATGGAAGGTTTCCTTTGAGCATTGCAATTCTCGGTATCGATTCCATGTCCCGCTCAAATTTTGTTCGACACCTTCCTAAAACTCTGAAGTATTTGCAAAAGAAAATGGGGGCCTTTGTATTTAAAGGCATGAACAAAATTGGGGACAACACATTTCCAAATATGGTCGCCATGTTGACCGGTAAAAGAGTAGACGGAAGTGCAAAATTTCCCCAAGAAATAACCCGTAGGCCCTGGAGCAGGGAACGGATACGTTTTTACGACGATTATCCTCTTTTATTCCGAAACTTTTCTCACAAAAATTTTGTTACAATGCTCTCAGAGGACAGACCAGAAATGGCGTTATTTAATTATTTATCTCGAGGTTTTAAAGGGAAGCCGACAGATCACTACTTGAGACCATTTTATTTGGCAATGAAGGACTTTTGGATATTGGGAAATAGCACAGAACATTGTTTTGGCGACACTCCGCAACATATGATCCTGTTAGAGTATTTTTCCAGATTTATACAAACTTTCCACAAAGTTCGTTTTTTCACCTTTTCTTTTTATTCGGATCTCTGTCACGAGTTTGTCAACGATGTCCAGCTTATAGATGATGATCTAGAAAAAACTCTTCGCCTTTTGCACCAAGCTGGATATTTTGAAAACACGTTATTGATAGTGCTCGGAGACCACGGACAGCGGTTTGATTATATACGAGAATCTTTCGTCGGTCGCATGGAGGATTTGCTCCCATTTTTCTCAATGTCGTTTCCAAAATGGTTTTTAAAGAAATTTCCAAAAATACACCGTGCACTTCGCATCAACACGGAGCGACTAGTGACGTTTTTTGATGTGTATAAAACTTTGACGCATTTCCTAGATTTCAAGGAAAATATTCCTGTAAATGACGTGCGGAGGAGAGGGTTAAGTCTCTTTAAAGTCATTCCGACCGACAGGACGTGTTTCAACGCTGGAATTGACGAGCATTTTTGTGCTTGTAAGCAACAGGTTGCCATAGCAACGGACTCTTTCCCTGTCATTGGCGTTGCACACGTATTAGTGGGACACTTGAATGCGTTACTAGAAAACCACACTGCCATATGTGAGAGGCTTTCGTTATCTCGAATTCTCGACGCACACCAAACTGTTTTCCACAAGGACAATGACACAGTCGAGGATGTGCATGAATACACTGTTGTAATAGAGACAATGCCATCAAAAGCACTTTTCGAGGCAACTCTGAAATGGTCATCTTCCACAAAAAATATTGAAGTTGCTGGAGACATTAGCAGAGTAAACAAATACGGAGACCAGTCGATATGTGTAAAGGATGCCAAACTCAGACGTGTTTGTTATTGTAAAAATCAATATAAAAACGCAACGGATTCGAATGCGAACTCAAATATTTTCAAAACGCAGATGATTAAGCTTAAATAAAGGAGTAGTTAAGTAAGTTACATTTCATTTCTGTTATCAACCCATCTTGTTTATAGATTTGTTTTTTTTATCTATTTTTTGCTTTATTATTATTATTATTATTATTATTATTATTATTATTATTATTATTATTATTGCAATGATTGAATACCATAAATTGTTGGCAAGCAAAATAAAGACTTTTAATGCATTAGTGGTGGTTTATTTTAAACTATTTTGCACCGTTTTACACACGGAATATTTAATCCTGACAAATTCCATATAGCAACCTTTTTTATATATTTTTGCATTGAGCATCACAACTTAAAAGCACGCATCTAATCTGCGTACTTTAAATTAGAAATCTCTGCTTAAGTGGCATGCAACAAAGGGAATAATTAAACTACTCTGGGAATGTATTGTATTGGTTTGTATTGTACCTATTGGGTGTAATACTGCTCTGAGCAATCAGCCATCGCTTAAGTGGTAAAAGATACATTTCCGCGGTTAGCATCAAGAAACAAATTAATATCGAATTTTATAAAAGCCTTCAATTTCCTTTTTTCTCCTTTCTTTTGCTGTCACGCGGTAGGGAGGAAAATCGCAATCAATAAAGAATGAGCAACGCACTAGTAGACACATTTTCGACTTAAATATCTTTTTAATTATAAATATATTTTACTATTATAGTTCCATATACTATCAAATACTTATCAAACGTGCTTTCGGATGTAAAAGCTATATGTAAATTGATTGTTGTGACAGACAATAGACCTTGTCCAGTGCTTTCTGCCTGGCTATTGTAACTGCATAAATATTATTTACCTAGGTAAAAGTGTGAATGCGCCAATTGCAAATTAATTCTATGTGGACGTTATTCAGACGGGGCGNTTTTGCTTTATTATTATTATTATTATTATTATTATTATTATTATTATTATTATTATTATTGCAATGATTGAATACCATAAATTGTTGGCAAGCAAAATAAAGACTTTTAATGCATTAGTGGTGGTTTATTTTAAACTATTTTGCACCGTTTTACACACGGAATATTTAATCCTGACAAATTCCATATAGCAACCTTTTTTATATATTTTTGCATTGAGCATCACAACTTAAAAGCACGCATCTAATCTGCGTACTTTAAATTAGAAATCTCTGCTTAAGTGGCATGCAACAAAGGGAATAATTAAACTACTCTGGGAATGTATTGTATTGGTTTGTATTGTACCTATTGGGTGTAATACTACTCTGAGCAATCAGCCATCGCTTAAGTGGTAAAAGATACATTTCCGCGGTTAGCATCAAGAAACAAATTAATATCGAATTTTATAAAAGCCTTCAATTTCCTTTTTTCTCCTTTCTTTTGCTGTCACGCGGTAGGGAGGAAAATCGCAATCAATAAAGAATGAGCAACGCACTAGTAGACACATTTTCGACTTAAATATATTTTTAATTATAAATATATTTTACTATTATAGTTCCATATACTATCAAAATACTTATCAAACGTGCTTTCGGATGTAAAAGCTATATGTGAATTGATTGTTGTGACAGAGAATAGATCTTGTCCAGTGCTTTCTGCCTAGCTATTGTAACTGCAGAAATATTATATACCAAGGTAAAAGTGTTAATGCGCCAATTGCAAATTAATTCTATGTGGACGTTATTCAGACGGGGCGCTATCTGTCTAATGCACGGATACAGTTGCCTGTATCACTTACCCCTCCTGATAGTTTTTATGCGTCTGTTTAATTATGTGCTGTGACAACAGAAGCTTGGAAGTCAATTAACAGAATTACGGATGTCATCATGACGGGCCTACGTACAGCGCAGGTTAGAGCATATTGATTTTCATTACTCAGATGCTTTGTCAACACAATAAGGTTCCTGAAACTGGAACAAAAACCGGACTATGCCATTAACTAAGATGGGTAGGGCCTAGGTGGAAAAGTTAGTTTTAATTTGACAAGTAGCATGATTACCCTTAAAAATTATATCTCACAAACCTGCGTCTTTTGTAGCTGATCAACTAAATTAGAAGAAAAGTTTTGCACAAACTATATAGAAACTAGTTTGTCTACAACCTACGTGAAAAAAAAGCCGCTCAATATAGGATCTCCCGTGACGAAGCAGATTTGAGGGAAATTGTCTAAAGAGAGATCAATTTGCCCGGTCCGCGTGTGCCGAGCCGCTAAGGGATGGAACATAACAGTGCTTTTGAGATCTAGGAAGGAAAAGCATGTCCAGATTTGTGATAGCCTGTTTTTGGCAGGCGGTCCTATTTTGGACAGTCTCTTTAGGGATTAATACAAGTAAGTAATGGAATTGTCTTTCACATAATTTCTGAAAATTGTTTTACTGTTTGAACCTTTTTTAAATGCTTTGATTGTTGGGCCATTCTGTTTATGGGTACTGCTGCGTCTGTTGAAAGTAAACGACAGTCTATTAGTACTTTTAAAGGGGTGAGGAGTAAAAACTTTGACCTCATGGAATATTTTTTAAAAAACTAAGACGTATTTAAAAACACTGCGTTCATTTCTTCTTGTGGATATTTTTTTATGAAAACAACAACAACAACAACAGCAAAAAAAAAAAAAAAAAAAAACAAAAAAAAAAAAAAAAAAAAAAAAAGCCTGCGGCCAAGATAAGGTGTCCATTTCTGGTATATAACAATATTTTTTCTATAAATTTATTAAACCTTGACATGAGTCTAGTTTCTTACTTACAGATCAGTCGGGACTGCACATATATTTTTTATCCGAAAAAAAAAACTAATACGTTACCATGTGTATATTTAAGGCAAAGCATGTACAAGACGCGAAAAGAAAATTCAACATATTTTGTGAATTGATAGCTGTGGAAATATGGGAAAATTCACATGTATAATAGTAGGCTATGCCTTTGCACAGCTTTGTGGACTCCTTTGGAACACGTGAAAACTTGGTTTAAGTTCTAGCTAATGGCATCATCACAACTTGGCCCGATCTAATTTCAGCTGTGTGGCGTGAGTTAATGGGTTTTTTGTGTTTTTATATCTATAAGCTGTTATCAATTTACGGTGTAACTTTTAAAAAACCAAAAAACACTTTTTCAGATTTCACCACTCGACTGTTGGGAGCGTCTCGTTCTTTCACAGTCTCGGAGTCCATAGAAGACACCACACAAAATTATTCTATTGGAGGGCAAAATTTCTCTTTCTCTCTCTGGCTGAAGACCAACACAACGGGAGGGAATTTGGTCAGCTGTGTAACAAACAGTGGAGGTAATACAAAATCGTCTGAAAGGACGATATATAGGACGTCGATGTACGGTCGATGATAAACAACCTCTCTTATTATATGCGAAAGATGGTATGAATAAATAGTGTGATTGCTAATCACGGATTATATTTACTTCACATGGTACTTGACAAATGGTTTTTATTTTGGATATTAGCATGTTAAAATTCATTGGTGATATGCTATATTGACATCACTTTAACTGCGGAAACTGAGTGAGGAAAAAATCGAATATTTTAATGCAACCGAACTTATGATACTTTTAGTGAATAATAAGATATGAAAATAAGTATTGTGTAAAGGACGAAAAACAGTTATTATGAAATATCCTTTTGTAAATTGCAGGAAACGACGTTAATCATTTTGTTATACAAGTCGCAGACGATGGCACCCTAGAAGTCCAAACGTCCAATGGAAACCTTCGTAAGTCTAACTCATACATGTACATGCAGGTTCTTGTCACATTGAGCGGTATACTTAACTGTTACAGGCAATACCGGTACACTTTGAAATGTTGACAACTTATAGCCTTGCTATTACGTAAAAAGAGTCCCCCAAAAGAAGCCCCTGCGCGCAACACTACCGATTTATCAACTTCACGGCATGAAGTAAACTTGAGGAAAACTTGTGAAAGAGAGTTCAGGCCCGTAGCCAGCAATTTCGGGGGGAGGTGGGGGGGAGGGGGAGGGGTTCGTTTTCTGAAAAAGTGGACCTTTTACCATAAAATTCTCAAGTACATAGATCAATTTTTACCCAGAGTGGACCTTTTCCCAGCAAAAAGNTTTTTTCCCCGGGGGGCCCTTTTCCCCACAAAAAAGGGGGTTTTTTCGAAACCCCCCCCCCCCCCCCCCCCCGGCTACGGGCCTGGAGTTAATACTCCTGTAACGTTATAACGTATAAGGTGTTGTCAAAGTGAAGTGACAAAGACTGTATCAATGTGGTGTACCGCTCGATTTGAATACAGACATTAGTGTCCATATAATAGTTTCTTAATGGATATGCTGGTGACGGAGTGTCCTCTTGGAGAAATTGGACCCCCGAGACTTGTTTTGCAATGGAACTTAAGAGCGAATGTTTGTCTTAACTTCAAGACTAAATACTAGAACCCATTTCAATTCAGGTTCCAGTCCACTAAAAAATTTACATGAGCTATTCGACCCTTCTGTATAAAACAGGCACACTATCTTATTTAAGGGGATCACTGCTATTATATCTTTAAGTGCAAACCATCATAGGTCTTACGATGTTTTGTTTAATTTGCCACTGGTTCTAAAACTGCACGGATTCGCCTCAAGTGACGTCACCGCTATGATCCTAAATGGGTTTGACTGGTGTAGAGTTCGCTAAATCCATGTAAAAAGAGTGTTTGTTAAAAAGCAAAATCAGGAAATTGGCGTGCATGGCAAAAATCCTATTCACGATAAGTTGCTGGTTGTGACAAAAACCCATTATCGAGTCTAAAAGAGAGGGAGTATGTCATTAGCATTTCATTGTGTGGATGTTATGGCGTGGCGATGTACATTGTTACTCAACATTATCGCCATATTAAATATTAACAAAACTAGTGTATTTGAGTCTTTCCATCTCGAGTGAAAGCCAACTCCTTCTATAAAAAAGAAAAACCTCTTTCGCAAATGTGTGTTTTTGCTATGTATCTCCTTTTCATAATTTAGTTTTGAAATAAGGTACCTGTAGGTTGACTGTGTGGGTGTAGCACAGCGTGTATTATAATATAACGGCATAAATGTTATGTTTGTTTGCGTGCCTGTGTTCGTGGGTATGAATATGCAGAATATGCATACGTGTGTGTGTGTGTGTGTGTGTGTGTGTGTGTGTGAGCGCGAGTGTGTTGGAGGGTGTGGGTGGTAGTGTGTGTGTGTTTTCGCCCATTCATATGTGCGTATCGGTGTGTTGAATGAAATTAAGCCTCTATGTGTATTTTTTAAATTGTTCTGCTTTAGGACCTAACGAGTTCATCAAACACACACTGATATCTGAGATACATGTACCAAATGCAATTAACAAGCTATAATCGACTTTCCATCAGCCTTTGATTGATATAGAAAAATGGCAAACAGTCGCAAATGGACTGACTGTGTCGCAATTAATGCAACATCAGTAGAAAAATCGAAATGTGCGATATAGGCATCTAATTTGAAGGATAGATTATTATGGATTTTCCATCATTGTATATGATGTGTGGGTACAGTATTTTTTTTTAAAAAACATCATTTTATAAGTTTGGCGCCGTGTGTTTAATGACATTTTTGGCGAAATTCCTAGAAGAAATTCCAATTTCTGAAGACCCCCACCATCAAAAACGATTAACTTTTACACGTATATGCTTTTAGTTACTTGTATTTTCCAATATTCCCTAAAACAGACTAGACTAATTCATTCTGAATTTAAAGCATGCTATATTGGTTTACTATAACTTGCTATAGTAATTATTACATTATAGTGGTTGCCATGGCAACGTTTCTGCCAAATATGGAGCACCAGCTCCCTATTTTATGAGGCACTTTGAAAAGCGCGTTACATATTATCTAGGAATAATCTTCTTGCCCTGTTGTTTAATTTTACTGTTGTCATGAATTTAGCAAATTAAGCATCATCATCATTATTATTGTTGTTGTTGTTGTTGTTGTCGCTATTATTATTATTATTATTATTATTATTATTATTTTACTTGCAGGGACAACACCACGAGTGGTAGATGATTTCATAGATCACACTGTTGTGGTGACATACAACACTGAGGGGTAAGCAAGTCAGAGCTGATGAATACGTACAGGCCAAAGCATTACTACACGAAACAAAATATTACTAACATACATGGTGAAAATTTTTTTTTTTTTTTTTTTTTTTTTTTTTTTGCCTTATCGAAGGATCTTAACCATAATTAACCCGAATATTTCTTGATTTAAAATGGAGATGGCTATTTCTGTTTTCATTATACTTTTATCAACATCTTTTTAGTGTTTTTCTTATTTCAAACAAAAGTAAGTTTTGCGCCTGATCGCTTTTACTGGGAACCATTACACAATAAAATGCTTGAATACATTGCTTTAAAGGGATAAGAAGGCTAAATTGACTTTGGGAATCATGGCAAAAATGTTTTGGTGAAGCGTTCGATAAAAAAAGGGTCTCCGGTTGGTTTTAGAATACCAAATACTCGTGAAACCAATCTAATATTTACTCCGTTCCATTTCACAGACTTACTATCCTCCTGGACGACTGGACATTTGAGAATTCGTCCATTGCGATTCAGTCCCAAATTTGCAGCCAGCTGATACTTGCGGGACAATTTGACGGGGAACTGAAAGAGGTTTACTACAGCAATCGTGGTTGGGATTCACAGGAAGCCAAGGGCATAGTTGCTGGTGAGTTTCTATTTTGCCTGTATTTGGTCTCTCTCTGTAAATTCCAAGTTAATAGCGACATGATGTCTTCATTATAAAACGATTATTACAGAGTCTTTAGCAAATTTATAGATGAAATTCATCTTTCCAGAACCTTACATAGGCTGTTTTGAGGAGCGCGTGAAGGACAGAGAATTCGTGGCAACCCCGGGCACGTACACCCCAGCCCTACTCACGGCGACGGAATGCCGCAGATTGTGCGCACTCAATCGATTTCGGTAACAGACCATTTCTATTTGTTACACGTCACATGTTTGAACTATTTCCTGTAAATATTTGAAACAGAAGGTGGTTTTCAGTGAGCTGTATAATGGGAAAATAGATCGATGGTGGTCACGAACCCACTCAGGCAAATTGCTCGTGATTTTTTACGGTGAATTCGTCAACGGCCGAGGGGTACAATACCACGAGAACCGAAAAGATTTTAAAACATCCGTCAAAAAATCGATTCGAAAAAATTCATGACATCATCTGTCTCACTTGTTTGTCCCAAGAGGAAGTCGCACCTAATGGAGTGTTCTGCGTTTTATAGAATATTAAAACTATATGTTGACTAGCATAATGAAGATGCATGTCATTGACTTTTTTCCATGAAACTGATCTGCGTACGTTACTTTCAACTTGTTGAGAAGCAATTTTTTGCTTATTATGATTTTGGGGAAATCGATATTTGTGTTTGCACTAAATCTCGTTACCGTTTGCAATCGACGAAGACTGAGAAAGAGACAGGTTTGCCGAGCTGAGTAAATAAATCAAAATCGAGAAAACATATGTATTGCGTTAATGGAAGTCATGAATGATTAATGATTAAGTGTTGTATATGCTGAGGCCATTGTGTTTCTGTCTTTTCATTTCTTGAGAAGCATCATGGCTGTCCTTAATAAATTTAGAAAGTGTCTGTCGACAAGCAAGAGCATACAAGGAACGTCGAAACTGAATTTAGAACTAAAAATTCTATTACAAAAAAATCGAAATCATGCCTTCCAGGGTTAACATTTAAGTCTGACACTTTTTTGTTTGTTTCCATCAGATACGCTGGTTTATTCATGGGGACGAAGTGCTATTGTGGTGCGACTTTTGGGCGCCACGGTCCTTCTGCTACAACCAATTGTGGTTCTGTTTGCGCTGGAAACACGAACGATGCTTGTGGTGGAAACAGCCAAGTCATCAGTGTCTACAGATCCAAGAACCTGTTGACTGAGAGCTATACCAGTATCGTAATCACCAAACTAGGTAAAAGGAACGGAAATCACACTCATTTACACTCTAAGCGCTGAAATTCAGGGGGACTCATTCAGTGCTTTCCATAATTTTTTCGCCTCGAGATAATATCTTTCATTCTTACGCAACACTATTGCATTCCTATCATGCCCTATCTTTTAACATAACAATTATTTGGTGTAATTATTAGTTTATTCATGATCATTGCAAAGGAATGATTATAACACATACACACACTTACACGAATTAGAAAAAACTTGATATAAATCTTATCCTTAGTGACGAAATCTTCCTCTATCAACATACCCCATTTTTCTCATAGCCGCATTATCATTATCGAAATTTCGTTTTACACAATAAAACGTCAAATGCTATGTTTTCTTTTAAATCTTTGAAATTTTAAAATCACTTCTTTGAAGCCCGTGTAATTCTTTTCAGATACCGTCCGGAGAGTTTACAATGAGACTTCTCTGGAAGCAGCTCTCGTTACCAGCAACGGTGCGGCCGATAGCTACTCATTCGTCATAGGCGACGGGACAAATATCCGCAATCTTGAAGAACTGGGTGTTCAACAACATAAATTCCGACTTCCAGGTACCATTCAAACGCAAATTTGATCATTTTGAACAGAAAACCCGAATGAAGTTCTAAAAAAGGGTCTTAGCTATGAAGGGCTCTATTTTGTACCGAAATGTTGTTTAAATATGCCAAAAGGGAACAAAAAATACACTTTGCCATCGCATTCTGTTTATTTCGGTTGAATTGAAGTAATGAGGAATATTTGCGTCGCTTCAGGAAAAATTCCGGTTACAGTAACTGCCACGGACAGCTTTGGGACCACTCTACGGGGCGCCATCGTGGCAAGAGTGGAGTACGCCATAGAAAACGCCGAGCTGATTTGCCCAACACATGTGTCGAATGTGGAATTTTCTTGCCGCCTGAGAATTGGCCAAGGTTCAAACATGAACGCTCTGGTGAATTTTGGAGACGGTTCCAGGACGTCCTTTCGTTTACCTGGTAAGTGCTTTATTATACATGTATACTTCCCTGGCAGTTTGTGCTTACTTGCGGTGTAACGACGGAAGAGGTGCAGCGTTTAGAGCAAGTTGAGGGTTAACAATATTTATTCATAATTGTAAAAGACGATAGTGACAATATATAGCGCTTCTGTCATCATTCCGGAACTCCTTATTATCATTTTTTTAATCGAACTAAATAAACGGCGCATTTTAGAGAAATGCCGTAGTAAGTATTGCCGTTAACAAGCTGACGAGGCAAAAAATCTAAAGTGGCTTCAATAATGTGTTACTCAAATTTCAGATACCAAGACAATAGTTCTAGGGAGCATTGAATCTGGGGATGCCACTACCTTGGCAATGGAACCAGGGCTCTTACTGCTCCCCCAACTAATGTTTAGGGACAATGGCACAATTACTGCCTTTGAAATGAACATGAAGACTGCTGGAACTGTTAACATACAGGTAAACCTCGGATAGCTTGTTGACTCCATGGTTTTTACGGCATCTCCATGGTCGATTTGCTCCAAGACCCCGCCTCTACCCACCCCAGGATATTCCCATGCTGTTATTGTATTTTTAAGCTCCTGATTTTGCAAAGTGGTATAACATGACATTTTTATAATGTTAATGTTTATTTTTTCACAAATAAATTTGTCGGGTTTTTTTTAGCTAGATATGCATTATAAAATAGGATCAATCTTCTTAATATTCTAATATTGTGCAAACCGAGGCCAATTGATAATGGTCACACGTTCTATTAGATCTAGGCCTTGAAGATGTTAAGATTTACAAAAACAGTGAAGAAGTTCAAATAACTCTGCTTTTTATGGTAAATCTGTATATAATTTTAATTTCAAGATATACCGACCATACTGTGGGAGTGGCACAGTTTACTGCTACCAGGCAAACGCCTGCATATCCGAGTTGGCAAACTGCAAAGCCCAGGCAGACATTATGACTACCTCCCGGTGCAGCAACGGGAAAACCTTCAATCTAGGCAACCGTAAGTGCACACAGAGAGGAACCGGTGCCGTCGATGAGGATTTCTCGTATGGCTATCTGCCACTTTCGTACTATCTGGTGGAGGAATATTCCTTTGGCGTTGAGGCAACTGGGGTGCAACTGGTGAACGTCACAGATTTTGAGAAAGTGGCGGTTGAAAAAGGCGACATCCCTGCAGTATTTGTTTCCAATGACAACGGCGTGGGTAGCATCGCTGTCATGGACGCGAGTGTTAATAAAGGCAGCGTTTTTATTCAGGACCCAACATCACTGACAAATTTCACCGATAGAAATTCCAGCCAAGTCGTGATAACACCTGGGGACGTTACCGGGAATGTAACTCGAAAGTTGTTGCTCAAGGTGTACACCGTGAGACCCTTGAATGTTCGAGCACCGCATTCATACACGATGGTGAATTCGAACCAGGTTAACATCAGTGCTTCTATAAACAACAGCATATCTTCAGTACATCTGACCGCGACAGTCACAGTCCGCATCCCGGTGGCCAATTTGTCCATCGTCGCAGATGATGCCGGTAAAGATTTTGAATTCATTTACTAGAATTTGAAACTTAATCAAGTGATCACAAATCTGAATACATAGAGTTGGCCGAGCTTTTTATTTTTGAGTATAACGACACCTGTCATTTCTCTCTCTCTCCCTCTTTCTCAACTTAAATATTTGCCGCACATATGCCATTATTGCAGGTGAAACGTTCCAACATCTCAGTGTAACAATTCCGGCCCATCCCGGCACCGCTGTCACTTACACGTGGGACTGGGGTGACGGCACACCTGACACTGTGACCACAGCGCGCTACACGACACACTTGTATTCACAGCCGGGAATCTATAATGTCACACTGAACGGCGCCAATGAAGTCAGCAGCGAAACGGTGATGGTAAGCTGGCAGCGAGCTTTTCGTGTGTGTGTGTGTGTTTGTGCGCGCGCGCGCTCGCGTACCTGCGTGGGTGCGATTGCCAGTGCGGAATGTTGAGTAAAACACCCCGCGAAATATGTAAAAGAAAGCACATGTTCTTGGCTGCTGCTCTTTTCAGAAATCCATCACGATTCAAGATGCTGTTGAATACCTTCATGTTGATCTAGATAAGCCAATAGCTACCGTGTTCGGAGAAACCACTGCTTTTGTTATCAGTCTGTCTCAAGGTAGGCAAAACTCTTGTCCTCTGTTGGTGCCATTGGTAGTAATGATAATAGTAATAGTAGTAGTATAAGCCATTGTTTGTAACATTTAACGGTAATAATTTTTATGCAATACTAATATAAAAGGTGTGTCTTACACGCTGCATACTCTCAAATTGTATTTTGATATTTTCATGAAATCGAAAATCGGTAAGATTCAAAATCCTGTCATATATATATATATATATATATATATATATATGCTAAAATTGGCATCAGCTATTTCTTGTACTCGGTAAGTTTGATACTTTCTTCAAATTGTCAGGCATGATTGGAATTCCGTGGTTGAAGAAGGTGACTTGATGGACACCAAACTGATGAAAGAGCAGAATACTCGGATCTTAACTGTTGTTTTGAAAAAACAACTATTTCACAGTACTAATAGGATTCTATTCCATATTTTGCTAGGCACAGATGTCGCGCTACAAGTCGACTTTGGTGACGGGTCGAGTTACAACATCAGCAACTTGGGTAAGCACAATTCACTGTTGATAGTGAAAGGAGTGTTTGCATCTGCAATTTGAACACTTTTGACCAATGACGTGCCCTTGATTGCAATCCCTCTTTTACTCCCGCCCATCACTGTCTGCCTATACGTGTGTCACAGGAGTGCTGCAGTGAGGCGCATATTTTCTCAAGCTACTAGATTGGTTTTTGTTAGAACTGCGCTAAACGTGGTTTGGGACACCATGGAATAAGTTTCTAACTCACATTGTTTATTTATTATTTTTCTCTATTGTTTGATATGAAGAGATGAGAAGAGAAATTCATTTTAACCTTTATATTTTATATTTTCATGTGCGCTTAAGCAATGGAGGCCAACGTAGCAGGTAAACACTTTTTTTTGCTTTTCCCCTGAATCTTTAATAAAATGTATGTACCACATACTCGCACAAATAGTGACTGCTCTTAGTATTCTATGTTGATATGTATTTTGTCTCATGGTATTTTATAAGATCTCTCCAATCGACGTTTGTCTATAACAGAAAATGTGTAGAAAAAAGAATGATTCTTCAAATCACCGGATCTATGAGATATAATGTTTTGAAATTTACAGTCATTGAACTGTTCCCATTCCAGTTGACCCTCCGGCTCTGTGGCACTTTCACCGCTCCCCAGGACTTGATATTAACACCGCTGTCGTCAATTCTACCGGTAAGCTACACAACACCTGGAACCTGTCTTTATGAATTGAACAAATTTAGAGTCAACATGAATGAGTCGATTTGATTACTTTTGGAAAAGCGTTTGAAGAGACTTTGAACGTTCTTGAGTTTGATTTTTAAATTTAATAACTGAAATTAGTTTTGTTATTGAAAGTTCCAGATATCAAGATCATATATATATATATATTAGATTATATATCTCAGTTGGTATTTTAGATATCATAATTTAGAGAACTGTGATATATTCATCATATTGTGCCCCCCCCCCCATATTTTTTATTCATAGAATATGCATATATTTTATCCTTTCAATTAATTATTTCATTTATTTATCTTTATTCATTCACTTGATTTTTTAGATATTCATTAATTTATATATTAATCATACTCTTTATTCATAATGAATTTCAATTGACAAAAATTCGAGAATTACCAAAGCTCCTGATATTGTGCCTTGTAGCCGGTGTCGACGAAGAACAATGTTTCAAGGAATGTGTTGTATCAGAGATGACCGGTGCGGACTGCTTGGCCTTCATCACAATACCCACGGCGTTAGCGTGTAATTGGTACGGGGAGTCGTTGTGGGACTCCCCTATGAAGCTCCTCAAGTCGGATCCAGAGAACACTCTATACACAGTCGATAGTGAGTCATAGTGTTAAACTTAAACACCCTTTACTTAAAGAATGCATATTCGGCTGTGTTGAACGCTCGGTTACTGTGGTGGTTTCTTTATTCAACAGCTAGTTGTCATTGTTTTGTATATCGGCTTCTTTCAAGTCCTGTTCTTCAGGAAAAGGTTCTACAGGCCTCCTTGTCTACGTGCCGTTTCTGCAGAAGCATAATGCACTGCAGAGAGGTGAATGGCTGAGTACTCACCTCAGCCACTAGCGGCCACTTGCAACTGTTGTCGCATGCCCCGGAGAATTTGTCCTGACAGACCCCCAAATGTTGGAGAACAAAAGGTCTCATTTATCCTGTTGAATGAAGAAACCAGCATAGGAATCAACAATTTCACATACTGTTATGTCATCCCACGCACTATATGTCTTATATTTACCCATCTTTATCATGTTGGAATATTTTACTTACTAAAGACGCCCTTTCTTCTCAGTGTAAGATTTTCAAAAGTTTTACCATACGATGTTGTAATTGCCGATACATTATTTCCTTGGCCAATTTTATCCTACTTGTGGCAAAGAGAGAAATATTTACTTACATTGTGTTCAGGTTTACAACCAAGCATAAACAGAAATTGTGAAGAAAAATCGATGCCAAGAAGCCAAGGTTTAAAAACAACCACGTTCTGACAAATAACATTAAACGTGCTCATAATAACAGGAGATAGATAGCACAAAATGTGAAATGCACATGGGGCCATTTTGGGATAACATTCATATTGATATGTGTGCAAAATGACTTGTTCCGCCCACATTACTTTTCAGGACGACGTTTCCATAAAGATCTCCTGACCTTGGTGCCAAGTGACAAAGTTTCCTTCTCAGACAATGGTACCGAATACAGTGGCATCAATTTGACGAGGATCGGAGATCCATCGTTCACTCAACCTATCAGTGATGCTACCTCCCTAACATACAAGGTACGAGGAATTGAATGGTTTGAACAACTTGATAAAGGTATGGAGAGATTGTCATGAAGTTTTGATAATGATGTGGATGTGCAAAGAATTTATGTTCTTTAAATGCAAGCCAAGACGTTTATTTATTCATTTTTAAATAAACCAATTAAGTCGCTAATGGTAGGCCTATATAATTTTGATGGCAGCTTGTGTGTGCGCGTGTGTGTGTGTGTGTGTGTGTGTGCGTGTGCGTGTGTGTGTGTTTAAGTAAATATCTAACCCATCCAGTAATATTGTTCCGTTCTTTCCTAATTTTGTTTCAGATCCGGCTGCCCAGTATAAGCAAGCTTGTGGGGATACAATTACAAGGCAACCCTTCCCTCGATAACTGGGTGACAGACTTCATTCTCTCCACCAGTCTAGACGGAGTAGTATGGGAACCAGCAAATATTTCGGTAAATATGAATATAATGTTTGAGAACAGGTTGCTAAAGCATATCTCTGCATGGTAATTTAGTCCACACCATTGCCGCAATCTGTTTGTTAAAATACAGCCTTAAAATTCGCAATAGTAGTAATAACGTAGTAATAGGACTAGGAGGAGTTTATCATCTCTATTCGTTATATACAGATTTATCAGCGAGAGTTGAGATAAGGAATATGTTCACTCTCTTTGTTCTATAGATTGGTACTGAAAAGAGACTGACAAATATACATGATATTAAACAAACACTTATTGTGTCATCAATATGAACATTAATATTTGAAAAGTTATTTAGTTAATTTTTGAATGTTTCATTAACAAAAAGAGGATAATAATAATCCTTATGTTAAAATGCAACCTTGCAAACACGAATCTAAAGTAGTTATTGTAGTTTCGTCCTGTTTATATTACTCATAACAAGCAGAACAGTAATATTGTCTATGCAATCAAAAGAAATAATTATACCTGTCGAAGAACGGTAATATTGTCTGAGTAATGAATAAAAACAATTATATGTACTTATTGCATCAGATCTAAATCAGAGTAATAGATATAAATATGAATGTCTTGAAAAGATTTTGAAGAATACCTCTGTAGAAATATGGTTATTTACCTACACGGTTGAAATAAGTCATATAAAATTTTACTGCAACGAGAAAACGCTTAATTAGTGTGAGTACGCTTTTGTATTCGACGTGTTTGATTTTAGTGTCCGAACTCCGGATGCGGCAACACTGACCGTAATGGAGTGATATCTCGCGAGCTACCTTGGACTATAGCCAGATTTGTTAAGTTCCGACCAACGGCTGCAAATGGCCGAGCAGATTTTCGAATTGGACTATCTGGGATTATAGGTAGGATTTTACAAATACAAATAAAGGTTGAATATTGACATGCTTATTATGAGTATTGGGGAACCTATTTCTAAAACCAAGTGATATGACTTGTCTTTTTCTTGGTAAATTGGTAACATCAGTTAGACAAAACAAAATAATTTTACTGCATTAGAGTCTCAGCGGCCACTTGCCGTGTCCAAAAAGGTGATGTTGATGGTGGTGCAAAACTGACTGACATTTTCTTTTTCCTTCTAGCTGTAACACAGCGTTTAATGGTCAACCACACCTACAATGCACCAGGTACTTACAATGTGACCATAACTGGCAACAACTTGATAAACGCTATGACAGACTCCCTCTTATCCAGGGTTCAAATTCCATTAACAAATTTCACTCTTCACACCCCGAACACAGCACGTTTTGGCGACAACAGCCTAGTCACGTTCACCGCAAGTACTGGAACTGGTGTGGAACTTGCCGGCACGTTTCTTGGAAACCCTATAGCTTTAAATGACTATAACCCCTTGACTCTAACCGGTTCATTTAACGTTCTCGCACCTGCTATTGGTGGTCATGACGTTAATGTTTCAGCATATAACTGGGTTAGTCCAGTACAATATCAACACACTGTGGTTTGGGCAGACTACGCTATTACCAACCTAAGCGTTACAACCACAATTACATTGATTCCGTCAGGTTCGCAGATCCAGTTTACCGTTAGTATGGACCTTGGCTCCAGAATATCAATCGAAGCAGATTTTGGTTCTGGGTTAGAAGTTCTTGATCAGAAAGACCTAATGACAGCCAACACTCCCTTCAACGTCAGCAGGTCATTTGAAACCCCTGGAATGATTCCAGTTTCATTTACCATCAGCAATGATGTAAGCTCTGAAACAGTTGTCATTCCGATATTTGTGCAAAACCTGGTTCGCGGTTTGACCGTCACCACTAACAGCCCCCGCCCAATACCTTTTGAAAGTAATGGTTTGGTCACTTTTAGTGTTATCTATTCTGGGAACAACTCTGAAATTCCAACAAACGCCAGCATCAGCTTTGACTATGGTGACAACTCGACCGAAATTCAAGAGCTGACAGTTATGTCAGATAATGGTACATTTGTGACAAAAATAGACAGCTCAACGACGTTTGATGTTTCCCATAGCTACACCGGCTTTGGCACTTTTTCCGCAAACATCATCATTGCCAACGACGTAGGTAAAATGTCATTTTCCAAGATAGTTGTCGTTGATGAAGTAATTGAGGGCTTGGCACTGACACCAAGTAATTTGCTTCTCACAGTTGGCGAAAACACTACTTTTATCGTGACAAAGACCTGGGGAACGAGGATGAACTGTAACTTTGATTTCGGTGACGGAACATCAAACGGCAACACGTATGTAACAAGAAACGAAGAGAATACAATCTCTCATCAGTATTCAAAGCCCGGTGTGTTTCGTCCGTCAGTTACGGGCGAAAATTCAATAGATTCTGCAACAGCGTCCCTCGTTCCGGGCCGAACGATTATCGTGCAGCATGGGGTGCAAGACTTTTCATTAAGTGGAAAAAGCATGGGGCTGCTTCCACTGGAGGCAAATCCTAGAATAATCGAGAAAACGTTCAGTTTGACTTATCCACCAGGAACCACGCTGCCGACAAATGCATCGTATGTAATTGATTATGATGACGGAACCGTTTCAGAGAGCACTTTGCTGACCTGTTCAGAGCATAGTCTCTCTGACTCAGTCAAAGAGTGTATTCGTTTTGGCCCACACACCTACATCACCCCAGGCACATACAACGTTACCGTTGTTGTGTCGAACCTTGTATCCAAAGAGCTGTACTCCTTTGTCCATGTTATCTACGAGGAAATCACCGGACTGGAAAAGTCAGTATTCTTCATGAATAAAACAGATAAGCAGACGGGATTCGGCAGCCAGCAGCGATACTTCCCACTGGAGAAGAAAGTGCTTTTCGTGGTCAACCACACGACGGGGACAGGTGTCACGTACATTTGGAACTTCGGTGACAACACCCCTTTGGTCACTTCATCAGTGTCGACGACTGAACATTTATTCCAAAGCCCGGGCAACTTCACCGTTACCTTAAATGCTTCGAATCCGTTTGGAAACGAAATAATCTCTTCTTATGTTGTTATGCAGAGAAGCATTGGGGGCATTATATTTTACGATGATAATGCCCGTGCCATTAATGTATCTCATCCTTTCTTCATCGACATGGGGAGTGTAGGGACAGACGCATGCTACCAGGTAACATATCCAGACCCCAGGGCAACCCCACCTGCCATTCTCATCGGCCACGAGGCGCAATGCCAACTGTCCTTCCCTGATAATATGGAACACTGGACAGCTAAGACGAGCACAGAATTAGAATTGACGGGGAGGTTGTCGTTTGCAGTCGTGTTTCAGGTCCTTGGAGCGCATAATGCACATCTTAGCATTGTTAATCGTGTGTCGAGGTATTCAGGTGAGATGACATACAAAGTCACACGAGGTCCGTGCTACGACCCTAAAGTGAACTTGACTCGTCTGAACAGTTGTACTGTTGGCCTAGATTGTGTGAATAACCATACCTCCGTTAAGAGACACAAGCGTTCGGAAACCTTAAGGGTGTATTCGGACGTCACCCTGAACTGTTCCAATACTGATATTGCACATTTTAAATGGAAGGTTGAATATTTCAGTACTCATCACTCTGCATGGGAAGATGTCACTAACACCATCGAAAGTCTGGGTGTCGCAGTTAACTCCACTCAACTCCGTACCTTATACATAGACGCGTTACAGGTAAAACGATTGGCATATGGACGGTACCGTTTCAGCATCCAGGTGTCTATGGACAGCGAAATCGGGATAGAGAACTCGGATTCCGTAGAGATAGAGATCGTGCAAACCCCCCTCCATGTAAGTCTTTTCGGGGGCTCGAGGCAGAGGCGTGGTTATGGCGTTAACATTACCTTTAATGGGTTTGCTAAATCCTATGATCCGGACCTGGTGGATCTGACTGACAAGTCGGGTATGTCGTGTCAGTGGTATTGCAAAAGATCAACAGAAGCTTGGCCGTGGGAGAGTCAGCCGACCGCCGGCGTCCCGGGCACCTCTGGAGGGTGCTTCCAGACGGGACAGCTCAAAACCCCAGGTAGGTTGTTACTATTGGTATCTAAACTCTCTCTCTCTCTCTCGGGTTGGTTGTTACTTCTGGTATCTAAACTCTCTCTCTCGGGTTGGTTGTTACTTCTGGTATCTAAACTCTCTCTCTCTCTCTCTCTCTCTCTCTCTCTCTCTGTGTGTGTGTGTGTGTGAGTGTGTGTTTACAGAGATATCTAGACACATCTGATCTAATGAAGATAGATATTTGTGCACATATCTACTATGGTAAAGTTGCTTTGGATCCTGCTTTAAACATGCTATTATACCAATGCAGGACTATTGCCGGAGACACCCGCACTGCCCCCTAGTCCGGAAGAGGAAGCTGACTATCCGTTCACCCACCAATACCTACCAAACTGCACCCTTTGGGTGGACACGAATTATTTGTTCGAGAACCGCACTCACGACATCATGCTATCCGTGAGGAAGACTGGTAGTAGCACTTCCATGGAAAGGATGATGAACTTTACCCAAAAGGTTGAGATAGTGAACGGGGAGCCGCCACAACTGCAGTCAACGTACGTTGAAATGCTGTTATATACTTAACAGTGTAATACTGGGACTTGATATAAAATATATGAATACGCTTTTATCTTTTAATTATGTTAAAATTGATCATGTTGAAATTGAATTTTACATAATACTGGGATTTAAAAAATCTCAAAACATTTTTATCCAGAGCTTTGTGCTGTTAAGATTTTTTTAAATTGCTACATATTGCATTTATACGTATTGTTTTGATTTTAATTTGTGTTAGTTTAAGGATTCAATTTGCACGAACAACAAAAATATAAAATATAAAAAAATTAAGCAATGTATAATTCATACCACAACGTTACTTATATGTTTACAACTAACCCAGTATATAGCATCTGTCTATCTGTTATTCCTTCATTTATTTATTTTATTTCAAGTTGCGTCAGTAATTGTCGCTCGAAGTTGAACCCAGCCAACAAACTGCTTCTTAAGAGTAATATCATTGGCTGGAAGAGAGGAATAGAATACGTCTACAAGTAAGCCATCGAGACTGGTTAATTGTTTCCTAATGTGATTAAAGAGGATGTTTTACTAAGTTAAACTTTTTGTTTATCGCAAAGTGTCAATCTTCGAATATGTTAGCATGTGCATAATGTCCTTTTTAAGTGATGAATACTGCATGCAGCCTTTTCTTACGTAGTAGCTTTTGACTCACAAACTTAAAATTAGAGAGCGTTCAGATAAACCTATAGTACTAGCTGGATCGATCTAACTCTGGGAGGGTATCTCGCTTGTATTTAGTGTAATCAGCTAAATGTTCTGACACAGTTTTAGGGTAATTGTACTGGTAAATGGATGGGGCACCTAATTTATTCATCTAAGCCGTTTTCACATTTTATCGTACCCCCAAATTATTTAACACTGATAACAACCCCCCCCCGCCCCTTTTTTTAGCTGGAGAATAATGAACGAAGTTGATGAAACTTACTGGAATTCAGAAAATTGGGAGAAATTTGCCTCAACTGGCACCAGCAGCGAGAACATGGCCTTGGAACCAAATCTCTTTGGTGCAGAGCATTTTGGAAAACGGTACTGCCTTGTGGTGAGAGCATACAGACGTACCAGCGGACCGGACAACTACGGGGAATACTTCTTTTGTTTCGAGGTCAACACCCCGCCCCTAATAGATAACGTCAATTGTATCCTGACTCCGCGCAGTGGTATGGCGTTGAATACCAGTTTTTCTCTCCACTGTAAGGGCTTTCAGGACAATGATTTGCCCATGTTGTACGAATTGGAGGGAGTGGCTGTTGGTGAGCATTTTTCTTTTTTACAAAAGGGACGTTCTCCGGCAATTCCTTACATATAAGGCACACTTTATATGTGTGGCGTACTTTCTATTTGCACAAGTTATAGTATACTTGAAATTGATTGTACTTTACCATATTTGAGTTCTTCTGTCACAAGCCTACTCAGCGGTTAATATCAAACTGCAATACGGGCTAATCTTTGACTGGCTTTTTAACTTAACCTTGTACCATATATTTAAAAATCTTAATGATTAAGCTGTTTATTGATTTATTTAAGATTCACAGACCCCAGAATTTGACGGCTTTAGATTATCAGCTGGCTCGCCAAGTAATGACTATAATAGGGACCTTATTGTCAAAGCAACGGACAGCATAAAATCTACCAGTCAGGAGTTCAAAGTTTCAGTGAAGGTTTGAAAGATTATTGACATATCATTTAATCGCTTTTGCTTATCTATCAACCTTGTGATAAAATTAAACTTATAACATAGTAATTTGGTGATCTATCTACCTATTTTTTTTATTTTAAATGCAGACAATGAAACATTTGCTCGGCGTAAAAAACTTCTTATTGCATGATACGCATACCAAGTTAATGAATTTGTCGACTTTTTAAAATTTAGGTTGAACAGCCGCAGATGAACATGGCTGACATGTCCAACATGGCAGACAATCTTATTGCGGATTCTATCAAATCCGGTGATCCTGCGCAGACCGCATCCGTTGTTAGCACTTTTGCATTAACTCTTAACATTGGGCCAACGTCGTCGGCGGACGCTAGTGCTGATACTGGCACTGGTATGTTAATCATTGCATGTGTTTAGTTGTTGTTTAATTATAATCATGTATCTGATATTAAACACATTGCCTTGTAATCTTGAGAAAATGTTTTTAAACCATTTTGGATGGCTGCATACTGATTTTTACCTTTACCAATGAGGTTATGTTTTTGCTTTTGTTGGTTTCTTAGTTTTTAAATTGTTAACTCATAAGATTATGGACGGACAGGTTTATGATGGAATTACTGGGCATCGACTACATTATGGTGGTGATCAATTAATTAAAAAAACATTGACCCATTAAAACAAGTTTAATAATGATAATAATAATAAAATAATTGTAGCATTGCAGGTTAAGGGTAATAAAAATATAGTTTAATCACCTTTTTGCACATTACTTTTTTATGTTTGTGACCCCTTTCAGGTGCCTCAGGTAATACTGGTGTAACACTTTCCCCCGAGGAGGAACAAAAGAGACGAGAAGAGGAGGCGGCGGCGTTACGGGCGCGACGAGAGGTAATTCTTTCCATTTGGTTCGTAGATCTATCTGCTCAGACGTATTCTAACAAAGGTTGGAATTTTCTCTGTTGTGTGTCTAGATGACCTTAAAACCGTATATAGATCACTTACCCAGTGGTTTTATGATATGCATTTTTCATGTGTAAACAAAATCTGTATGTTTTAAAGAGAAGAGTCTAACGTATTGCGTCCCTTGTCGTCAAAGTAACACCATTTTGGATAAGAATAGTTATTCTTTAAGTTCGGGAGTCAACATAACAATCTTTCCAGCCTTCCTTATTGAGAATATGAAACATCGTGTACAACTTCAGTAAATATGTTTTACGTCTTGTTATTTATCAAAAATTCCCAAATGATTTCCACCAGCTACGTGCCAAATTGATGAAAACAATGGCCGATTTGCCTGAACCGAAAGATCTTGCAGCCACCAAGCAAATGGCAGCGGTGACCGTTCAGCTGACGGCAAATCCCAATGAACTGATCCCAGAAGCACAGGTACAAAAGCGATTTAAAAAAGAAAGCATTTTAAGGTCTCAATGAAATCGGAGTAACACCTCAGATTAACTAAATGTTAGAATTAAGTTATGTATTTTGATAGCGTTTGTGTCAGGCTACGTAGTATACTCTTTATCTTATGCTGCAAGAGACGGAGTATTTAGCCTGCATGTTTTCGAAATGTACTTGCTTGTACTTTTAAATTTCAACATTTAAACGTCCCTTTTGAAAAAAAAAGTCACTACAGTTCTTTTATTATTATTATTATCATTATTATTATTATTATTATTATTGTTGTTGTTGTTGTTGATATTGATATTTCTTACCTTTACTTCAAGGCTAATGCTGCCAAGGCGGGAATCACACTTGCTCAATCGCTGTTTAATGTTGCTGGCGACGACAACAACGATTTAGACGAATTGGAAAAAGCCGGTGGAAATGTCCTTAACATCATCAGTAAGTAAAACAGGTTATCTTTATCGCACTATGGACAGTGCGAAGCACTTTAAAAAAATGATATATAGTGTTTTGACATATATTTAATTTAAATATGTGGCTCCAACATGTTATGACAGTATTAAGGTTCGTGTATAAAGGATCAGAAAATTTTTCAATCAGTAAGATTATGAAAAAAAAACACCACATACAGTTTCATTTTGAAAAAAGATTAATATTTTACTAAACAAAAATCAAAGAATCGATTTACTAAAAGCCTGCTTACTGTTGGCTCATTACAATATTTCTTATATTTCCTATCAAGGCAACGTTCTACAGGCTTCATCAACCACAAGCAATACTTCAACCGATTCGGGTGCCTCTTCCGAACAGGTAGTTAATAAGCAAACCTATATGATGAAAAGAAATAACATTTATACCCCATGCAGGTTATAAAGGTTTATGTCACTGAAACAGTATAAAACAACAATTTAGTGTATAGGCTATAGCGTGCACACCTAGCGTAGAGATATGTGTGAGTATCGTATCTGGTACCTATTATTCGATCATCTTTGAGCGCATGAAATCGCCCCGTTTCCAGCGTATTAAACGTAAAATGAAGTTACAGGCAGCATTTAAAACTGTTTTTGAACCTGCCTAATACATTTTATCTCCCTCCGGGTATGCGAACGTTCAACAACATTTGTGTACTCGAGATGTAGCCTTGCGCGACGTAAGCGTAACGAACCCCTTGCGTTTGTCTGCGAATGGGTAATTTTTCTCGTACATTGACGCTAAGATTTAATATACCAGATCTTAGGCTGACGTTAATGCTAAACGCTAGGTCTGACAGTGCCTTTACGTAAATATGTAAAGAGGTTCGAGTTTTTCCTCAACATTCTGAAAATTGATGTCAAATTAAAGTTTGATTGCAGAAACTGATTTCTACATATTATTATTATTATTTTATACAAGTTTCTTTTCTGTCTCTAGCAAAAAAGCCTACTTGGTAATATTGAGTTAATCAAGGAGAAGATGTTCAAAGCTATAGATCAGAAAGTGATTACTGGTCAGGCGCCAGTCAGTTTTAACGCTCCCTTCGTTAATATGTCCCTGTCCAAAATCTTCACCTCGGAAATCACCAAAGGTAAGTCTTAAACAATATATTTGCTCACTGCCTTGCCTTATATGACTTATTTATATCCGACGTTAAAAATGGCCTTAAGCCATCCACGCAAGTTTTTATTTTCAGGGATAAGGATTGCGCTGATAGGTGCACTGGGGACAAAAAATAAACTGAATTTGAAAATTACATTTTTGTAGCCAAATGTTCACAAGCACAACGAAGCTCAGTTTTTGCTCGAAATTAAATAAGCAAAAAAGTCCATATAGCTGATATTGTCATTTATTAAAATGAAGAAATATAATATGATACTAAGTTACAAAATGGGGGATAGTAACAACATCAAATTAAATGATCACACATACTTCCCCCATACTATAGAGCAAAAAGTTGGCAAGAACAATGGCCACAAAATATGAGATAAGCTCACATCCCCGCCTATTAAGGTATCCACCCAAAAAGCGTCTGTTAAGGAATCCAAAGAATCACAGAATGGGACTTTTATTTACAAAATGAGTTTACAGGGTATACAGTATGCATTTTCAATCATCTGTGCAAGGGAACCGCTGTTTTGTAAGAACTCGTTAAATTGCAAAATTAAAAAAAAGATCGATAAGCATGGACAAGTTTCAATTTAATCACTACCGTATATTTAAGCTCCCCTGAAAACTGATGGTGGTGACGGCGGCGAGTTTCAACTGCCTTCGCCAGACGACATATTCAACGATGACACAAACGGAACCGAGAGAACTTATTTCGTGTCTGCGCAGGTAAGCTACCTTAAAAATGAAATCTAAAAACCCAAAATTAAGTGGACTTCTCGATAACACTTCCTGTTATTTGTTAATAAGTCAGTACCGGTTTACTTACCAAAAAATGCAAAATTTAAATGTGCTCATATTTTAGGAAACCCCTAATGATAATATTCAAGTACAGCCAAACAGTGTCTGTGGTAATTTGCTGACGCGAAGGGATATGGACAGCATACTGGATATAATATTGCCATTTTATTTTTGGACAGAAAATTTTGGTTCAACTTAAATTCTATTTTTATATTATTATTATTATTTAAAAATTGTTCGTTATAGGCATCCGTAGAAGCTTCCAACCCCTACACATGGACTGTCATAGGGGTAAACAGCATGGTTATTACTTTAAAACTGAAGAACGAAACTGGGGGAGCTATCAAAGTCGGTGGTTTACCAAACCCGATTAAAATGTATGTGCCAATGTCTGGGTCGCAAATCCCAGCGCCAGAACCTCAAAAGACGCAGCCTGTTGGTACCCCTCCCTTGGTTCATACCACCCTGGTCCCTATGTCAGGAGCGCTGTTCATTACCGTGAATTGCTTCGTTAACGTCACCAGAAATGAAACTGGGAACTCTACCTCAGAGACACGGAATTCTACAACGGTTGGGGAGGCAAGTGGGAATATGACTGGTGCTGCGAATGGCACCGATGACTGTCCTGAGTTGGTGTTTATTGTGTTTGTCAAGGAAGGCAATAGGAAAGCTTCAGAAGACAGTTACGACTACACGTGTGTACTCCCGAACCCGGAGACGGATTCTTTTCCAAACAGGTGTTACTTTGACCACAAGGCACTCAATACGTAAGTTTCTATCTTTAAATATTTTAATTTATCATTTATTTATTTATTTATTTATTTATTTATTTATTTATTTTTTTGAAATGGTCTAACGCAATGCACTTTGCTTTTAGCGTAATACCGAAAAAGCAATTTTACGTCAATGGGAAAATGACTGGAATATGCCGTTTGTCAAAAGAGTATTCCCAATCCAACGATAATATGTGAAAAAATGCATAACTATACAGAAAAAACTATACACATTTGACACCAAACTCACCACTTTTATCAGCAAATTCATTACTTGATAATGATAGAGATAAGTTTCCTGTGACCTATGAAACTAAGGGTACCACAAGATGACTGTATTAGTTAAGCGTGTGTTATTACGTTTATTTTCAGGTCTACTGAAAAACGGTTCAGTTTGTCCGTGAGAGCGGTTGTATTGGACAACAGCACCAGAGAAGGTAAATATATGAAAAGTTGGCTGTATTAACCGTGTCATACTCACTTTTACCGTTCTCCAACTTTCATCCAGTGTTTATAAAGTTTAATTTCGTCTGATATAATTCTAACTGGACAAGCTAGGAACAAAATAACTACATATTTAACGGATTTGACAATAACTTCATGGTCGAAATGTTTGTTTATTTCAGCCTACCGTGACAGGAACGCGACCGCATTACTGAAGGATAACTCCACGGTCTCTGCAGGTTATACTATGAGCTTGTACTCCATGGCTTGCCTGTATATGGACACAGAGAGAGATGATTACTCAGATGAAGGGTGCACGGTAGGTCCTGAATTATATCCATTAGGGGTGCACGGCGCAAGATGTTTAGACATTATAATATCCGTTGCGTTGGTGTCGTTGTCGCCGTCCGAAACATCAGTCATCGTAACTGCCTAATCGTATATTTGCCTACTACAGATATACTGAGTTGCATTGTTTGGCTAAAAGAGGTTGTTTTACAAGGTTATAAAACGATATTTAAAGATATTGTTTTTTTACATGTTTTTTGTTCGCCCATGAGTGCCAAATGTTATTTTATTTTACCTCAAATTTACTGAGTGACTTTAAATGTGAATTAATCTATTTATCTTTGCAAAAGTTATTCTTTTTAGTGTTAAATATTTATTTTAATATTGTTGCTTTTTTCTGCTTGGTGTCTGTATATTTGCCAGTTTTTACTGTCTAGTTTTACTTATTCTTTGTTTTTTAGGTCGGACCAAAAACAACTGTAGACGCCGCACAATGTTTTTGTGACCACTTGACTTCATTTGGTTCAAGCTTCTATGTCCCTATGAACACTATCAGGCCAGCGGATTCTGGTTTCCTAAAGCTGGATGAAAACCCTATAGTTTTCTCGTTCGGGGTGGTTGTCCTGTGCCTTTACTTTGTTCTGCTTATATGGGCGAGAAAAGCGGACACAAAAGATATAGAAAAGGTAAGGCTTTGAACGATTACATCTCTCACTGATTTGACATTTGAATTAAAGATTAAACCAGAGTGTGTTATAGGAACGTGGGCGTTTTAGTTGTCCTTGAATATCATCTTTCCTTTTAAAAAGCCTGTACTGACATCTTGTTTCTGAGGTATGTGGCATTCTTTTATTAGTCCTTTATCTCGTGACGTATTAGAAATAACTTGACAAACACAATATAAAGGTTAATTGATGTATGACCTATTAAGGCTGCTTTTATTATGTTAAATCCAAGTTAGATTTATGACGAAATTTATTCTAACACATTGGGCATAAAGATGTTGATCTGAAATGATTGATAAGAATACTGGATTTTAGCGTGTCCAAAGTATTATGGTAATCTTTTGCGTATAAAGGATTTTTGGGGGGTTGCAAAAAACCCCAAAATTTGGATAAAACATACAATTTAATATGGAGGCCGAAATAGTGTTTATGGTGGCTATTGTGCAAGAAAGAGTTGAGCGCAGAAAGGCTACTTTTGGTAATTTTTGTCCCTGATTAAAACGCCATTTCGACATGCACGTACAAATCGGTTTTATTTGTGAAACAAATTTTGATTCAGGTTGGAGTGACTCCATTGCCAGACAACGACGCCAGAGATAAACAAGGCTACGAGATTATGGTTTGGACGGGTTCAAGGAAAGATGCAGGTAAACTTCCAGAGTTGATAACATTTGTATATCTCTCAATCACCTCATTGCTTATTTAGTGTGTACGCAAAAGGCCACACATTTTTATGAAAAAAAATCCCTTATTTTAAGTAGTTATTGATAGATATGGTTAATTTCGCGGAGTGTGTGTGTGTGTGTGTGGGGGGGGGGGGGTACTTGAAGTTAAAAGAGGACATATACCCTCTCTACACCTCATCACAAAGTCGATCTCTAGTGGTTTCCCATGAATAAACACTGAGGCGCAAGTGCAGCGTAGTTGTCATAATTTGTTGCAACAACATATTGTTGCTAGTACAGTGGAAACTTGTCACATATTTTTTTATCTCTGTAATCTCAAAGTTTATAGATATAAAAATTCTGTGAACGAATAGATACTGATCTGATTCCGTGATGTCATAATTCACTTCTGACGTCATAAGACAGTCGTGATATCAGGAGTGACGTAAATTCTTATAGGGACTACTGCCCACGTGTCAATCATCCTGAGTGGTGACAAGGATGAGACAGAGCCACGCGTTTTGGCAGATGATAAGCGGCCCATATGCCAAAGAGGGGGGATAGATTCTTTCCTCTTAACAACCACCCAGTCCCTCGGAAAACTTTCTCATTTGCGGTAGGTAATTGCTCTACAGAATTGATTTGTACCCATTGTTCATCTTTGTGAAGTTAACCTTCACAGTGTCTATTTGTGACATTGCATTTTGCAGTCATTTTCGACATGTCGTGCTTACAAATATGATGTTAATTTTTTAAAATATTTTATAGATTATACTGGAGACTCACTTTTATGATCAGCATGCTTTTGTGGTTTCCAATGAATGTAGATGCCTACTAGAAACTTGAAACAACAGAATTGAACTATTAATGGAGGAAGTTGTCAGTGGCTCCTTCACATAATTGTAAAGAAAACGTGCTTTCGGCCATTTGCTCCCCGGACATTTCTTACAAACAAACTTCTGTCGACCAATGAAGTCAGTATATGAGGCATACTATATCCATCATTCCCAGTATCTGGTACTTCAGCTTAATTTATATCAAATCATTCGCAGTATCTGGTACTTCAGCTTAATTTATATCAAATCATTCGCAGTATCTGGCACTTTAACTAAACTTGCATCGTCCAATTCCAGTATCTGGCACTTTAATTAAACTTGCATCGTCCAATTCCAGTATCTGGCACGACAACTCCGGGTCCAACCCATCTTGGTACTTCAGCCGCATGCTGGTTGAGGATCTGCTGACCGGGGAGAAGTATTACTTCATGTGTAATCGTTGGCTGGCGGTAGAAGAAGACGACGGACAGGTAACTGACAATGATCTTTAATTCTTAATTAGCAAAATCAAATGCTATTCTCATAATCTCTATATCTATTTCCCCTGTGTTTTTATTTACTTAGTGTTAGATTTGGCAATTGCTGCATTGTGTCACAGACGAGGTAGAAAAAGGCATAGTTAGTAATTAAGCAAAAACACATAGTTTTTATGACTTTTGAAGCTTTGTCCCCACGCCATTTTTCAATTTTGCAAAAGAAAGTCAACAAAATTGACCTGCGTCTATTTCAGATTGATCGCGTCATTCCCGTGGCAGGAAAGAACGAAATGACAAACTTCGATTATCTTTTCTGGTCAAAGACAAAACGCAACCTATCCGATGGCCACATCTGGTTTTCTGTATTAAAGAGACCGCCGAGAAGCAAATTCACCAGAGTGCAACGCCTGACGTGTTGTATCTCCCTTTTATTTTCCACGATGGCTACAAACATCATGTACTATGGTGCAGAATCCAGTGTGGATTCTCCAACAATGTTGACTATCGGACCCATCAAGTTCTCACTCCATGCCATTTACATTGGCGTCATTACCAGTCTAATTGCGTTTCCGATTAATTTGATCGTGGTGGCATGTTTTCGGTACCGTCACGAAAAGCCCTCAAAGAAGAAGATGCGAGGTGACGCCACTGATCAGGCTTCGCTCCCAGAGATAAGTATAACAAGCGAAGAACGGCTGTCAAAAGAGTTAGAACAACAGCGCGAATTTTTAGACACTGGTGACGAAAACAAGCGCACCCTTCGATTAATGACTCCTCGACCAGCATCAAAACAAGGCACAGTAAGGCCGTCGACAGCAGCGACAGGATACACCGGTCAGTGTTTGCCCGCTTATGTTACACCCACCTCGGGACAACTAAACGCACGCCCCCAAACCTGCCGGAAGAAAGAAATGAAAAATAAGAAAAAATGGCGCCTGCCCTGGTGGTTCATTTTCGTTGGTTATTTCCTTGCCTTTGTTACCATCGTGGGCGGGTTTTATTACTGTGTCGAGGTTGCCGCTGTCTTCGGGGAAAAGCTTGCTATGGAGTGGCTAGTGTCTTTCCTGACTGGGATAGTAGAATCTGTATTCTTTACTCAACCGTTAAAGGTACGAAATCACGCTAACTCATTTCATATCTGCTGTGTGATGAAACATCTTTCGTTATGTGAAAGTATACGAGAATAAATGCATATTTATTTATTTATATAAATATTGAAATTTTGTTATGTTCAAATTTGCCTATTCTAAGTTGGTTCATACTTGTCACTAATAGAGAATGAATTAAATAACTTTTGTTTAGACGAATCATTTTCATTCCTGGCAATTTTCATTTTCTTTATTATTATTACAAGTGAGTATCTCTCCCTAATATAACAATTTCAGGTCTTACTGTTCGCACTTTTCTATGCCTTGGTCATTCGAAGTCCAGAGAGTGATGAAGATGAGGAATACTCGGATCTGCGCGATGATGAGGAGTATCTACACGCCAAGACTTTAATGGAGACCAAGACCGGGAAAGACAGGAATTCCAGGGGAGCCAAGACGTATCCACCGCTTGACGAGCAAGTAGTTAAGGCGGCCAGGGACCTAAGGTACGGCTATGATAATGGAGGGTGGGGGTGGGAGGCGGAGGAGGGGCGGATTCACAAAAAAAAACATAAGACTGAACTTTTAGAAACTTTTAGGAGGCACGGGAGAAGCAATTGCATGATGCTAACCATCCAGTCGAATAGGTTGATCCTGAATTAAAAAGACGAATTTTATGGACCAACTTTCGATGTGAAGTATTTTTGTGAAACCGCCCCTTGGTCAAGCACTCTTGCGACACAGTGGTAGAGTTTTGTTTAACGTTCTTGTTATGTACCTGAAGACATCGGTTCTGGAAATTTTTTGATAGATATTTTAAACAGACAGAGTAGTTGGTTGGTATATGTAGAACATATTAATTAATCGACATCTGTTGGACTTTTACTGACACCAATATTATTTATAATTTCAGAATAAAAGAGCTTGAAATGCACAAGATCATCAGAGAAATAGTGTTCTACTTTGTATTTCTACTGCTGTTGATGATGTGTGCCTATGGTAACAGAGACCCGTGGTCCATATATCAGAAAGAAAACGCACACAGCATCTTCTTTGATGGGCATGTTACAGCAAACTCGACATATCTTGGGAAAGAGTTCCCAATTTGGAAGGTGATTGTTTAATCAGTTGCATTCTTTTTCCAGTCAATGTTCCGAGGCAAATGACCAGTAGATTTGGCATCGGAATAATTAAATTAATATGATTTTCTTTCGAAATTACTAGTCCCATCGGACTAGTAGAATTTTTGGCGGTTGTTATAATTTTTTCTTCTTTTTTTCTTCGGACTCGTTAATGTAGGTTTGATCAATGGCCTGACAAGTATAAGTCGTAAACTGTTTCTTTCATATTTGTTGAATTCAACAGGTTTTTGGTCGACTAGTTGGAAGAAATTGACGACTGACAAAGCACTTTTTTGTATTTCAATGCATTATAAAAACAGTTACCCATTACCAGTAGTTATGATTTTACATATAAAATATGATTTTACATATAACTAAAACTTCAAGATACCTTTATATGTCATTGCTTTGTTGTATTTTGTTATAACGATGTATACTATTGATGATATCAGTATAATCATAGAGCCAAATGCCCCATTCCAGGTAAAATCTCGAAAAACTTTCTTTGATTGGGCTGAACGAACCCTGATTCCAGCGTTGTATAACGGAGATTTGGAGTGGTACAACGGCGCCGTGGCAGCCTGGGCAAGAGGCTTCATTGCCGATAAACAGAACTACTTGGTCGGTGTGGCAAGGTTACGACAGCTCAGAGTGAAACCATGTAAGTCTTTCTGTCCTTTTCATATCAAGCAGTAAATTAAACTTGACCAGTGTAACGTGACAGAGTGATAGAGAGTCCGCTTCCCATTCATTTAGAGAACTTATAAAAATTCCTTTGTGGAGTAATAACATGTTAGACCCTGCAAAAGTAGCCCTATCCTGTTAAGTGTACCGCTCAATGTAAAAAGAGTCTATGTTACGGAAAATATTCTAACTTAAACCTGGTGTAGGCGGGCTTTGTGGGTTTAAATGTAAGTCTTAAGACATGGGACAAATAAAAAAATGTGGCTGCAAATCCATCTTAAGACTTTTGCTACCATTAAACAGATTCTTTTATGTGCTCAAAAAGAATCTTCGTTAGATACATTATTTTTAGTTTCATGACTTGGGTACAGATGGGCATCTACAGTATTTTTATTATTAATATCTGAGCAAACCTGTACAACTACTGAATCACTCTTTTGAGAGATTCGTTTGGAAATATTCGGTGGATGAGACATTGATATAAACACTTTTTACTATATTTATATTATAACGACTTCGAGGTTCTGGAGTCTTCAATCATTTATTCACCACTCAGTTTTCATACAATTTTACCCATATTTATACTCTAATTCTCCGTACTGATCACGCGTGTAATTATGTTCTTTTTATTGTTTATGGCGTGGTTTCCAGAAACTTTACATTGTCATGTTTCCTTTACCATAGAACATTCCCTTATTAGGTAATGTCTAAGAGCCTTGTTTTCAACTAAACTCATCCAAAATACTATTTGCATTACTCATACTTGAATCATGTCCAAAACTTAGTTAACATCTGATAAACAGTTGATCAAAATTAAAATCTGTTGTGAAATTAACCAATCACATTAAATGTTATTGACTTTGACCTTTTCTATCTTCTTCTGACACTTAAAACATGCTCTACACTTGTTGACACTCGATGAAACTTAATTTGCACTCAATATCACTCTAACTTTTCATCTATTTGATTTCCCTTTCATTACTAATTGAAATTAGTGTAAGCATAAGTAATTAACTTTACAACATTTATATGTGGCAACTTGTTGCATCCTTCGGTAACTACTGAATTTATTTTCAGATTCGTGTGACCTCCCGAAAATGGTTCGCAATACAATTAAAGAATGTCGATCTGAATATGAATGGATAGAAGAAGAAACTGGTTCCTTTTTGCCGGAATGGAAACCTGTAAATGACAGTGGTAAGTCCATCATTTCAAAGAATACTACATGCATTGTTCACATGGCTGATTTGAGAGTTTAGTTCCCTACTTAATATACAGAGGTCAACATTTAACGGAGCTAGTTGGCCAAAAAAGTTCGTGCGAAATTCAACTTAGAAATCGATTTGACTGAAATTGCAATGTTTGTCAAAAAATAATTACTGTGAACAGCCACCGTTATCATCTATTGAAAGATACTGTAAATAATAATAATAATAATAATAATAATAATAATAAAAACATTTATATGCGTAAATATAATCTCAACTCCATGTCTATCATCCATCATAAATTTCTATTCCAATTTTTAAGGTGTGTCGCCGTCGCCAGGGCAACAGTGGTCATTTCAAAGTGCCTTGGACCTTAAAGGGTTCCCGTACTGGGGTCTGATGACCACGTATGGCGGTGGTGGGTACGCCTTTGAATTAGGAACAACCTATGAGTCCGCCCTGACAGGCATCAAGGAACTCCGATCGTCGCGTTGGTTGGATATCTACACGCGAGTTGTGTTTGTGGAGTTTGTCTTGTACAACGCCAACTTGAATTTATTCACCGTTTCCCAGACGACCGTCGAGTTTCCCGCTTCAGGGGGTGAGTGACCACGATTCAATGTTCAGCGATTTATCGACATTACACATAGCCTTTACCTATACTAGTAAATGGAGTTATGGGTGGGAGGGGGGTGCGTATGATAAATGTCATTGTTTTTTTCTGTTTGATTGCATTAGTATTCGGGAGTTCTTTCTTGTTACGATAGGCCCGTAAGTGGCAAGTGTATGCATATATCTACGATTCCGTAGTTGGTTTTTTAACGGTTAACAAACATTGCAAAGATGATAAAAATACATTTGGGATGGTATAAAAAATAATTATTAGATCTATTTCTGGTGTTATAATTTCGGTCAATGCGTGGATATTATAAATTATGGGTCCCTCGTAGAAGGACCTCAGCTGGGCAGTGCTGGTTTACTTGATTTAACATCTAGACAGTGATTTGACCGTAATATTTTAACAAGTATCAGATAAAAGATATTATAGGGCCAACCGAAATTGATAAGCCCGTTAACCAGTTAACAAGCGCGACCGAGTAAAATTCTGAGGATATAAGACTGCATTAGGTATTGGTTTGATAAGTGGGGAAATTTTACCATTGACCCAGAGAAAACGTTTTTTTTTTTTTTTTTTTTTTTTGCTAAAAATCGCGCAGAAAATAAATTTCGTTTACCAACTTTGAGGCCAGATAGTCACTGATCCTTGACCAACTTATCCATTTTATTTGGTCTAACATATTTTTTTCTTTTTCATTTTTTATATAGGGGTTTTCTTATTCCCTCGCTTCCACGTATTCCGGCTGGACCGATACGTGGGCACGGTTATGTTTGTCATCATGGGTGCAGAAATCCTAACAGCAGCGTTCTTCGCATATTTCTTGTACAGGGAAATCAAGAAGATCATCAAATATCGAGGGGAGTACTTCAAGGTGATTTGATCTTTGTCACTTTCATTCTGCTAATACATTATTTTGTTCATCTCCCCATGCATCAAAAATCGCTAAAAGATTACATTGTGATTGTCATATACTATTTATTTATTTATTTATTTATTTATTTATTTATTTATTCATTTATGCGTGTAAAAACTTTGTTTAACTTTTTGGTATAACCGTAACTTTGAGGCAAACCTCCCGCGTGCATATTTCAGGGATTTAAAAAGATACATAGATTCTTTGCGCTTCTACATGTATCTTTCTTGTCAATGTTTTAAGAACCTTTTGAAATTTAAAACGATTTTACGCTATGTTCCGGATTAATTTAGACATATAAAAGCAGACTTTAATATATGAGGTCTATCTAAAATCTTTTAAGTGCTCTTTGAGAATCAGGGAATTTTTTAACCTTGATTCTAAATCCGAAACATTCAACATGGTTTAATTGCGCATACTTTAGCTAATATAAAGCTTTATCTGTATTAAGGATACCTGGAATGTGGTTGAATTCTTCTTCCTGGCGGGGGTCACGGCAACCATAGTTATGTTTGCCTTCAAGTTGGTCACCGCCAAGCTGACCCTGGGAGAAATCGCCGCAGAACCGACGAAATTTCACAACCTGCAGTACAGTATTCTGTGGGACGAGGTAAATATGTTAATATATGTGTATTTTTGAGTTTAATCTGCAGTTATAACTGTCACTATCATTATTCTTTTGATGAGGACGATGGTGAAAACGATGATCACATCAACAACAGCCATAATAATAATAATAATGATAATGTCAGTAGCAGCAACTACAATTGCAAAAATAATAATATAATGGTAATGGTATATAAATCCACTTACCCTTGGTCAAACCGTGACTGTCGCTGAGACAACCTTATATAGAGTCCATTGCTTCATTTGAAATGAAGTTACATGTAGGCCTATGTCCAATACTTAATATAATTAAAAGAAATTCAACACAGAACACACGCGGCCTAGATTTGATTTTCAATTTTTTTCTTTTCAGATATATGGTTATATGATGGGCTTCATCATCTTCGTAGCCAACGTGAAGTTCTTGAAGATTCTCCGTTTCAATAAGACGATGAATTTGCTAGGACGTGTGATGAAAGGGGCCGCTAAACCACTGGGTTACTTCTTCATTAGCGCGGGGATCGTCTTCTTTGCCTTCGTTCAGCTGGCGTATATTATGTTCCACACCGTATTGCTGGACTTCATGAGCATCATCACGACGGTGGAGACTTTGCTAGTCATGCTGATGAGTAAGTCACAAATGCCTGTTTTACATTAACCTTACCCAATGCTGTACGCCAGGTTGGGCGCTGGTGGCAATTTTGTTTCGTGATTCACTGTATACGGGGTATGAAGTTAGGTGACATTGGCTCCCAGTCCAGTGGTGTCTTGGTATTGTACTGCCTGTGTTGTAGACTTATATAAGCCCAGGGGATTATAAACGTCTACTCTTGATGTGAGTTGGCCATATTTGATATGCATAGACACTTTGTAACTCTGTATCACTGTGTAAAAAGCACTGCAATTTTTATGGGGTCACTGCACCGCAGTTCACGCCAACAACTTGGTGATGAGTAGTTGTCATAATACCTGAGGGATAGTGTGACGAGTTGTACATTGTGCCAAAAGCTCGTTCGTCTCTATTAAAAGGTTTTTGACCCCATTGTACATATCTAAGTATTTGGGTTTCACTGGGACTCACTGATTTATTTCAAACAAGAACATAATAGGAAATCATTTGTCCCTTAATTTCCAACCTGGACGAAAAAGGGGTTTTATTGGTCCAAATTCTCAAATAAGTAGAATAGAGTGAGTATATGCCACATCAGCTCTTGTGGCCTGCAGAAGCTGACTTGACTGGCACCACTGCATTGACCAACAATAACCCCCACTTTTGCTCTTGATTGAAAAAAATGTCACTGGAATTGAAGGCTTGACGCGGTTTTTAAGTTATGGAAATACTCAGTTGTTCAGTTTAGCACATATTACGGCATTGTTTTGGTAGTTTTTAGACGAATTTGATTATTTATATACTCAGTAAGACTAGGATAACTTTTTTTAGTGACCAGACTGCTTCAAATGTTTATTTTTTATTTTATTTTTTTGTTTGTTTGTTTGTTTCAGACAAATTTGACTTCTTCGCCTTCAACGACGCCGATCGCGTTTTTGGTCCCATTTTCTTCATGATCTATACAGTGACAGTATCCTTCATTTTGATAAGCATGATGCTCAGCATTATTATGGAAACCTACACCTCCGTTCGATCAGATCTCGATAAAAAAGGCAATGATTATGAAATCATTGACTTTACCATCAGGCGACTGAAGGCGTTTATCGGTATAGGGTCTGGGCCAAGAAATGATCTACAGTTACACAGATACCACGAATACACTGAAGGTAAGTGGAATCTTTTGATCTGTAGGTTCTAATATGTACTTCCATTCAGTGATTTTAAGAAAATTTGCCCCAGCATTCAAATGTAGTAGCCTAATTATAATCTGGTCCTTTGTTCAATACTTCTGAAATTGCATCAGAATCACCTGTACAAAAGTATGCTTACTTAATCATATTTCATTTGAACGAAAAAGTCCCAATATCATTTCAGGTGAAAAAGTCGGAGTAAAAGAATGCGACGATCTGAACGACAGGATGGGCGAACTCTTAGACCATTTCGACATGTACATCAAGAAGTCCAGCCAAACGAAAGATTTGTTCGACATGATGGTTCCTAATGAAGAAATGGCAGACGACGATCCAAGTGATCACATGAAAAAAGCCAAAGCAAAGAAAAAGCTTTACTTTGCTAATTAGATGAACCGTTTAGAAACTTGAACCAACCAATTATTTTACTTATTTTCCTTCTCTGTCCTGTGACTGGTTGTATTGCTACTTTTTAATTCATTTGGAGTCGAAATAGTTCATGTTTAACGTGTAGCACATTTTGATTTTAAGTCGCTTCTTATATTTATAAAGATATTCGGGTTTTAGTTTAAATACGTATGAAGAGGAAGGTGATGTTTTGGCATTTGTCATTTTACGTATCACTGGTGGTTCCATTGATGTTACAATTTTTGAAAAGAGCTACAAAAAACCTGATAGGAACGATTGATTGGGCATAAATCCGCCTAGGAAAACTTACTGGCGGCCATATTATCAGTGGCATATGCATACGATTGTTGTCCGTAAAAAAAGAGCACTTTTTGGGTTTTACGCACGTTTTAGGACAAGGAGATCAATATTTCTCCGTATGTGAAACATTTATTGAAACGTTTGAAACCTCCCGCGGAACATGATACGGTTCTACTTTAAGACAAGAAATAACGGATAACAACTAATTCTTCGTGTATTTTTTATCTCTATGCTGAACGGTGTACGTTTGTGCCATTAACATAACGAGAAGTCAAAGGGCTGTAATAAGTTCAATGACTTGATATAGCGATTATGCTTTACATGTTGAAACAATGTGTATTACTGATGTTTCTAATGAATGTGGCATAGCAGCACAACATGTTTCTTTTTCTTATTGTTATAACTACTACTACTACTTCTAATACATGCACTACCACTGCAGTATGTCCCATAATATTACCGCCTATAACGTGTTTTACTCCCCCCTCCTCCCCCCCCCCCCCACACACACACACACCGCACACCAGTGGCATTCCACCCAAATTACCTAAATGGTTCTAAGAAATTATTTGCGTGCTTGTTTTTATTCCCTTTCTAGGGATTTGAGAAGATAAAGGGAGAATAACGGAACAAAAAAAGGTTACAAATGAGAAGATAATTCTATAACGAACTTTCTAAGTTATAACAGAGTGAAATGATTTCAATTCACACGAATACGTTCTCAAACTTCAAGACGGCTTCTGCTGCGTCCTGATGACTCTTTGCATGAGCCACTGGTCAATATATGGCAAACTTATGTAGTCAAGCAGATACGAAACAATTTTTAAAATGTCTCAAGGGGCACATTCAAAATTTGGCAATGGTTGATGCCAAAACAATGACAAAACACATATGAGTAATTGCGTTAAAATTTTATTTCCAGTAAAGTTCCAGTGCCGAGTTTTCGACCTTTTCATTAAAAACTTACCTACTGCAGAATGGGACATAGTACATAGCAAAGAGTATACCTACCCTCTTCCAGGGACGACTCTTTGTCTATAGATAAAAAGACAGTGACATTTTGGCTCTCAGTCAGCAAAAAATATCCACAATAATAACTGCGGCCCTGGTAGAGGGTAGAGTATACCTATACCTGGAGATTATTAATCTTGTTCACTAAATTGATAACATTCTAAATCCCCATACAACATGACCTGACTTTAAAACTATTGGAATACTAATCGATATTTTATCTAAATGTTATCTGCAACAAATGGCGTGTAAACAATATTAATCCAGGTGTCGGAAATCAGGGTATGTGCGTTTAAATGTTTTTAATACGGTCACGTAATGCAGATAAAGAGTTCAACAAAGCCTAATAGGGAATTACTACATTATACACAGGACAAGGCGTCTTGGCAAGACTTCGGTATAATAATATATCAGATCTAAGTAAAGATGTCAGAATTCCTAAAGTGTTGCGGCATAGGCATTTTGTGAAGTATTGTAGTATAACAGTGAAACATTGTATTGAAAAATCACGACAAACAACTTAAAAATGCATACTGCATTTAATATATTTATACAAATCTCTATTCACTCTGTAAAGTGAGATATCTCCACCAATGAAAAAGATAAGCTTAGTGTTGGCTAGTCCTTAACCCAAGTGAACGTGTAGTGAGCACCTCCTTCCAAAACTGTAGCTGCATCCTCAATTTGGTACATATTGGTTTTGACTCCAAATATTTTGGCCTTGCAGAAAACAAGGTGATTCTGTTCCAACATGTGGCGCCCAATAGTAACAGTGACAGAGTGCTGGTCGTCTTGCAGTTGGATAAGAACCTTGAAAAAAAAATGAAATTTAGATTAAAAAAAAAAGAAATAAACAGGATGTTTATACAAAGTCAAACAATACGTCAGTGGTCTGAAAAGAAATCACCCTAACACTCCCCCCTTTCACTTGATTTACTTAAAAGAAAATATTAATGTGTTGAACTTTAAAGATTTATTAATAAACAGAGCGTAAAAAATCAGTTGGTCTGAGAGTACCTTGCAAGTTTCCTTGAAAGTTTTCCCTACAATTTCTCAGTTGGCATAATTTTAAGCCGATTCATACACACACCTGTTCACATACCACTTTTAAAACGATGGCACTCACCTGGTACTTTTTTCTATCGTTTTTCCGGGACAAGATCAATCCTTTCCACCAAGTCACACCTGGTCCAAGGACGAGTGTTAATCGGACATCATTCTTGGAGCAAACACCGTATTTTACAGTGGTTTCAATCCAATCACCATCTCGCATACTAGGTCCAACGCACACTAGTGGAATGGAGTACTTCGCCTGCAACATGCAAACAAAAAGTAAACAAACAAAAAAAATAATAACCATTACCCTAAATTGTGCAGCATTCAAACCAGATGAGAAATAAAGCAACATTGAAGATATATCGTGTGAAAACCAAACATGAAAGGGACCTTACGTGGCTAGACATGAGCTGTGAAATATTGGTTTGAAATTCGCCTCAACGTATCACTGAAAGCACGTCCCCAAAACAGTGGAAATCTCAGTCAGTCGGACGTCGTCTTCTATAGTCAGCTGTTATCAGGTTTTATCTTGACGCACTACGTGTCTCTATTGTCTGTGTACTTACTTAATTAATGAGGATGTACAATGTCCACATAGAACAAAGACAGGTTTCGTAGAAATCTTGAAACCGAAATTAGGTCAAAACTAAAAGACGAAGGAACATTCGATCATACGAAATCAATCAAATGAAATTATTAAAAAATTAAATTAAGCCACTGGCAAAACTGTCCACTTGGCAGTGACATACATGTATAAATCCGTAAGCGCTGTAGATAAAATCATCAAAATTGGCGCAGTTATTGAAACACGTATGAAAAACAATTGGGTGCAACAGATTTTGATAAGATCTCTTAGGGGCGATTGAGGATGCATGTATTTCCTTATATGCTTAATAATGCAGATATTATTAAGCATATAAGGAAATACATCCTCAATCGCCCCTAAGAGATCTTATCAAAATCTGTTAGGGGCGATTGAGGATGTATTTCCTTATATGCTTAATAATGCAGATATTCATATAGTCACGTGATGTGATAATGCCGTCACATCGAAAATGCATCATGGTGAATTTGCTTATTTGAGCTGATTATGTAACAGCGGCGTGTTTGTGTTTAAAATTGTTTTCGATTTCAAACAGATATCTCCCTCACCTGAAGAGCTAGCAACACCGTTTCAACGACAATTTCATCACAACAATTTGATTACAATCCGGTGCCATGGAAACTTTTTGAAAGGCTAACTTCTGATTTCGTCAGTTAAAAGGTAAAGAACGCCTTTGTTTGAGTTTGTTTGATGGAACTATAAGCTCATATCTCATAAAAAAATTAAAATTAATACAAAAAGCCGGTATTTCACATCTTTGTCGTCATCCGTCGCTTATCATAATGATATCTGACTTAGGTATTGAGTTACAGCACTGACCGATCACTATTTCACACCAACTTACAAGGCAGTTAAATTGACAATAAACGGTGACAGAGCTTAAAAGCAGAAGTGCGTGGGGTAGTGAATAAAAGAAGGAAACTGATATTTTGATGGAAATTCATCTTTGTAGTCTTTAGATTTTTTACGCTTAAACTTTTCAATATTTACACTAACTTGAGCTGTACCTAAACAAAACTTCTAATCACAATTGTGACCTTCCTCGGTGTGTGTTCCTCTGAAACTGAGCATAATTCACTATTGTCTCAGTAATAGTTGTCCCACTTTTGGGACAGCACAATTATTGAGACAGATGCTTTACATGTTAAAACATTTCTTTTTGGAGTTTCTAATGAATGGACGGCCTGTTTATTATTATTATTATTATTATTATTATTATTATTATTATTATTATTATAGCTATTTTTACTACCCCCCACCCACCACATACACAATATCTTACAAGTGTTTTTCCAACCAAATTACCTTAGGTACAGTTTGGCACATATTCAAATGCTTTTTTAGGCCTACTCCTTTTTAGGAATTCGAGAAAATAAAGGAAGCTTTAAGAAAGAAAAAAGTTTCAGGAGAATAATCTATAAAGAACATACTAAGTTATGACAGAGTAAAATGATTTCTATTCACATGAATACGTTCTCAAACCTCACGTTGGCTTCTACCAAGGAGTTCTTGCTTCTACTGACTCTTGTTGTAGGAACCATTGGCATATATATATATATATATATATAACAACCTTATACACACATGCAGGTACAATACAATTTAATGTCCAAAGTTTGGCAACGTTTGGTGTCATAATGATGACAAAAACACAAGCTGCTGTGTACATTTATTTCCAACAGAATAAGGCCGATTTTTCATCGTTCTCATAAAAAACTTGCCTTCAGGATCATGAGGCGTATTACAGTAGCAGAGAGTCACCCTCATACTGGTAGATTATTATCCCCGCACTTTTGGGACAAAAGTCGGGTATCATGTTATCCCTCCCGTCCGTGCGTCTGTGCGTCCGTGCGTCTGTGTGTTAGTAATTTCCACTATTTCCTCCTAGACTTTTGCAGGTAGGAAGTTCAAACTTTGGGAATTGGTAGACCCATCTTCAGGGATGTGCATGGGCACTTTGGAATTTTAGTGCAACAGGGCTGGGGGTTGGGCTGTCCATGGGGGGTGGATGATTTTAAATTCTTATAACACTGTAATTTCCACTATCTCCTCTTAGACTATTACAGATAAGAAACTGAAACTTTGGGAATTGGTTCACCCATCATCAGGGATGTGCATGGGCATTTTGGAATTCTAGTGCCACAGAGGGTTGGGCTGTCCCTGGGGGTGGTTGATTCTAAATTTTTATCACATTGAAATTTCTGCTATCTCCTCCTAGACCATCAGAGTTAGGAAGCTGAAACTTTGTTGAATAGTTAACCCATCATCAGGGATGTGCATGGACATTTTTGAATTTTAGTGCCACATGGGGTTGAGCTGTACCCTGGGGGGGGGGGGTTATTCTAAATTCTTAAGACATTGTAATTTCCGCTATCTCCTCCTAGACTATTAAAGTTAGGAAACTGAAACTTTGGGAATTAGTAGACCCATAATCAGGGATGTGCATGGGTACTTTTGAATTATGGTGCCACAGGGGGTTGGGCTGTCCCCAGGGGGTGGTTGATTCTAAATTTTTATCACATTGAAATTTCTGCTATCTCCTCCTAGACCATCAGAGTTAGGAAGCTGAAACTTTGGTGAATAGTTAACCCATCATCAGGGATGTGCATGGACACTTTGGAATTTTAGTGCCACAGGGGATTGGGCTGTCCCTGGGGGTGATTGATTCTAAATACTTATGACATTGTAATTTCTGCTATCTTCTCCTAGACCATTGCATGTAGGAAGTTGAAATTTTGGGAATTGGTAGACCCATAATCAGGGATGTGCATGAGCACATTGGAATTTTAGTGCCACAGGGGGTTGGGCTGTCCTTGGGGGTTGGTTGATTCTAAATTATTTTCACATTGCATATATATATTTTTTTGAATACCTTTGGATGAAGCAGTGATGTGTGTGTATGTGTGTGCGTACGTGAGTGTGTGGTAAGTGGTCCCTAGGGGTGAGCTTCTCTTGATAATATGGGGAAGTGCGGGGATATACGATGGCTACCCATCGACACCATCTAGTTAATCTTGTGTTTCATTCGGAATAGGGACTAACTAGTCCGAGGGTTAAATATGGCCGACCCACTTGAATACTTCCCCTACGGGATACATGTATCTATTCAGTGTCAATTAGACGGCAAGTTTTGTAGTGGATCTCCATATATGTCCCTTTGGCTAGTTAGTCCCCATTAAATCAGTGAGTAACTATGACCACATGTAGGCTGGACCGGGAACAATCCTTGCCTTGTATGGCTGAAGCACTGTCCTGACTTCTGAAGCGACTACTCCGAAATGAGTGGGTGGGAGCGTGCATCTCGAGTTGTGGTTGCTGTTGTCCCTATTTCTAAAACCTGAATGACATATCAGAGTGGGATGGGTAATGAAAGTTGTGAAAACAATACTATTTATGTATGGGTCTGTCTATAAGCCTGAATGGGGCCTTGTTCACTTAATTGATAACATTCTAAATCTCCATACAACATGACCTAATCTTAAGAATGCGGTGCATCAATCTAATTTCCTACTAAATAAAATCTGCAACAAATGGCGTGTAAACAATATTAATCGAAGTGTCAGTAATCAGTGTATGTGCGTTTAAATAGATATATTTTTTAAATGCAGCCTGCGGTTAAAGATTTCGACAAAGCCTTAGAGGGAATAACTACATAATACACAAGGCAGGGCCCCTGTAATAGATTTTTTGAAGAGTAAGTAAAGATATAAAAAAAAACTGAATGTGTTGAGACAAAGGCATTTTACCACGTATGTAACAGTAAAACAGTGGATAAAAAACACGAAAAAGAACAACTTCCAATCCAAAATGCATAGTCAAATAAATATTTATAGTCCCTCTGTAAAGTGAGATGTATCCACCAATGAAAATGAACAGCTTGGCGTTGGCTAATCCTTAACCCAAGTGAACGCGTAGTGAGCACCTCCTTTCAAAGCTGTGGCTGCATCCTCAATATGGTACATATTGGTGTGAATTCCAAATGTTTTGGCCTTGCTGAAAACTAGGTGATTCTGTTCCAACATGTAGCGCCGAATAGTAACAATGACAGGGTGCTGATCGTCTTGCAGTTCGGTCAGAATCTTGAATAAAAAATCTAAAGGGTTTAGATAGAAAGCAACGAACAAAATAATTATACAAAGTACAAGAGGTAAGTTGTCTGAAAAGAAATCTTCTAAACGCCTTTCCTCTTTTTACTTGCTTTACTTAAAAGAAAATATTAACGAGTTGAACTATATAATATAATGAAAAAGATAAACAAGGAGAGTGAAAAAATCAGTAAGTTTTAGATCTAGAGTATCTCGATCGTTTCCTTTAAAGCGTTCCCTATATTTACTCGATTGGAGTAATTTTAAGCCGATTCATACACTTACTTGTACATATACAATTAAACGATTGCACTCACCTGGTACTTGTTTCTTTCGTTTTTCTGAAACAAGATAAATCCTTTCCACCAAGTCACCCCTGGTCCAAGAGCGAATGTGAATCGAATATCATTCCTGGAACAAACGCCGTATTTTACCGTGGTTTCAATACAATCACCATCTTGCATGTTAGGTCCAACGCCGAACAGTGGAATGGAGTACTTCGCCTACAACGAAAGGCAAATCGAAATTAAACAAAAATTATCATTACCTTAAACTGTGCTGCATTCAATCAGATAACAAACAAAACAACATTAGAGATAAATCGTAATTGTGAAAGCTTCGAATGTGTCCTTACAGGGCTAGACATCGGCAGAGATGTACCGGTTATCTTGGTTTGGCATTCACCTCAACTAATCAGTCACGTCACCAAACAGCGGAAATCTGGGTCAGTCAGATGACGTTTTTCTATAATCGGCCGTTGTCAGGTCAAATCTTTATCTTTAAGGGACCATTCCCACAGATTTTGGATCGATCTAACTCCCTAGGGAGTCTTACTAAATTGCTGTCAACTTGGCCGGCTTCAACGTCTGTCACGCCTAGTAAGGCTGTAAGGGGGTAATTATCTTTACCCCCTGGCTGATTTGGAAGGCGTGACAGACATTTAAGCCGGTTAGTTGATAAAAATTTCGTGAGACTCCACAGGGAGTTATATTTAAACTATAACTCGAGGGGCTTTGCGTCATGGCTAATACTACGTTACGTACGTTTCCCAAAAAAATTGTCAGAAAGTTGCATCTTAACCGAGTACTTGGTGCAATAGGAAATAGTGTTTTTCTTTTACTGATAATATTTGAACCAGAAATAGAAAATAGTTCACTTAATGCTTACTATACTGTCAGTGGGGTGTCCCCCCCCCCCAAAAAAAAAAAAAAAATATATATATATATATATATATATATATATATATATATATATATATATATATATATATATATATATATATATATATATATATATATATCTGTTCAGTATAGAGGCGGATCCCAGATTAATTGAAGGGGTGTCCACGGATGCGAAGCCGACCTTTTAAATAACTGAGAAGAGTACTTTACATTTTTCTGATGTTTCTAATGAATACACAACCTGTTTATTATTATTATTATTATTATGTGAAGATTCTTGTGACCTTTGATAATTACTAAAATGCCGGAGTCATACAATGACTCTGGGGCGATTTTAGTGTTCATGAGATGGATAGCGTCTTTCTGATGATATGCGCACTACCAAGCAAGATTATTTTCTGCAGCTCTCGGACAGTTGGGCTTCCTGGTATTTGCTGGACCTGCCTATCCAGTCCTTTCTTGAACAGGCCCACTGCTCCAACTACAACAGGTACTGTGGTCGTCTTCATACCCCACATTCTAGACAATTTCCAGATCTTTATATTTATAGAGCTTCTCTACTTCCTTGATGGATACGTTTCGTTCAGATGGGACTGTCATATCAATCATGAAGCATGTCTTTTCTTGTCTGTTTTTGATTATGATGTCTGGCCTATTTGCAAGAATTTCTCTGTCTGTGTTCACCGGCGTGTCCCAGAGTACTGTGATGTTTTCATTCGCTGTTACTGTCTGTGTTTGATGATCATACCACTTTTCTGCGCTGGGAGTTGGTGATGCTTGCATATTTTCCAGTGGATATAGCTTGCCGCCTTGTCGTGCCGTTGGATGTATTCTGTTCCTGCAAAGGACGGACAGCCTGAGACTATATGATCAATAGTCTCCTCTAATTCATTACAGATGCGACACATAGGGTCTGTTCCATCGTTTATGATGCCTTGATGGTAGGATCGTGTTGCTAGACTCTGATCTTGTGCAGCGATCATCATTCCTTCAGTCTCAGCCTTCAAGCCAGTACTTTGTAGCCACTGATGTGTCTGTTCTTGTTCCTTATCAGCTTTCTTAGTTCTGTTGGGGTATTGTCCATGCGTCGGTTTTTCTTCCCATTTTTCTGTCATTTTCTTTTGACAACATTCCTTTGCTGCTTGTTTGGTTCTCTTTGCAGTTTGTGACTTGTTCCTGGTCTTTCATAGTCGTTGGTGTTACATTTAATTCTTGTATGAACTTCTGAGCGTCCTGTGACACAGAGTAGAGTTTCTTGCTTCTCTCATGCTGGACTACCGGTTTCAACAGATCGTTGAGTTGTATTATTATTATTATTATTATTATTATTATTATTATTATTATATTTCTACTACTGCCTTTACTACCCCCCCCCCCCCAACACACACACACACACACACACACACACACACACACTTATCTTACCGTTGTTTTTCCAACCAAATTACGTAATTACAGCTAAGTACATATTCAAATGCTTTTTCTACTCCTTTTTAGCGATTTTTAAAGATGAAGGGAGTTTTACGGGAGCTTACTAAGTTATACTTAGTTATAAAAGAGTGAATTGATGTCAAAATGACAAAAACACAAGCACATTTATATCCAACAGAATAAGGCCGATTTTTCAACGTTCTCTTAAAAAACTTGCCGACAGGAGCATGAGACGTAGAACATTGGCAGAGAGTCACCTTTATACTGGTAGATAATTAATCTTAGGGGACTAACTAGTCCGAGAGTCAAATATGGCGACCTACTTGAATACCCCTACAGGATACATGTATCTATTCAGTTTCAATTAGACGACAAGCTTTGTTGTGGGTCGCCATATTTGACCCTGGGACTAGTTAGTCCCCTATTCTGAATGGGGCCTTGTTCACTTATTTCTAAATCTCCATACAACATGACCTAATTTTAAGCATGTGGCGCATTTATCTAATTTGCTACTAAATCTGCAACAAATGACGTGTATACTATATTAATCGAAGTGTCGGAAATCAGTGTATGTGCGTTTAAATACATGTATTTTTTAAAACCCAACCTGCGATCAGAGTTCGACAAAGCCTAAGAGGGAATAACTACTTAATATGCAAGGCAGGCCCCTGTAATAGATTTTTCGAACAGTAAATAAAGATATATGACAAGGCAGCAAAGCTGTCAAATGTACAGACAAAATAACAGAAAAAAGGATGCGAAAGAGGTCATTTTGCCAATTTTGATGCAATAATAAACAAGCCCATGGAACTTCAAAGTCACACCTTGAAAATGCCAATATGTGAAAACGTTTAACTGGCAGTAAGAATTACCAAACAGACTGCTTTGACTACTGAAGCTGTATTTTAGTCCCATGTTTCTTTCCTGTAAGTTTGAGAACAGTAACTGACATGGTTTTTCTTAAATGGTCATCATGGGAGCAGTGCCCAAAATAGTTTTTTTTT